ACCCTAACCCTAACCCTAACCCTAACCCTAACCCTAACCCTAACCCTAACCCTAACCCTAACCCTAACCCTAACCCTAACCCTAACCCTAACCCGGTTGATCAGCACAGACTATTTGGTCGCGTTCCGTGTCATTCTCTACCACACTATCCCACACACTTCCAACGACCCGACCGGCGGCGACAACATGCTCAGCGATGTTCTCATTTTGTCCGGCACCGATGTCGTGCTTAATCGACCTGGACTCTACCGTTTCCGCGGCGTGACATTCGACCATGAGATATGTGAACTTATGTTGACAGCGACAACATGCATGACGATAGCCACAATCGCCGGTATGTCTTTGATTGAGACTTCCGCGACTCAGCACGTTCGATTCAAGCTCTAGCAGCGCTGTCAGATACATCTTCGCACTGGAACATGACATTGATGAATCGTGACCGCAATTAAAACGATCTGCTGTGAAAATGCAACGTTCAAGTCATACACCCACTCAAAAAAGTCACCAGACCTTCCTTCCACCTGCGTCACATTTCCCACGCATCCTCTAATTCATAGCTACAGCCACAGCACCACCATCACACAGTTACATTAGTTATGAACGACGACATGTTGTCCCATGTCTAGCTAATCGTTAACCTACACGACGTTGTGCCTGATGTTACAACGATAAACATTCAACAACACCTGAAGAACGCCTGAACTTTATGATATCATCGTTAAGACAATTACCGCTATTGTTGCCTCTCTGTCCAATGACCCCTGTGACGCGCACATCTTCAGCTGAACCAAATTCTCAACACCGGTAAACGAAGCGAGCAACCACCTGCCGAACTGACACTTCTCCGCTTCCCTACTTTCAAATAGCCTCCTCGACATGACCTAAGTACGAATCCTGAAACGCTCGTGAACAGTCGTACTTACTCCTATTTATTTCTCCGTGATAACCGTGCAAATACCACGACCCAATCTATCGCCCCCTATTCCATCCTCCCCAAATTCTATACGACTCATGTCTTCCATAACATCCGCGAGACATTGTCCAACTATACAACTACTCATCCAATATTTATTGACTTCAACTAACTCTCCCAGTCAGATATAGTCACTGGTGCTTCGCGGATATAAAACCCCAAATATATCACACCCCAGACATCTACAACAGCTCTTGCTTCCCGTCTCCTGCGTACTCCCCACCTCGTCCGGAACGCGAACTTATTGTCTCGTAGTTAACTCTCGAATTCGAAGCTCCCCGATATCCCGGCCCAAACGAAGTTGACTCACAGTTTTACCCACTTAAATTGCTTCCAACACAAGCGCGGTAAACCGTACATCGTTAAAAACCCACATAAAGCTTCATGATCTTTATCAAACCACTTACTTACCAAACTCTTGCGGTGCTTGCGGCATCATGAACCATTTCATCAACATGTTATCACTTTGCGAACCCTCCGCGACTTATTGTCTTGTAAGCCATTCTCGAACTCGAAGCTCTCCAATTCCCGAGCCCCAGCAAAGTTGACTCACCACCTAGTCTACTTTAGTTGCTTCGAACACAAGCGTCGTAAACCGTACATCGTTACAACCTAACATAAGTTAAAATTTCACGATCTTTACCAAGCCTAAGCTACTTTACAATCTCCTATCACGTTGAAGACATCATACACCACTTGATCAACATGTCTTTCCTTTACAAACCGTCCGCGACTTATAAACTGGTAGTCCGGTCTCGAACTCCAAGCTCTCCGACGCCCCGGCCAGCGAAATTGAGCTTCCCGCTTTAATTACTGCCAACATAAGCGCAGTAAACCATACATTGTTATAGACCAACATAAGTCAAGACTTCACGATCTTTACTATTAAGCCTGAGCTACTTAACAACTTCTTGCGATGTTAACGACATCATAGATTATTTAATTAATATCTTCTCACTTTGCGAATCCTCCGCGACATATATATAAGTTTCCCTACAAATATATATCAACAACCCTTAACGTTTCTCCAACGCGTTACATGCTCCCGAAAATGTTCCTGTGTGGTTCTATATTTTTCAGAACTAAGCCAATCTAGAACTACTCGCGATTCATCTCCTGAAAACTATTTGCCCCGTCCGGAACCGCGATGTCTCGTAGTCGGCTCTCAAGCTTTCCCGCGCATCGGCCCCAGCGAAATTGACCTTACCACTGGTTCCGTCGCCGGCGATGACACCCCTCCCGGTCTCGACGATGTTCCGGCAACCAGCACAAGCGTGGTGAGCCACACGTCGTCAAAGACCAATATTAATTAAATTTAATCTTTATCGGCCTAACCCAACCTCCTTAACGATTTCTTATGACGCCTACAACATCATACACCACTTAATCAACATATTCTCACTCTGCGAACTCTCGACGACCTATATAATCTTAATATTCCCTACAGACATGTATTAACAACCCTTAACGTTGTTCCAGCTGCGTTACGTGCTCCTGAAAATGTTCCCGTGTGGTTTTATACTCATCAGCACATTGCCAATCTAGAACAACTCTCACGATTCATCTCCTAAATATCACGCTCCGTCCAGAACCGCGATATCTCATAGTCGACTCTGGAACTTGAAGCTTTCCAACGCCCCGACTACAGCGAAACCGACCTTATTTGCGACCAGCACCCGCGTACGAGCCGCACGTCATTACAGACCAACATAAGTCAAGACTTCATGATCTTTACCTAGCCGAGCTACTTAAGAAGTTCCTACAACATTTACAGCATTACGCACCACCCTCGTTGCTATATTTCGATATGCAAACCTTCTCCGACTTGTATCATCGTAAATTTCCCTGTAGATATGTATTTACTAACAACCTTTGACGTTACTCCAACTGCGTATCTTGCCCCTGAAAACGTTCCTGTGGTCCTATACTCTTCAGCACCAAGCCAATCCAGACCAACTCGCCGTTCATCTCCTGAATACCACTTGGCCCGTCCAGAACCGCCATGTCTCAAAGTCGGCTCTCAAACTTGAAGCTCTCCGACGTCCCGACCCGAGCGATATTGACCTTGCCACGTAACCTGCTTTAATTGCTGCCAGTACCAGCATGTGAGCCGCACGTTGTTAAAGACCAACATAAGTTAAGACTCCATGACCTTTACTGTGCCCAACCGACTTAACAAGCTCTTGCGACGTTCACAGCATGACGCACCATATTATCAACATGTCTTCACCTCGTGAACCCTCCGCGATGTATATAATAGTAGATTTCCCTACAAATATGTCTCTACTTTATTAACAACCTTTGACGTTACTCCAGCTGCGTTGCGTGCTCCCAAAAATGTTACTGTATGATCCTATTCAAACCAATCCAGAACATGAATCTCATCCTCTCGAATATCAAAGTCAACCCCTATCAAAGCACGTCGAATAAGCCATCGACCTTTCATCGATATCCTCCAAAGTCTACCCCTTCACTTGTACTTGCACCGATTCTGCTCTTGTATTGCCTTCTTCTCTCGACGCCATCAGTTTCGGTATTAATGTCCATAACAGCGCGTGCATCAAACGCCATAAGCTCGATTAGCCGCCGTATTCAAAAGTAAAGCTAGTCCAAGCCGTTAAAACCATAAGCGGCGAGATCTTGCTAAACTGCACCGACCGAACCGGGACTAGTAGCGGCTCCGACCTCGAGCTGATCGACCAAGTTAAAGCGGTGGTGCGAATCCCGGTTGCCGGGGCGAGCGGAACCGGAAACCCGGGACGCTCCGAGAAGAAGAATTATTTCCTCCAAGTCTTCGATACCGATACCTGGAACAACCCAATAGCTATCGTTGGTTAGCAAGTGGTTCTGATCGTGAATTTACCAGCGATAGATGTGATCCAGTTTCGCTAGTCGCCGCACCATCATGGTAAACTTAACATAAAACTACACTGCAATGCAGTCATCGGTTGACAGTCTATGCACATGTTTGCTCGACGCATCATTGAAGAGATATCATTTTCCTACCTTCACATCGCTTGACGAGCTTCTAGTCCACCATTAGTTGGCCGCGGGGCTCCAACCATAGCTCTTTGCATAAGATCCTGCCGTCATGTACATTTCACGCGATGATCGCCTGACATTTTTAAGCACGGCCTGTCCCTAGATCAGTTTAAGCTTGATGTCTCTCTAGAAGAACCGAGTCGCCTGGAATCATCCACTCTCATTGCCTCTGTAGCTAGCGCCGTGGTGTCCGGCTTGATCTCGACACAAAATCGAGTTGTGCCTCGTTCCCGCGGGACGACACAGTGCCTCCTGCCTTTCTAGCCCAGTAGCTACGAACTGTAAAAGCGAGTAACGATTTTTATCCAATGATTGCTGTAATATCTAATGATTATTCGAATTTGACATGAATGATATTTTAGCCTATAACTCAAGACCAAGCTGACTCCGTTTGCTCTCTGTTCGTCTTTGGTCTCGAAGCGTCGCCAATGTTTCTGTTCGTAGACTGGTTATTGGCCACGAATAATTCCCCGACACGTAATTCAAATCCTGTATAAGCAAATAAGATACATCGATATGAACTCGGTTCAATCGAATTTAGCCCGATGAAGATCCCACGTCAGAAATAATCCCGCAAGAACTGAAGCGGTGCATAGACCCAGATATCGCGAGAATATCTCGACATGCCAGAACAATCTCTTAAGTGCCCAGAAGTGGTAACGTATATCCTTTATGCACGTTCGGATAACTATACCCTTCTGGTTCCTCCCTCAGCCCCTGAAGCGAAGCGGTTGGCGGGGAAGAGGTTACCGGTATTCCCCATTATTACTTCAAAGACCAGTATCCTTCTGACGACTCGTGTAATATTTCAAATGGCTGCGAACGTGTTTTTCTATGACTAAGTCTATGCACATAGTTGACACTCATGTTGCAGCTCTTCAAAAATTGAAAAGGCCTCAATCCCTGCGGCGCCTCCCGCGGAGAGCAAATCACTAGAGAATGTGAAGCCTATAAAAGTGCGAAGTGGCAATGACAGTGTCTTCTTGCCTACCGGGTATCTAAGCTCACCTGAAAAGCAACAACGTGCAAGATAGATTGGCATAACCAGATGCCGATATTCGCCGCTGGTCGTTTTTAAAATGCATATGACTTTCTGCACCGTACAGCAGCAATTAACACTTGACCAACACCGGGGCTAGCTACTCCAATACATCGGGGAGACTACTTTGCAGCGGCGCTTCACCGTGCGAGACTTTGGTAGACATATCCGCGGTCCATTCGTGCTCTGCATGCTGTGACCTTATTCTGGTGACGAGACGAGACAAGAAACCTACGTCGGTGACGGTTTACAGCCGGGGTAGACAACCTGATAGATATATTTTCCCTGAATCGGATGGCTCGTCAACTGTGGTCAACGGAACCTTCTCCCCACAACGGTACGTTTGTGTAATATTTTATATGTTTACTCTGGACCAAACCACGGCAAAGAGACTTCTCGTCTGAACACGTTCGCCGACGTGGAGTAGATCAAGTCTTACCACCTTCCTACCATGTCGAATCTGTCAAGTTCGACTCCAGCATGGCACGTGTTATCGCAGCCTTCGCATCGGTCACATACCTGGTTTCGCTCTTAATAGTGAAAGCTACAATTGACGATATGGTTGAATATAGTTGCAGACGGACTTGAGCTAGCCATTGCTCTTGACTCCCGGAGACGCTTGGCCCATCAACGGAGAACCCGGAATTCCGAGAGTGAAACGACACGCTGAAAACTGTGTTCTTGCATGTAGAAGATTAATTATATTAAGAAACTTATGTCTCGCATGACCACTCCACAAGCAGAACGTCCAGCGCACCGGCAACATATGAATTCCCCCGTGCTAAACCATGTCGTGAGCCTCGCCGTGAACCTCAGAGCCGACGCGATAGCGGCTAGTCGCGTCTGGCCCAGCGGTATGATGCCGCCGCACGACGATAAATGCAGAGAAAAGTAGCTTCTGCCGCGATGCGCGAGAAGCGGAAACCGGTTAAGAGCGAGCACCGAATCTTCAGCCTTCACGCTTCAAAGCTTCAAACCCCTCATACCGGCGAGTCGTAATAGTTTCGCCAATTCAACAGCGACGACTCCGACCAACCTTCCGTGGAGTTCGTGGTTCCTTACCGTCGCAGGCCCTATCAGCAGCATAGATGGACACGACGGTATTGCCGATGCATTGAAGGATCTTAAAAGAAACAGTACTCCGGTAATGGATATTGAACCTAAGATCTTGAGGCCATATCTTTCCTCAACCGAAGAGCTTACGTGCGCGACGGAGTTGTTATGCGCATCATACCGTGCTGCTATAGAACCCTTGGATCCGAGACCCATGAAGCTCCAGCATGATGACCTCGAAGGCGGGCCTGAAGGTTAAATGGGTAAAAGAAGAGGCGACGACATAAACCAGTCTTCAAGACATCTGGTATATGCATTGGCGTAGATGGAATACTCCGCATCAGTAGGTACTCTTTCTCGTCTGCCATTGACTAACACAATACCCGTACCGATTCAAAGCAAGTCCTGTTCATTAAGTTGAGAAAAGTATACGTTGTGGATTGGACAGAGTGCGAAAAAATTCTTGAATGTATGATGCATCGAATGGCGTTAGAATATGAATAAACAAGAATCACCTTGTCTTACGCCTCGTGCAGAGATCTGTCTCAACGTAGACGCCGGTAGGTTTGTCTACACGGATGGAAAAGTTCTATTCTAGCCATCGAACTCAGCATTGAACATTGAATCAATTCCGCGCTTCTGCGATACTAGTCCGATTTTCCAAGGTGCAGCTTAGCACAGAAAACATTCAAACTTCAAGGCCATCTAAAACGTTGGACGACAAGTGGCATGGCCTCTTAGAGGTAGAGGTTTACCCAGAGCATACTCTAAAGCTAGATAAATCGTTCCAAGGAATCTTCCGGGTTTTCACCAGTCACTACTCCGCCCGTACGCCAAACCACTGCACGCCGAACAGGAAAGGATCAGTTCGAACATAGACCTCAGGCAAAGGAGAAGTTCTGACAACAGATGCTCGAGGGCGAGGACTAAATATGGCGGTTCGAGGACATACTCAACAGCAGGAATGGGGAAAACCTGGAGTACAGCATCAAATGGGACGGCTGCAACGCAAGATGGCAACTACCGAAGAACCTGAAAGAATGCGACAACTACCTGCTGATGCAGTTCCACGACAAAACCTAGGAAAACCCGGACACCCTTCATAGTTTAGAAGGTCAAAGGTATTGAATTGAGACGAGTGGATAGAAGGCACGAGAGCGAAAGTGGTGCGGGGTTAGATAAGTAGGACGGCGACACGACAGATAGCAGTCAAGATTCCTAGGATGATTAGGATGGTAAACTCATGGGATAAGTGATTTGTATGAAACCGTGAGGGGCTCATCCGGGGAGGGGTCTGTTGTCAGAAACCTCGTCTGTGAGGGCTAGTACCTAGAGCCGGTTGGTAACTGTCAGAATAACGTGAGACTTGATAATTCAATTAATTGTGTAAAGAAAATTCTATCTTCTTTTTTTCTAGGAGATCCTGGCCAAGACTAACTGCAAAATCTTCAATGGTCTCCATATCGTGTCTCAAAGGAGATCACGTGAAAACCAGAGATTTGAAGGCATCAAAACACACGGACCACCTGATAACACAAAAATTATGAAATTGTATCTGACAGTAACCCACGAGGATAGGGGATTAGCCTACGAAGAGACTGCAATATTCTTAGGTCTAGAAGGACCAGTTAGCATATTGGCCCTTGGCCGTGCCATACGCTGCATACCATAACAAGTGCAATATTCTGCTGGCAGTTTCGTATGGGAATCCAAGATTTCTGCTGTCGCTAGCACATGCTTCGAATTTCCATATCAAACTGCCACCACATGGATTCTCTGAGATACAATTCTTGTGCTGGCAAATTTCTATGGGAATTGGAGAAATATGGTGGCGATAGCACATGGTTTGAACTCCCATATAAATGTGGCAGCACAAAAATTTACTGAGGTACAATTCTTGTGCTAGCAAATCTACCTATATAGGAATTGGAGAGATGTGCCGGCGATAGCACATGGTTTGAATTCCCATAGATATCCGTCAGCACAAGAATTATATGAGGTGCGATTTATGTGCTGCCAGTTTTGTATGGGAATCCCAGGGATGTGCTGGCGGCAGCAGAAACTTTAATTTCCCATACAAAATCGCCAGCACATGAATTGTCCCTACCTAGGATTTATCTGCTGGCTGTTTTATATGGGAATTGGGGAAATGTGCTAGCGGCAGCACATGCCTGGGATTGCCATACAAAACAGGCAGCACATAAAATTATGTAAGGTCCGATTTATCTGCTGGCAATTTTATATGGGAATCCCAGGGATGTGCCGCCGCCAGCAGAAAACTCAAATCTCCATACAAATCCGCCAGCACATAAATTTTCCCTATCTAAGGTTTATGTGCTGCCACTTTTGTATGGGAATTCCAAGGATGTGCTGCCGGCAGCAGATAACTTAGATTCCCATACAAAATCGCCAGCACATAAAGTACACCTAAGATAAATTTATCTGCTGGCTGTTTTATATGTGATTCCAAGGCATGTGCTGGCGTCAGCAGAAAACTCAAATCCCCATACAAATCCGGCAGCACATAAATTGCACTCTATATTTATGTCCGCCAGCAAGGCCTGAGGGCATATCCCTTTCGCATAGGACTACCTACAGTTTCCATTATCAATCAACTGCAGTTCGAGTATACTTGGAGTTCAATACAGGCTCGACTGCAGGTTCAATCGCGGTTCAATTGCAGCGCAATTCAACTGCAATCTTAACCATTGTTCTATGAGAGAACAGATCAATCGCAGGTGAATGCAATTCGATTGATTGGTCTGTAGTTCAATTGATTAGTCTGCAGTTCAGTTGTAGTTCAATTAGACTACAGGATCGACTGTAGATCATCCTCCATCCGCCATCTAGCCATCTAGCCAGACTGTAGTCAACTGTCGATCAGCTGCAGTCAAATCGCAGGTCAAATGCAGGTGCGCAAGTGCAGCATTTTTACGACTGCCTACTGTATTCTAGGGACGAGAGTTAGGAATGTCTCCTGCAATGGCAGTTCAAGTCTTCTCGAGCATGGGTAAACGTAGCCAGTCGCAGCGGAGGATAAGAGATCGTCGCATCGATGACTCCTTCAAAGTAGGCGCTGAGTGGGCAACGTCACAAGTTTCTGACGTCAAAGGCTTACCGGGCATTGGCACATTCAGCGATGATAAGTCGAATTGATGCATTGGCCTTAGGGAGAGATATATGACAGCCGGTTTCATCTACGCGCTGACGTGGTCTGTACGGGTGTTTGAATTCTCCTCGGAGGGTACCAGGCTGGAATCTTGCAGGAATCTCCAAGTTACGCGACAAGAGCAAGACACCATCCGACTCTTGTTCGGTCTGCGACGACGGACGGAGTACGGACTCGAGACGTATCTGCTCTCGGAGGTAGTCTAATAGTCGGCGTAGTTCTACGTACCCGGCTTCGTTCGGCATGAACTCCTTGAATCCAGTGACTTCCTCCGGAATATTGGCGGCGGTCCCCGGAGGCGAATATGTGACCTCCTGTCATGCTCGGAAGGCGATGCACCGCTGCAAAGCGCCATCCGCGCGTCTACCTTGACTTCCTTGACCTCCTTTTTCTCAGCGGCACTGGGGGCACCACGTCCGAGGCACTTATAGTTCTGCGGGTATCTAAATAAACGGCGTTGTCCGAACCCGCGTCATCTCCTCGCGCATTGAGGCTGGTTATTTCCGCCGCTGCCTTACGATCATCTGCCGACTTCGCGGTGATTTGAGCGTAAAGAGTGCTCGTGGTCGGGGTTGAGTTGGTTATTGGCGGCAAGCGGAATCGGTTGAATTGGGCCCGTTCGAAATGACAGAACTCCCAGAATGCTCTCCGCCGTACGACACTGGGTACTTGATCTTGAGATCACCGCGATGCAGTCACCAAGCGCGGTTCCGGAAGAGACCCCCGGAAAGTTTGGAAAGTGGGCTTTTGATCGGGTTCGAAAATCGCTACGTTTCCTGCTACTAATACATTGGTACCATACATCATTGTCCCTTTCCGGCCGATATAACCTCGCTGATTACTGTGCACAACCCATTCTACATACAGCCGCTCGCAATCTTGACCCGTCGCGAATACCATCCTGGCCAAGAAGATGCTTCGACAACAAGTCACCGTCTATCTCTCAGGCCACTCATAGACCCAAACATGTGAAAAATCCATTTACCCAGACGAGAATAGAATCATCGTAGTGTTCTGGGAGCGCAGGAATGTTTGTCTGCAGTCACGGGTAGTAGGCTTGATATGAGTCTATTAAACCATCTTTACGGTCCCGTCGCTACTCTTGGAAGAGCCGCAAGTCCGCTGGGCTCGCCGGTGCCGGTCGGGAAGTCGCTGGTGTGGCGCTGCAGCTCGACGTAGCCGCACGCGAACCCGCCCAGCTGGTTGTCGCGGGTGAAAGTCGTGTCGGGCAAGACCTTGTGTCTACGACCCCGCCACTGACGAACTTGTAGGGACTTCGCACGAGTTTACCAGAAAGGGCACCGACATGCCATCGCCGCAGCCGCCACGGCATTCCCGGGGAACGTCACATTACGTCCCTAACCCCTTCAAGGGCTTCGAGACACTCCCAAGGCTCTTTGTCCCTTCTATCTGCTTCTTTCCCAACAAGCTGCGAACATCACGATGTTAGAACTCTGCAATCCGGTCTGATCCACGTATGCCGGCATAATCGATTGACATATTGACCCGGTAGATCGACCACGGAACGTTCAGCCACCTTGATCGTTACTAAAAACCCTTCCCTAGATGACTTCTCCCACTTTCTGGCAGTGGTGACTCTTCCCGTAATGCCCATGTTTCTCGTACGGGTGTAGTATCGCGTTCACCCAGACGGTCAGGTATTTGAGGAACAGATATGCGAACTTGATGCGTAAAACCGTCCGAAGAATTCAATGCAAGAATGCCCTCTCTTTGTCCCCTAACAGAATAATTCCCGATGCTTCAAACGCCCCCGTGAACCCCGAACCCTTACTCCGAATCGTAGTGAATGCCGAACCCGCGTCCATCGTCATCCGCAATCGCTATCATTGGACTTGCTCTTCATATCGAAACAATTTGCTGACAGCAAACCGTTGGCGCAGTGGGACTTCCGTAACGTGCTCGTTCATTGGGATTAAGGAGTAGGGTTGTGGAGCACAGGTAGCCTTTCGATTACGTATTTCCCGCGGGTGACGTTCATGTCAGTAATAGGTCCCTAAGTCAAGCGTAAAGGGAGTGCAGAGGAGCGGCGTAGCCGCTGCTAGTATATAGCAAGTATGAGATGAACTAATAACGCTACTTCCTCTAAGGTTGAAGGGGGCGAAGCCCCCTTCTTATACCTTGCTAACTCGCGTTTACCTAGCAGGAGGTCCTGCGGACCTCCTTCTAACCCTATTCCACTTATGCCCCTGACAGTTCACGATAAATACTCCGGGGATCTTGCGTAGGTGACAAGATATCAACTGTAACGCGTTTTCCGAAAGCTCCGTAAGCCCCGGGGTTGACCGGCTCCGGCTCCGGCTCCGGTGGCGCGATTTCGCCGGCGAAGTCTCATCCGCCGTCCTCGCCGAGGTTGATCACCGCATTGTTGCCTCAGCATCAACTTCAACCCCAACTCCAAGTCAAAAGTAATCCCTGTTCGAATATTAGATGACTGGAAGCCTACGCCCTGTATCTCAGGGGCATATAGATCCTACATATCTATGGCCCTTTACCCAGGCTACTCCTAATAACTTGACCTTGTAATATAACAAGTAGGTACGATACTCATAACCTACGTCCATCTCAACAGAGCCGAACGGAAGCATAAATCTAATCGGAACGCACCACCACCATCGTAGCACCTCCAACAGCCCATGCCCGTCAGTAATCCAATGGAAGAGCGGTATCTCCTTAGTGAGCACAAGACTACATTCTCCACAAAACGGGTAGTGTACATGGTGATGATGGCTTAGTGGAGCGACTCAGTGAGCGTCGAGGCTCTTGAGATGATTGTAAAGTGGATGTTGCCAACCAGAATTAAGATTTGGAGGGTGCTAGTGGACCCTGGGGACTGTTCGCAGTACAATTACAAATTCTGGTGGAGTTGTAGTCTTGTGCCAACCAATGGGTTATGGAACCAAGCAAATCGATATGCCTGAGGACTCCCCAATGACGAGATATTGCCTAATCCGCGAGGCCGCCTGGTTCCACGAGCCCTACACGATGACGACCTAGTTTGGAAATTGGGCGTCGAGAGCGAGCTGGACTCCCGGCCTTTAAACTAGCGGCGCGATTATTACTAGGCGATATCCGGACTTCAACGGTTTGACCTCATGCGTAACATCTGAGGACCATGAGGGTTGTTAAATCTATAACAAGGTAGAATAGCTCGGAACTTGTGTTCGAATTCAACTAATAATTTTCTTGGCTCCATTAAGGCCCTTAATCTTTTCTCCAAAGGGATCTTGTGGACCTACAGATTTAACTTCGAGGCAATGGTGACATTCTAGTCCTGGGCGCCTGGCAATCTCGTGTCGGTTCTTTCTGCATATATTGATAGTCTGATGAGTCTTCCGCCAATGAGGTTCAATAATTTTCAACGCATACCGCTTGCTCCCTAACCCAAGTTGTCACAGGGCAATTAGGTAATCCATCCATATAGGGACCAGCCCTGTTTTATGCCAGCTGAGCGTGGGTATATCTAGCACTACATTCTATAGGAACAACGCTCCCTTTCTTAACAGATCATTCCGTTCACTATGGTAGAGATCCGGCACTGTCAGACTGTGTGACATATGTGCCACCTATATACAAAGGAAAAGAGCCTCACTATCTGACCTCCGGCTGTAAGCCTCGCGATCAAAACAAGGTTGCCGACCTAGACCTAAAATAACCTAGCTCCTGGCCATCCAGTGGGCCCACTATCTAAAGAGTGGATAAAAGACGTGCGTTCCCTCCTTTGTAGGCCACTTCCCATAAAGTCAAGTGGAGCAACACCTCATTGGTGGAACGCTCATCTAGTGTGTATGGAGCCTGAATCTGAATATCTATACGTCTGAAGTTCAGCTCTAGAGCCTGAACCCCTCACGTTCAGGGTCTCCGGCACTCCCAGAGACTACAGCTCCGGAGAATCCTTGGAGCTCCTCCCTCTCCAATACCAAGACCATATATCATGGTGTATCTCTAGCCCTGGCGTTGCTTAACCCAGATCTATTAGATCCAGATCCGGGGAGCACACCCTCCCAAATCTACCCTCGTAGAGTCTGGTGAGGTCATCCTTTCCTTACGGCTGTATATACCCTAGGAAAATCTGTTCAGTACCCCTAAGCTATTAGCTCCTAGATTTCTGAAGCTGTATGCTTTCAGGAGTCCTATTCTCTACACCCTTCGATTGAAAGTTATAGGGCGAGAGTTTCCACCCTCCCAATGCGTCACAACAGCTCTGAAAGGATCAACCTACTACCCCCATTATGATAGTCTCCCCTTCGTCTATGTAGTCCGGTGCCATCTCAGGGCCTAAGATCTGATCGCGGGCTCGGCGTAGGTAAGTAAGTCATCCAGGGAGTTATGGTTGTCTACTCCCTGGGAATAAAGGGACGCTGGCGGTTTATTTGCTAGCCCACCAGGTCTGATATCGTCTCCCTATAAGACTGCACTTACGTGCGTTAATAACGCCGTTTCGTCTAATCGATACAGTCCAGGGCCCTGTTCAGTCCGTATTACCGATCGCTGTCTCCTTCAGCGTCGCATCGTCTATGTCGCCACGAACAGCCTTATCCAATCCTCTAAAGGGTTGGGAGTAAAGGATCAACCTTGAGCCGACTTTCAAGGTGACAACAGGGTTGGCGCCAGTAGCCTGGTGAGGTCTGTTCCCGCCCGGCCTGTCAGAGACCAATAAGCTCCCCCGTGTGTTGTACTTCAAGGTGCTGGAGAAAGAATGGCACCTTGAAGGAGAATCGAGCCCTGAACCGACCTTGGTCAGATCCGTCGCGGTAAAAGTTTGGGTAAGCTCGCACCAGAATAAACAATAGCTCTCCCTGTAGAATACTATGTCATATAATAAACGAGCAGTACAAGGCGCAAACCCTAAGGTTAGCCGGGCTCATAACCTGTCACGGGCCAAAACCGAAAAATAAGAGTGAAGGTTCGGGACGATCTGGGGAGCAAAATGCTCCCAGGAGGCCTGGTATTTATAAGCGCAGGAGCAGGGCCTAGCAGGGGCTATAGGTCCACTTATTTCCCTGCGACAAAACACAACGAACGATATGATTTATTTATATTGTGCCCTGAACCTTCAGACAAGGCCCTCCAGTTGAGCACTTGGTAGTAGCCGAATTATCTCATCTTAGGGAGACAACGTCGTGAACGCTGGACTTGCCGCCAGCATGTCGCTGCATGAAATCCAAGTACCTTCACCCACCGTACCGTATAGACAACCACATTCTACGACGGGAATGTTTTAGTTCGCCAATGGTAACGGCCCAAACACCGACGCCGTTGGCACCCAGTTCGCGCTGTGGAGGGCTGGTCACCTCAAAGTGGTACATTCACTCGGTCGTCAACTCTTCGTTCAATGAAGCTATGTATAGTCGAAAGTAACACCGCGAATCCCGGTAACGTTTACGAGGACGGAATAATAGTAGGTCACTTGGAGGTTGGATAACATGAAAGCCGATCACCTCTTGAGCAAGATTGTACATCATAGGGGGTTTTCCGCAGCTACTATCGACTCCGGCACGCAGGACTACGACGAGACCTGTAACTCAACGATGCGGCGCCGCTACAGCATCAAAAAACACGCCCCAGGCACCACAGAGTCGTCCAGGAAGTTCTTCGCGTTCAGTTCAGGCACACTGATGTATTTTAAGATACCTAGGTATCGAACTATAACCACGATTCATCTACTTATTGATATGATCGCCATGGGAGATTCTAGTCCAACGACGATTTGGCCCGGGTCTGTACCGCGTAGAAGCGTGCCATTCGGTCTTTAGCTATATCCGCGGTATTGTCACTGTGTCAGAAGCTTCCTCTACGAGAGCTAGTAGTCAAAGGTATCGGGAGTCGGCCTGTACGAGGCTGCCGTGTTGGCAGTTGGGCTTTGGCTGTAGACAAAGGAAGATTTATATATGTATACCGCATCCCCTGGAGGGGATTAGTTACAGCCCCTCGCGCAACAACGTTGTTCTTCCCTAGCCTCTTGGTTCCGCCTCGTGACAGACCCCTCATATAAGCAGACATGGTTTCTAAGAATCCGGTGCTTGGCCTAAAATTATACACATGGTTCTGAGTCCCGCATGAACAGTCGAAGAACATACAGTCGTAGGCTGCGACCTCAAGCTGCCTTTGCCCCATCCTCTGCCGACTGGCCGAGACCTTTACCGTCGCCTTCGGCGTCTTTACTGGCCCCTTCCTTCTTCCTCACATCATGCCAGCCCATTCCCCACAGGAATATCCCGCAAGCCGCCGCTAGGCCAGCTGCTAGGTAAAAGATGCGGTCGATGCTGTTTGCGTATGCAATGGTTACACCGGTCAGGTCTTCGGCCGAGACGAAGGAGCGGAATCCGGAGACTCCTGCGCGTATAATAGCTTCGGGTTCGACCCCTGGCGCATGAAGGGGAATCTGCGTTTTCAAGGTCTCGAGGAAGATGATGTTGTAGAGGGTCATGGTAATGGTAGGCCCGAAAGCCTGGCCGAAGATAACAAAAGCGATGCTGGAGGCGAGCTCCTCGCCATCCATGGCCGCTTGGATAGCTATTATAGGCTATATACCGTTCAGCGAGTCAGAAAGATGTGAATACCTAACGTCTGTATGTTGCGATACGAAGACTTGACGAACCAGTTGTAACCCGGCGCCGAAACCGATGCCGCCAAGGATTTGGAACCCTATCCATTGACCATCTGGGGTGTCGGGTTGGAGGAGGGAGTAGAGACCGGTTCCGGCGGAGAGGAACACGGTGGATATGACAGCTACGGGAATCACGTATCCGATCTTGCTCACTGGAGTTAGGCGTCAGTACCTATCTGCGCTGCGCTCTGAACTGTTCGTATGGGAAATGGCCTTCCGACTTACCTGCCGCTCCTGCCATAGCAGCCGTTATGAGCTGCGAAACTATCATGGGAAGTAGGTACACTGCGCTCAGCATTGCGCTGGCTCCTTTGACAGCCTGAAAATAAATCGGGAGATAGTAGATGGCTCCAAAGACCGCGGACATCAGGAAAGCTATATAGATCCCAGAGGCCAATACGTTCTTTTGGCTGATCATGGCGAGAGGCAGCATTGCATCGTCTCTTCGGGATAGATTCCAGAAGAACCAGACGACTGCGGTCGCCGCGGCGCCACAGAAGAGACCTATTACCTGAGAAGAACTCCAGGGATAGGCCTGGCCGCCGAACTGAAGAGCGAGGAGAAGTTGCAATACAGCAGGCGCGAAAAGAAAAAAGCCTACAAGATCTAGATGTTGATGCAGTTTCAGGAGCAGCGTGCGGGCTTTAGGTTTGATACTCTCCTCGGGGGTGTGCAGAAAGGCTATAGCAAGTATGGCCGCTGCGCCAACCGGGACGTTTACATAAAAGCCTAGGTTCGTCAGTGAATTATCGAGCAAGAGATAGGGACGGTGGAAACGTACACCAGCGCCAGGTACTGTAAGATGTGAAGGCGCCCCCTATCAAGGGCCCTAAAACAAGTCCAAGTAGGTTAACTGTCGGTTGCGAGTTAGTCCGTTTCACGGCAAAGGTGTTCCTGATGAATGTGAAACTCACAACCCATGGTCAGTCCTATTAGCACTAGCCAACGATGTTAGCGATAATAAGTCCATAAAGATTTTGAGAGCCGTCGCTTACTTGGGCGCTTCTGAAGGGGCGCGCAATTTGAAATAATGGCGATGGCACCGGTGGCGATGCCTGCATTCCCAAAGCCGGCAATAAAGCGACCGACAATGAACATGGGCGAAGAGATAGCAGCACCGCAAATAATGGAGCCGATTTCGAACACGGCAAAGAAGACGAGAAAGGCCCGCTGAGCCGGGTCAGAATCCGATTGCAAACAGAAGCAGCGCATATACAATACGAACCTTGGTATTGAAATACTTGTAAATCCTTCCTGTCAATGGCTGTGGTGCAGCACTTGAGGGTACGGCAACGTTAGACGCTCAGAGCTCTGGATGATAGGAGTTGAGGGTGTGCAAGGCGTACGTACCTCCCGAATTGATAGGCACTGGCGTACCAACCGACGTCGGCGAGGGAATGAAACTCGTTGGTGATCCTCGGTATGGCCTGGATCAGATGGTATGATTAGCCCTACACCCGACATCGTCAGGGAGACCAGACTTGCCGTGCTGACGATCATATTATCGAGGATGCCGAGGAAGCTGGCGAACGCCATGGCGGATACGATGAGGAAGAGCTTGGCGCCGGTCACATATTCGGGGTTGGGCCTGGGCTTGAAGAAGACCGGCTCCATCTTCGCGTCGGCGTCTGGACGCTTGCCAACCGCAGAGGTATCTTCTGGTGGCATGGCCGGTCCAGACGAAGTCTTTTCGTCCGAGACCTCCGCAGTAGCCATCGTGGGGTATTGGAGAACAAGCGCGGATCTGAAGTCTGAACGTTAAGGGATAATGTCTTGCAGAAGCGTGGGCTCGGTCTGGAAAGGTAAGTCTGAAGACCAAGAACTTGGCCAGCTCAGCCAGTTGGTTTTCATGTATTCTGATAGAAATGACTTATCTGCCAGGGAGGCCAAGGCCTGTCTGCCTGCCTGCCAGCCAACCATATAACACACCATGTTCAAGCATCAGATACATCATCTCCGGCCGCGCAAGCATGTGCCTTCTGTCTGTCCAACCAAGCCAGTAGGCTGGAAGCCGGTATGTAGCTCTCGTGCCTCTTCAAGGCAAGGCTGTACTTTTTTACCCAATGCGGCGCAGTTCGGGCCTTCCTATAATGCAACTGTACAAGCTTGCAACGGTAGGTTGGCCACCGGTGTGGTGTGAAGTAAGGGGTTTGTTTGGAGCAGCGTTTGTTTAGAGCAGCCCAAATAACGTGTCCCTGCTGTGCGACCAACACTTGAGCAACATTCCGACCTGGGCTCAGACCTCACAATTTGTGCAGAAGCTTGACCAGTCCAGTACCGACAACAGCTCCCCCTCCTCTGAAGTTGAAGCTCATCCTGAAGCTCTATTTCTATGCCAACATTGTTCTGTTCCACGAACTACATTGCCTGCTCTCTCCGTTTTTCTACTACCCTCAAACTTCAGCATCGTAGCCCTCAGCAATCATGGCGTCACCTAACGACACTCCCAGAATCGTTGAGCTGGCTACTCAGATCAGCGCTTCTGTCAACGAAATGCAGAAACGTCTGTCGGACCAGGGAGTGCCATCTCCAACCTTTGGTGAAGATAGTCCCCAGTCCTTTCCCGCCGACGTGTACAATCTCCGTACTCAAATTCTTGACGCGACTGCCGAGCTCAATGAAGTGCTCACAGAGCCTCTGATGTTGATCTTCAAGTTTGCTGCAGTAAGACGTCCTTCTTTAACTGAAGCCGTTAGGTACTAAATTTCTGCCAGATCTCCAACCTCGTCAGTATCGATACGGTCTGCCGGCTCGGCATCCTGGATATGGTGCCTGCCGGTGGGAAGCTCTCCTTCGCGGAGGTCGCTGAAAAAACGGGCCTGTCCCACGCCGAGGTCAGGCGTGTGCTTAGACACGTGATGGCCATGCGTATCCTCCAAGAGCCGGAGCCGGAAATGGTGGCCCATACCAAGGTCTCCAAGTTCATGAGCCTCCCGCACATCCAGGCTTGGGTCCAATTCGAAGGCAAGGATACATGGCCAGCCTGCGCTAGGGTGAGTTAATAGGCAGGACATGAGCTGATACAGTATCCTTATGTTTATCACAGGTAGCGGACGCGTTGGAGAAATGGCCAGCATCCGACGATTTCAAGGAAACCGTGAGTACACATAGTATTTCTGCAGCCGGGTCTTAGGCTAATTCTGCTATCTGCAGGGCTTTGCTCTTGCCAACGACGGTAAGTCGGTCTTTGAGGTTCTTCATGCCGACCCTGAGCGAGCAATGCGCTTCGGAAATGGCATGAAATCCCTAGACCATGTCCCAGGTTGCGGCGACATGTTGGTATCGAAGGCTTACGACTGGTCATCTCTCGGAAACACGTACATCGTGAATGTCGGCGGGGCCAAGGGTATAGTCGCCATGGACCTCGCCAAGCACTTCGAGAAGACGAAATTCCTGGTCCAAGACGGGCCGATGATGATCAAGGGCGCAGAGGTTCCGGAGGAGCTCAAGGGACGCGTCGACTTTATGGAACACGAGCTCTTCGCGCCACAAACGGTGCAGGCCGATGTCTATTTCTTCCGCATGGCGTTCAGAAACTGGAACGATAAGAACGCCGTCAATATCTTGAAAGCGCAGGTTCCTGCTTTGCGACCCGGGGCGAAGCTCCTTATACAGGATAAGTGCATGACTCCGCCAAACACTGTTCCGATTAGTGAAGAGCGGATCCAGAGGTATGTCATGTTATTCTCCAAATATGTTATACTATTCTCTCAAGGTGTCGACTTGAGTACCGCTTAAAAGACCATAGTCGCTGATTTGACGGGACTTGTGATAGGGCAATTGACATGAGTCTGAAAACCTTTTTCAACACCCGCGATCGATATCTGGACGACTGGAAAGCTCTGCTAGCAGCCGCAGATGAAAGATTCGTCCTTCATAGGGTGGTTCAGATCGAGGGATCTCTACTGTCGATGCTGGAGGTCCACTGGGATGTGTCTTCCGCCAAGGCCTAAAGGAGTTGCCGTCAAACTTAGACATGACATCAAACTGAAGTGCCTCAGTCAATTCAACCAGGGATTATCATGCAGATGCCAGAAGAGGCGTCATCTTGGGTGTTGTGCCACAGACTGCGAGTTGCTTAGGATGGGGCGTCCCGGGGTTGTTACTACAGTGCATACGCTCTTGCCAGAATACACTCCTTTGATCAAATTTGTTTTGTCATTGTTGAATTATGCCCTATGTAAGGTAAGGTGCTCCATTAGTGCATGTAGGCAAAACTAGAGTGGCCAATTGCAGACCCGTAGAGCAGACCCGTAGATTTGCAGTAATTATACATATATGTATATTCTTAGCCATTATTACCCACTAAATGTTCTCCGCTAACTCACTGTTACTACCACCTTTGATTATCATCAAGTAGGTAGGTATGTACAATACCTATTTAACTGCACCACCTACCTAGCTATACCACCTATCCCTTACCATGCCCTTGACCTCGTAAATATCAAGTATTGTGGCTTGCCATGGTCAAATCTACGATGACCATCACCGCCACCACCACGTGGAACAATGGAAGTGCATTATGGGTAACTCTCACAATGTTCACGTCTTATCTATGCAGCTACCTCCTAGAACCGTAGAAGCCTCCTTCGCTAGTTGCTTAGATGGAAATCATATTAACTTGTTGGTACGATTGGGGGTTACGGCTCGCCGCACATCCAATTCCCTTAACATCTGTTGCCTACCTTGTCCTGCCAATAGGCATGTTCCTTTGCTTCAGGCGCCCTGTCGGGCCATTGATGACACGAAGCGGAACCAAGAAGCTAGGGAAGAACGACGTTGTTGCGCAAAGAGCTCTAACTAACTAACCCCTTCCAGGGAACGCGGTATACATACATGAACCTTCCTTTGTCTATAGCTAAGGGCTAGCTGCCAACAGGGCGGCCTCGTACAGGCCGACTCCCGATACCTCTGACTACTAGCTCTCATTGAGGAAGCTTCTGACAGTCCGTCTCATTAGATATAAGGCATCACATTGGTTTTGGTCCAAGTACTCGTGAATGTTGGAATTTTAGGTGGCTGGAAGCCTGCGCCACTGTATTTCAGGGGATATATATACTATATAGATCTCTACCTACTCTTAGTGTCTTAACCTTCTAATACAACAAGTATGACACTCATAAACTGCATCTATCTCAACAGATTAACCATCTTGGGAGCCCCCAAATCGAGCTTTGCAGTGTAGATGAGTCTTTCGTCATCAACAAGATTTGTGCCAAAGCTCGTACGAGAGATAACCAAAGATGTCTGCCTTAAGTTTACTTCAGGTTACGCTCAATCTACAAGGCTTTCTTTGCCTTGAATTTACGAAGGGTATATCCGAAGTGTCAGGGGGTGGGCCCGTCGTTGAAGATTTGGGTAACAGAGTGGGTGAGAGTAGCCGGTAGCTCGCCATTGGCTCGCTTGTATGTAGTAAAAGGCCTTGATTAACGCCTGTCCATTTCCTGAAACGCTTTGGGGACTTCGTCCACTTATATATTCTCCCTAGGTATCATACAGGCTGCAACTAACCAGCTGTCATCTACCCCCTTGCTCTGAACCCCTGATACGATATCCCTGGATTGATTACCGATGATACCAATGTATATCCATATACAGGCCAATAATTTGATTAGCTACCTGATTCGACTGCAACTGGATTCTATATATCCCATGGCTCTGTGATGATAGGTATGGGTTGCTGAGTCATCATTGAACCCCTATCCTTACTAAAGGTCCATTTCAAAATATCAACCTTCGCTCAAGCTTTGTGGGCCTAGGTATTCCTTCCATCCAAGCTCCTTTATGGAACACAATTTACCAAATTAATGACATGAATTGCTATTGTGTGAGTTTTCTCGCCGTCATTACATAGGTACGGCTGATCGTCCTTTGCGAAAAACTAAATCGGAATCCAAGTTATAATATACCTTTCGGTACTAACCTACCTTTCCGGCATCAATGTCCGGATCTATAATCTTGCCATTTAACTTATTAGATTCGACAAGACATCTCGTTCGAGTATGCTGACAATCTGACTTGTTAGTTACATAGGTAAGCACCAACTGCATGATATTTGCCATATCCCGCATCATTGTTGGTTGGATTTCACAAAGGACATAAAATTTGAGATCCAACAAAGAGGAAATACCACCATGTTGGTTGACTGATAATCACACCCTTAACTTTCGATTAGAGCATAAATCTAGAAGCTTGGCCCATCCGTGGCTTTTATTTCGAGTAAGCTATCCATATCATTATCTGGCTTACTTTCTAAGCCTACTCTGCTTCACTTCTCTTGCGCGCATCTGCACAATGTCTTCCCATACGTCTGATCATGCTTCCCATATGGAGCGTATAGCTCAAGCGCTTGGTAAGGTAACGGCAGAAAGTGATAACTTTATGAGTGGCGACCTAGAAGCACGCCATAGGCTAGTCTCTCGAGCAGGGGAGCTTGTTTCTGCAGCGGAGACACCTTTCGAGTCACTCTTGTGGAATATATGGGCACTGGTAAGAATTTTACGATGCGCAATGGATAGTATCGCGTGTACGTTAACTCTGAATCATCTTAGCCAACTCGAATTGTCGCCGCACGCATTGCTGTGGATTTGAAGATTTTCGAAACGGTCATGTGTGATGGAGGCCGACCCAAGAGTACGGAGGAGCTGGCGACACCTACCGGAGCTTCGCCAACTCTCGTGAAGCGTATTGCCAAAGCTTGCGTTTCGATGAACATGCTTGATGAACATGGACCTGGTCTTTACGTACCGAATGATTTGACTAAGCTCATGTCGAAGCCTGAATACGCTGCTGGTGTCATTTTCAAGTTCGTTGTCATCTATCGGTCTCCTATGTTGCCATTGTTATACTTGCCCAGGTGAATTGAATGTGGCTAATTCGCATAGCTTCGACATGAACCAGTCGTTATTCTCTCACATGCCTGCTTATTTGAGAAACACCAAGTTCCAGAATCCCGACGACCCCTTAAACGGGCCTTTTCAATATGCAAACCAGTCTGGATCGATGTTCACCTGGCTGGCCGACCACCCGGAGGTCTTCCATGCTTTTCACCTCTACCTGCGCACGCTTCGAACCTATCGGCCGAGTTGGATGGATATGTACCCTGTGCAGAAACATCTGGTGGAAGGCTTAAATGTTGACGGCGATGCGTCGGCTTTCGTCGACATTGGCGGTAGCACGGGTCAGATGTTGGAAGAATTCCGAGACAGAGTGCCAGAGTATAAGGGTAGGCTCGTTTTGCAGGACACCTCAGACGTGATATCTGCTGCAGCTGCGGGGCTGGGAAATGATACTCGCATCGAACTACAGGTTCATGACTTCTTTGCTCCGCAGCCTATTAAGGGTGCGCGAGCTTACTTCATGCATTTTATACTACATGACTGGCCGGACGACCGGTGTCGCGAAATCCTTGGTCACTTGAGAGACGCCATGGAACCCGGCTACTCGAAGATTCTAATCGGTGAATGCGTAAGTTCCCTTGTTTCTTGGTGTAGTTTCCTATTGCTTGATCTTTCGAAGCTTCAACGCAATGGACGAACTCTGTTCAAGTGGTATATTAGATAGGTATCATAAATACGCAGGTCTGAGGCGCTAACATTTTCCCCGTAGATTGTTGCCGACCAAAAAGCAGCTTGGCAACATGTAGCACTTGATCTATTCATGATGGCTCAAGTGTCGTCTCACGAGCGCACCGAGGGTGAGTGGCGTACGCTCCTCGAGAGCTGCGGCCTAAAGATTGCCGGCATCTACACGAAAGGCGAGGGCAACGAAGGCCTAATTGAAGTTGTGGTTTAAAGACAACTCTGCACGGGAGGTGAGAGCTAGTTACATGGTTACTATCGGTTACTATGTCAGATAACCCGGATTGTCCAAAGACACGGTAGAGACATGTAATAAATACCCATTCAGACAGATAAATACCCCTGTTTAGAATATTCTTAGTAACCATCCACTGTTCTATCCTAGAGATTTTCTGCTGAACGCGTCATGACAATCGTGTTGCAATGAATGCAATCGTCACTTATCAACTTGAAAACACTGCCTAGAAAATAGGGGAACCGGTCCCGAGATGAGGTCGTATCCCCGCGTCCATTTTTGTTGGTCTTTCATCTTATTCGGTATTACCAGTTACGTATTCTCAGAGTGCGTACATATTACTATCACTGTAAACATCCCAATGACCGCCAATCAATTTGATATACCATGTCAACAAGCCACAAACTTCATGATCAAAGCAGGCAGCACACAGTATCTGACACGTACAAACGTTGGCGAATGAAGTATTGGTCAACTGATACGTATGATTGATACGTACCTAGGTATGCAATCATGCCTAACTTAGGACATCAGCTTTGCCATATGCCATACCTCAGGCTTCGCAACGTACACCTCGTTGTCTCCATCTACCAAGGTACCCACAAGGAACGGATTGAATACAGATCCACATTCTAAGCGGGTGCAATACGATGGAGGGAACTACAGTTTCTAGAGCAATGAAGAACATATACTCCCCGCTTTTTATTGAACAGGCTCAGGATGAGGCTCAAGACGAGCCCCAGACCGCTAAGCAGCCACCCGATCATGCCGACCCGGGCGAAACCGTCGCGGAGTATCTGCTGGAGAGGAGCGCAGAGTTTCGCAGGGTCAGCGCCATTCGACAAAAGGTCTGCGGGAAGAAACTTGCTTATCTTCGACTGTACTAACATATATAGGGATGGGACAGCCCTGAGGGCGATGTTTACTTCCGACAACTGCGCAAAGCCGCCGACGAAGCGGATGAGAATTCGGCACCATTCTTCTATAAGCTGATGAGAAACCTCGGGAACGAGCTTCACCAATCTACGAATGCGTTTGCGATACGACGGCCCCATCCCTGGGAGCCGAGAGGTCGGGCGAGGATTCTGGATATGTGCATGGCTCCAGGTGGCTTCCTCGCGACGGCGTTGGATAAAAACCCCCGTGCCGAAGCCCTAGCATTCAGCTTACCTATTTCTGCCGGCGGACATACGGTTCTTGTCCCTAGTTCTAAGACTGTCGAGCAGAGGTTCTTGGACATTACGATGCTCGCGAGAGACATGGGTGTCGAAGATATTCCCGAAGACCATCCGGATGCCGGCAACTTCTTGCCGCGACAATTCGAGCCGGATGATCTGTTCGACTTGGTCCTATGCGACGGGCAAGTTCTTAGGATACACCCGAGGGCCCCGTATCGCGAGAACCGAGAGGCGAAGAGGCTCTCGTTTACGCAGTTGGCTCTCGGTCTCGAGCATCTCAGGCCTGGGGGAACGATGATCGTGCTCCTTCACAAGATCGAGGCGTGGGACAACGTGAATCTCATATGGAAGTTTCATCAATTTTCGTCCGTCAGAATTGTGAAACCCAAGAGGGGCCATGCGAAGCGTTCGTCGTTTTACATGGTCGCTACCAATATTCGGAGCCGTCACCCCCAAGCTATTCAAGAGATCAACAATTGGAAGAGGGTCTGGAAAGTTGCTACGTTCGGCTCAGATGATGAGTACGAACGAGTACTCTTAGAAGGGAACGTCGGCGTGAACGAGCTTCTTGAAGAATTTGGGCCGAAGCTCATAGATCACGGAACTGGAATCTGGAGAATCCAGGCAGATGCTTTGGAAAAGGCGCCGTTCATCCAGCGAAAGTGATGATATTAGGTACCTGTCTAAGAACGGTGTTTTGTTGACCTGGGGCTGATAATGCGGCTCGTTTCATGTCGGTAGTATGTCCAAAATTGTAGTCCGTATGCAAGGCTTTGATTACGAAATATTGATGATGTTGGATAGATGCCTTGTGGTTAATCGTTTGACTTGAAGTCGTCCACGTGCTTGACAAGAGGTTGGAAAAAAGGGGGAAAAATTCAACTCGCCCCCCTGAGCTAACGATAAACGACCACGTTCCTATTTAGGAAGCACTATGTGGGTCATCTAGATCCGTCAAAAACCATGAGGCTCCCAGCGGATACAGTGGAAGGGCCCATATCCTCTTTATTCACCAACCGTCGCCAACTTCAAGCGTGCTGCTCATCGTTTACAAACTCTCGTATGTCGCAAGATGGACCGATTTCTAATAATGAATGCTTACCTGTAAAGAAATGCGAATGAGAAACCCACGAGATATTGTAGAGGCTCATCAACTATCGCGTTAGTACTCAACTCAACGAGTATGTACTATTGATATCTTCCTAGGTAGGTAGGATCCGAAGTTAGAATAGGGGTGGTCTCTAGGTATTATTCAGGTCATCCCTCGAAGCTACAGCTTTCTAGTCCAAGAGTATCAAGCTTGGTATCGCTCTCCGCCTAGAATGTCAGCTTAGCTGTTGAGTGAAGATTCGGTTGGACATTCTGGGCATGTTTCGAGAAGTTAGCTAAACCATCTTAGTACATACATACCAAGTTACAACAAGACCACCGGGCCCTAGTACTACCTGTGACAGTACCTATGTGAAACAATCTAAGATATACATGATTCCTTATAATTAATAATCATTCGCACGCTATCAAGTCCTCGAGGTGTCATGAAATACCCGAGTTCCCTACCTCATCACCCGCACGCCGAAACCATCAAAATAGACAATACCTGGCTTTACAGGTGGGACACGCTGGCGCGCTGCATTCTGGACACCGAAAAGACCACTTGACACGTGTCACTCCGCAGAATACGCAATTTGCTGGACCGTTCTTCATGACCCATCCCAGGTCCGGGTGGTGGAAGCACTCGTTGAGCCGCGTATATGCGGGCTGCGCCGGCTTCGTGCGACGACGGTTTGCCGCTTGTCGACGATCCGCCTCTTCTCGCATCTGCGCCCAGCTGCGGCGCGCGGTCTGCTGCTTCTCTTCGATCAGTATGGCCCTTAGGCGCTCTTGCGCTGCTAGTTCCTGTTCGATTCTGATTTTCTTTGCTGCCTCTTCCGACCTCCTTTCGGCTTCCCTTACCTTTTCCCTACGGATTCTCTCTCTCGCCGCTTCCTCTTGTCGTTCGCGGGCTCTCTGCGCAGCTTCTCGAGAACGCTCCTCAGCTTGCCTTTCCTTCTCCCGTCTTATTCGCTCATTCTCCGCCTTTTCTTCGGCGGCTCGTCTCTCCTGTTCCATCCTACGCATTCTCTCGGCTTCCGCTGCTTTCCTTTCTTGTTCGGCTCTTTTCCTGGCGGCGCGCTGCTCCTCCTCGGCTTGCCTCCTCTCTTCATCTTTTCGCTGGTAGTTTTCCCATTGCTTATATCTCGTCCACTGGTCGCACAAGTCGAAGTAGCGGGCGTCGTACGCCGCGCGTTTAGCTGCGTCGATTAAACATTCGTAAGCTTCCCGAACCTATGTCGGAAGACATTCCAATTAGACAAATCTACGACTGCCTCTGAGGTGATCGCTCGCCGAGATTCTAAATACGAACCTTACGAAATTCGTACGCGTCGACAGACTTGCCTGGCGCTTTTTTATCTGGATGATACTTCCTCGCCAACCTATGAAATGCCCTTTTGATATCTCGAGCATTTGCCTGCTGCGATAATTCAAGGTCTGCGTAGTAATCCGAGACCCTAGGTTTCGTGAACTGGTCCATTTTTCGTGTAATGTTCGTCCCGCTTAGAATAGTCGAAAGGCGAGCTTGATCAAAAATATCGATACATAATTCGTAGCGTTGCAAATCAGCAGCACAAACGGTGGAACGGGCAAATGGGAACCTACCAAATGCTTCGAAGCGTGTACTACATCTATTGGCTTCTTCTCACAAGCCACAAGCAACTACCCGATACAAAATCGTGGTCGAGTTCAGGACACATGGTTACCCAATGACACATTTTTTAAATTCTAATCAATCATTCCACAGATCTCATCTAAACATTTACAGTTCTTTCAAACCATGTAGGATTTATCGTCCCCATGGCCCGTTCTAAGCAAACCGCTTGGAGATCAAGGCCAATCAAGTTCGTATTATCATCCCGTTTACTGCGCGTGATATCAAACACGTTAAGTCTTTGATGTTACTTTGCAGATTATGACATATCATTTCCCGCGCTGCCGAAAATAACCAACGTAACACCGTTTCATATCTAGGTACTTCGATACTTCTCTACTATCTTGCAGCAAGATGCTACTTATAATGTGCATGATAGTTTAACTCGGCAATTGAAGATGTCTAGGAGACGGCCTTGGTTCAGTTACCTACTCAAGTATCAAAGTATAGTTGGAGAGTGTTCGATAACATGGCAATGAATACGGTTTTCCATTGTAATTCGACTCCTATTCACGTGTTCTAAACATTGAATTGCTTGTTAGGAAGCGGAGCAAGGAGAAATGAATAACTACGTTGTTGTGCGAGGAGCTTTAAACTCTCGTCCAGGGGCTATGATATACATATAGGAAGAGCCCCTTGTCTACTCTAAGGATAGCTACAAACAGGTCTCTCCAGGACCTTCTACGGTCTCCTATGGGCCGAGATCCTGTCCTACTAGATCACTAGCTAACTAAGAACTCCCTCTGCAGACCCTGATATTCATAAAGGGTTATCTAGAGCCGTACAATCGTCTGCTTCGGGAGGGCCGTGATCATCAGGACGAATATAGTCTCACTCCGCTTGGATCTTCTAACGTGAGCCTCATTCTTGAATCCTTTTTGCCGAATATGTTCCTGTGTCAGATCCCGGGGTATGATCGGTATCACCTGAGTGAACATACTTTGATAGTTTCAATGATCGCTTTCAACTGTTCGAATGTAATACGAAGTATCTTTAAGAGGGCTCCATAGTGGCAAGACTTTTGTAGTGACACCTAGGTATCTAATGTCTAGTTTGTGAGAGGACTGAGAGCTAAAGGCTCGACGGGTAGGATTTTGTCCCATTGAAAACCTCGGGAGACCTGCTGGAAACGGGTTCAAGAGCAGAATAAGCAAAGGAATTTTCCTGTATCCATACCGCGTTCTTTAGGCGATAATAGCTCAGAGCTCCTCGCGTAGCCAGGCCTTTGTTTTCTTGCTCGTTAGTTCCTATTGTGACGGGAACTTCGATTTCAAAAAGGCGTCTTGTAAAGTAGGTAGGCAAGCTTGAAAATGAGGAGGTATCATGACGAAATAAGCGAAGGGCTCAAGGGCACCTGCTAAGCGAACGTCAGCCTTGTGATCTCGAGGCGGCGGACCATGGTGGTTAGAACCTAGTGATTACCTAAGCTCAGGGGAAGGGGCTAAATATGATCCAAGGCTTACGAACGATGCCCAGGGGTAAAATCATCATACGTCATACCAGTAAAAGAGAAGTATTTCCTAATGCACTTTCCACGATTCCCTATTTGAAGCGTGACAGTCATTTTGGTTCGTTGCATTTTACATCTAGTATATCTCTTAATTGGAGCGACCGAAGATCACCAGGCACTTACGAGACTTCCATATTCCCAAATACCAGTCGATAAGGTCAAAGCATCGATATAGAAAGCACGTGTCAACGAGATATCTCATCATTGCTTCCAGCTTTAGCGCTGTCAATACTTGGTTCAATGGAACGAAGGAACGCGCTATGAGATTCGCCAACCCGAAAAGGGAGCTATTCTCGATGCTCTCACAGGAGAGACTGCATGTTCATTTGAACATAAAACAGTGGGTCGATCGAATGTAGTAAGATGCTTATATACTCTGTTCGGAAATACACTAAGCAATATCTGGTCATGATGTACATCAGAGCTAACTTCATACGCGCATGTGAATGGGAGCAACAGGGGATATCCCGCCCGGTACGTCGGTAATTGTCCTAAAGGACCAGGAGAGGAATGTCGCATTTGAGGGGCTGACATCCATCAACCTGTGGGGGCTGAAGACTATTTCTTAGACTGGCAGTTAAGGACGAAAACGACGAACGTGACTGGCCAATTCAACCTTGCCCCTGCACACGTTGTCTAGCCCTCTTCTGCAAAGCCTCATATACTATTACTACCTAGTCAATTACAACGGTGCTACTATGTACTTACCGTCAGTCTAATGGTTATGCTTTGTTAACAACTTATCTTAACTTAGAGCGAACCAAGCCCGCTTGCACTCGGATACATCTTGGCTTCGTCTACCGACGCCATCTAGAGGATTCGCGGCACTAGAGGCATGTCAAGAGGAGTACGTATGAGTACGTATTGCGGGGATTTGTTAGCTTTTCGAAGAGCTTCTGATTCAATCTGGTATCTGACGTGGGCTTTCGACTCTCAGAGTTTGGTCGACGGTAACCAGAATCCTAAGACGTTGGACAATGGACAACCCCATGATCATGATTGTCTAAACTTAGATGATGATGCGAGGCAAAACCACGTGCCGAAGCATATCGGGAAGCATTGCTGATCGCTATCAAGGGTTTATCAACGAGTGACAGGCTAGCCGTCAACTTACCAAAAGAGCTATGCCAAAGTTGGCGATCTTACGCAGCTTCTGATCGTCCTCGTTTAACTTACTAGCGGCTTCCATCGACTTAGGTAAAGTATGGTAACAACGTGCGGGCGGCTGAATAGAAAATCTCTACCGATTCGTGAGATAAGCGCATTTGGTTCAACTTGTAAAGCGACAGCAGGGTTTAGGGACGATAGCACCAGCATCGAATGGGCCCTGGGCGTCGAACCGAGGCGGCCTTCCTTCAGAGCTTATCTCGAAGCGCCGTTTTGAGAATTGACTGATGCAGCAGAGCGGGTACGGCGTAGATCGACCGAGTTGGGATCGTGACCTCCATGTGAGATATGTTCCATTTGAATTGATCTAGATAAAGATAGATTAGGCGGCCGACTGAAAAACGTGGGCCAAGTCGTGCGTGTATAAATTGCGCCGTTGCCATACGGAGGTTGGAAATTTGAGATCCATCGACTATCCTAACTTTATCCTCCTAACTTTATCCTCCCTATTCCTTCTTGACTGTGCTCGCAGCATCTTCCAAGTCTCTCGCAACATCTTCCGAGTCTCTTCAGGCAGCGAAAAAAAAAACCCGATACTACCTAGGCTGTTCAGTGCTTCTCAAATACGAAGCGAAGCTAAAGCGATGGAATCCCCGCGTCGGGTTCTCCTTACGGGAGCCAACGGTTATATCGCGCAGCATGTCCTTTCGCAGCTTCTCGAAGCTGGACACTCGGTACGCGCCGTCGTTCGCTCGCAAGCCAAGGTCGATATCCTCAAGAAGACTTTCGGTAAATATGTAGATACTCCGCAGCTAGACTTCGGCGTCGTGCCGGATATCACCACTGCCGGTGCCTTCGACGATGTGCTAGTATCTGCTCCGCCCTTCGATGCCGTCATGCATACCGCCTCCCCTTTCTTCCTGCGCCCGGTCAAAGGAGAGGTGTTCCTAGAGCCCGCGATCAAGGGCACGACGGAGGTCTTGAAGAGCATAGCCCGAGTAGCGCCGAGCGTGAAGCGCGTGGTCATCACGTCGTCGTTCGCGGCTATCGGCTCTATGCACGTCGACCCCATCTCGAACCCGCCTAAGACCTACACCAGCGAAGATTGGAACACCGTGACTCTCGAAGAGGCGATGGCTACCGAGAATCCCTTGGTCACGTACCCGGCCAGCAAAAAGTTCGCGGAGAAGGCGGCGTGGGATTTTGTGAAAGAGAACAAGGTCAACTTTGAGCTGGCGACGTTAAACCCGCCAGCGGTTTTTGGGCCCCTGGTCGACCCGTCTCAATACACGAGTACGGACCAGCTAGGCGAGACCTGTTCGTGGATCTACAACTCGTTCGTCAGCTCTAGCTTGAAAGCGAGCGATCCGGTACCCCCCACGTTCGTCTATGCGTGGATTGACGTGCGCGATCTTGCGCGCGCCCATCTACTTGCGATGACGGTGCCCGAGGCCGCGAACAAGCGATGGTTCCCCGTTGGCGGCGAACTGGGCATGCAGGGAATTAGCAACATCCTACGAGAGGCGTTGCCAGAGAAGCGGGACACGATACCTGTAGGCGAACCGGAGAAGACGACGAAGCCAGAGGGATTCTACGAATGCAGCGCCCCGGAAGTCGAGAAGGTGTTAGGCCTGACATATACGTCGGCGGAGAAATCCATCGGAGATCTAGCCCCGCAGTTGGTCGAGATCGAGAAGAGGGCGGTCGTAGCCGCGGCTACATCTTCGCCATCTTCACCATCTTCGCAAGCGAAAGAGCCTCAGGGCATCCTGCGGTGGCTCGCGGTGCTCAGGTGGAAGAAGTCCAAGGCCGAGTCGTCGGAAGCGAGAGAATCTCAAAGTATTCCCATTAGACACAAAGTCTCGAGTTTGATTAGGCGCATAGTTTCGAGGTTGACTTGAGTTAGAACGCAAAGCCATGTATGATTAGATAGATATACCGAGATACCTACCCACTAGCTAGTAATAATTTGAGGGACAAATGTAAACATTGAAATTGCTGTGGTAATGTTGAGTGTATTGGTTTTTGATGAGTCCATTCACGACATAATCCGAAAGCTAATGCCCTAAAGAGGGTTTGGTCGCTGATTAAGAGTTATGAGCAACTCAGTGTTATCCTGCCTGCGCCGCTTTCGATACTGCCTGCAAATTCATTTAGGTCTCGAGTGGAAAGCTGTTTTCTTAAGAAGCAAGCGGTGCAAATCTGAGCCAAATCGCGGGTTTTTCGCTATCTGCCATCTTGTAGAGGTAGAACTAACTTGTCTCCCAAAGAGCTCTAGGGAGCGGGCATCTTCGAGCGTCTGTATGCGCTGCTGAAAACGCGTCTGCCCCAGGTCACTAAGAGCATTTCCCGGATCGTTGCGGATAACATGACGGGCTTCAGTCTACCTAGATAGGTAATCAAGATAGCAGCAGCAGCAAGGGAGGCGATTAGCCGTAGATAATAGTTGCTTCACTCAGTTAAACAAGAGCTCAATTTGTGTTTATGAAATTTCTGAAATTCCATCCTGCGTTTACATGTTTCGGAAGCTCTAGCTGACATTTATTCAAAATAATAGGCTGGGCAGGCTGGGGTAGATTATCCCCTCTTTCTGATTGGCAGCAAATCAAGGGGTACTCCCCTGCAACTTGTTAAATTCCCCGACGCCCATATGTGCACAGGCGTTCGATATTATGGAGCTCTAGACTTCCAACAGTTTTGTATCTTGTATATTCGTAACAATGTGAACGTTGCGAGCATTCAAATTGTATTGTTGAAGTAAGCATTTGTACTCAATCTCAAACGCATTCAGGCCGAGACTTCTAATAATCATCTTAAGTACTTCTTCGAAGAGGACTTGTATGCGCGTGCCTTCGATGTTAGGGTTCAAACAGGAATCCTCCCCCTTGGCGTAGATAAAATCCATAATCACACACATCATTCTTCACTCACATTCCCCATCTTGAGACATATTAGCCATCTTATCTTCGTTAAACAACTTTCATATTATTATAAACACAATCTCATCTTCACATCATCTCCGTTGTCACGATGGCAGATGACCAGACAGATCCAGATTTTCGCTCCATCATAAATGCTGCCGCGGCGAAGTGGTACTCGCAGCGCAGCACTTCACCCGATCACACCCAAGCTAGCCGTGAGCATCCTATCAAGCCGTGTTTATCCCCGTTGCCGTAACTCACATTCCCTCGCAGATGATGCCCGAAACGTGAGCGCTACACGCGCGACTAATGGAGGAGAACGAGAAATCGATGACCCGAGCAATCGTGGTGGCCTAACTGCCTGGCAAGCCGCGCTGCAAGCTTTGCCGGGTGAGTCGAAGGACGTTCCTCTGCCGATTCACCCGCTCGCCCAAGCCCTGGCGGAACAGCCGTCCTTACGCCCAGTGGAGTGGAATCCCTACCGGCAGCAGGGAGGCTTCAAACCTAGGACGGCTATCGACTACAGTTCTTTGATGATTTATCTATCGGGCCAAGTCAACCCGAATCCGTGTAGAAATTGCCGGTTAAAAAATGGCCCCTACTTGCACTGTGTTGTAGCGCCTCCGTCCGTCCTCGGTCTGAGCAGCTTGAAACACGCGTGCGCCAATTGCACCTATCAAAATCAGCATAAGAAATGCACCAACCTCCCCATTGACGACGAGGAGTTGGTGGCGAGGAGCCGGATAGCCAGGTCGTCTCTGAAGCTCAAGAATCCGACTCCGATGAAACCGCCCGGGCGGAGGCCCAAGCCCGCGTCCGAGAATAACCTCCATCCCAGAGCAAGGTACAAGCCAGACTACGGTCATGCGATTCGTAAGCCGACCGCGCAGAGTATCTCGGCGGAAGCCTTCGGGGACAAGCTACGTCAGATCCGCTCGTGGTCGCCTCGGTCTCGGCGGCGGATGAAAGCCGAGGTGAAGCAGTGGGAGGCGGCGATTATGACTGTCGAAGCGGAGATCAGTCGCGGTTCGCCTAGGGATCATGCGCTCGACGAACGGGGCGTGAATGGAACCCCTAATCTACCTGCTAGTATGCAGTCTATTTCTCAAACTCCAATTCATCCTACTCTGACGCGTCCTACTGCGACGCCTCCGATATTTTCTGCCCCGCCCTCCGCCTTGTCGGCGCAGGGTTCCCTAGCTGAGGTAGAGGCCGATATGTACGATGAATATGGCCCGGAACAGATGGACGACGACGAAGACGGGAATGAAAATGCGGAGAGCGACTACGAAGGCACGTCGTGGGTCGGCTTCAATGACATGGGGCCTGTGATGAAGCCTCCGCTCTGATGAGGTAGCAGATATCTTGGTTGTTTTGGCTAGGTACTCTTGGTTTGGCTACTCTTGGTTTTCACGTTTTACAAATATCTAAGCATGAATTGATACCCACAACTACCTACTATTTTATATCTATAATGTCGAATGCTGATGATGATGATAGCCTAACTAAACCCGTTCTATTTTTTACCCGGCCACTTCGCCTCATATGCCCCCCTTAAGCAACTTCCACAATCGTATCCTAACTTCGTCGTGTCGTACTTAGCTGCAGGTCCGACAAACTCCATCTTCTCGTTGGGTACGCCAAGGTTAACCTCGATGGTGGTAAAGTATTCGGGATTGAACAACTGCGGCGTTACTTTTGGCATGTCACTCAAAAACTGTGAGATGAAGTTCAGCATGTGAATCCTGATTTTTAAATGGCACGTAGGTCGGTAGCTCACTGTTCTTATTTGTCTGTGTAGATCGTCGTAATGCCGCATTTTCATATTCGGCCACATCTCGCGCAACGACTGCTGCACTTCCGGGCTCTGCGTCCCGAGAGATATCAAAAAGCTGTTGAGTTGATTTAGCGACATCGACACGAGATAATTACCGCCCTTCTTCGCTCGCTTGTCCAGCGCGTTCATGACGCCTATGCAACCTACGATCCCGGTTTGGAAGTCGGAGTTGGGTAAGAACGGCATCACCGGCTCGTCTACGTTCCACATCCGAGCGAATAGCCACGCCACCCCCGTCACCGCGTCGCTGACCTGCTGCCAGCCGCTACGATGCTTCCACGGTCCCTTCCAGCCGTAGCAGTCCTCGCGTGCGTACACGATACCCTTACCTCGTCTCTTGGCCACCTCGTGCACGTATGTCGGGCCGAATCCGAGCTTTTCCAGGGCCCCGGGACGGTACCCATCGAGCACGACGTCGGCGTCTTCTATTAAGTGCAGTAGCGCCTTTCGCCCTTCCTCGCTTTTCAGGTCGATGTGCGCGTCCCGCTTGCCCATGTTACTTTCGAAGAGAACAATACCTAGATCTGGTAGTTTCATGTTCGATACCCTGATCACTGTGGCGCCGAACAAGGCCGCGAGCTTCGCGATCGTTGGGCCGGCAATTGCTCGTGTGAGATCGACGATTTTGATACCCTCCAGAGGACTATACGTCTTAGTGTCAATCTGGGGCCATGGTACCGGTGGTAGTCTCTCGTCGTGGAACTCCTCTAGTAAATATAGGGCGTCGTCGGCTACCGCCTTGCCTTGTTCTGTCTCGCGGTACTCTTCGGGCGTAAAACAAATTCCTCCTGCTTGTCTCCAGTATTCGTTGGCTTCAACATCCAGCCATTCCGCGTCGAACTGCCGCACCCCCTCGGAAAGCCCCTCGATAGCCTCCATCTCGTCGGCGACGTCCCTTTGCGTCGGCAGCCCGAGCATCCGCAGACTCCGATCGGAATTTAGTCCCCCGTGGAGATGAAACCAGCGCCCGTCGCGCGTCGGGTATAAGTTCGTCGCCAGCCGGCGCCAGAACGTAAATTGGTTTGTGGTATCGTAAATAGAGTACCGCTTTCCCAGCTCCGGGTCGGATATGGGTTTCCCGCCGACCCGCATCAACCAGAATGAGATGAGGAAGATAGAAGCGACATCGCTGTTAACCACGACATTCTGATCAGTCAAGCCGTACCGATCAGCACATATCGTGTTCCCGAAGGTGGCCAAGAGTGCCCACAGAGCGGTGCTCGACTCGCTACACTTTATGGGAGCAGGTAGAAAGGGAGTGGTGAGAGCCGAAGGATCGAAGGAGGTGCGTTGAGCTGCAGTCTTGACGGACTCGGGGATTTGTAGCCGCGAATCTGTGAGTAGGACTGAGTTAAGGATCCGTGAAGCTTCCGCTTGTATCGTGTAGTTGTCTTTTGCCATCGTTTGTCCCGTTTCCTCGGACCTTCTCAGCTATATGTACACCACTTGCTGTCGCGAGTACAGTGAGTTCAGTATGGCTTCGCACGTATGCGCGTACACTTGCAAGCGAGAGGCGGGCTTATGTTAGGTCCATGGATGAGAAGTCAGACACGTATATTCGCCTATATACCCTGCATGTGACCAGGGAAAGAATGCATCCAGATCCCCAACATCCTGCGGGGAAGAGGCACAACGAAACCGCCGAGTCGGATTTTATCCGCGGCTGTGGATGGCAGTAGGCAACTATGAGCCGGTAGATTCGCGACGGTTCAATACCTAGTGTTTACAAGTGAAACTACGTACGTACGTCAATTCCTTCACTAATAGTGAGGCTTTGTCTACCACGAGATGAACGCTCATTGACTACGCCTTCGCTTCTCAGCAGCTTGGGTCACAACACCAACCCTGTTACACTGTTATATTATTTATACGTGCTTTTTCAAATTATAAAGCCTAACATTCTAACATTCTCCTCCGTGAGATGAGATTCGCTTAAGAAGTTTAGAATCATAAAATATGCAAGAGTCAGTGTCTTCGCAAAGCTTCCGCCAGAGCCAGAGTGATATTGAAAATCGAAGTGCTGTCGCAGGCCGCATTTCAATGTTCTTTAATGGATCCAAAGCTTGACTACTTTAGAAGTCTTGGGATCACCCGTTTCTGTCGTCCGAACAAAACAACGGCGGGGGAAGAGAGGGCTACGTATCCAGGGAACGCCAGAGATATTTGAATCTTGTCGACGTAATTTACTTTTCTTAGCATTGATATCCGGGCGATTTATAGGAGTTACTTAAATACCTACATTTTATAGTTTATCCCTAATCATGGTCATGTCCGCTGTGGTCAGATCGTAGTCACCGATGCTCGCCTGATCTACCGCATGTACAGCTGTTTCAGGGGGGTGTGACTTCCTACCCTCAACCCCTTTTCATCCATGGAAGTTCCAACCCTACACACTACCTGAAAGATAGGGGATTGAAGTTTCCTCGCTCAGACGTTTCTTTCATCGTGACCCGTTAGTTTCATGAGAAGTTAAAATCAAAATCTTAGGCATGCCCACTATCCCAGTAGACTCCGTAGCTCTGCTCAAATGGATATAAAGTCCTGGGCGATCGAGATCTTGGACTTCTTGGGAAATTTTCGTATTTTGCATCATAGACCTTTCCAATGGCGTCCTCAAGTCTGAGCTCGACGACGAGTTCCTCTTCGATTTCTAAGGATTCTCACGACTTGAGTCTCGAGCTTCAGCCTGCGCCGCTACGTCTTCCTTCACGCAAAGCAGATGCGAATTTTGATGGCTCCAAGTCCGTGGACAAGGAACATATGTCGGCCGCAGAGGAGGATTCTTCTACCGTCGCTATTCGCAAGGAAATCACTCCACCACCACCTGAGCCAACTGTCACCAATGCTACGTCGCAGCGCCGCCCTACTGCTCCAAAACTAGGGTCGCTTGTGTCGAAGTTCGAGATTCTCGATGCGGTAAATAACGTTGAGAGCAGTTATGCGTTTAAATCCAAACCGAGTGGGATACCACGAGGGCAGACGACTACAGGGAAAGGTGGAGTTGCGTCTGAGGCGTTACAAAAGATTGATTCCATAAATAAGCAAGGTGTTACCGAGAAATCCGCGGACGTATCTCCAAGACAAGTTATGTCACCGCCTCCTGCAGGAAACAAGTCGAAACTTCCGGTGAGCACGCTGTCCAAGCCAGTGGTAGGGAACCATAGCTCTGAAGCTGTTCCTCGACTCCACAAGAATATCGAGGGGATATCAGCCGCCGAAGAAAAAGGGAAATCGGTAGAAAAACAATATTCGTCAAGCCGGGACTCGGCAGATGATGACCCTCACGTTGCTCCATCTCGTGGAACCTCTTCTCGGACACGCGGACGCCCTGGATAGGATCCCAGGCTGGTCGCTGACCGCAGAAAGGTATTTGAACATAAAGGCAGTTAGTACACCTACACAAGATCCTTTGAGAATTGGGTTGAAGCTGAGCATGTAGCATATTCTCCTTTTCCGAAACCGGCGGAGTTGGCCGTGGAACAATCTGATACTCAGAGATCGATGCCTAATCTAGTCGGCTCTTCCACGCAACGTATTCCAATGTCGAATTCCTCCCAGCAAAACTCCCCGACGAAGTCAAAGTTACACACTACCTCATCAGCTAACCCCCTCAAGTACCCACAGCAAGAGGGTAGCAGCAGTAACCAGAGAGATGAACATCCAGTCAAGCAGTCGCCAGACGGGAAGGACAGGTTGCCATCTATCTCGAGAATCCCAGTGAGGAGAGAACCACCAAGTGTTGCGGATCTCCGTAAATCCTTCGAGAAAGGCTCCCAACCACCTAAAGGTGCGCCCCAGACACCTTCTAAATCAAAGCCACTTGCAGAGAAAACCCCGGATCGTGCAGCTCGAGAAAGCAAGGAAGTACCCAGATCATCCGGGTCTACTGGCCGAGGAAATACTCCTTCCGTCAGAACGATAGCGCGGGACAAGGCCACATCTGTTCAGGCACCTCCGAGTATCGCAGGAAGGACCCCCTACCCCGTCTTGAACAATAAGCCCTCGGAGCAATCTTTGCTTGTGCGGAATGCTATTGACACTATTAAACATGCTCCGAGAGTTTCGTTGCCGAGGAGCAGCCGGTTCCGTCAAAGGGACGCTCACAATCTTGATGGAGCCGCGTCTTTCGATCAAGATGATACCGTAGAGCCAGACGAAGCAAGTCTAACAGATGGGTCTCGTTTTCCAGACACCGGAGACAGCAAGGATTTTCCCTTTCCAGATATAGTCCACCCATTTCTTACCACTAGCTCGATGGGCGGCCTCCGTAGCGAAATGAGGAGTGACAGGCCGCTGATTCATGAGGAAGCAGAGCCGCAGAATATTGGTAGAATTACCCAGAAGCCGGCATCCAAGTCAGGAGGTGCACTAAGATGCACGGGAAAGGTATCAGATCTTCGCAGATTATTTGAGAAAACTTCAAGTCGATGCGCATCACCGAACCCTTTCAAGTCACTTTGGCAAAATAGATCTCGGAATAAGCCAAAGGTGGAAACGGAGGAGACTCTCATTACGAGATACGACGAAGCCGGATCGTCGTCCACATCGGCAACGCACGTTTCTCCGCCGAAGAGGATATCGCTCCCTGAGTTAACCACATCAATATCAATTAACGATTTTTCCTGTGATTTCGCGGTCCCGGAGGCGCTAGGTAACGCAAGCTCGATAAAACACAAAGCACGCTTCGACATCGAGTTAGATGAGAACATGTCAGCCGAACAGGAGTCACCTGTCAAAGGCCGCATCCAACAGTTCGAACATCTAGAACGCGGCTCTCCAACCTCTAGTCCAGCTTCAATCTACCGAGGCAAGCCGTACAACGCCGACGTGGGTTCTTCCCCCAGAGGAAAAGAGAACGAAGCCAAACATATGAAGAATCGGACTAGCTGGCGCCCGTTCAGGCAACGAAGCGTCGAACTATGGCGACGAATATCCAATTCCTTTGTTCGATCGTTCGAAGAGCAGGCCGGTCCAAGCAATCACACTCATCTCGACGGTACTTGGTCAGGCTCACTACCTCGCCGGCCGCGATATCGTCGCTCAGATATCTTTAGCTACCACTTATACCGTTCGTCCGAAGTCGCCCATTCTCCTACCACGTCGCATAGCAGATCGAGTGTCAATACCGACGATGACTTAGTTGCACGGGTCGAAAATCTGTCACCCCATCGAACATATAAGCGATCATCATCCCGCGACATATCGATCAGCAAGACGTTCCCATTCTTAGCTCGCATATCGGACAGCTTAGGGGGCTCGGATGAATTTGGCGACTTTGGATTCGACGGTTCCATATTATCCAAAGCGACACGATCTCGAACCAAGTTGCCAACCGGGAAAACCCCTCGGTCTTCGTCTTCGCCCAATCCCCGCGGCGACCCGACTACTCTGTCCAAAGTAGTATCGCAGCAAACGGTGGCGGAACGCAAGCGTCGTCGGCTAGAAGAAAAGCAGGTCCGCCAGGAACTGAGACACAAGAAGAGAGAAGAGAAAGCAAAGGCCAAAGGCAAAGAAAAGGCGACGGGAGAGAAACGTAGCGAGGACGACGGGGAGGAAACAGCGGCTACACTGGATAAGGGGAAGGGAAAGGAAGTCGAGGGAAAGAAAAGGGAAAGCAGTTGGACCAAGAAGACAGCTTCGGGATTCGTCGTGCGCCAAATCAACGACGTCAAGCTTCGACATCCGAAGCCGAGACGACCGGGCCAGGTCAAGAAACTTGTCAATATGTATAAGGAAAAGGCGAGCAGCGGAATCAAGCTGGGCAAGGGTAGTGGTGCAAGCTCCGGGTCTGGCGCCGGTACCGCTGGTCCGGCTCATCACTGAAGCATTGCCATGGATACGGTTCGGGAGGGGACGGACGTTAGGTTGACTACTAGACACGTTACGGCTACAAGGTCTATCGTAAAATTGGGCGATGAGTTAGACGGCTGCAGATGCCACGGACAATAGACGTGGCTACTTATCAAGTATTGGATACCCTGGTGGTCAAGTATTAGTCGATCAGTTATTTGGCCACAGGGAAACACGACTCGACACCGAGGGAATGCTATACCTAAGACGCATGAGTTAATCCGTAGTTAGCGATAGAAAGGAGTTATCGAGGTGTAATGCAAGAGTTCCGAAACGACTCCTCTCATTTATTTCTTGGCGTAGCTACTATACAGCTAGCTGTCTGACTGACTGCGTAAATTCCTAGTCGGTTGTCATCACTGTCGTAGATTACCATACGACTCATTCGTGGTCCATCTCAAGTACATACCGCCTGCGTACTTGCGTAACCTTCCTAAAGTAGCCCATTCGTCATCATTGTAACCAGGTGTCTTTGTTACTGGGTAAAGTCAACCTAAAGGGACTACTAACTTCATCCTAAGACCTAAATACCCAGCTATTCACTTCTCACTCCTATCTTATAAAGTAACCTACCCAACAAGTCCCATACCCCTCCCTATCTTCCTCGCGAGGGCTTTCTTCAAGAACCACTCGCGGGCCAGACTGCGCGTAGTCTTGGCAAATACGGCAGGACTTATCCTGCCGCGCTCGACCGCTCTCCCTAGCACAAAGATAGCGTCGCCTAGCGCGCGCTCCTCGGCGACGACATCATACAGCTGGTTCGCGGCGACGGTGGGGGCCACCAATAAATCGTCGATAGGAGGGGGCTCGCGGGTTTGCGCGCTGGATATGACGCGGTCCGCTTCCTGTAGGGAATTTTGAAGGATGGCTGTGTTGGAGGCTAGCATGGAAGTGAGAGGAGTCAGGGCGGCGGAGTCAGATTGGAGGTTTTGAAGCGCGGCTAGCATGGCGTTGCGTTGAGCGGCTAGACCTAAGAGAGAGGACTCGTTTTGGGCACGGGCGCTCTGGCGCATGCTGTAGAGGGTCGAGGCAAGCTGTCGCAGAAGAGCGTCTTTCTCGGGGTTGGGAGGGATGGGGGGCGGCGGGAGGTCGGTAGCCGAGGAAGAAGGGAGGGCGAGGGAGAAAGGTTCGTCCATTAGGTCGGGAGGCGGAGGCGGCTTGGGGTGGAGTTGCGCCGGGGGTTGCTGCGGTACGGGCTGTTGCCAGCTTGGTGGAGGGCCGCCGTATGACGACGATCCGGGAGGGGCGGCTGCGTTGTACGGGATGGGGGTGACAGGGGATATTATAGATACGCGCCGGGAATCTTGCGCTGGGAATCCGGCCGGAGGGTCGCCGTGCAGGTACGCGTGTTGCTGCTGCTGAGGCTGGGGTTGATATTGCACGTTCGGGGGTGGTTGCTGATAGGATGGAGTTGGATGAAGTGGTCCTTGCTGGGGTGGTAATGGAGGAGGAGCGTCATATCTGGAAAGTCGATTCGACTGCGGTGCTGGGCTAGTCACCGCTGGAGCGCCGTACTGGCTGGATCGTCGCCGAACTTCGTCTGGCAGAGGTGGTCGCGGAGGCCCGTCCGCGACGGTGGATGGCCCAGATATCACCTGAGGTAAGTCACTGCCTTTAGGCGGAGGCGGAGGAGGTCTTGGATCGTTCGTGTGTGGGGAGGGAATTTGGTGGGGGGTTTGTCTCGACATGTCCGGAGGCAAAGGCGGAACTGGTGGGGGAGTCGGAGTCGGAGTAGATTGCTGTTGCGGCGCAATGCGAGCTTGCTGTCGGGAGACCACCGGAGGCTCCTTTGCGAATATGTCTCTGAGGATAGCAAGGAAATCCAGTAAAGAGGATTTCTACATATTCTGTCAGTGCTCTCGCCATGAATGTAGTATAGATTGGTCAACGTGGATGGTGTACTCACATCCCAGAACTCTGCCCAACCCACAAGGTATGGGTGATATATACGCCCCTGAGGATCAACATGCTGACCGGGACGCACCATCATGTTCTCGGCAGGGGTGACATATCCCAGCGGCGCCTCTCGTGGGTAGGCGTGCGGTATCCATAACGAGATGGGAAATCGGTAGGTGGTCCCACGGAATATGACGGGGATGGTACCGGAGAGGTGTAGGAGGAGGGCAGACACGCCATTATCGAAAGCTGGTTCTTGTTAGAACGTACCAGATAATTGGTATCTGTAGATATTATATGGACGAATGCATACTGTGAACGTCTGTCCTCGGCGACAATGAAGGGTACTGAGATAATGCCTGAGCTACATCGTTGTATGTTCTGTTCACATCTTGGTATTCCTATTAGATCGAAGCTGTTAGACACGTCTAATTAATTCCGATAAAGCATTGCCATTAACTTACACTTGTCAGGACGCTATACAACCAATTTAGCACATGCTGCTGGACGACCATGTTGAGGTTCGTGTACAGCGGGTTACCGTTGAGGTCGCAACGTCATGATAATAAGTTGGTGTTGAGATTGGATAATTGGAGTAACAAGGTACGTATGTTAGGTAACGAAACGAGAAGCCTTGTGCTTCAGCGTTTGATGCCCGCCAAGGCTGATAAGTTTCTGGCCAATCATGGTCAATCCCCTTCCCTTAGTTTCATCTAGGTTCATTTAGCTTGGCACAGTTATGTACCTAAGTACTTGTCACGAAAATGGAAAGCCGATAAAATCCTGGGTTTTGCCGCAGACGTCATTAGGTAATGGTTTGACAGACTTCTATGTCAGTTCTCCATGCTAAAGACTATTAACCCCCATTCTTTTACAATCCCACTCCCTGTTACTCTTGTGCATCTTCAAAGCACGCAACTCATGCACTCTCAAGGATTTCCTGGAAAATAATCCTTGCGGCATCGTGAATCAGCCGATCTGATTATTTGCACATGTATATTGTGCGACAATACCCGATCAATGGCACATCGCCGGCATCGGTTTCTTTGTACGAGCAAAGTTCTTCAACCGACACACCACCATTATGGCATTGTGTTGTAGTATTGCAATGAAAAACGCTGCCGCTAGCCCTAGTGGCGGATACTAGTCTATCCTCTCTAGATCTAGATTTGTCCAATCACTCGGGCTCGACGAAAGGTTAATGGCGCCATGTTGCCCGCAGGTAAAGTACAGCATGTGGACATGTGCACATGTGCCTTTTCTCCTGTTCCTTTTCTACCCTTTCGGCCGTCAGAGCCTTCATTGAAGATGTCCCCATTTAAACAAGAAGGTGTCTTTCGCAATTTATAATCCGTCATATTTTCTTAGAATACCCGCCGTATTTAAATCCCTCTTCTATCAAACTTGGCTAGAGAGTGGATGGTTCATTAGTAATGAATTTTGGCTCCTATTACTACGGCAATTCCGAAACTGAGGAAGAAAGCTTATAAGTTTGTTCCTGAGTCTTAAACTCTCCGCTTATATCTTTACTCTGGTTTCCTCTCCTACTTCCAAGTCTTAACTACTACTTATTACTTACCTAAATTCCAATTATCCCTAAAGTCTCTTTCGTCACCCTCACCATCACCCTCACCATCACCAACCCTTGACTCAAATCGCATGCCCACAACCCACCGGTAGTCTCGCACGGCTGAGGAGTATTACGGGATAATATCTGTATACTCCTTGCGTCAGGAATTAGACTTTATTATTATTTAGTTTATTTCAAGTTAAATCCGCCATTTGGTCTCACGTCAAATCACAGCACGACAAGGTACAGCTTCACGCAGCGCTATTAACCTAAGTGGACCATTCCCGCTGTCTATCTTGTGTAACTTCGAGATACAACATCGTCGTGATGAGACCCCCTATTCCGATCTTATCCGATTACGGAATCTCCCCAAAGCATGGCTTCTTGCCCGACGTCTTGCCTTTGACGAGGCTCCCTGACCCCTATTACAATAAATGGGAGTCGATCGGCGCCAACTTTCAGAGCTTGATCCTCAGCAAACGTCTTCGAGGAGTCATCGACCGTCTCCCCGTCCTCTCCACCGTCGGTCTGGAACATGACGCAGAATGGAGGAGAGCCTACATGCTCCTCACCTTTTTCGCTCATGGCTACATCTGGGGAGGTGAAACTCCTTGTGATCGAGTGCCGCCGAGCATCTCTGTTCCGCTACTAGATATCTGCGAACGCCTTGAAGTTCCGCCCGTGTCAACTTACGCCGCCTCTGTGCTGTGGAACTTCAAGCCTCTCTTTGTTGACGAGGACATCGACGATCTTGACAATATCGCCACCTTGCTCACCTTTACCGGGTCGCTCGACGAGTCTTGGTTCTATCTCGTCTCTGTTGCCATCGAGGCTCGTGGTGGCCCCATTATTCCCTTGATGCTGGCAGCGGTCTCCGCCGCTCGGCAGGGCGATAGCGCAACCGTGACACGTTGTCTACGCGCCTTCGCCGAGCGCCTCGATGATCTTGGCGAACTATTGCGCCGCATGCACGAGAGCTGCGACCCTAGCTTCTTCTATCGCCGCATCCGCACTTTTCTTGCTGGCAGCAAGAACATGGCCGAGGCAGGTTTGCCGCATGGTGTCATGTATGACGACGGTTCGGGAAAATCCGAATACGTCCAATACAGCGGACCTAGCAATGCCCAGAGCAGCCTCATCCAGTTCTTCGACATAATTCTTGGCATCGAGCATCGGCCAACGGGTGAGAAGCCCGATCCGTCGCCAGAATCAGAACACGAAGGGAGAAGCTTTGTACCGAAGCACAATTTCATCCGAGACATGCGTCGCTACATGCCGGGATCGCATGCTCGCTTCTTGAATGATGTCGGCGCTGTCGCCAACATCCGAGAGTTCGTCGAGAGCCGTGCCGCGTCTGATCGCTCTCTGAGTATTGCGTATGACGCGTGTCTTGCCATGCTCCGCTCATTCCGCGATATCCACATTGCTATTGTCACACGCTACATCATTCTGCCCTCTAGGGAGAACAGGGCTCGCAGTCGCTCTCGCAGTCCGGAAGTCGTCAGAAGCCGACAGAATATGCCGACCAACCTCGCAACCGCATCTCGGAATGAGAAGCATAAGAAGGTGAAGGGCACCGGCGGGACAGCCCTGATTCCGTTCCTGAAGCAAGCTCGCGACGAGACTGGTGAACCGTCGGTCGAGGGATGGGCCAAGAAGTTCATGAGTCGACAGACCAAAGTCTCCGGCCAGAATGATTTCTTCCTTGGGAAGGAAGAGAAGGCCGAGGTCTTGGATGAACCGCTCGTGGAGCATGGTCTTGCGGGAACTTGGACTATGAACGAAGAGTACGGCGGTATTTGCAACTACTAAGTTGAAATATCATCGAAACATTCGTCTCTTAGAATATCGTTGGCTTGAATTATTCCTACGTTAAGAATTTAGATTACACATTGACGTTGTACTGCTATTCTGTGTTTTTATGATAGCCACGATGCTGTGTTTCTTACCTAGGTACCTAACTCATGTGTCTAGCCATCATCTGGATTAGCTATCTGCCGTTACTAAGAAGCTCTCGTACATCACAACGTCGCGTAGCAACCTAGTATCACAAGTTATAAATAAACTGAACTAGGTAGACAACATCAATCCGAATTTGAGCGCAGTTGATCCTTTGTCTAACCCACACGCATGTCTTGAAACCCATTCAAGGACCGCTAGAAACCCTTTGGCAAGACTATTTATAGATATTGACTTGCTACAACAAAGCTATTCTACCAAAGTATGGGTTTCTTTCAGACAGCTATCCCAATAATTGAGCGGTGAACTCTCTCTTCGAATCGCGAGCATCTAGATTCTCTGATTGAACTAACATTGTATCTTCCCTTAAGCTTTTTACTCGTTTCTTCTCATTTTTCAATTGAAATGCCCGGAACAATCACGGCAATAGCGTATGCAAGGGCGGCTCTCGTATTAGTTGCGCTATCGCTACTCATAACGCGGGAGGCGTTGGCAATTTGGCGACCACCAGCTCTGTCGCCGGAGATGACGGCGGGTAATCCTACCAACATAGTCCTTAAACCTCAGGCACTCACAAGCCACGACATCCACTCAGCTATATGTACTGATATAGCTGCCAATGTCACATTGGAGCACGACATGACGTGCTATGCCCTCAAGGCGGACGAGAAACAGTCTAATTAGGTAATGGTCGCTCGGCCTAGGTTACCACACGGTGATACCCTTTTGCCTGTTCATAGAATATCACAATACGAATCATATGAATAGGTACCTATGCAAAGAGTGTAGTGGTATTTTTTGTGAGAATACTCTACAGATTTAAAACCACAGTTCAATCTCTGTCCCGACTGGAATAAAAAGCCAGCCAATCCAGGCCCTAATATAGGTGCCATACCTCGGCAATGACAAGAAGCGTCGAGGGGAATGATGTATCCCGCTCGCCATACCATCACCGCCTTATCCCAAAACACCCATGAAAACGCTAAATCGATACAGTACAAAAGAAAAAAATCATCCAGCCATTCGCGCAGGATGCGACGCTATAAGTAATATTCTACCACTTGACAACCTTCTGAGGAAAAAACTCGTCGATCAGCTCCGAATAATACGGCTTCAGCGTCTCGGCGTCGGGGATGCCGTCGCTCTTGCTGTACAGGTCGTACGGGTTGAAAGCGCGCACAGCCTTGAGCATCTCCTCGTCGTGCTCGTCCATCAGCTCGCGGTACGCGTTCTCCTTGTGCCACGGGTAGAACGAGTGGTAGCGGATCATGGCCAGGGCCTCGGGAGGCAGGGTCGACTGGTCCTTGACGACGTGGTATAGGTACTCGTCGTGGCCCCACGAGAGCATCACGTTGTCCATGCCGCATCCGGGGGAGTAGATGCCGAACTTGGTGCTGTAGATCGGGTCCTTGGAGTCGGGGTTGCTCTCGAAGGTGTCCGGGTAGATGATGCGCTCGTCGAAGGCGCAGCCCACGGGGAACGTGTCGCCGACGACGTCCCATTGGCCCTGGGAGCCGTAGAAGTACAGCAGCTTGCCGAGGTCGTGGATCAAGCCTGTGAGCTGCATCCAGCGGGGCTTGCCGTCGCGGCGGATGGCCTCCGCGGACTGGAGCAGGTGCTGGATTTGCGAGAGGCTGGTATCCGGGTCGGACTCGTCGATCAGCGTGTTGAGCTTCTCCATAGCCTCCCAGACGGTCATCTCTTCCCGCTTCCGGGTCTTGAAGTCGTTGCGCGCCTTGAGGTTGTACGCCACCGTCTGCTTCTCATGCTGCTCCCGGTAGAAGTTCTTTACCCGGTCGCATGCCTCTTCGAACTGTCTGAACTGTGTTTTATCCTTCTCTGTGTCGAACTGTGACTCAGAGTCGAACTTGGATTTTGCCTTCAGCACGTTGACTGCGTCGATGTGGTCGGAAGTCTCCTCAAGCTCAAGCCCGCTTCGGCTTGCGGTGTCATCGACGAGGACGCCTGGTGCCATTTTGATGTCTGTTAATTATAGGAAAAATAAAGGGGTAATTGTGCTGGAGGTTAGGTATAGTCTCGTAATAGTCTCGAATATCTTTGATGAAGAGTATAATGAAGAGTGTAGATTGTTGAGTATGATTAGCAAAAAAATCCATCTTGAAACGTCGTCATCTCAGCCTTGATATATACTCGAGGCATCGTGTAAGTCGTATACTAGGGCCAGAATCCCCGCGATAGGTTGATGTAAGTTCAGGTCGAACTAGGTGAAAATCGCCGAAACGAGCTGGATCTAGCCAACTAGTAAATGCGCCGGTCCCCCGCAACAAAACCAGGTACGCAGACCCTGCATACATGCGGAGTATAATCTGCAGAATCTGCAGTCTTCGGGGTCGGCTTCCAAATTTTGTGAAAAAGAGGCAATACCGTCCGGCTCTAGACGTAAAACATAACTCGTCCCATTGGATTGTTGTCCCTCGCCCGCACGTAGCATCCGGTATATTTCTGGGCGGGACAACGTCATCCTGAAATCATTTGGTATCGTAATTCGGAATATGCTAGGCTATCCTCCACACTGAATTGGTAAACACTCGCATTTGGACCCGGCCGAGCACTGTCAAGTTAGGTATTCCGGGGCGATATTTGTGGCCGCTCGCTGGCCTGCCCCGGATCCTGTCCTACCATCTGGACCCCTTGGACCCTTTAGACCCCTCCTTGTGGTCTGAAGCATCACCAATCAGATCTTACGTATATCTATCCATCTCCTTCTGGTATCCAACCCCATGCTTTCATTAGCTGCTGCTGTATTGCCGCAGTTGGTCGAGCATGACCCCCCTCGGTTGCTTTTAGTAAGTCGATGAGAGCCTCCTGGTCGGACCGTTCGCCGAATTGGTCGCCAACTATCTATACGGTTAGCTCGGAGTGTCCGACGTATTATCCTTCGCTTAGGACGCTTCTCACACATCGCGATGCCCATGCAAGCCGTGAACATGCCTGGCGGTGTCCACTTATTGCAGACGCCGATACCACAAAGCTCCCGCACGAGGTTCTCTATGCGGTGCTGTAGTCTTGTGAGGATTAGATATTCCAAGAAGTCTAGTGGCAACATAAACTCACAGTCATTCTCTTCACGGCCGCCCGGCGATTTGTACCCACTTTGGGGATCGATGGGTCAAACTGGGTCAGGAATAGCTGTGCAAGAATGTGATGTTGGACTCCGATGACTGAGTCTGATTAGACTTGGAACCGCGCTGGTGATGAAGAAGATGACGGTGCTTACCATGACAACTTGACACGTACCACACTTCCGGAAAAGCCGTAGAGGCTGCGCGCTCCCGGTAGAAAAACGGGTTGAAGGAGGGGGGTCGAGCGGCAGACCACTTTTGGCACGCCTCATCTAGCGCGTTCCATTCGCCTACGGTAAAGGCATTTTCGCCGAAGCAGAAGTTGAGAACGTCCGCGATGAGAACAATCGCGCGATTTGACCACGTGTAATCGTCGGCTGGCTCAAACGATCGGTCCACCACGAAATGATTTAAGGAAAGTTTGACGGGCTGCTGCGTTATCACCGCGATATAAATCTCTTGCCGTAGTCCTACCCAGAATGACGCGGCGCTTAGGCTGCCGGGCACCATGTAATGATCTCCGACGTTGACGAAGGCATGGATACCGAGCAGGTGGCTGTAGGTATCCTGACCTGTTGTTGGAACTGTGACGAGAATTAGTAAAAGGCCCTTAGGCCAACCTATCTTTCGGATTCTCTTTTCTCACCGTCCATCTCCTCAAGCATGCGCAGGATGATAGTTGCCGCGAATAAGTTCTCGTCCGACACCGTCGAAGCATGGTTTAACATGGGGATAAGATATCTCAGACACTCGTCATGATACCTGTTCGAGGCAAGGGGGTCGAAGTCCGTCGTGTGGCTTAAATGTCTCGCGGCTATGGCAAATATCGCGTTCAGAAGCGTATGAGACTCGGCAGCACGTTCTGGCACGACAAGTTCAAAATGCCGATGCGGATCGCATAAGTCCAGCTGTTCCTGTTAGATATCTTGTCTTTTGGAGTTCGTCATCACACATATCATTTCTTACTTACACAAATCGCCAGTTTTTGGATGTAGTGCCTGAAAAGTAGTGCTTCTGTCCGGTCCTTGAGTGGTAATGACGACGCCGTTTGTACGGTTGACGATATGATGTTCCTAAGAGGTGGTATCCGAACATCGTGCCCTATCGCCAACGACTGTGCATTGTATAATGCGGTAGCCGTAGATCTTGCTCCCGAAGTTTCTCTATAAGAATGATGTTCGGTTGGGGACGTGTTCTCATTTAAAAGCAAGGCATTGGTCCTCAGTTGCTTCCCCGTCTCTGTGTACTCCCTTAAACTGGTTATCGCCGGAAGCGTCGTCGTTGTCGTCGTTGTCGATGTCGTCGTCGAGGAGGCTGACGCCGGATCTTTTGCATCAGCGTTATCTATGCGAAACTCATATTGGGTTATATTGTCCTCTATGGGGCTTCCTGTGGTTAGACTTTGAGTCTCGTCGACATAGATCACTACTACATTTAGCCATCATCAACTTCTCCAGACCTATCATTCGGAGGTTGGATTTACATTGTCTCGGCGGCTTAGGCCACCTTTGCTCCCTACTAAAGGTGTCTGCAGTAATGTTAGCCTCGACTCAGAATGCTAAGATCTGCTGATGGCATCACGTACCTTTACTGGGTTTGAATTTGAAGCCTAATTTACACTCGCGACCCGCGCGAACACAGCGGCCGCATCTGGGAACCTCACGATCGCCTACTCGTCAAGTTCAATTTATTAACACGCTGTTGACGTCAAGAAATACAAGTTGTTCCAAGCAACTCACATTTCAAATGATGTTCACGGCATGTAACGCTATTTCCAAGAAATCGATGTCAGCGATAGATCTGCCCAAGTATTTCAGAAGAATTTCAGATTTACTTCGGGATCAGAATACAAATGTCAGGAGTATCCGGTTCGCTCAACTTGTAGCGACCACGCTTTTTGGAGCGAAGAAAAATAGGAAAAACAGAGGGGAACTATACCAAGGTGTGGCGAGCAACTCGGGATGCTCCGGTGAGGGCATTCGCAACGTCGTTGTCTCTTGTGAGTAGCTAAGCTCGTATTGCTTCGCTCGATATAACCGTATGGATCGAAAGAGCCCCGATCTTTATATTGTCATCTAATAAATGTGGTTAAAACCGCCGACTTGGGGAAACCTGGGGAGACGGAAACGAGAGGGATGGTCTAAAATAGCGTAAACAGGTTCACGGGACGCCAAATCCCAGGTCGGATGGCCATTTGAGCGCGTCGTCATTGGACGGTCTTTCGAACAATGAGCTTGGACTTGCCCCACGGGGTCGGCTTCGTCTCTCCGCAGCAGTAAGGGTGCGTAGTAGGGGTGCGTAGCAGAGCTGACCATTATGCCAAAGCAGTGTGGCCAATGGAAACCTCTTTAGCTTCACCTTGTTGCCGACCTTGGAGAGTCCAGTCCAAGGATGCCCAAGGATGTCCAGGATATTGGTCTCTTAGATGAGTATTCCTGGATTTAAGGCTTCTAAGTGGTTCTTCCCCGCAACCCTCTGGCATTTGGCGGCGTTATGAAAGGACAAATCCCAACGAAGCTAAACCGCTTACGGAGTATGGACAGCGGACGGCTAGCTTGCCTCGGTCTAACTAGCGGCCCAGTTCTCCGGGTTGATAGGCTAGAATACTAGAATATTCTTAACTTTTGAAGATAAAAGACCTGATAAGTCTTCCTCGGCGGTCAACAATGAAAGACAATTCGGTTCGCGCACGCTCCATGTCGTCCTCGGTGGAAGTAAGAGCATAACTCAAGTTGGCTCCTTTTTCGAATCTGCTATAGCGATAATCGACAGGTTTATAGATAGCCCGCAGATATGGCTGCGGAGACGGAGAAAAAAATGCACGACGATGCCATCTCAACGGGCTCGGCCCCGGCGGTGTCCCTGCAAGAGGCCCAGACCATGGCCGACGTAATCCGGAACGCGAAACTCGCGACCGAGAAGGAGCACAAGATGACCTTATTGCAAGGTCTCAAGTTGTATCCTAAGGCTATCGCGTGGAGTATCCTCATCTCGACATGCATCGTAATGGAGGGTTACGACGTCTCCTTGGTCAACAACTTCTACGCCTTTCCGCAATTCAACGAGAAGTACGGCGTCGCATCGACTGGCGCTGACGGCACGGTTACCTACCAAGTCCCGGCAGCGTGGCAGGCTGGGTTGAGTAACGGCGCGGTAGTGGTAAGTTAAACCGCAATGCGTCTATGTTTATGTCCAAGTTAAAATTGACTACCTTCTTCTTAAACCGGTCGCCCAAGCATACCATTGGTTACCGATTGACTGTGCCTGTGCTTACACAGAGCCTCCACCTGTTGCATGCATACCTATCATATGATTTAGTAATCAATTGACAATTATTGTCCTGACACCAAGTTTTATAGGGCGAGATCATCGGCCTGCTACTTAACGGCTGGGTCTCCGAGCGGTTCGGGTATCGATACACGGTAATTGGTTGTCTTGTGCTCGTCGCGGGTTTCACCGCCATCTTCTTCACGGCCCAGACCGTCGTACACCTACAGGTCGCCGAGATCTTGTGCGGTATCCCGTGGGGCGTCTTCCAGACCCTGACTATCACTTACGCCTCCGAGGTCTGCCCTGTAGCTCTGCGTGGCTACCTGACGACTTACATCAACTTCTGCTGGGGCGTGGGCCAGATGATCGGTATTGGTGTCATTATGGGCAACCTCTGGCGCACCGACGAATGGGCATATCGTATAGTAAGACCTTCGTATGTATTTTATTCCTTGGAGATAGCCGCTGACGAGACCCAAAAAGCCGTACGCGCTCCAGTGGATGTGGCCGCTGCCTCTTATTATCGGAATCTGCTTTGCCCCTGAATCGCCTTGGTGGCTTGTAAGAAGAGGGAAACTCGATGATGCCAAGCGATCGCTTCTTCGCCTAACCAGTCTAGATCGAGAGACTAACTTCGATGCGGACGAGACGATTGCGATGATGGTACATACCACAGCGTTAGAACAGAAGGTTACGCCTCCCAACAACGTCCTTAAGCCTTCGTCTCCGCTAACCATACTGCCTAGATCACCAAAGGAGCTAGCTATCTCGACTGCTTTAAGGGGATTGACAGGCGCCGCACAGAAGTATGCACATATGATTCGCTTTATTCATGCCTGTTTTCGTGATGCTGACTGGGACAGATCGTGTGTATGTGCTGGGCAATCCAAAACCTGAGCGGCAACTCATTTTCCAACTATTCGACCTACTTCTTAGAGCAGGCCGGCCTAGCCAGCGACAAGGCCTACGCGTTTGCCATGGGCCAGTACGCCATCAACTGCGCAGGTGTCTTTGGCGCCTGGACGCTTATCACCCTCGGAGTAGGACGAAGGACGCTGTATCTATACGGTCTTGCTTCTCTCTTCGTCATGCTTATGATCCTCGGCTTCCTCGGATTAGCCCCTGATAGGAACGCCGCATCCCTCGCGACAGGCAGCATCATGTTAGTGTGGGCTCTGTGCTATCAGCTGACCGTGGGCACTGTCTGCTACTCTCTAGTTGCGGAAATATCGACAAGACGTCTCCAGATTAAGACCGTAGTTCTCGGCCGTATTCTCTAGTAAGATTCCCTTGGCTTGAGCTGATGCTTGGCATGTTTAGCACTTGTAACTTACAGAACATAGCAATATCGTTGGCATCATTTGTGGCGTATTAACGCCGTACATGCTGAATCCTTTAGCTTGGGACTGGGGTAATTATGCCGGATTTTTCTGGGTAAGTGTCCCTGGAGTTATTTGCAAAGGTTATTGGTTTTCGTACTAATGATACGTCCTCGTAGGCGGGCTCTTGTTTCCTCTGCTTCGTGTATACTTTCTTCCGCGTGCCCGAGCCAGCAGGACGCACGTTTGCGGAGTTGGATCTCCTGTTCGAGCAGAAGATAAGTGCGAGGAAGTTCGCATCGACCAACGTCGACGTATTCGCCGAGCGCATCGGAGGCGATGTTATCAATAAGTACAAAGACCAACTTGACATTGCAAAAATAGATATCAAGGTATGAAACGCAATGAACGATTGATGATATACCGGGGTAATGGGTGCATGGCGCGAGGCTCGGAGGAAGATACCCCTTTACATAGTTTGGAAAGCCGTGTTCATAATTGGTAAGTAGCCTTGCGATCTCGAAGCGTTGTGTATATATTCTTAATGTCTATTTAATGAAAAAAACAACCCATCAATATTGAAATATATCTGAGAAGTGATGAGTGCGCGATGCAATAGAGAGATCATATATCTGAATTCAGTTTACACAGGGCATGAACAGGGTAAGGATTTGTCTGTTATTGGCAAAATGATATATTGCTATTGAATATCTATCAGGCTTGTTGGCAGATGCAGCAGAGGATGAAAAGGCATCGTTCTCCGAGGAAGTTCCAGGGTTAATTAGGAGGAGGCGGGCTCTAGAATTCTCGGCCGATCAAGCCTGCTAGTATCATGGATGGATATCTGCAAACCAAAGTTTCACTGTTTAACACAATCGCCTTCTCTCGGGTGGTAAATCGTCACGCACCTAGAAAGAGCCCATGCATTCCTCGGCAACATGCGGAGTTCCGGAGACACAGAGACTTAAGAAGACGGACGTAGCAACCACGGCTACCGGTCTGGTAATTTCTTGGCTTCGAGTTCCGCCGTAGTGTCTCGGACAGTTTGACCCTTCTTATACTCCTCCTCTAGGACTTTTTGCATCTCAAAGTCGAGCTGGCGTTCCTTCTTTATGCGCTGCTGCTCCATGTCGCGCACAACACCTTGATGCATGGCCTATATATACTTGATGAGGATCTACACGGTGAATGAGTCTCGAGAGTAGCCGTACCTCCTTTTCCATCTTCTGCTGAAAGTGCACCACGATGACCGTACCTACGGCGAAGAGAGAGGTGCCCGCCAGGGTGAGCTTCGAGGCGCGAGACATCTTCAGATAATTTATCCGAGTTGCGTAGATAATTTCTGAGTCGAATTAACTCGTGATAAGTATCCTGCCAACCCTACAAGTCCTTATGAGACCATTCCCATCTTTCCCCCTTGTCTGGATAAAATCGAAGCTTCAAATGTTTCCAAATGATGTTAGTGGGATGAGTTCGCTTTCACTATCACTATCGATAACGATCAATTGAGTTCAAAGGTGGAGCGTACTGGCGGCGTTGTTGTTTTTCCCTCGTCCGATGACCTCTAGCTGCAGGTGGAGCTTCAGGTTGCTTGTGCTACCTGTAGCCCGCTAACCCCTGCCTGGCCTGTGACCTCCGTCAGTGGTGATCGATTGATCCTGATAGCTGCTAAAACCAACCCTCTTACAACCTCCCCAACCTATCACAACTGCTCTTTGTTTGCGACATCATACGCCAGCCACGAACCTCACAGCTATCTTGCCGCCCCCCTTCGCCTCTGCCGATTTACTCATTTATACATAAGACGGATCTGTAGAATAACAGGATGGTATGGATCATCAACAATGTGTTGATATAAGTCAATGCAGCTAGCTAACTATACTTCTCTCAAATACAGTCGGCCCAGAATTCGGCAGGCATCCAGACCCTACTCGATGTACGCAATCACCCAGCTTACGACGATTTCAAATCAGTCCAACAAGGTCTACGTGGTAAACTTAGCTAACAGGCAGCTGTAGGCTGAGAGGGAAGCTTCCAAGATAGTGCAAAAAGCCCGGGAATGTTAGTCTCGCACGAACCATAATGACAGCTCGTCAGTTCATTGACTCACCTCTCACCTATCATCATATAGTCCGAACCAAAAGAGTACGAGAGGCACGAGATGAAGCCAAGAAAGAGATAGAAGCCTATCGCAAGGCGAAGGACGAGGAGTTCAAGAAATTCGAGGCAGAGGTACGATTCCATCGTCCAACACCTAAGCGAACGATTTACCTACGATTACGTTGGGTTTACCTTACGGTGCATGTGCTAACTAGTATGTCTTCTATTACAGCACACCCAAGGAAACAAGGAAGCCGAAGATGAGGCCAATAAGGAGGCCGATGCCAAGATCCTAGAGATCCACGCCGCCGGCAAGAAGAGCCAGTCCAAAGTCGTCGAGGACCTACTAAAGGCCGTGTTCGAAGTGAAGCCCGTCCCTCCCGAGAAGGCATAGACGTACATTGTCCACCCGAAGAGAAAGCTCGCGTCTAGGAATACATTTTAAGGGGGTCCGGCATGTTATATCACGATAAGTATACTGTGCCAAGGGACTCTAGCCGCATTACGTATTATTCAGTACTATCTCTAGTGCTAGTATCAATGCCAAAAGTTTGGAAGGAAACCTGGAATGGTGGAGGATTGGTGTTGCTAGCTGTGAGAAGCTTGTCTGTTAATATAAGATACGGGGTAGCTGAGTATGTCGCTAAACAGTCGGCATGAAACGCATCGTTGATCAATTGATTCATCCCGAAGCTATGAGACATGCTACTTGTCCGTCCCGATTACTGAAGGAATTCCACCAGTGTCAAAAGCATCTCCTTGAGGTCCCATGGATCCTTGTCTTTCGTGTCGTTGGCTTCTTCAATCCCCTTGATCTGCTCTTGCAGGGTATTCCTAATAACTTCGAACGTCTCATCTTGGTCCGCCAGCAGTTTACGAATCGTCTTCTTCGCGCCCTCATCCTCTGCGATCAGCCAAGCTAGTATGACGTCTATCGTTTGTAGACAAAACAGACCGGCATCAAGTCGTCGTAGAAACCACTCGCCGTCCTGAAGTTCCAACCAGTCACGGTCGTGAGTTCGTTTCTCTTCCTCGATTTCCCCTTCTACCTCGTTCATGCGTGCTGCATAGTCCCTTCTTATTTTAAATAGCTTAATCGTCTTCTCGTAATCCTTCTCGACGAACTTGGCTAACGCTCGGATTCGCTCGTCCGAGTCGGCGGGTAACAGCCGTAGCATAGACCCAAAAATACTAATTAGTAGCTCCATAGTAACTTTATCATTCTTTTTCTTCATGAACATGGTGAACAGGGTCTTGAGTCCGCCATCCTTGACGACTTTTTGACACACCTCGACTCCTGCTGCACCGGAACCCCCTACGGCGTGAGTGAGGAGTCGTAGTGCGGAGGCCTTGCTCTTGTTCCCATCCTTCAGCATCAACAAGCATAGCTCTGGGCCGTCAGCCTCCGCAAATTTGGTTTTGCCTTCGGGTTCGTCGGCGAGAGACGCCAGAGCCTCGAATAGGTTCTCCATATACTCCTCTTCGTAGCCCCCCTTTTCGGGGTCACGTCTTCGGTAGGCTGACGAGAGTTGGAGAAGAATCTCCATAGCATCTAAGCTAGCCAGCTTTGTTCGGGTTGGGGGAGAGTCCTGCATCAAGATTGCCAGAATCTCGGCCGCGTACTGCTTGTTCTGGCTGACCTTGGGCTCTTTGGCTTGTATTCGTCGCAACAACCACTTGAGAAGCTTGTCGTTTTCCGCGAACTTCTCTTTCGTAGCCGTTCTACCGCTACATAGGTTCTCTATTATTCCTAGGGCGTAATAAACACCCTTCTGGTCGGCCTCTTCCTTCTCGTCAAATCTCTCGAAATTCGAGACCAGTAACCCTAGTAGATCATCTTCTAGAAGGGCGTCGACGAGCGTATCCCACTGCTCGTCGTCGGCCACAACCTCCTCGTCCGTTAGTTCGTTGATAACTTCCACAGCATCGATCGCAATATCCGTATTTTCATGTGCCAAAAGGCCAACCAAGCTCGCAACGCTACCCAAGTTCACAAACAAAGTGTATAGCTCCGGGTGTTCAGACAAGATAGATAAGCTTCTGATCTCTTGATCGAGACTATTCTCGCTATCGGCAAATTTTGCCGGCTCGTTCTCGTATTTCGCACGTAGCTCGGCATTCTTATTTATACACTTCTCGAAGTTGATCGCAGTCTTCCGTAACCATGCGTTGTCGAACTTCAGAGGTTGTTGGTCGTTGGTAGGGTCAAGAGCATCGATATAGTCAAGCGCGTCTTCCTCTTGTCGTGTTAGTCCGCTGCCCCCGAACTCGTCCTCTTCGTCGGGTGGAAGTGCAGGTCCTGCCTCGGCATCGTCGTCGTCTAATTCTGCAGTTTCTTCAACGCTCGCATGACGACTGCCGGTCCCGTTGGATGACAGACGGGCAGACTTGTAAATTTCACCTGGAACACAGCAAGGGTTAATTGGCGAGGCGTCGAGTAGGGAGGGGAGATATGACATACTGGGGTCGCGGAGAGGATCTAGCTTGCGCTTGCTGCCGGCGCCAGATGCCTAGAGAATAATTAGTAAAAAGGTAGAAAAATGTATTGGTAGCGCAGAGTCTGACTGACCTTGAAAAGGTCATCTATATTGGCCATTGTGCAGTATAAGGTATATTGTAAAGATGGTAAATTTCGGTTGAAAACAACCTAATTCCCAAAAGTAAAAAACATCGAGCTTCACGTCAGTTGCTAGGTGCAAGGATGTACGTAGCTTCCCAGCTCTAAATTCAGCACAGTGCATATAAATTCACAGGTAGGTGTCGCACCTACCCCATTCAGCCCACCTGGAGGGAAAAGTCACCTTACATCCTGACAGTGCCACATACTGTGCTTCCAAGTTACGGTAGATAGGTGTACTACCAGATAGGTGTACTACCCGCTGATAATGGATCAATCGTTAGTGGATGTATCGGTCGTTTTCACTTCAACGGCTTCAATAATTCCACCATCTTCTACCAACAGTAAGCAGTTCTAGGCTTTGTTCAGTCTTGCTCAGTCTTACTCAGTCCTGTATTGCTTTTTTGAGGTATAAGAGGCTATCCCTTACGTTCTGAAAGGGTAATCGATATGTACTAGCTCCCATCACGGCATCATCATTCTACTTGCCATCTCATTAATGTGACTTATATAGTAAGAATAGAAGCATCAAAGGCCCTATTCGGAATTACACATCAGTGATTCTTTCAGAATGCCTCCAACTCTTATACTTGTCCGTCATGCTCAAGCTCGCCATAACGCAGAAGGTAAGTCTACTATGATGTATCGGATAAGCCTTGGTCTGATTTCATCTAGTAAATTTCGAATTGCCAGATCCGGATTTGACAGAGGAGGGACATAAGCAATGCGCAGACCTGCGACAGAGCCTCGTAGAACATCCTTTGGCCCAGCAAGCCGAAGTCGTGATCGTTTCTCCTTTGCGTAGGACGATACAGACCGCTTTGCGATCTGTCGACTGGCTCGTAGAGAAGGGCGTCAAGGTCGAGGCTGATGCAAGTTGGCAAGGTACGTTCGTATTTGACGTCGGATCCTGAATTCCTTCCTAGCAATATCTTGACACATCTTAATAGAAAATTCGGCCAAACCATGTGACACCGGAAGTCCAATTGACAAACTCACACAAGAGTTTCCCATGGTTGACTTTTCAAAGGTAGATCCTGTGTTTCCGGATAAGACGTCGCCAGCAGCAAGCCAATATCACTTTACCAAGCCGGCCATCCTCCAGCGTGCTCAAGTAGCTTTAAAGAAACTATACGAACGCCCGGAGAAGATCATTATTGTCGTCTCTCACTCGGCTTTCTTGCGGCTTGCTGTCTCCGGCTACTGGTACTTCAATGCTGACTACCGTATCTTTGACTTTGCGCCGATGAACGAGCCCGGAGACCCATACCGGCTTGAACAACATGAGACTACTAAAGAGACAGGAGGAGGACTCTCTCGGAGCTGGGTGGACCCCATAGTGTTAGGCTCAGACTTGCCAGAAGAGGATCCGGATGCGGGTGCGGATAAGAACGGGAATGGCCGGGGATATTAAGGCGGCATTTTAACTACCGTGCCTGCCGTGCTTGGAAAGTGATGTCTAAATAAGAATATTGCCTATTGGTCGAGTCGTTACGAGAGTGATGGTGGTGGCGGCAGTGGCTGGCGCCAACCCTTACCCCTTACCTCACTCTTAAGGCTTGAAGACGATCGTAGCATGGATCGAACAAAAGGTCTCGCGGCGCATTTATTATTCTCCAGCCTGTCCCAGTTCAATTACCGCTCTGCCGCTGAAGTTTCTAGCAAAAGAATTACCAGGATCTAGAGCCTACTCGGTGGGTTCCATGAATAGTGCAACCAACACCTTTGAGCGGAAATGAATATTTGAGGCAGTGCAGTCAAGCCCCATCCGAAAGCCCACCCTCATTGGTATCGATGAAACAACTCATTTTGTTACTTTTACGAGGTTTCGGCTAATTTGAATATAGGGCACACGCTGTAAGTCGGCTCTATGTCAAAGTCATACTATAGTAGAGGCCAGGAGAGCTCGTCTTAATAGGCAACACCTTTCGTGCTGACACGGCACAGCCTCAACTGTTGATGAGATGAGAATGTGGGCTGCAACCCCATTGGATCAGCTCAAGTACGAGATCTGCAACTTCCCGAACGTAACATTGAGATCTGAATATCAGTCGCATAGACTAGTATGTTAACAGCCATTCCGCGCAGATCGGCGGATTTTTATTTATTTATTGGTTGCTTACACCGCACGGTTAGCCCGCGAAGTCCGACATGCCCATATATGTGGTAAGGGACTTAACATGACTTTAGCAGACCGCACTGAGCCAATATGAGGCTCATGCTAGGTCTCCAAACGCTTGGCAGTTCTGTTGGTGATTACGGTTGTCGGCTGGCATCATCCTTCTATGGACCGGATGGTCTGTATCGCCCAATGACCCCTTACATAGGTACGACTAGACATCGGGGATGACGGTACATATCTCACACCTGGCCCGATATTTGCTGTGTTCGCCATATTACATGCTTAGACGTAGAATGAAACTTGTACTCCTAAATCCGTAGCTTAACATCTACCGATCTTTAAGCTTTTTGCAAGACGGTCAACTCTTAGGCGAAGTCGCTCGATCTAAGTCGCAAACATGTTGCCCGCTGCTCAGCGGCTCCATCTACTATGGCTCGCTCCGGCGGCCGTACTTGGAGCGCTCGAGGTCGATCTAAGTTCGACAGGTACGTGATTTTCGGCCCCTCGCGTCCGAGACTAGAACCTGCAATAAGTTTCACAGGCTTAAAATTCTCTCAGATTCCATCAAAGCCGCGGCGAAGCAAGTTGCGTACGACTTAATGACTTATTATCACGGCAACGAATCCGGGGCCACACCGGGCATCTTGCCGGGGCCACCACCGAACGGAGACTACTACTGGTTCGTGCCCCTTTCCATACCCTACTGCGGCCGAAAGAAAGGAAAGTGATTTACTAACGGCAGTCTGCGACTAGGTGGCAGGGAGGTGCGCTGTGGGGTACGATGATAGACTACTGGCACTACACGGGAGACGAGACGTACAACGATGTCACGTTCGACGCAATGCAGTTCCAGGTAGGCGAGAACCGTGACTACGCGCCACGCAACTGGACGCTATCGCTCGGAAACGACGACCAGTCTTTTTGGGGCATGTCAGCGATGCTAGCGGCCGAAGTAAACTTCCGCAACGCCCCGGAGGGTCAGCCGCAGTGGCTCGCCCTCGCCCAGGCTGTGTGGAACGAGCAAGCTGCTCCGGACCATCACGACGACGAATGCGGCGGCGGGATGAGGTGGCAGATCTTCCCGAGTAATAAGGGTTACGATTATAAAAACAGTGAGGACCTCCCCTTTTCACTATCAAAATAAGAGGAGGGAAAGAGGGAAACGATAAGGAAGGATAAATGAGTGGGCAAGAAGAAGTTGATGCAGGAAGTTGCTGACTTGGGTAATCAGCCATTGCGAACGGATGTTTCTTTAATATGGGGGCTCGCCTAGCCCGGTACACGCACAACGATACATACGCAGACTGGGCAACTAAGACGTTCGATTGGATTCTCAACGTCAAGTATATCGACAAGGACTGGAACGTATTCGACGGCGGCCACGTGCCTTATAACTGCACCGACATCAACCGCCAACAGTACTCGTACAATGCCGCCATCCTCTTATCGGGCGCTGCGTATATGTACGACTACGTAAGTCTTCCCTTAAACCACCACCTACTCCCATCCCAAAATAGGGGCAAACGAGGAATGCTAACGGTTTGGCCTATATGAAGACAAATCAGAGCAAGGATTGGGAAGACCGAATCAACGGGCTCCTCGACGGCATGGAACGTATATTCTTCGTCAACGGCACCCTCTACGAGCCCTCCTGCGAAGCTGGCGTGTGCTCGACCGACATGCTGAGTTTCAAGGGGTACGTGCACCGGTGGCTCGCCGTTGCCACGCAAGTAGCCCCTTTCACCAAGGATCGTATTATGAAGCTTCTACGGTCGAGCGCCGAGGCGGCCGTCAAGCAGTGCACGGGTGGTGCCAACGGTCGCCAGTGCGGCTTCCACTGGACTACAGGCGTATACGATGGTCAGACGGGTGCCGGCCAGGAAATGAATGTGCTCGGCGCGCTGTCGAGCCTGCTGGTGCAAGACGCGAAGGCTCCCGTGACGAATTCGACGGGTGGTACGAGTATAGGAGACCCGAATGCTGGAGCGAATGCCCCAAGCCTCCCCGAGGCTGCGCCTATCACGACCAAAGATAGAGCGGGCGCAGGAATAGTTACTGCTCTTATCCTTGGTAGTATTTCTGTTGGAGCTATGTGGATGGCATTAGATTGATTGATTTTTTTTCCAAAATCTGGTTCCGTTAGGGGAGTTATGTGTGCTTCTAGCATTGTGTATTTATCACATTCTATTCCGGGACATCAGAGTAAAGGACAAGAAAACGCATGTCTCCATAAGATAGACGCCCTTGGCCTCCATGCGAGCGGGCAAGTAAACAAGCAGTTAAACCAAGTATATTGATATTCGAGGAGCCGTTGAGTATCATGACTACGCAAGGAACGAGTTGAAGAAAACCAAATATCGATCGTGAAGTTCAATTTCATTGAAGAATACCCGAATCTTAGGAAGTGGGCAGTTGGTTTCTACCATGAGCGCTTGAGAATATGCTGCGAGCATGAACAGGTCTAGACTGATATCGGATTCATAGGTATAACTAGGAGAGAAGAAAAGGAGACGTCCGCCAGCACAGTATTAGTATTCATAAATGTAGCTAAGAATGAAGCAAAAAGATGGAAAGGGTATGCTCAAAAAGGTGAAAAAGTAAATATCCGGAATAGGATGGCTTGGTCAATCTGTGGGATGGTTACTCACTTTTTGTCGTCCACCAACCTCCGATTTCCCTCGTTTCTTGTCTTCTTATTGTGGATATCGCTCTACTATGGTTAGCTCACAGACATCGTTCATCTTTGGTCGTCCTTCGTATCGGCGAGATAGTATCGATTAAATTCGGCGTGCGTTAGACTCGAACCCCTTGGCTTCCAGTTCGGTTGCTTGTCAATTTGTAGCGTCTGTCACAATGTTAGTTTTAATGGTCCGGTAATGTTCCAAATTGACCAAGTCATCCTATTCCGGTGATAAAACCTCTTACAACTTGATATTATATGCCTAAGATCGCAGGCTACTTTGGTTGCCAGGCAGTGATGATGTGGTCTGAGCTTTGAATAGGTAGGTAGGTACGTTGACAACATACTCATGAGCCCAAGCTTCCTGCTAGCACGTACCTGCCCACATGGTTGACGATATCTTCTTCATCCAAGATCCCGACTCTGGTCTTAAAAGTATGGATGAACTCCTATCTTACTAAAACCATGCCGAAATTTCTAACCAACTCAATATAACAACTAAAATCATCGATCGTCATCATCGCTACACATCTTGCTGTCTTCCACGCTTCCATTTAACTTATATACTCCTTTAATCCATAGACTACACTATCACACCTACCACCGGCTAGACTTTTGTTAATAGAACTTGATTGTGATTATCTTTATTAATGACTACCTAGATAACAACAATACTTGACAATATTCCTGGCTATGCTTACGGAATTCAACAATTACCGACCATCAAGACTCATCACTCACAGCAGTGCTACGCCCGCTACAAGACCAGCTACCACACCCATGGCGCCCTTTACAACAGCCGTCGGCATGGCCGCCGCACCCTGTGACACACTAGTAGACGCAGCTTCCTGGGAGCTTCCAGCTGAGGAAGATTCGCTATTCGAGCTGGCGCTACCGGTAATGCTCGTTTCCGCCGAAGAAGCAGTCGGTGCCGCGGTAATAGTGTCAACTGACGACGAGGAACTCGTCGCATCAGAAGAGGGTGCAGATGTGGTCGCCGAAGAAGACCCTGCTACAGAGGTAGCGGTTGAACTAGCTGTTGCGGAGGCGGTTGCGGAAGCGATAGCTGATGCAGTAGCGGTGGCACCGAAATTCGGCAGGTAACTGGGCGAGTAGGTTGCGGTACCCGAGTAGGCCGCACAACCTGGGACAGTGGTCTTAGGTGGCGCACGGCCGCCGCCGCAGTCGAGAAAAGCGCATATCTCTCCGGTATCCGGGACGTACCAGATGAGGCTAGCGCCGCCATATGCGATGGTCTTAGACGAGACGCAGCCCGCTAGATCGGTCTTGGCTACGGCCTGCCCTGCGAGGAGAGCGGCCAGGACGACCGTGGATGCTTTCAAACTGTCGGCGAGCATGGTTACACGGGTTGAACCACAGGAACGGTTGTAGAGGATGCCAAGATGTGAGATTAAAGCTCCGAGGACGAGTGTGACGATGTATCAGACTCCAAAAACAGGAGGGATCAACTAATGAGCGGAATGCAGGAGGAACGAACGGACGGTAGCCTTTATTCAAAGCAACCACGAAAGGAAAGATGCGCGTTAGGGAGAAGATCAGAAAAAATTAAACAGAGAACAGGAGAAATGGCATTATGTACTTTTACGCGATTTCGCTGCCGCACCGCACGGCCTTTGCCCCTGATCAAGGTACCTTGGCAGGCGCTGAAAGCCTAGGCTAGTCTTAGACGGACTATTATAGTAGAGTAGCTAGCTGCCTACCTAGGTACTTACTAGGCAGCTAGCCAATAAGAGACCCAATTAAAGGGTGCGGCTGAAATCTGCGAAGTATTAAAAGTAAAACATGACTCTTTACGGAGTACATGGGTAAGTAGATGACCTCGCAAGCGAGTCATGCGTAAACGTCAATATTTACCTAGGTATGTATCTGCACTCTATTGAATGCGGCAAAGGCAGTTACAACACACATTATGTATCCTTACCTAGGTAGTATAAAAGAGTAATTATTTGCCTATTAAAAGTCGGAAACGACCTTAGTTGCATTCATTGATACATACATACATGCGTCAGTGGCTGATAAATATGGGATTACAAATCAAGGTCCGGCCCGTACCTATTTCAATTCCCCCCTCGCCCCCCTTTTCGAAACACAGACCAATCAAGTCCATGTGAAAGAAAAGAGAGTTCAATATCTTAACGTCTACCTGAAAAGCTCTAATACACGTGATTGTTTGACCCCCTTTTATAATCATTCGATTGTTAATTTCGACTTCCATTTCATGTGATTCGGGGAATTTAATCTCCGCCATTACATATCATACATTCATACATCCACGCACCCCTAGATGGCCATATAAAGAAATGACTTGGAGTATGGATGGCATACTGCTCCTGAACAGGGGACCATTATTCGGGTCAAGACCAAACTCATCCAGTCATTTTATCTTGCTTGCTCAGAATGACCTCAGGAAAGAAAGTCTTCATCGTCGGACCTGGCTTCATTGGCTGGAATGTGCTTGAACTGTTGGTCAAGGAACAATACGTCGTCACAGGTTATGTCAGGAGGCAAGCTCATGCGGATCAGATCAAAGCCTCAGGAGCCACTGACGCCGTTCTCGGCGACCTAAACGATAAGCCATTGATCACGAAGCATGCCTTGTCTTATGACGTAGTCATTCACACAGCTACCGCCGACCATCTTCCAAGCGTGGAAGCAATTCTAGATGCCGTCCAGCAGCGAGCTGAGAAAGGCCTCAGTACAATCTTCATACACACCTCGGGAGCATCCGTGCTAGATGATGGCGCGGAAGGGAGTTTCAAATCTGACAAGATCTATCACGATAATGTTGTGTCGGAAGTAGACTCCGTTCCTGATGATGCGCCACATCGTCAGATTGATCTTGCCGTTGTTAGAGCCCGAAAGCAGCTTTCAGAGAAGGCCAAGATCGCCATAGTTATCCCGCCTGTCATTTATGGGTTCAATCCAAATCATGGGCGGCTGACGATCCAGATCCCAACTCTTACCCGGTACGCTCTCAAGTATGGTTACGCGGGACACCTTGGAGCTGGCCTTGCTGTTGAAAGCAACATTCATGTGCTCGATCTAGCGAAAGCGTACGTGGTGCTACTACATCATCTAGAAGCCACACCAGCCAGCAGCCCGGATATCCTAGAGAACCCGTACTACTTCACCGAGACCACAGGCGACAACGAGCCAAGCTGGAAGGACGTTGCCACGCTCATCGGCGCCGAACTCCACAAGGCCGGGAAAATCCCGGACCCGGATCCGCGGACGATCCCAACCGAGAACTACGACGACTTGTTCGGGAATCATACACCTGCTGCCGTTGGTCTTAATAGCCGTAGTCGTGCTGTGCGGTTGCGAGAGCTAGGGTGGAAACCTATGGAAAAGAGCTGGGCCGAAAGTTATGTGCAGGATGAACTCCCCTTCATTCTCAGTGAAGAATCGGATCGTCACACGTTTAGTGGCTACAAAGGAATTGTTGCTAGCTGAAGAGGTTTGTATGAGAGCAAATTCATAGGCTCAACGAGGAGGAGACATAACGTATTTATGCACCTATCACTTAACCTAAGTGATATTGCATGGGTAAACAATCGGCAACGATCACACATTTTCAGCATTTAGATGTTTCACAAACCAATGCCTCGTTAGTTGTTGCTACTATGCTCTACTCCAAATATAAATGAATACCAATTAATGGCAGATACCTTAGGTACCTAGGCTAATATATCCCTTGTTTGACCTAGTAACGCACTAATCGATTTTACAACGATTCATAGGTAGGTATTTATTTCGACCCAGTGTCCATCAATCAAGAACATTGTATTTCCGTGATTATCTCAATGCTATTATCTGTTAGCTACTCAGAGTGACTATAGTAGCTAGCCCCTTACCCCTTATCCGAAGTAGGAATAAAGAAGCATACGTAAAGACCAAACTAAATATTTCTAACGTTAACAAAGGAAAATTGGGTTATTAGGTTTTCCTAGTGCTTGCCACATCTTGGAAATACCTACTTATCTAACAATCTCATGTAAACAATAAACGGGTTGGCAAATAATCCCGCAAGCCAGCCATCTACCCAAAGTAGAACAAGAGACTTCTATTGGTTTGTTAGTACTTAATAGGTGCCTCGTCACTTGGCCGGATATTTCAACAATAAATACATGCTATACACTTTTCCCCAAGTAAACTTCCAACATATTTAAACAATTTATTATATAGGTACCTTAATCAAGTACTCGTATATAGATCACTGCGCAGTAGACTATCCATTCAAGATGTGATTATTAAGGGTACAATTATGTCTCAAAACGACGCTGCCTTTAGGGCTTGCAAAATCCCATCTTTTCATAGATATATTTAACCATAATGACGTGGCATCATGGCCTGTATACCAACCTGTAAACCTTATTATCCCGTGGGCGTGACACATCGAGACTACCAAGTCACAGTGCAGAGTCATAGATCTCTGCATTTTACTCGTTACTCAATCGTATGCCGGTTGGTCAATGCCACAGTAGGTACCTTAGTACACAGTCTAGTTTTCCGTTTCTTTAAGGAAAGAAGAGATCACTAGATAGTCCGGCGGTTCACTCGCATGGGCCAACAAACTCTTTGTCTCTATGACTCCGACAACAATCGGGACAATGCTATCGTCCGAGTACAATGCATTTGTTCAAGTCAGTGTCATACAGACACACGATTCATCACTGCTACCAACTGGAATATTTAGAGTTCCTGGTGTCGACTCATCAAGTAGTCTGTCTCAATTCGCTTAGGGTTGTAGCTACATCCGGATTTCAAACATCTGGTTCACTTCTCTGGCCTCTCCTTAGATTCAGTTCGATACGAAAATAAAGGCTTATCATCAAAAGTCTTCAATCATCGATTTTATCTAGGTATCACACATTTCAACAACGCACTCCGCCCCCAAGATGACGAAGTTGATTCCCTCGGTATCATACGAGCTTGGGCTTGCGAGAGAAAAAATAGAACAGCTCACAGAACGAAACAAGGAGCTCGAGAGAGAGATCAATAGGCTCAGACTCCGCCTGAAAGCGAACAGAGTCCCACTACCTACGAACGGTCGACATTCTCAGCCTCCCACTCAGCAAGTTATCACTGAGCAAGTCGTTACTGAAAAACATTATCTCTCCTCCACAAGGGCATCTCGCAATCGAAGTATACAATCATCCCCGGCAACAGAAACCTCCGATAAGCAAGGCCTTGTCACCATAGAAAGAAAGGTTTATCGATACCAGGATGGAATCTTGATAGGTAACCATCCTGAAAATGATGGTTGGGGGGGCATACATTATCTATGTCCTACACGTTCATCGATGGCAAAACAGCGTCCTTGTGTTGGATACATTTCTGAAGAGGAGTACGAGTGCGACTCGTACATGAGTTACGAGTCTCCGTGTACTCGGGATTCGCCAGATTGTCCAAGAGAGACAAACCAAGAACTCTTAGATGAGCCTATCGAAGAACCTACCGAGGAACCTGTCGAGGAACCTGTAGAGAAAACCATTCTGGAACTGATTTCAGAGAAAACCGGTTTGAACCGATACACCGAATCCCACCTTGCCTACACACCAATCCGAAGTGAGGTCGTTTATGACCTTCTAAGCAGATCTCTACGCCTCGCCCAAGAGATATTTTATGACGGGTGTAGGATATACTTCCCCGACATCTATTATCGGGAATATGACGGTCCGCACGAGGTGCGATTTGGCTGGAAAGAGATGCAAGACAGCTTTTTCAGGGGGGATTTTACCGATAGGATCATTGCCGGAAAGCGATACCAAAGAAGTGCACTTGAATACTACATAAACAACATGACTTGGATACGCAATCAGGTATGCCACTTCCAAAGTTGCACGAGTGTCTGTCAGGTCGATACGTTGGACAAGGCAATACGAGATGTTCAAGAGTTGGCTGCAGTGTTTGGGGACGAGGCTAAGGCGTTACAGGCGCGAGCCTTACGAGACGAACTACACCAGGGGGCAAAGAGAGAATTGTCAGAGTTGGAGACCATGTGGCTGCTTGCGGAGCTCCCCGGCGCGCGACCTTGGCAACGTTACCAGTTGCATTCCTTGTGGAAGGTCCCTGATTCTCATCCAAAAGGCGAAGTGATCACTCGCATATGTCAAGAATTGAAGGAGAAACATCGGTCAATCGACAGGCCATACTGGCCATCGGCGTATCTTGAAGCATACAGAGACATTTTAGATAGCTGGACCGAACATTTATAAATAGATCCCGTTTTATTTCGTCCGCAGTCGAACCAATGTACTTAACCTGTCACGGGCAAAAACCAATAAATAAAGGTAAAGGTTTGAAGCGATCTGGAGAGCAAAAAGCTCTCAACGGTAAAACGGTAGTCGTACAGATATAGGAGTTGGGCCTAATATGGGCTATCGATCCACTATTTTTACTATGACATATCATCTCTCACGATTCGAATTCGGACGCGACATATTCCATTCGGTCATACGATAAAATCTTGGAAGATGTCCAGGGGCTTTCCGTATTCTTCGGCGACGAACGCGGAGCACTTCAGGCGACATCCATACGGAATATTTCCCCCAAGTATAGAAAGGTGCGGTCGAATTTGCGACCCTGTAGTTGCCATCTTAAGTACCCAACGGGTATCCTTGGGAGAAAGTCTCGCTTGAAGAGGTTCATAGCTATGCCATAACGTTCTGACTACGAATGGTACAAGATGAAACCAATAGACCAAGCCGCATATAATTAGCAGCAACGACGCCCATCTTATATTACTCAGGTGGGATAGGAATCATGTCCTGTGTAACAAAAAGGGGTTTAAGTTTCGGTTTATTACTTACCCGTTAAACAGGGGAGGGTTGTTTTAAATGTTTGTGGGACAAAGTTGCGGGCTGGAGACGATCTAGGTCAAGGAGTTCTAGAACTCCTAGATAAAGTAGTAGGTTTTGTTTATAAGTGTAGGTACGAGTAGAGGCGATAAATCCACATTTCTTAAGTAACAATTTGCAATAGAGATCCTGTTTCCAAGATACAACAATATTGTACCTATAATTTCATCACAAAAGGGGTTTAGGCATATCACGGCACTCCCCATCCGCTTCATCTAAGTATAATGTGTTTGTACGATAGGAAAGAATAATGGGAAGTGATCTTGTAAACATATGGCAAGATTAATTTTCAAACGTTCCATCGATTAGTTCCAAGGTTATCATTGGAACATTGAGACTATCCAAGTGAATGAATAGCACTGAATGCGGTAGTCTGCAGATCGAGTGTTTTGATAGATAGATACCTACTAAATTATAGGTAGATTTCAAAGTCATGATCCTCTTTGATCTCACAAGGAAACACTATCATAAGTTAGGACATCTCGTAGAAAATATCTTAGATTGATAGATCGCTCTCGGGTTTATATTCTCGTGTAGTAAAATAATACGCAAGAAGGTCTGACTATATAACATATATACTAGTATGCGTCTATATCTCTTTTAATCACAAGGCCATTCTCCTCTTGGATGCCTTGCCGCCCCTGGTTGCAGCTGTGTCGTACAGGGCTTGGATATCTGATCGCCACTGGTTCCTGTCAGTGCGTTGTATCCGGCGGTCGTAGGTGAGGAACCCGTTGACTTCGCCCTCGACATCTGTAGTTTGACTTGGGTGGCATTAGCTACAGCTCATCCCTGAAGTAAAGATGGGTAGAAAGATTAACTTACGTCCAAACAGCTGCCGAGCAAGCGTATCTCTCGATCTGGTCACGTAGTTCGCTCAACAAGAGATGGCCGCGGTAGTTGTAGGCGTCGAGATCCAGGTCGATCTCGTACGTCTGGTTGATAGAGAGGAATGCGTCGTTTACTTTCCATAGGTGGTCCGCAGAAACGTTGTGGCCTATTCCACCAAATTCGCCTTGGATGGCAATTCGCTGATGGTCGTAAGGAGTAGAATCTATGGAATAAAACGGCGTCCCACATTGCGGGTTCGCGTAGTGATGGTTATCATGCCAATCACCGGCACCGTGGTCATGCCACCCGGTCGTGGCGTCGACGAATCTCGTGGGGTCTAGTTCTCTGATACGAGTGGTAATGTTGAATTCAGGGTAGTACCCTTCTGTGATTTGACCCCATCCTTCATTGTAAATGACCTTTTCAATGTAAGCCGTAAGATACTTCTCATTTCAGAACTGTTACGCTACTCACCCAGGTGTAAATACTTGGATAATTCTTGTGCTGCTGGATGAGAATGTTCAGTTGACGTTCCCAGTCAGTTTGCTGGTCCGCATCAGGCGTTCGTAGAGGCATAGACGGCATATCTTGAATGAGCAGCAAGCCCAGTTGGTCGCAGGCCTGGTAGAAGAGGGCATTTTCAACTTTGATATGCTTTCGAAGCATGTTGAGGCCCAAGTCCTTGAGAACCTTCAGATCGGAGACCATAGCCTCCCGGTTGGGTGGGGTGTAAATGCCATCAGGCCAGAAACCCTGGTCAAGCGTACCAAACTGGAAGATGAATTCGCCGTTGATCAATGGTCGCTTCACACCTTCTATCTCTCCAATGGAGAATGTTCGGAATCCTGTATAGGAAGTTACGGTATCGTCTCCTAATTTGACGGTGATGTTGTAGCTATACGACGAGTCAACATCTGAACCACACAAGTGTTACGAAATGCTGTACGTACAGTGTTGGCGAATCGGGGGACCACAAGTCTGGAGATTTCACGACAAAATCGAATGGCTGGTTCGCGATACCCTTTGCAGAACCCACGACCTTGCCATCATTGTCAAAAACTGAGATGACGACCGGATCGGAACCTTTGCAGGATGTCCCAACGGTAACATTGACTATGGTAGCGCATTAGCATCCGGCAAATTGTGTCTATTTCGAAAAGTTTACCTTGCCCAGACATGTCTGCGATAACATCAAGTTGGGTGATATGCGATTCCGGAACCGACTCAAGCCAAACCTGCGATGGCATAATTAGTGTCATGCTTCTCCGTGGGTAAAACCCAAGTTTTCGAGAAGGAAGCTTCGAATAATGGTTCCTTTTTGAAACATGACGGGCATGCATCGAGACGAACTCACCGTCTGCCAGATGCCCGTGCAGGGCGTATAGAAGATATGAGAAGGCGTACGGGTCTGTTTTCCAACAGGGTGCATGTAACCTATAGAGGACGCTAGTGAGTGTAGGTTCTAACGGAAACGACGCGGTGACTATACCTAGGGCGTCCGTAGGGTCGAATACGAAAACATGGAGTGTGTTGTCGCCGCTGGATTTGAGATACTTTGTGATATCGAAGTTGAAATGCCAGTAACCGCCAGTGTGTGTTCCGACAAGTTCACCATTGACGTAAACAGTCGCTTCATAGTCCACAGCTTCAAAATTCAGCATCACCTTATTGCCGCTCTGTGTATATCCGTGAGGAACATTGAACTCGGTCGTATACCACGAATAAGTCTGGTTCAACTTCATTACACCCGAAAGAGCGCTTTCAATACACGACGGGACCATTATATCGTGTTGAAAGCTGTGGCTCTCTGGCAAGGCCTCGCCTGGGTAAGATGCCTTCTTCCACTTCCAGATTCCGTTTAAGTTTTGCCATTGAGACCGCTGGAGCTGTGGTCGTGGATACTCCGGCCAAGGGTTAGTCCCTACCGAGTAAGTCCAGTCAGTGTCAAGCGGGCCAGTCTACAGAGCGTAAGTTTTTGTTCCTCTCGCAGTATTATCAGTCAAGGACGCGCTGACCTGAACCTCATATCCCAATGCTAAATTACCTAGCATTGGGACTAGGGTTAGAATACTTGTAAACAGATTGGACCACATCTTTGTTCACTTCCACGTTACGGCCTTGTAGCTTGGTCGAAGGAAGTTAGACAAGCCGCCGGGGTATAAGAGCGACGAGACGACTCGTGATAGTTGGAGGGGGGTCTAACGAGACTAGGAAGACACTCGTCTAAGTCAATTGACTAGTCTGGAAGATCAACCGCAGTATAAATACTAGATTTCCAAGAGCACGATATGCCTATCAAAGAGCTTCACGTCGAAGCTACGCGCGAGTTGCGGTAGGGATTCTCCGCATTGTGTACAGATTGGAATGTTGCTCACCTTCCTAATCTTGATGATAAACAGCATCGATTACCTTGGACGCAAGTACGTACATGGAACCACTTGGCCTAGGCAAACATAATAATAAACGAGAGACATGGTGACAATTTAGCGCCGTCACCGCTAAGTCAGAAAAAGCTTAGTATTCGTCCATACGACCTGTTGAACTCCTTGTGCTTGCAGCTGCAAGCAGAGCTTGGCTTTGTCGCGTTCGTGTGCTGGTATGTACGAGAGGTGGTGTAACAGCTGATCTAGCGAAGCTGTGTACGTTCTACGATAGTTGGGCGATCTTATATCGGCCTTGTTAATCTCCTGTCGCTAAGCAGATCACTCTCTGGGGCCCCAAAGGTCGGTGACCGTCAGTCAGCGCCGGTTCGAGGGAGATCTTTGAACAGGGTCGGAATCCAATAGCGACTTTCGGGACTTGGTCACATATCGCCCGTGTCCGTGCCCGTGCCTCCCTAGTAGGTACGTACGATAGCTCGTACCGCGTATGTATCGTCGAAGTTACCAACCCTCATTGCATAGTTCTGTAGGACAAGCAGCCATGCGGCGCACGGCACAACATTGGCCAAGATATGCGGTCCTCGGTTAAAGTAAAGACGAGTTTTGGTGGAGATGAGTTGTACGACGCCGTCCAGTAGAGGGCGGTACATAAGGCGTACACAGGGCTTCCGCTCTCACCGGACTGCCGGGTCTCACTAGCGTAGGAATAAGGAAATGAAAATTCAACAACGGCCTTGGAACGTCGAAATAAGACAGAATACCTAAATGACTTAGGGTCACGAGCGCCGCAAACTTAAAAGGACCGAATCTGATCTGCATTAGCTCTCATAGGTTCCATTATTCTCGCTTTGTACTTCGTGCTGCGTATGTTGGTGCCGCTGCTACTTCCGTCACCATAGACCTATCATGCAGGTGCCGCAATATAAGGCTTTCAAGCAAGGTATCTAGGACAACAGTTCGTGGCGGACATCTCCCGAGACGGTGTAGAAAAAGTCTGGGGTTAATGATCAAACACGCCCTCGATTGCCGAGTTGAACAGTTGATTAGAACCCCCTTACATGTAAGCTCGATAATGTGATCCGGTCTGCCCGGTTTAGCTCGACTTGGCTGGGTAAACAATGACCTGAGAAACTATCAGAGCGTCCACAGACAAAAAGAAGTTTGTATGAATGAATCATCGTCACGGTGAAAGCGGGGTTCATTCATCGAGACCGGGACAGGGAATGAGTTGATAGGATTCTCAAGTTAAATTGCCCCGGCGTTCAAGGTTCCCATGTATGTACTTGTCTGCCTGTGCATTATATAGCTCAGTAGCTGACTTTCAAGTAGGCTGAGAGGCTACATGTGCATACATGCTGCAATGTGGGGGTCCATCTAAGATTGAAGTTGAATTGGAGAAGTCCATGCAATTGACAGAAACAGAATTTTAGAAACAAAACAAACCGACGGCAAAACGAGGGACGGGACGGGGAAGCTAGGAACTCTAAGACTCGGCAGTTTAACAAGTGACAATGTTAAAATAAGAAGCAAAGTGGGGAATAATGAGGAGGTTCTTAAGCAAATATTGGGGTTCCCCGTTGAAGTTACCTCCTAAAGTTAGTTCTCCGTCTATTTTGTGCGGGGTCCCCAACTTTTTTTTTTTTTTTTTTTTTTGGTAGTGTATCCATGTATTTCCCCCCCTTATTTTATGGTTACATGGGAATGTTGCATGGAAACAATCCAATGGTACCCGACACATATATCTCTGCAGAGATACCTAGATACACGATATGAACTAGGCAATAAATCCGGTAGGTCGAGATCTCGTTAATTTAATGAACGTGACGTGTAATTCTAGAACGGCCAGGAACCCAGGAAAACATTTCGCGGCACGTGTACTATGTGGTGTAATAAAACCCGCCCTACATAGTACAGCAAATTCCTCCACAACAGCTCACGAGTCACAGCAACTTTCCAAACTGCCGGAAAACCGCGGGGTCGTGCAAATGCTCCAAGATCATAGGTCAATCCGAAATTAAACATTCAAATACGCAAATAAGAAGGAATGTGACTAAGCCAATCATATGTAGAGCACATATCCGTCGCGATCCAGATTATATAATCTCACAAACAATACTCACCCCTAAATGCCGTAAGCGCGTAGCAAATAGCAAATATCAAGTGAAATGAGCTGTCTATGCAAGTTCGCTAACCTAGGATCTTTTGCATTAGACTCGAGTTTCGAGGTAACGTGGAGAATAGTTAGTCTTAACTGCCTAGGTACGTGTATTCTGCCCACATTCTCCACAAGCTTCTCCGCATCTGACAGCCTTGAAGTGACATGACTTTAAGCTAACTGATCCGTGGGATGCTTGTCACCGACTACGGCAGAAACGCCATCCATCCCGAATCTAAAGAAATCTCAAGATTGTGCCAACTTTAAGAAACGCGAGCGTACTACGTATTGGTATGTATCAATCCTCGTCTGTTGGTAAGAAGATAGGTACGTATATTAAACTAGATTCCCTTTCGAGCATCACTAACATCATAGAAATTGGTAGCAAAGAAGATAATCGCCAATTCTCTTATGATTTCCAACATAAAACAGGAAGTATGTCGTGTATACGGATTTCCTCTTCAGGCCGCAATACCAGACTGAAATTTCAGTGAAAACTGACGCGTACACATCAGGATCAAAATCGCTCATTATTGGCTATGTCACTAGGTGTCATTTCTTGGGGGATAGATGCCTCCTCTTCAGGCAAATGTACGATTATTCTTCAACATATTCAAATTCTCTAAAAGTTATTATCTCAAGATAGTACACTAAGGAATTTACATAAAAGAGGACAGTGGGGTTATGTCGTCAATAACTACGATGGACGTTTAAGTAGGTACCTATTCATGTAGGTGGTTTATCTTAGTGAGTTGCGCTATGGTAGGTCCATATCAAATCTCATACCACCACGTCAATACCAAGAGCCTCACGAAGATCTTCGTTGATCTAGACCCCTCATACAGCGTAGGGCTGAACTGCATATTCATTGGAGGGGGTATGGTGATTATTGTTAGCTGCTTTTAGAAAGCTAGTTCATTGGTTATTCGATATGCAGCATCCTACTCATCGTACCGGCAATCTTCCACGAATTTTATTTCTTCCCCTTTCCCCTTTTCCCTTTTCCCGAGTCGATTATGTTCGATAAATCCTTGATTCCCTACAGGTACCTATTAAGTTATGGTAAAATCCACTCATCAAGGTTACTAGATAATCATACCAGAGCGTCGTCCCGAAAGGCGGCGTTGCCTTAGGTGGTAGCCAGAATTGGGGAAATTTGTAGGAGTCGGCCGTGAGCGGGAAAAGGGGGAGCTAGGTATCATTTCGTTTAAAATCGTCGCTTGAATGATCGAGTAGGTCAATAATCCTCGCTATAAACACATACATACCTAGTCAACAATTATTTTATTCATGTATGAATCACCCCAATCGACGTACTACAAACCCTCAAAACACACCTGACGATTATCTAAGAATCTCGTATGATGGTTAAGGGGTAGGGTAAAATAAACTACTGCGGCGAGCATGGGAAAATCCACTAATGAGCTTCCCCCTAGCTATCAAGTCGCCTTCAACTCTCATTTACTTCTGCCCACCGGATACCTTTTGAAAGCCACGAACCGTATTTTCCGAGCTTTCCTGACGCATCCAAAATACTAGGACGAGCGCGGAAATCTGTGTCGCTGAGTACGAGTTGGTCTATCGCTGATATGTCGAGAAAGCGTCTATCGTAATGAAGACCTAGGATAGGAAAGCATAGTCCACTTGGTCGGAGGATGAAGTCTAATTCCTCTAATTCAAGATCGTGGTACATTCATACCTACGGATAATGCTCTTTTTCATATCATTCTAGGACAAATCACCAAGATATCCCTCCTGTGGGCTGAACTCCGACGCAACCAGGCTTTACCCGACTGACCACTCCGACAAAATAGACCTCTGGCAGTGTTGAGGCCACGCGATATTAGTCGGCAAGGACTGTACTAGAGATGGAGTCATGATATGAAAAATTAGCAAGGTAAACATGAGCACTACCACAAGTCCGTCAAGTGAACTTCAGGGACATAGTAAGTACTAGCTAGAGATCCTTCACGACCCAGGTTTTTCTGTAGCTGGTTCTGTGTAAGTCCAACCCTATGAACAACAATCACAGTATATCGTGGGAAGGAGCAGCAATTATGAAAGTCCAAAGTCCAAAATCTAGTATGTGGCTGCGTAGAGGTGGTCGTCGACCAAGACAGTAAGGAAAAGGAGAGGACCCATTTAAACTCTTAGCAACATGTCAGCAGTGCATTGAAAGAAAAGCGATGCTTTTGGAGATGAAGGTGATGAGAAACATGCTAGGATCACATCGCCGGGCGTATATTTCTTGCTAATCTGTTATAAAATCGAGAAAACCCCGGTGATATCTGATCCGGAGATATCTTGGTTGTACTTTAATTGACGTAATTACCTAGTGTTAAGTGCTGTGTAGTGGGTTGGTCCGCTAAATATTCGCCATGGAGGTAGGTTATCTAATTCAATTTATGGGGCACAAACCTGCTATGTACTGGATATTTGCACCTTTAGAGTGAAATCTCCAGAAAGTCCTAAATTCGCACACAGAGAAACTCCATTGTTGGAAACCGGATCTTACCCATACCTGGAACCCACAAATCACCAAAATATCGATTTTTTTCCGCAACACCCATCAATGCTTTCTTCATCTCCTCATCCACACCTACCACACCCACCCATACCAAGTACCTAGGTGGTGGGTCTGCAGTTTCTTTATCGATAAAACACCCGGATCAATCCTAAAGAGGCTAAGACAAGACGGGATTGAAGCTGCATTGCGCCAATCTAATTCTAGACTAGCGCTAGTTTTGCCACCTCTCGAGTTGCTTTGAGTGATTGATCAGCCTCAACCTTGTAAGAGCCTCTCCAACGAAAAACATCATCCAACATCATCCACACTTTTCCCGTCTTTTGATTTCAACCACAACACACATCCAGAAGTCAACAAAACATCGAGTTTTGTTGATACAGACGGACTGTGGTGGGTCTCCCATCACCTTCAATGCATTTGATGCAGGTTTACACCGCAGGACGTGTCGCTGACTTGTTCTATTAATCCAGTGTGACCACGCGATCGGGACGCGCTCCTTTCGCCTCCCCATCAATAACTGCGAATACTACTTTTCTCCAGCACTGGCGCTTTTTTAGGCGTCGTTAATTGTTCTTGGCAACAAGATACCTTCATTCTTTTTTTGCCCGCGCCTTGATAATAACCTTCGGTCGCCTTTTGTCTACTCTCGATCTCTAATTCACAGATTCTTTCGTAATCTTTCTTTACCACACCTTTCGTATTCCACGCCACCGAGTTCGCAATACTTCTCCGTCATAACCACCTATCGAAACCGACTTATTCAATTGAATCGTTGCGGAATCATCGCCACTATGGCAGACTACGATGAAGAATACGAGTATGAGGAGGAGTATGCTGACGAGAACATCATTACGCCGGAGGATTGCTGGGTCGTTATCGGCTCTTACTTCAAGAAGAAGGGCCTAGTTTCTCAACAGATCGACTCTTTCAACGATTTTCAAGAGACGACCATTCAAGAGCTAGTCGAGGAATATTCTCAGATTAGTGTCGATGAACATAATCCGCCTTCTGCGGATGGTCGGGCCATTGCGCTTCGAAGATATGATCTCAAGCTTGGTCATGTAACCATCGCGCGCCCTATCGCTATGGAAAGCGATAACACCTCCGGTCCTCTACTTCCCTACGAATGTCGCGACCGAAACATGACATATGCTGCTCCCATCTACGTCAAGGTTGATAGTAAGGTGACTGCGTGTATCGAACAGGACATCCCTCTGCACGAGATGGATGAGGAGCAGCAGGCAGAAGCGCGCAGCACCGGAAAACACCCGACCCGCCTGGTTTGGGAGCCCGAGGAGAATGTGCTAGAGACCCCCTCCGCCGACAAGGGCAAGGCTGGTGATCAGATCTTCATCGGCAAACTTCCTATCATGGTCAAGTCCAAAGCGTGTCACTTGAACGGCGAGCCCGACGACGAGTTGTTCCTATTGAACGAATGTCCCTACGACCAGGGAGGTTACTTTATCATCAACGGAAGCGAGAAGGTTCTGATCGCTCAGGAGCGATCAGCTGCCAATATCGTTCAGGTCTTCAAGAAGGCTCAGCCGAGTCCGTTTTCTTACACCGCAGAGATTCGAAGTGCCCTCGAGAAAGGATCGCGGCTCATCTCATCTCTGATGTTGAAGCTATACACGAAGGGAGATGCTTCCAGAGGAGGATACGGCGAGACTATTCATACTACCTTGCCGTTTGTCAGGGCTGATCTGCCGATTGCTATCGTCTTTAGGGCTTTGGGTGTTGTTAGTGACGAGGAAATCCTGAACCACATTTGTTACGACCGCAACGACAGCCAGATGCTTGAGAAGCTACGTCCTTGTATCGAGGAGGCCTTCTGTATCCAGGACCGAGAGGTCGCTTTGGATTACATTGGAAAGCGTGGCAGGGATTCGCACAACGTAGCCAGAGATCGTCGTATCAGAGCGGCGAAAGACATCCTGCAGAAAGAGATGCTTCCCCACATCTCTCAGAGCGAAGGTTGCGAGACCCGAAAGGCGTTCTTCCTGGGCTACATGGTTCACAAGCTTCTTCAATGCTCTCTTGGCCGACGCGACACCGACGATCGTGATCACTTCGGCAAGAAGCGTTTGGATCTTGCCGGTCCTCTCCTGGCTAAGCTATTCAGAAATATTGTTCGCCGACTAGTGCAAGAGATAACTCAGCACCTCAAGCGCTGCATCGACGGGAACAAACGTTTCCAGATTGAACTTGCCGCCAAGCCCGCCATTATCACCAACGGCTTGAAGTACTCGCTCGCTACGGGTAACTGGGGCGATCAAAAGAAGGCGATGAGCTCGACTGCCGGTGTATCGCAGGTCTTGAACCGCTACACTTTCTCGTCGACCCTTTCTCATTTACGACGAACGAACACGCCCATCGGAAGAGATGGAAAGCTAGCCAAGCCACGGCAGCTCCACAACACTCACTGGGGTCTTGTCTGTCCGGCAGAGACTCCCGAAGGCCAGGCCTGTGGCTTGGTGAAGAATCTATCCTTGATGTGTTCTATCAGTGTTGGAACATCGACAGATCCTATCGTGGACTACATGATCACTAGGAATATGGAAGTCCTGGAGGAGTATGAACCGATGAGATATCCCAACGCCACTAAGATCTTCCTCAACGGCTCCTGGATCGGTGTACACCAGGACCCTAAGACCCTCGTCAGGGACGTTCAGGCCCTCCGTCGAGCCAACCAGATACCTGCTGAGGTCTCGCTGGTTCGTGATATCCGAGACCGTGAATTCAAGATCTTTTCGGATGCCGGTCGTGTGATGCGCCCCCTGTTCCGCGTACAACAGGAAGACATCGCCGAGCAGGGCATCGAGAAGGGCACGTTGGCTCTTACCAAGCAGATGATCAAACGTCTAGAAGCAGATGTCGATCTGGACCCGGAGAGCGAGGCGTACTATGGCTGGCAAGGTCTAGTCAACGAGGGAGTTATCGAGTTCCTCGATGCGGAAGAAGAGGAGACTGCGATGATTTGCATGACGCCGGAAGATTTGGACACCTACCGTATGACCAAGCTTGGGTATGAGGTGTCCCAGGACAACGGAGATGAGGTGAATAAGCGACTCAAGACTAAAATCAACCCGTCAACGCACATGTATACCCATTGCGAGATCCATCCCAGTATGCTCCTGGGTATCTGCGCAAGCATCATTCCATTCCCAGATCATAACCAGGTATGTGATGTGCGTAAAAATGTTGCTTTTTCGCTACTAACCATGGTACACAGTCTCCCAGAAATACTTACCAATCGGCTATGGGTAAGCAAGCTATGGGTTTTTTCCTCACGAATTATAATCGTCGTATGGATACTATGGCGAACATCTTGTATTACCCGCAGAAGCCGCTTGGCACAACGCGTTCGATGGAATTCTTGAAATTCAGAGAGCTTCCAGCCGGCCAGAATGCTATCGTTGCCATTGCTTGTTACTCTGGATACAACCAAGAAGACTCCGTCATCATGAACCAGAGTAGCATAGACCGAGGTCTCTTCCGAAGCCTTTTCTTCCGTTCCTACAGCGACTGTGAGAAGCGAGTGGGAATTAATACGGTCGAGACATTTGAGAAGCCGTTTAGATCAGATACATTACGTCTCAAGCAGGGAACGTATGACAAGCTAGACGACGACGGAATTATTGCTCCTGGTGTCAGAGTTCTAGGAGAAGATATCATCATTGGAAAGACGTCGCCTATCAACCCGGACAATGAAGAGTTGGGCCAGCGCACGAAGGTGCACGTCAAGCGTGATGCATCTACGCCTCTTCGAAGTACCGAAACTGGTATTATCGATCAGGTCATTCTTACCACAAACCAGGATGGTTTACGATATGTCAAGGTGCGAGTGCGAACTACCAAGATTCCGCAGATTGGAGATAAGTTTGCATCTCGCCACGGGCAAAAGGGAACTATTGGTGTTACGTACAAGCAAGAGGACATGCCTTTCTCTAGGGAAGGCATTGTTCCTGACTTGATTATCAATCCCCACGCCATTCCTTCGCGTATGACGATTGCCCATTTGATCGAGTGTCTGCTTAGTAAAGTCTCTACCCTTAAGGGAATGGAGGGAGACGCTACGCCGTTCACCGACGTTACTGTTGATTCGGTATCCAACCTCCTACGTGAGCACGGATACCAGTCTCGCGGGTTCGAGATCATGTACCACGGCCATACCGGACGCAAGCTTCGAGCTCAGGTATTCTTCGGGCCCACATATTACCAGCGTCTGCGACATATGGTCGACGACAAGATCCACGCGCGTGCCCGCGGTCCGGTGCAGATAATGACGCGCCAACCTGTGGAAGGTCGTGCAAGGGATGGAGGTCTCCGTTTCGGAGAAATGGAACGTGACTGTATGATTGCTCACGGCGCCGCCTCTTTCCTAAAGGAACGTCTCTTCGAGGTATCAGACGCCTTCCGAGTACACATCTGCGAAGTCTGTGGTCTTATGACGCCTGTGGCGTAAGTTCTCTCCCCTTTCTCTCTCTCTCTCTCTCTCTCTCTCTCTCTCTCTCTCTCTCTCTCTCTCTCTCTCTCTCTCTCTCTCTGTTTTTGCGTTTGTCAAGAGTAAATACTGACAGAAGTGTTTTAGCATCTTGAGCAAGGGCTCCTTTGAATGCCGTCCATGCAGAAACAAGACCAAGATCGCGCAGATCTATATCCCGTATGCCGCGAAGCTTCTGTTCCAGGAGCTCATGGCTATGAACATCGCCACTCGCATGTTCACCGACCGCTCTGGCGTCAGTATCCGTTAAGAATGACGAAGAACATAGCCGGAACATTGGGCGGCGGGTGTGACGGGGTTTCCGGGGCGGCAAATGACGAATCAATCAGATGGCTCGCTCACGTGTAAATGCATATGGTTGGCGTTTTTCTCTTTCGTATCTTCCCACATGCAAGCCGATATCCATCAGGACACTATTGCAATTATAGGTTTGCACATTAAGGCGTCAAAGGTTACAGGCTTCAGTATGCCTCGAGAACGGGTCCCCAAAAATCAGGTAGTCTACGTAGCTAAAAAGAAGAGCTGGTAGCTAATGTCCCAATGTTTTATTGGCCGGTACAAGTTGATTGTGAAGTACGGAAATGAGTTATAGAAGTCTATGTTCGCTTTATTGAGTGCTCTATGCTGTTTATGTTACTTACAACCTTCAAAGCTGAAGCGACGAGCCCAGCAGTATGGAAATAAGTGGGTGATTAACTGATTAAAATCATCAGAAGCTCATAGTGCTAGTGGTCATAACGATCCAGCTCGACGACCTGGTTCCGACTATTCAACTCGTAGTGATCTGTCCAAGTCCCTTGCGAGAGCTCCATATATCCCGTTTTATTCCCAAGACCTTTCTCGTACGTTGGTTCTAGGGCCCTAGAGTCGTGATCCGTCCTGCGTTCTTCCTGCTCCTGCTCTTGCTCTACTCCTAGCCTGTCACTGGTATCACGCCGGGCACTCCCCAGTCTTCGGCCGGACCACCGCATGACCATTAAGATGTTTCCGACGAACAGACATACGACAGCTATTAGTATACAAATTCCGACACCGAATCTCCCTACAGCGTCATCAAAGATTCTGTTCTTCGGCGCATCCTTTAGCTTCGAGAATAAGTACGTGTAACGTTGTCAGCCTACAAAATAATTGGCAGCACAACGAGCGAGATATGTCTGCGCAAGAATACGGAGGACACGAATATGAAGGAAAACGCAGTTACCAGGGTGTTGTAGGGCCATGGCCTGAATCAACCGCTTAGAGTCGGATGTCGCCTGGGTCGAGTCTAGTGATGACATCTAAGGGGTAAGAGATATCGTAACCCATGCTTGGGGATGTGCGAGCATCTTCCTGGGGTGTTTAGATTCTTGGAGATGTTAGCTATACGCACATACGCGTATTCCTAGGCCACAAATCCAAGAGGCCCTCTACGATAGACCAGGAATGTTTATGTTGGTAGCTACTGGGTAGATAGTAAAAGGGTGGTCTTGGTCAATGCGTCCTTGCGTTCTCTCGATCGCGACTATCGCGAATTGGCACACAGATCGACGGATCTTAATACAATAGCTGATCTACACTATGAGATCGAGGTTTTAGTTAAAGATTACCTAGTTGCGCGTTTCATAGTTAGTATAAATTTTCTTCGGTGAAAGCAAACAGTGTTAAGGGTAAGATATCATCATGCAATACTACAGCGTCAATATGCCGGATGTTTATATCGCGAATGTTGGTGAGTTGCGGCACAAGTAGAAGCTGATACGCCATTCATACACCCCTAGATAGCAGCAGGGCTCAATCGTTGACTAGGTAATCTATATATGTAGCTTCAATTTTGAAATGCACCTTGAGATAAAAGCGTAATAGGATTGATTTGAGAAAATATGGAACTTCTTAAGAGGTATGTACGCTGAATAGCTTCACTCCGGTATGAGAACTTCTCGAAATAGTCCTCAAGTTCAGTTTTGACCTATCAAGGCTAATAACGATTATATTCAGAAGGCGAAGAGACAACCCACTGTGTGCTTCATCTTCGTGCTAGAACATCGCCCCTTAAGACAGGAAGGGAGCCTTCACATACCTAGAGTAAGCAATCAACTTGCCTTACCCATTGCCCACTGTTTCAATTGTATATTTACTAGCACCGTTGGTCGGATACTCTATCATTTGTCTATTCTCCATCAGCTGTTCGACGTGACCTAAACGGTGTGGCTTAAGTGCCTATTGAACGATTCATCCTCCAATCTTGCTCTACAGAAACAATTAGGATCAGGTCGGCCTCATTGCAGAGGACGACAGTCAGAAATAGTATGGCGTTTTTCAAGGTAGATCGAGGGTTTTATTACTAATGTAGAGGCGGCACTGAGGGCCAATGAAGTGTCATCACGAAGGGAGATACCATATCATAATGCACCTCGACACCGCCAGCGCGGGTGAGCCCGCCCTCTGCCTGCCCCTTCTCGGCCGACCAAATAGGAATCCGACAACCGAGACATGCATTCGGGGCACTCCCCTCTCTAGGCCAGTCATGGCTACACGAAGCGGACGGGTCGAAGACAGGATCCAGATACATTTAATTTTTCGGGGCGATGTGGCGTCCGCTAGGGCATTTCGGGCACCACTCACATTGCTCGGAGCTGGCTAGAACGGCCATCATTGCTTTTCGATGTCAAGGGGTCGTCGTTCTTACCGAGCCATTGGGACCTTGAACTATCTGGTATTCCCATCAGGGGAACAGATTCCTCGTACCTATTCCCTCTATGTGATCTAGGCTTTCCATTCATCTCTAATCAAATCGGTGGTGTACTGTAAATATCGTTCATCATGCGTGTTACCATAGATCTCCCATAGAATATCGAACGGGGAGCCGGAGATAGAAGAATTCATAAGAATCCACCACCTCGATATCTCCTCCGTGAGTTCACCCCGGAAAAGAAAAAAAGAAAAAAACCTCACGATGTCCTCACCCTCCGACCCTCGAACGCAAACCTTCTTCATCCACGGCCTCCCTCCCAACGGCCCCAACGCCACGGCCCCCCTAATCCCGATATCCATGCCGGCCATCGACGCGCAGCGCATCCGGCTAGCCAACACCTCGATAAACTACGGCGTGCAGCTCGGGCTGTGCCTCTTCTCTCTGCTGACCACGCTGCTCCTGCTCCCCACCCGCAAGCTGCGGCGCCCGATCCACCTGACGCAGCTCGCCTGCCTCGCCGTCGCCATAACCCGGCTCGCGCTCCTGGTCTTGTATTTTCCCGGCCCCTTGACCGAGTACTACGTCGCCTGGACGCAGGACGCGTCGATCTTGCGGGCGGACGAGTACAACCTGACCACGGCGTCGAGCGCCCTGAGCGCGGTCCAGGTTGCGCTGGTCGAGGCGGCGCTGGCCTTGCAGAGCAGGGTTCTGGTGCAGACTTGGGGGTCGCGCTGCCGCCGTCCCAACTCTCCTCTTACCACCGCCACTGCCACTCTTACGACAGGAAAGGGGAGCAAGATGGCGGGAAGCCGAGGAGGACAAATAGGGAAATGCTGGTGGCGTCCCTTAGTCCTCATCTTCGCCGTGGTCCTCGCCATCGCCGCCGTAGCCGTGCGCGCCGTCTGGGTGGTGCGGCACACGCAAGCGCTCAAGGGGCACGTCTTGCCGCTCCCCGTCGACAGCGTGGGCGCGGCGGCCGTCGTGCTGGCCGCCGTCTCGGTCTTCTACTTCTGCGGCGTGTTCTTCGCGCACCTGGCCCTGCATCTCGCGGCCACGCGGCGTATACTTCGGGGAAGAGGAGGAGGAGGAGGAGGAGCCGGCGGGGGGAGGAAGTTTTCGATTACGTTGACTTTGAGGGAGGGAAGTGGGAGTGGTAGGAGTAGGGGGTTGACGTCGTTGGAGATATTGGCGGTTGGGAATGGGGTTCTTATGTTGGCGCCTTGTAAGTTGTTCTTTCACTAGTAAGGGACCGAGGGAATGTGATGAAGAAAGAAAATAAAGGAAAGCGGAGAACTAACACACTCGCGTAGGTCTTTTTGCAGGCCTCGACATCGCGGCCGGGCCCTTGAACACGCACGTCCTTCCCTTCGACGCCGGATCATGGGTGGGTACGATCACAGCCGCCGGGCTACCGCTCATTAGTGTGGCGGCTTTCTACCGGGGCTCCGACTCGGAGAACTCGCGGATGAGACGGTCTCAGCCAGAAAGATGGTCTCACCGAGGAGGGAGAGAAAGTCGTTACCGCGCCTCGTCTTTCCTCGCCTCTAACGATTCTACGCTCCCTTTTCCCCCTTCTTCCCATAGCCACTTTCGAAACTCTTCTAAAGCAGACGAAGATACGACTACCGTGAATAACAATAGTCGATATTGGCGTTCGAAGTCCCCCGCTGACGATGATGTCGAAGACCTTGAGATGGGAAACAGGAGGGTGGAAATTGAGGACGATGAAGAAAATGAGATGATTCGTGTTCAAGGGGATTACCAGGTCACTATAGAAAGTGAGAGGAGTTCAAGGGGAGAATAAAGTTCTGGCTGTAATATGTATTAGATGTCCGAGCGAATTGATTAGAACATGATACCTAATAGACATCCGAGATTTCCTTTGCTCATGATACCTACCTAGCTTAACGCGTGATGAAAAATGGGACCTTACTTTCTATACCAATCAGTCCATGACATACTAGGGGTCTACTCACCTCAGCTAGACACATGAGACTCTTACCAATAAATTTCAGACCTCGAAGACTTAAGTTACGATACCCTCACAAAATGATTTTAAATGGTCTTCACAATTCGTTAGATTTTGGGTCTACCTTGTGGCAGCAACCTAGCAGCAACGCAACGTTTCTAATATGTTCGTTGCCGGCCACGTCGATTGCCATTTCCCTTAGTAAAAGCTCAAATGACAAGCCCATCCATACGCCCAGTCAATGACCGATATCGACACCCCCCGGGAAAAGGATTTATGCCCTCGACATGACACCCCATGCTCGGATAATGTTGTCAGTGTAGCCAGCGAACAGAGTCTGGCCGTCCGCACTCCAGGCCAAGCTCACGCACTCGGGTTCCCGGCTCTTCTTGCCGACGGAGGTGAACTCGGGCTTCAACTCGTCAACCTTGCTCTTCTTCTCCAGGTCGAAGATGATGATGCTGCTAGCGGTGGCGGCGCAGAGCCAGTATCGGTTGGGAGAGAAGACGAGGGCGTGGATCTCGTCGCCGGCGTTCAGGGAGTACAGGTGCTTCGACTCGTTCAAGTCCCACAGCATGGTGGTACCGTCCTTACCACCGGAGGCGCACAGGGATCCGTCGGGGGAGATGGTGACGGTGTTGATGTAGCCGGTGTGACCGATGTGGTCGGTTTGGAGCTTGCAGGTGGAGAGTTCCCAGACCTAAGACAGTAGGAGTTAGTAATCGAATCGAATACTACAACTTCCGCGCGCGAGAGTAGGGAGAGAGATGAATAGCGAGATGCGTATCATCAGGGCATTGGTGTTTAAGATGTCTCATTGCTTGTAAGCAAGCTCTGAAGTAGCAAATACTTTGATATGCAGAACATCATGTGAAAGCACTCGTATATCCTCTCTCCTGTCGCGGAAAGGGGTGGGTGGTTGTGTGCCTACCTTGACGAGCTTGTCCCAGCTGCTGGACACGATGACGGGGTTCTGGGGGTTAGGGCTGAATCGGACGCAGGAGACCCATTCGGTGTGTCCCTTGTCGGTGATGGTGAACTTGCAGTCACCTAGGGTGTTCCATAGCTTGATGGTTCGGTCACGAGAGCCGGAGACGATCTGTCGGTTGTCGGCGGAGAAGGAGACGGAGAGGACGTCGTTGGTGTGGCCGACGAACCGTCGCGTAGTAGTGCCGGTAGCGAGCTCCCAGAGTCGGAGGGTCTTGTCCCAGGAAGCAGACAGAGCGTAGGCGCCGTCAGAGGAGATAACCTGAGTAACCAACCGTCAGCAAAATTGTTGTGTCTTCGTTTACCCTTGGTATTGTAAGAGGATTGGTTCGAGGTGACATACGCAGTCGGAGACGATGTGGGAGTGGCCGTGGAGAGATCGCTTGGGGTATCCGTATTGCGACTCGTCGCGGGTGAGGTTCCAGATGATCAGGGTCTTGTCACGGCTACCGGACAGTAGCATGTTGGGGCTGCATCGCGAAGGTAAGCGTCCGATCATATATCATATTCATATTGAAACAAATAGAGAGAGCGGAAAGAGGGAATCTTACTTCTCCATGGAGGTGGCCAAACTGGTTACCCAGCCATTCTGTCGACATCAAGTATTAGCTATAATGTTTTTACCACGGTCCAAAAAATTCCAAAATCCAAGATCCAAATATGCGCTTCTGCCGCATCCCGATTTTCCACGTTTTGCGTCTCGCGATCTTTTGCGATTTTGGTTCCAATTGAATTGAACTTACGTGGCCCTCGAGGGTTCCCTTGAGAATGAGTTGCTCGGCCATTGTGAAGGGATACTCTAGTCTGTCGCGCGAAGTTCACCTTGTTCTGGGAGGAGGGGAGAAGAAGTGGTGTGGGCTTCGCTGGAATGGTCGAGGTTTGAAAGTCCTTCCTTTGCTTACTGGAAATTTTCCCCGAGAAATTTTGTGTGCGATTTCTTTAGGGTAGAATCGCTAAATCGAGAAAGTGCTTGGGTCGTCCCTAGCCTTGCCTTAAGAGGTGGGGCTCCACCAATCAGCTGAGCGAATTCCGAATAAGCTTCGTCAGCTGTGAGACAAAGCTTGTCAACTGGCAAGCACCTGCCAGTGTTTGTATTCTCAATGTTTTGACTGCTGATGTAATCAAAGGGGTTCCTACCTTATGTATATACCTTGGGAAGGACCTACCATGTACATAGTAGAATTTAGAAGCCACTTACATTACTAAGACCTTCCACTTGTCTGAGACAGATCATCCTCGGCCTTGATCTATTTTGGTGTCCATGTCTCCTTAGATAACCAGGCGATCATAGCTCCCAGAAGCAAGGCACACTATTACGAGGAAAGGCAATTCACGAGTAACACACGATTCAAAAGTCCAACGGCTTTGCGCAAAATGCATCCATATAAGAATTGTAGGCATACGTATGCCCGGGTATCTCAAGTGACAAAGCCCCAACTCCAAATCATGAATCCTTTCTGAAAGTCTGAGCACCATGAGTCCATTTCCTTCCCTAGCCACATTCCGTAAAGACCTCCTCAGCTGCGATGTGCCCAGTGGTGCCAGGGCGACCATGCTACGACGAGTTGCAATCCTTCTGTAAGGCAGAGCCAGTAGTCCTCGCTCCTTTACATTCATGATATGTAAAGGCTCAGTAGAATTTGCCATTCACGACACACGAATAGTTTAGTCAACTCTGTCTGTCTAGTTAGATCGTGATATCCACTCAAAAGTGTTGGCAATGCCTTACCCAAAACATTCCTACAAAAGACCAGAAAATAGCCTATCCAGGCCAAGTGGTCACCATCTCCATCGTGTAGATGCCTAGATCGGGTACCGTACGTCAGGTCTTACCGTTGGGTGCCTCTAACTGAGCTCGTCGACCGGGCTTATGTACGCTCTTTCGACCATGTCGAGCACCATAATTGACGATCGTGCTATGATCGGCAATTTCGGGAGTAAGACTTGTCGGATCAACTTCAGGGAGGAGTCTCGTCATCATCTTCTCCCACGCCGCCTGTCGCTCCTTACTAAGAGAGTTCTTCTGGGCGACTGCTCTAATCTCCTTTTGCCGGCTGATCCTAGCAGCACGATTGATCTGTCGCAACGCCCGCTCGCCCTTCCTCGCGTCCGCCTCGGCCTGTGCTTGCTCCTTGCTACGATCGACTACATGATGGTACGGAGTAAACCGGTATGCAAAAGGACTAGGCAATGAAGGGAAATGCTTTGGGATCCAGGGTCGCTGCTCTTTCTCCTTCTGACCAGATAGTTCATCGCCTAAGAACGGCCGAGGTTTTACAAACTGCTGGATGTCCTCTTTGATGGGATTGAAGAAGGAAGGCGTAAGCTCCTCTTTCGGAACGGCGTGCTTTAGGTGTGGCTTTAAATCGGATAAGGGTATCTTTAATCTGTGTAGGGCGTACTCGAAGTCCGGAGGTATCGGATCATTCCTTCGCGCTGCGTTTGCACTTCGTTTGACAGTCTCTAAGAAGTGAGTAATGTCTATAGGATGGTCAGCATGCCAACTCGCGAGTAAATGGTGGCTTCAATGTGCACGTACATGATTCTGCGGCTTCTGTGAGACTTTCTAGGGCGTCGCTCTTAGAGCTGTCGAAACCTGCATGCTGCAGCTGCAGACCAATCGAACGTCTCAAGCCGTCTCTTCCAAAATTGTGCACAATAGAGCCACTTGCAACCTCGTACGCTGGCTTTGCGGATAATGTCGCATTTGGAGTAATAGAGCGAGTGTCGGCATCAACGGTCTTCTGGCGCTTAGATTGGTGATATTGGCTCGCCTCACTGCCACTGGTGCTAGGACGCTTTCGCGAAGTATCCATGATGTGAAGACGATTCGTCGGATGGGATTCCAGAGACGAAAAGATATCGTAGATTAAGCGTATATCTACGCAAGCAATGATATAGAAGCTGAAAAGGTAACTATAGAAGGAGGTATCTCCAGTGCTTCGATATCGATGGTAGAAGGTAGAGGTACGTGTGTCAGCAGAATTGTCGGTTACCGATCTTCTCCGTGCAATTTCAACAACCCAAATATCGCTATGTCGACGAGGCAACGCGACTGCAAAGTGGATATCTTAAGTCATAAACATAAAGTCGCACGTTAAGCAGAGAAATAAGCAGGTTGAGGGCGATGCTCGTGGTATATTATTGCTGTTCGTATGAAGTGCAGATTTAAAAGGGTTATGGTAGAAGATGCGCGACGCGTACGAGAGGGCGAGAGAGTTCGGTCTGCTAGTATTGCCTGTTTACAGAGGCGGCCCCTGTAGATAGGTGGATGCTCAATATTGCAGATTCGCAGAGCTACCTATGTTGGCGACGAACGTAGCAACGAAGACGCAGGTGACGATACCGCGAGTCGGAATCGGATGTAAGGCCGACCGAGAGAAAGCATGCGTCGGGACCCAGCAGAAATCTATTAATGTAAGAGTGATTAATAAGACGCGATTAATGCGCTACTCGTAATATGTAGAACACTCTCGCGAGAGGGCGAGGGCGAGGGTGAGGGTGATGTTGAGAATAGGATGAACTAGACCGGCTCTCGATCGAGGTTGAAGATGTTCCGAGTCAATATTCAATACGAAGTTACAAAGTTAGAAAAGCTAAGCTGCACATGTGCAAGGGTGCAAAGGTTGCTAGGCTGAAAGTTAAAGTGGGACCATGCGGCTAGTACCTGCGACGGGGAGCTGTGGCTGAAAGGTTAAACTTCGTAATGGTACGTACCTGCTTGTGTAGTGGGATGGCGGGGCTAGTGCGATGGAAACCATCAACCTTAAAAAAACTATTTCTTTCACCTGGTGTGTATATGTGTAGGTATATATAAATCTTCATTTCTAACCCAATCCAACTCATGCATAATAAGCCAATATGAGTACAATTAATTATTTACTTGCTCATCTATGAGATGTGAGGCAAGGAGTTGCTAAAATCGGGTCGAGGATATGAAGAATCGATGAGTTATCTAATTCTCTTGCACCCATTTCAGTCGTATATAACGAAGTCTTAGCGATCTCACCCATACCACGACACCATGATCATCCAGTTTATATTTATTTTAGATTTAGAATTCCATGTAGCAAGATTTCTTTGGAAACTTACCTAACCTAGCATAAGCACCATCAAGCACTACTCAGCTACTGTGAACTGATGGTTAGACTGGCGATAGATTAAGAAATATGGGGCTTGGCTGGTTCACCCCTTGTGGCTCCTCTCATATCCCAGCTGGACTGTTGTCTTACCCTAATATCCTCCTGATCCTCTAATAAACCAAAAATCTGGCGAAAACATTAGTAGACGTGATGAGGTGAACTAAACAAAACATCATCGACGAAAGATGCATCAGCTCGCGAACCTGAAAGTGAATGGGGGCTCAGAAGGTGAGACCAAGTTGAAGATCTCGAAGCCCCTGAATCGCTTTCCGAATGAGATCTTTCACTTCGCCGATTCTCTCGAGCACCTCGATCTCTCAGGCACGGGATTATCGACGCTACCCGACGACTTCGGTCGCTTGAAGAAGCTCAAGATCGCATTCTTCTCCAATTGCAACTTCACCGTCTTCCCCAAGCAGCTAGCCTCGTGTCCCGAGCTCGAGATGGTCGCGTTCCGCGGTAACCAGATGGTCGAGATCCCGGAGGATTCTTTGCCGCCGAAGCTACGCTGGCTGATCCTCACCAACAACCGGATACGGGCGCTGCCTAACGACATTGGTCGATGCTCGCGCCTCCAGAAGTGCATGTTGGCCGGAAACCAGCTCGATCGCCTGCCGCGCGAGATGGTCGCATGTAGGAAACTCGGTCTGCTACGACTCTCGGCGAATTGCTTCGAGGAATTGCCAGAGTGGCTATTCGACCTACCGGAACTGGCCTTCCTATCGTTTGCCGGGAATCCGTGTTGCTCGTTACCTGCGACGTCGAAGGATGCCCGTGACACCACACCGTCCAATGTTCTCCTCCCCGAGGTTCGCTGGGCTGATCTCGATATCCGCGATCTCCTTGGCGAGGGCGCATCGGGCACAATCTCCAAAGGGTCATGGAACGGCATCGATCAGGTTGAGGAAGTGGCCATTAAGTTGTTCAAAGGGGATGTTACGAGTGACGGAACACCGGCCGATGAGATGGAAGCGTGCATGAGGGCCGGATCGCACACAAATCTCATAGATCCTCTGGGGAAGATTACTGATCACCCCACCAAGAAAGGGCTCGTCATGCAACTTATCCCAACGTGTTACGACACCTTAGGGCTGCCACCATCTCTGCAGTCCTGCACGAGGGATTGCTTCTCGCACGAGATCGGCTTGACCACGCGCCAGGGTCTGAAAATCCTTCAAGGCGTCGCTAGCGCGGCGAGACATCTGCACGAGCGAGGCGTAGCACACGGTGATTTGTATGCGCACAATATACTCTATAACGAAGACGGGCACGCATTTCTAGGCGACTTTGGGGCCGCGTCTATATACGGGAACGTAAATCACAAGAAGGTCGAGCGGCTGGAGGTGCTCGCCTTTGCTCACCTAATCGAAGATGTGTGGAGCCTTACGAGGCACAAGTTCGACGAGGACGAGTTGCGGATTGCCATGCTCCTCGCGGCTCTGCATCGACGTTGCTCAGATCTCTCGACTCACCAGCGGCCAGACTTCCGCGAGATCAGCCGGCACTTGAGCGCGATGGAACAATAGCGGCTGCTATAATGGCTGCTATAACGCTGTCGAGGTCGTGTTCGCCAATGCTACGCTACGTTAGACACGCAACCTCAAAAATGACGAACGCGTTCGGTTGGGCCTTTCATAGTCCGAGCACCACAATTCGGGCTTTGCAGATCGGGATTTCCTTAATCCAAGGCTTAGAAATCCCTGGAAAAAGTGTGGGAGGGCGTCACGGGAATACATATCCATGTGTTGTCCTGGGGTCCAGGTCTGATTTTCGCGGTTACATGTTTTCTCTCGCCCTACGGTATGGGGTGGCTCCAGGTGATTAATGCCGGAGCAAGTAATAAATTCGCAATTAGCGGCCCAGGGCAGGGGGGAAGAAGAGAAGGTCGAAAACAGTGACGGGCCAATGAGGGATCAATAGAACGGGCAAATCTCGCTATAAATCATAGAACCTAGACGATAGATTAGAACTTGTCACGTCATCTCCCACATGGCATTTTAAAGATCCGAGAGCTTCCCAGCTATACAGCTACATCTGTATTCTGTACGACCGAAGCAAGCTTGTATCGCCGGAGATTTGGCATAAGACGAACAAGACCGAAGCTGTTCCGGAGTCAGCGGAGACAAGGACAGTCAGCGGGGATGAGCCAAAGTTGCCTGCCGCCAAGGTCAAAAAAAAAGTCAGACTTATTAAACGGATTCCAAAACATACGACCACTCGGAATAGTGAATTGTATGTAGTTTTGCTACGTGTTACCTCGGCGCCATAATAACCGCGACAGAGGTAGCAGTAAGCCTTTTCAGCCGTCCCCCCATCCATTATTACTAGCACGTGTAAAATGAAACACACTCGGCCGAGTTCGATAGTCGTTGCAACTTATTTCGACACGACGCTGGCCCGTAACTTTTCAGCTCCGAACTCTCACCTCCCGTTTTTAGACATAGCCCGATCCTCCCGCGGCGGGAACATGTACGTAGTTACGGCATGGCCCGCTCGTACATCGATCACCTTGTTCATCTTCACTTACTTACGTAGGTAGGTATCGGTGGTGAATCTCAATTGGAAGTTTGCCGATCCTGGTTGGCTAAAGCAGCTCTGACACGCGGCTTTCAGGGAAGATCCATAAGAGTATAACGTTTGTGCGTAGTATGTGCATATGTGAGTTTGTTATACTACGAAGTATGTATGTGCGTCCACGTATCCGTGCGTGTATGATGATGGTATATGCAGAAGCGAGAGCCCGCTCGGGGTTGTATCGCCTATTACATGTACGTGCCTTTTCGCTCGCTAACCTAACCTACCTACCTCACCTACCTCTTACCCACCTACATACAGCACACTTGTCAGTAAATAGGTAGGTCACATCCGTAACGGGTTGCCAACTCTCCCGCCTCGTTCGTCGACCTATGAGCTAGGTGGCTGCAATAATAAAGATCTTACGCTTGAACAAGCTGACAGTTCGTTCCCCTGAGTTCCCGAAGAAAACCCCGCGCGAAACACTTCTATATGAGCTTCTTTTCCCCTTCTCCAACCTCCAAAGGTAAAACATCCCGTCTTTCACACTCCCCGTAGGATTCGCGTCGTTAGATTTGGAGATACCGTGCATCCTTCGCATGACAGAATCTCACCGCGATCTGAGAGCCCTACTAGGAATCATAGGGATCATGCACCCGAGGTATATTCTGTCGCGAAGGTGTCTATTTAACTTATCCAAAACTTATCGCTTCGATACCAGGTAGGGTGGTTTTAAATATCTAAGATATATACCTAGGCAGGTAGGTAAGTGAAGCGGTCGCTCATCGGTTTGGGGTCGGATTTGGAGAACGGTGCACACACTGCATGGTTCTTTTTACAGGCCCTGGCAGGTTTAATATGTGGTAAAAGACGACAAGTTACCTAAGTAGCAGATAGGGCGGCCAATGGGGATGAGGAATGGTTGTTGGAGAAGGTAGGTAGAGATTCTAGAGTGTCATTCGCGTCGACGCCTCTTTCTTTTTCATTTATCGAAGCATGGCTGTCCTTGCAAGCGGATAAATACGTGTGTCTGGCTACACCCCTAGAATGGCAGTCAAGAACGTCTTCGCTGCTTATGAAAGAGTAAAAGAGTAAAGGATTCACCTGGCGGCGAAGGCGTGGGGTTATCATAAGAGATCGTCAGGAGTTACACACCTACTTACGCCTACACACCTACATATCTTCACACCTTCACACCTCGATACCTTACAAGACTTACGCAAGGGGCTGTCAGCGTGAGACCTCATTCACCTCGGGACCTGATTACTTGCCTTAGCACCGATCAATGATAGGCGTTCCTGTCAGTCGAATCTGATATTCAAAACGTCTTGCCTACCACGGGATTAATGCCTCACATGATATTTGTCACCACATAGCCAAGTCAAGTAGGACATTCTGGACATCTTGGTCCCTTGGCTCGAGAGGACGTTGAGCCAATAGTGAGCAAAGCGAATACGCTGTATAGTCAAGGTGATGACTTATGCATATCGTAGTCCGGGCTCGCTTCTAATTTTGTATGCGGAAATTGTAGATCTCGGGGACTATATAGCGATTTCGATATACTGTTCGATATACTATTCGATATGCTACCTGCGGCAGACACGACAGATCAGAGCATCATAGTCTGATACAGGGTCCGAATCAAGTCAAGCTCGAGCAGCAGCTTGAACAACTCGAACCACTCGAACCACATGAACCACTCATAGCAAGCTGAACCGCTCGATGCAGCGATGCAGCTGTGGATATGATCATGGAAGTCATAGCGGAGAATTTCATTAGTTTCTTCGACGGGGGCTTTCTAACGGGGCCCTAACGGGGCTTCGGCAGGGACGTCGAACATTAATATCCTGCAAGCCTTTCAATTAAGAAGGTTAAGGGAAGGTCTAAGGAAGGTCTAGAACAGATTGGCGTAATCACGTTGGCATCCGAATCTACCGTAAAAGATTTAGCAGCGCAGATCCGCATTGACTTTCTTGACTTTCCTCAACCTCCTCATCAGAAATCGCAGATTACCGGACCGAGCGTGCATTTCGAGTACCGAATTTGCTCTCATCTCTTTCATCGCTTAAACACGTCGATACGATGATGATTCAATGACAACAACAAAGGGACCGCAGCATTGTTGCGCTGCGGAACATCGGCATTGGCCATCGGAAGCAAGATCCCTAAAAGACCGGGTGCATTATTCCTACGTATATGCTATCCTCGACAGAAAGGATGTGATTCGTAAAGTGTTTGGGTGTTTGGGGAGATTGACGAGGAGATATTGGAGAAAAGATGAGAGAAATGGATAGAGATTCTAGGGTCAGGATACCTAGGACTAGTGGGGTAGGAGAAGAAGAGCCCTGGTGCACTTGCGTAAGTTACGAGTGTAACCTATCCATGGATCCATGGATGGGTTAACTGCCTGTACTCCAGGGCTTCCAAGGTTTAAGCTAATGCCCTAGTGAACATTGAATGTCCCTAGCTGCATGGTGCTGCGAGTTGCTGCGACTTGTAGGAAGCGACTGCCGTAGCTGCATATCCTGCTACTATCCCACTATATCCCACCTGAGGATTTACGGTCTGGTAGTTTCGATCAGTCGCTTGATAGGCCAACTGCGACGTGATTAACCTCGACGAACCTTGTCTGACCTTGCCGAAGTCTAAGAGTCTAAGTTTAAGTCAAAGTCCAAAATCCGTCCGTTCCACTTGTTTGACCATATCTTTAGTGGGAACGTATCGAAGTCTCCACTAGAAAGATCGACAATGTTTTCCACCAAATAGAGCGAATAGAAAGATTGCCAGGCACCCCGGTCTTCCATGTGGTTTTGGCAATGTTCGAAAGACCAAGGAAAGAAGAAAAGGCAGCTACTTGTGCTACTTGTTTTACTTGTTTCTACATGCTGAGAATGGAACGAATGAGGAGAAAGAAAGAGCGTTGAAAGAAAAACAAAAACGAGGTTAAATGTTGCAATATTATTACTATGTCTTCTTTTGGCGGCTCTACTTTTCTCTCGTTTCTCTTAATACCTAGTCTTTTATACTACTGACGTCTTTTCTGTCTTTCCACCTCACCCCCCCTCTCTTCTCCCACGCCCCCTCCTTACCCCCAACCTTACCCTTACCCTCAGCCATGCCCCTGTCACTCTTTTCAGAGAATCTTCCCCCAATTCTCTATTCCTCGAACTTATTGAACGAAAGCGAAAGTCGCGAAAAACGCCCCAACGTTGCTCTACCATTCTTGTTGTTATGCATCAATACGTCGGCTCGTTGCTAGATGATCACGCATGCATAGAGAAGTTCTCATCGTCATATTGATCAAGGACAGCCCCAGCCTGACCACCTAAACCTTGACAACCCAGACAGCATTGAACCTTGACTGCTACTAGGTGCTAGGTACTAGGTACTAGGTACTAAGTACTAAGTACTACTAGCCCGCGTCCCTTCCTGCTATCATACATACTTGATCCATTGGATACTTCCATACTTCCTATTTTGATCTGTTCTCTATTTAGTATATCCCGCCTGCCTGTCAATTTTGTCTGTGACCTGTGACTAAACCCTTTCTAATTCTTTTCATCTATCTGATTTACCTATTTCGATATTAAACCCTACGTATCTGGCATTCTACCTCATCATGCTTTATCGTACTTAATATCGCCGATGGGAGGATCTCATCTTTGCCTGCCCTACACTCTTCGCTCCCGAGGTCCACGATATATGATCTTAGCTTTCTCGTCATCTCATCTATATTGGTCCACTTCGATCGTCTAAAACATTGTACTATCGTCGAACCCATTTTTTCTCTTGGTATTGGGTGGATTGATTTCCCTTGGCTCTACTACGACATTTGCCCGGAACGCGGATTGCCAAGCTTAGTTTACAGCCCTAGTGATACATATATCCAAGCATAGCTAGGCTGTCAGATCATTGATCGTTTATTATATCCTTATATTCTTTTTATATCACGCCCTTGACCGGCAACCTCGTACCGTCACCGTTTTAAGTCTAGGGTTGTCTGGTTGTTGTTTTCAACTATGTCATAGCAACGACTTCGTCTTTGACAAGAGAGTAAGCAAGTCATCGACTATCCGCCACTCTCTAGCTCATGTTTCTAACTCAGATATGTGATCTATTAGATTGTTTTGGATATTTTGGATATTGGACATTGGATATCATATACATATTAAGCGAACTTAATAATAGTGTCAGTCATGTTCTCCATAGACAAGAGTCTTCTTCCGGCCTTGACAACTCGTAAGGCCTTACTTGTTGTCGACCCCCAAAATGACTTTCTGGATGAGGATGGCGCCCATCCTATCAACTATCCCATGGATCTCCCAGATCGAATAGCAAGTTTGGCAACCGGTTTTCGACAAGGCGGTGGCGACATCATCTGGGTGTCTAGTCGATTTGAGAAGTCGCGATCTATCTTGGAGGAGCAGATCTTAACATCAGACCGTTCAACGAACCCTCGGTCCCCGGATCATTCTCGTGGACGTCGTCGACAAGTACCGCAACACACGCCCCAAGTTTCCGAATGCCCTGAAGCCTTCCTGACCCAAGAGACTCCGAATTTACCGAAATGTGTTCGGGCAGGTTCCTACGGGATAGACATGCATCCAACTGTAAAGGCAACTGTCGGGCCTAGGGATTATTCGGTTATCAAGACTTACTACTCGGCTTTCAGGTCGGAGCAACTCCTTCGGCTACTACGCATGAGACTCGTCACGGAACTGTTCATTTGCGGCGTCTCGACCAATACTGGGGTTATGGCCACCGCTGTCGACGCCGCAAGCCATGGATATACCATCACCATAATCGAAGATTGCTGCGGTTACCATAACATAATGCGACATCGCAACGCTATTAAGCAGATTTCGAACACGACGGGCTGTGACATTGTAGCTGCGGAAGACGTATTGGTATCCCTCAAGCCCAAATCGAAGCAGACAAGGAGGTCGGGTGATAGGCCGGCGACATCTCCAGCCAGCAGGTTCTCTACCGTACGTCGTACCGGGGGAGGGGACGCTTCTTCTGCGTCCTCGGCCTCAGAACTCTTATCGTCATTTGAGAACCTGTCGCTAAGTGCTGAGCGTACAGCCGATACCCCCAAGCCCGACGCATCTGCGGAAAGTGCAACATTGCCGATTCAACCCTTGGTGAACCTCGTGAAACCGAGAGCTGTTGCGCAAGGCTGCCGGCAGTCACGTGCCAATTCTTCATCATCGAGATCGGGTCGAACCGATTCAGCCAACCTAGCCGAGCCACATCGAACGATCCGATATGATGAGTCACAAAGCAGTGAGCATGATCACAATGATGATGTGCAGGCTCCGCAGGTCAGAGAGACATTGCCGCCAACAACAACAGCGCAGAGCAATAGCATTGTTCCTCACTTACACTCTTCAGAGATCTTACAACCAAACAAAGAATGTAAAGCAACTGTTTCTGACCAGGACCAACTAAAAGATGATGGAATCCACTCACCATCAGAGATAAGCCAATCCAGCTCTTCGTTAGGAGGCAACCTGAAATCAGTAGGGATTGTGAGTGAGACACCAAGCGAAAAAGACTCCCAACAGACCAAAACGCCACCGAAGGATTCGAAAATTGAAGTTAACAACAATAGCAAGATGGCATCTCAAGAAGCGATAACACCCAGGGAGAGTGATCCTTTGGCTGAGGGTGATACGAAGATCATTTATGACATTTTACCCCCACCATTATCCGAGAATATCTTCGAGAAGATAAAAGAGGAAGTAGATTGGCGGCGAATGAACCACCAAGGTGGCGAAGTACCGCGGCTGGTCGCTGTTCAGGGACAGGTGGATGAAGATGGTACCATGCCCATTTACCGCCACCCAACCGACGAATCACCCCCCTTATTCCCATTTACCTCTACCGTGCGTAGCATTAAGGAAGTCGTAGAGAAACAATTGGGTCACCCCCTGAATCATGTCCTAATACAACTTTACCGAAGTGGTAACGACTACATCTCGGAGCATAGCGACAAGACTCTGGATATCGCCAAGGATAGTTTCATCGCCAATGTCAGCCTAGGGGCGGAACGAACGATGGTTTTCCGATCGAAAAGAGAGCTTTCAGAACCCGGACGTCCACGTCTGCCACGGAAGACTGAGCGAGCATCCTTACCCCACAACTCATTATGCAAGATGGGACTAAGGACAAATATGCGATGGCTCCATAGTATTCGCCAGGACAAGAGGATGGAACGTGACAAGACGGAGGCGGAGCTTGCCTACGACGGCGCTCGTATTTCGTTGACGTTCCGACAGATAGGGACATTCTTGGATCGGGACGGCAGATTAATTTGGGGACAAGGGGCGACGGCAAAGTCCAAAGAGACGGCGAAGAACGTGATCAACGGCCAGACGTCCGAAGCCGTCAAGATGTTGAAAGCGTTTAGTAAGGAGAACCTATCGACACAATTCGACTGGGACGAGTATTACGGCAGTGGGTTTGACGTGCTACATATCTCAGCAGCACCCCGATTATTCCTGTCATCGGATGCAATCGTCAATATGCGGATCCAGTTGATGCTAGCCGAGTACGGGATCAGCTACTCAAGAGGAAGCATGTCAGCACTTTCCGACTGGCAAGACCAGGAGCCCACTAGCGACCCCGGAGCCATCCCCATTAAATTTGTCGACGTCGATTCTTCGAAGACGACCATAGAGGACGGCGTCGAGATCATGCTGTACCTTGACCGTGTCTATGGCCAAAAAACGAATGAGTCATCCGAGGCAGAGAACTCGGCGCAGAGAGATACCGAGAAGGAGTCCTCTCGATTCCAAGAAGCCCTAGCCCTTCTAGGAAAGCATAGGGAAAACCTTGACGCAGAGACGTTCCAGTCCGAGATGCAAAGCTGGGAGCAGTACGCAGCGGAAGGCAACGAGTTCATCGCGGGCCCCACCATGTCGCTAGCTGACTATGCCTTCTGGCCTATTGTCAACGACATCATGAGACTGCCGGGGCAATATGGGTTTGGGCCAGATATAACCGGATTCGATAACCTGAAGAAGTATCACGAACGTATCCGGACGCGGGATTCGGGCAGAAAAACCATAATAGCGTGTACCAGCTGCATTCGAAAGAAGCCTGCAGATGACTGTGAAGCTACCCCTTTGGTATCAACATCAGCTTCGGCTTCCGGCTCTCCTGCTAAGGAGAGTAATAAGTGAAGCATGTGGGGTCGAAGAAACAAGGATGAGTCATTTCGTGCATTATACCGGGCGGATGAGTGGCGAGCATTTGCATGGGGGTTGAGAGGCGCATTTCAGCATAGCATTGCATGGCATCGGATGAATGTTTTAGGGGACGATGTGGCTTGGCTTGGATCCGGATGTCTAACGAAGGAAAAGTCAAAAGTTACATAATTGAAGTTTTCCCAGACATAGAATATGGAGGTTACCTGGGGTTGGTCACACCGCCTTTAGGTACCTACTAGAGGAGTTTACAAAATAATTGAGAGCTGTTCGATCTAAAAGTTCATGAATACCCTAGGTGACTATGGTATGAATGTGTATGCATGCGAGTATAATTGTGATGTACGAGTAGCAGGAACCCTCGGATAGTATCGACTTGAGAATGCAATGCTTGACCACTATCTAAATAGACTCGTTGATAAAAATCCGTTCAAGATTCAATTAAGTCTCCTTTTCGAGTACTTGCTTATCAAGGCCGCATATCACGTAGTGTAGTATGAACAGACGGGCGCGTGTAGATGGAGTAAATCTTAGTTTTTCTTCTTCATTTTCACCCCAGAGGGCTTCTAAATATTCTCGCCCTCTTTGCTCTTATTAGTGAGTCTATACACTCGTAAATCTCTCTATATAAGCAATAAGCTATGTAGGCATTAGGTGTCCGAAGCCTCTTCCTATGAAGCCTCTTCCAGTAGTGTCGCTATCTCTTGTTGTTTGTCCGATCAGCGCGGACACTTCTTCGCGTGTAAACTGCGGTCTCTAAGGAACGAGTTTATACGCAGAACGGGATTTGAAGCTATTAGTCCTCCAAGGTACGTAGATAGGTACTTGGACAGCCGATATAGCTAAGTGGCTAGATGCTTAGAATATACTTGCTCCTGCCCTCACCATCCCCATACCTACCTACCTACCTACCTACCCTCTTTCTCTTCAGCTCTCTATACGCACGAAGAAAGAGCAAGACCGCAACAAAGCCCACAGCTAGACAAGCAGTCCTCAAAACCGAATCACACTTGTCCCAACGATGCCCCCTACGCCGCTACGCCTCGCACCAAGCGTACCCACATTCCCGCCGCTCTCCGCTGGTACCGCCGGGGTCTCCTGAAGTATAATCGTCGGTCTGCGTCCCACAACCTCGAACACGACAGACCCCTGGCCCGCAGCATCACTCGGCATCTCGACATCGCTCATACTCAGCGCGCGCAGTATATTCTTATCAATACGATCGAGATCCGGGTCCGCAAACACTCCCTTCAAGTAATCCGCGACCTGCCTAGCCGGCATAGCCGCGGCGCGCGTCAACCTCTCGATAGCCGACCTAATCCCGGCGTTATTATCGCGCTGCCACCGGCGGTACGAGGCGATCGTATGCATCAACTCGGGCGGCGTAACAGGGTGATTATGCCGCGCATCCAGAACCTCGACGAACCACCGGTCGCCCTCGCGCTTGAGCCGGCGCGCGACCGCCTTCCAGGGGCACCCGCACTTCTTGCTCTCGCGGCGGCGCTCGCCCGTGCTCTGCGACACGAACTCGGAGCCGCCGCGGTCGCAGGCGAAGTCGCGCCGGATCACGTCGCCGCCGGGGTCGTACCGCCCCGAGGGGAGCTTCTCCTTCACCGTCCGCTTCTGCGATACCCCGTACCCCGTGCTGAACACGTGCAGCTGCAGCGAGAAGACGGCGTCCTCGGCCGTGTTGTACGGACCTTTGCTTAGCGGGTGCGGCGTGTGGACTTGTGGCGGTTGGGGGGCCGGAGGGGCTAGGGGGGCGGAGGAGGAGGAGCGCTGGTCGAGGTAGTCTCGCGTCGCTTGCGATTTTGGGGGGCGGCCTACGCGGCGGCGTTTGCGTTGGGGTTCGTCGGGGGTGGGATTATTGCTGGGTGTTGTTTCTGCGGCGGGAGCGGGGGCGGGGGCGGGAGTCGATGGTGGTTGTTGTGTGGTAGTGGTATTTGGGTTGATACCCTGCTGCTGCTGCTGCTGTGCGACGCCATTGTTGGTGGGTGGTAGGACGGGTGTGTGTTGCTGAAAAGTAGGTGGAGGGACGGCTGTGGTGGGGGTGGGTTGGTGCGGTTGTTGATGGTGAGGGGCTTGTTGGAGAGGTTGCTGGTGAGGATGATGTTGGCAAAGTTGTGGTTGATGCTGATGTTGAGGATGTTGCGGATGTTGCGGATGCGGCGATTGCGGAATGACGGAAAAGGCGAGTTGATTGTATTGTTGAACAGGACCGAGGGATCCGTAGTGATTCGACGCCATATTGAAAGTTATTGTATGTCTATATCATCCATGTCCATCAATTGACCAGGTCCGATTAGTAGCTAGACTGTCTGTGTACGGGCGAAGGATTAATTTGACCGTTGGTGTAAAGATGTAGTCAAATTGGCTGAAGCTTTTTTTAGAATGCTGTTAGATAAATATGGGTCTAAGCAGCGCTATTACGCCCCCACCTGCTTACATTGCACAATATGCAATACCCTTACTTTTCTTATTCAGACGGTGCGATATCCATCTACCGATGTTTGATAAACGGTCTGTTTCATGAACCTACTTAGAACTATCTCACACACACCTACACACAACATTCCATCCCATCCAGCTATTCCCATTCAAATCACACATCCTTCCACACATACCCCCCAACTCTCGACGCCGCCACCCACCCAGCACCATCAACAACCTCCTGCCTCTTCTCCCTATCACCCATCGCCTCCTCCACGCTGATCCCAGCCGGGAACCCGGAAACCTCCTCCCGCTCAACCCTTAACCACCCCTTCCAGCCCGCGTTCACGTCCCCCTTCACACCCGCACCCCCGCCGATCACCACCGTGCCCCACCACTCCCGCGCCCGGCTCCCGTGGGCCCCGTACAGCATCCACTGGCCCGCCGCCGCGACGGCAACGCGCACTTGCTCCTGTCCGCGCGCGGGGCGGTATACGTGGACGTGGCGGAGATCCGGGATCCGGGCCGGATAGCTACTATTACTGCTACTACTACTACTACTACTACTACTACTGCTCGGGGGATGAGGAGGAAGACCGGGTTTAGAGCTAGACACGAGACGGGTCACGTCAAAGCGGGTTTCCGCGTCGACGACGACGACGGTGTAGTTGTGCGGCTCGGCGATAAGGGTTGATATTAGGTGGTAGAGTAACGGTAGGTAACGCCCGCTTACGGATAAGACGGGCGGTGGCGCGGATTGCGTCGCTTTGTGGTAGCGTGTTGCGATGTTGGTTAGAGCTGGAATTGGGATTTCTGGCCGGATGTTAGAGGGGCCGCCTGTTAGGTTGGCACGGAGAGAGTCGAGGAGCTTTGATGTATGTATGCGTTAGTTATGCGAATATGATCTTTTGGTACTGGGTGCAAGGAGTATAGGTATATATCAAGACTCATGTGTGACTTTAAAGGGGGATGACGGGAATGAGAGACGGCGATAAGATAAGAATAACATGAGATTCAATTGAACTCAACATTCATCGACTTTACATCTTTTATACTTTATACACAATTACAAGGGAACAGTACAGACCTCTTCCAAACTACCCTCTTCCACCTCACCGAGAAGCTTCGCGCCAACGTGTTTCGCTGCCGAGGCATTCATCTCATCGATCTCATCGACACTCCCCGCTCATCTCTTACCATCGAATTAGAGCCACTTCTCACAAGCATATGAGCACTCCCACACGGCGATGACACCGCCGTGCCGTTACTTCCCTGCTTCGCGGCTCGAGTCGGAGATCCAGGTCAACGACGGCAAAGTGCGCAAAGGCGGCCGGATCGATTTGTCTGCCTGCGAGCTCTTCTCGATAGTCCAGTATGAGTGCCAGATCGACCGGCCTAAAATCGCGGACAGTCCGGTGCGATGTTGGCCGGTGCAACGGTGGTTCCGGCGGTAGGCTATCTTCTTTTTCTTTATTGGTGCATTGATCTACTTGTTTGTTTGGATTTCTGAAGATTGAGCTTAGCTGATTCTCCGGGTGGCATTAGATGTCAGGATAAGAAAGGAAGTTTTATGGTTGAGACTACGTTATGGGAGCGGAATAGTAAAGCGAAGAGCGATGGTGGGGTTACTACAGAAATCATCCATACGCATAACCCGTAACCCGTAACTCAAATCAATTGATCGTTGTTTGTACCTTCCCGTTCGCCATTTGCCATTTTTATAATATGCCTAATATAAATGCTACTTCCAATGATCTTGTTCTTCTATATTCTAGTCATTCCTCGTAATCACCTCAAGATTTCCCTACCTTTCTAACCTCGGTTACAACTACGCCAGACACTATATGTACCACAAGCCTACTTCATTTCGGTTTGGCGAACGTATATCCTAAGTACCCAACTACTAATGCCGAATATACTCTCACACGAACTAGTCACGTCCGACGCATCAATTCATATAAGAATACTCTTGGAAGTTTGAATTCGGCGGGCGGATCTCGTTCGTATAATACAGTCGACCGTCCCAACTCTTGAAGCGCAACTATCGTCTGTAGTATTCCCCAGCCTCAAACTCGATAGAAAAAATGCCGATCTCGTCTAGTGTCTGATGTTCTCTCTCTTTGGTATGTGCATGCCTTTCTCTTCGCCTAGGTATTCCTTCGCCATTCCCTTAAGCAGCTCGCGCGGCCCGTTCCTCCTCGAGTTTCTTGTAGAAGTTGTCTCGCGCGTGGGTGCGCGGCATGTGGAATCCGTGCCTTGGGCGCAAGTTAGTCTATCTTGATCCTATCCCGATCCCGGCCGTTCCAACATTCTTCTCCTTAAGGGTAAAAATTATAGTCTTCGTACCAGTATAAGCTAGCAAAAGTCACTCCGAGTCCTACGGTTCAAGTTAGTCAAAGATCCCCGCTGACGTCGCCTAAATATCGAGGTCTTCGGATATCGTAGAAAAGTGTAGATCGAGCGGCGAGGCAGACGTACCAAGCCCGATGCTGAGATCAGTAACAAGGCCCCTTCGGAGCATCTGTAATCACACAAAATTAGACCCGATGACTCGGTAGGAGGGGCGGGAGTATAAGCAGCAATTGAGCGCAACGGAGACTTACGCCGGTGATAGGTTTGATTGCCATTTCGAATGTTGACTTCGGGAGGACGATCCAGAGAGTAGGTGGTAGGAGAGGAGATGTGGGTGAATATGAATTGGTACGAGTCAAAAGATGGAAGTGCCGAGAGTGGTTCGATGATGTTTCCCAATTCGCGCGAAGCTAATTCGTAGATGGGCAAAGCTCGGGCTGTAATAGGTCACGTGGTTCTGACTATTCAATTGTAAGAAGTACTATGTACACACGTACATTTTTCGTTCGGATTATCCTCGGCAATCCAAATTCCAACGTCAGATTCTTTTCTTCCTTACGAAGCTCAAGTCCCATTAGTCCGTAGCTGTATGGTGCAGATCGATATACAGCTTCATCCCGGGCTATCACATAGCCCAATCGAAGGCAATCATGAGCTTACACCTACCGGCAAGGCGGATAGCCGCCACCGGTACGTTGCTACACGTCAAACCATTCTCATTGCGCCTACCATGCTAATCACAAACGTCATACGTAGCATCACGAGCGGCGGCCGGCAGACCGTGTCCGCACTTACAATACCTGCTTCCCCAGGCCCAGCGGCGCACCTTCAAATGGGGACTCAGCCCGAAGCTCGTATCGGATGAGGTGAAAAAGGCCAGGCTCTCGGCCGCAGAGCGTGAGCAGCGTATGCTCAGGCGGAACGTGGACCGGACGCAAGGAGCCTCCATCTTCGACGAGGAGCTGCAAGCCCAGGAGAAGGCCGCCGACGCCGAGAAGAAGGAAGGGTCGGCGGCGGGGGGAGGAGGACCGCCCAAGAAGTGGCCGGGCGTGGCCCCCGAAGGGGTGAGCCTGGCGAAGGAGCACATGCAGCGGGCGCTGGACCCGGACCCGCGGTGGCGCGTGCGCTTCCTCAAGAAGAAGATCCGGCAGATGGTGCGCGACGCGGACAAGCCTTTGACGAAGGCGCAGCGCATCCAGCTCACGGAGAAGGAGCACGCGAGCCAGAGCCCCGTGCTGCCGACGAGCACGAAGAAGCTCATGTTCCTGTCGCGGCAGATCGCCGGCAAGACGGTCGACGAGGCCATCACGCAGATGCGCTTCAGCAAGAAGAAGATGGCGCGCGAGGTCAAGTGGGAGCTCGAGCTCGCCCGCGACGCCGCCATCGCCCAGCGCGGCATGGGCCTCGGCGCCGCCGACGGCAAGGTCTTCGACAAGCCGCGCCAGATCCAGACCAAGGACGGCAAGTGGATCGAGGTCAAGGATCCGACCACCCTGTACGTCGACCAGTCCTGGGTCGGCAAGCGCCCCTGGCTAGGTCAGAGGATCCACCACATGGCCCGCGGCCGCATGAGCATGATGTGGAAGCCGTCTGCTTGTAAGTTTGACCTATCGTCCACCTCCCCCCTCTCCTCAATCCCTTCCCCTATCCCTCTGTTTCCCTAAAGACCTACGCCCGGCAGCTTTGAAAACAGAGAAGGGAGAAGAACATACCGCAAGGTTATAGTGGAACCCAAGCTAACAATTCCTTTTTTCCCTCCCTTTATAGCCATATTTCTCATCCTAAAGGAAGAAAAGACGCGGATACGGCAGCACGACGACAGGGTAGAAAAGCAAGCCAAGAAGGCCCCTTGGGTACATCTGCCGAACCGGCCTGTGACGGCACAGAGGCAGTACTACAGCTGGTGATCTGTAAGCAGCCTAGGTACCTAGTTTAGGGGATACGAGAAAGGGCATGTTGCATATTGAACATGTTTGTAGGAGATATAGTATCGGCTCGGCTTGGCTCGACTCGATATGTGTACCATACAATTAACAAACAACTCCATCATGAGACGATATGACAAGTCTCAGTGTGATGGAAATCAAGAATATCAAGAAAACTTCATGGGACGAACTTCATGGCTTAGGTGCCAAGACCCTTGGTCTAACTTCTCATCTAATCCAGATAATTCCAACCAGTGAGCTATCGGAATGTAATAATCAAGACTTTAGATAAGAATCACGCAACAACAAATCATTAGAAGCAAGCCTTGCCATCTTAGGCCGGTCTGTAATATCATGGTTCATGGGGAATTGATTCGTTTGGGTGTTAGCTACATTATCTGGTTTCTGCCATTCGGCCACTATTACTAGCTCTTCCGTGTGGAAATCAGCAAATGATGAAAACTCCAGTTCCTCCTAGCATTCCCGATGATAATCAGATTAGAAGGTTTGCGCAAGCGTAAACCTAGAGTAGGCCTCCAAAAATAACACCATAGTAGGGTTAAGTTGGATTCCGACTTCGAATCCCTAGGAGAACGCGTCCGCACCTGCAACAAAATCCCCAAGTGGAAATATTCCGACGCGTAGGTAGTCAATTAACGAGACTAGACGCATGAGGGCCGGTTAGATCATTGTTCGGGGTTGAGTTCGAGGCGTTAGGTCCTCGTATCGGCGCGCGTTCAAGTCGAGCTCGGGATCGTACGAAGAGGCAACCGAAGGCGAGTACGGGGGCGTCGCGGGCGAAGGCGCGCGTTGAGCGGGTTGGTTCGACTTCTTGGATGACAGAGGCGATGGAGTAAATGTCTTGGACAAGGACGCGTCTCCCTGGCGCATGTTACCTGCATAGAGTCGTCCAGAGCCGGGGAGAGGCTGAGAGATTTGCATGGACTTTTTAGCAGCCTTCTTCTGCTTTCGGCGGCGCGTAATCAGGCAGTAGGCAATGATGCCGAGCAGGACGGCTGCGACACCAGAACCGGCACCAATTCCGGCTCGAGCGGCGACAGACAGATCGCTCGAGGTAGACGATGATCCGTTACCAGAATTGTCTGCCGCAGCAGTAGCGCCGCTTGCGGCACCTGAATCCGTAGTGCTTGACATGGTTGACGCCTGTATGCAAATTAGCATTCAATAAACACAACCGAGGCTGGGACAAATTTACTTACGGCAGAATCAGGCGAGGATTGATCAGCAGCTGAGGTCGCGCTGGTGGCACTTGAGTCCGTAGATGCGACACTAACGGCCGCTTCGGTAGTTTGTGCTGTAGGGGTTGAGATAGGAGTAGTTGAGACAGAAGTCGCAGTGGTTCCAGGAGTAGCAGTCTCAGCTGATGCCTCTGTACCCGTACTTGAAGGTGAAGAAGCAGCGGCTTGCTGGGTAGGAGGAGTGACCTGGGACTGTGCTGGGGTAGCGGTAGAAGTTGCCGCAGCAGCTGATGCAGCTATGATATTTTGGTTAGTCCAGCTTTTATGAGACGAGACTTTGCGTTTACTTACTCTTACACTGATCGGTACCGGCACTCTGAGCGAGAGGAAGCTGGGCTGCTACGTCCGCAGCAGGGCAGGCCTGGTTGACGCAGTCGCGAATGCCGTCCGTGAAATCAGTAGACTTGCCACAGACACAGAGGATGTCGTTCATGGCACATCCCATGCCGGCGGCATTGGAGAAGACACCGCTGACACAGCCAGCCTGTTAGAGGATATGACGTTAGCTATAATATTCATGTATATATAATATTATATAATGTGACATGACATCGTACGATATGTGAAGGGCAAGATATTAGGTACGCGGATAGATAGAGAGCGAAGGATGGGTTGATGATTATAACATGTCGTCTCAATATGACGGTGAGGTAGGATTTATCTCAAAGAATTAGGTACTTACTGCGCATGGCAAGATCTGGGCACTACCTTGACCCATGAGAAGGGGAACGAAGGCGATGGCGGCGAAGAACATCTTCATCGTGAAATACAGGTCGCAAAGGTAGACTTAGATAGAAGGTATTTGTTGTACGCGTCGATGCTATGTCGACGTCCGAGTAGACGATAAGGTAGAAAAAAGATCAAAGGAGAAAATGAAAATGAATCGAAGTTGAATATCACGGGGTATCTCAATGACCAAACTAGTTGGCCAGGAATGAATTAATTGACGGTCAACGTAAGAAGGAAGTTTGGCGTAGAACAGAAAGAAAATTTCAGTGTTCCACGAGGTAGCCCATGGCAATAAAAAATTCGGAAGATGGGTTAAGTTCGCGTCGTTCAGTATGGTGGTAGGTGAGGTGGTGAGAGGTGGTGAACGGTGGCAGGGTGGGTGACGAATTATGAAGTTCCGAATTCGACTTCACTAGGCCGTGTGTAAGGTGAATCAACTTTCGCGGGAGCCCGTCTTAATCCCCTATGCTAGGTATTTCAAGGTATGTAACCTAGGTAAGTAGTCTAGAATTGCTTCGGTGCTATTCGCGTCGTATCCTTATGCCGTGAGGTTAAGCCACGATATTGACGGTATCGCGGGTTCGCCTGCCAACGCGCAGCCGGTTGAAAGGTTACCAGAACAGTCGAAAGTGAACGGATGAACCGATCACCAAATCCCTACGGGAAGAGAAATGAATGGATGAACTTTTCACAAATGAATGGAAGAGTGATGTAGAAAGAGTGTGAGGAATGAAAGTGATGAAAAGTGGACAAATCGACAAATCGACAAGACCGAGAGAGGGAAACAAGTGACCACCAGTCCACGAGTACAGTGAGAGTAAGGAACGAAAGTGAAGACGTAACTACTAAAAAAGAAGGAGCCTTGCCGGCATGAGATGGAAGATGGAAGTGAACGATGTATTGGGAAGGTTGCTGAATACAACGGTGGATTGTGGTTGGTCAATGCCCTAACCTACCCCTGTCCTACCTAGTATTGCTCTGACGCTCTATCGCCCTGTCCTAGCAGTCAGGGATCGCGGGCTGCGCCTTCTAACCTCAAACACAGTACATATATACATGTTTGTGTACTTGTTTGTACGAGTACCGTCCGAAGAAAGTGACTTGAAATTACTATTCGAACTATCCTAGATTTCATGTACTGAAGAAACAGTTGAAAATGAGATTAAGTACACACAGCTGCCCACGCAGCCACGCAGCTGTGCACTATACTCGACCGTTGTACAAGTGCAGCCCGAGTTTAAGCAGGTGCCTGCCTACATACATTCTACGTGCCGTTTTGGGACAAGACTCCACGATAATTGGCTAGGAGCATCGCATGTATGTACGTAAGTGCTTCATGCTAGCTGCTAGAAATACATATCTATCTTGATTTATTAGATCAAGCGAAAATGCACTGCTTATATTTATATACATGTGGCCATAAAGATTTGACTAGATCTGTGGTAATCAATATTGAAGTATTTTTGAGTCGACTTATTGACAGTAGTTTGTGGTTGTGGTAGATCACGTCAGACAGATGTTCTAACAGACCCGAGATTCCTGAATGATCGTCATAATATGCGATCTTACTACCTATGTAGTGGTTGCATATGCGCAGATGTGTTGCTTGAAGTTGATACCCGTGACCAAGTGACCACATCTGCGAATTGGTGTCTGGTTACAAAATAAAACAAAATGAAAGGGTTTATTCGATCTCTTCGTCGTTCAACTCGCCTAAAGTCATGTGAACTCGATTAATCAGTTGTCAGAATTGAAAATGGAAAGCGAACGTTACAGGTCTCGTTAAAGTTGAGACTAGCGGGACTAAAACCCCGGACCATGTCGTCAATGCCCTCGTCATTTGGGACAGGGAATACGTGGAGTAGCTGGTACGTGCTGAACCCCTCAATTTTCCACACAAACCTTCGAAATCATTCAATTGCCATTTTTGACGAAGAGTACTCGATACTTGCTCCGGTACGTACCGACCATGCTTCGCAGAGATTGGACGGATTGATTTAAAAGGTGGGGCAGTTCGTGATCTTCACAGGGACAAGAAACGTTGCTATCGCTGAATTTTGGTTAGATTAACCAAGATAGACACCGCAAAGTCACCTAGGAGTCACCAGGAGTCACCTAAAAGTCACCTAACTTACTGGTATCGGATCCGAATGTTCGACAACCTACCAATTGTCGCAAGTCGTTCAAACACCATTTTACTTTGTGGGGACAATCTGCTGTTCATCAATTATGCCGAACCCATGTGTCTTGATGCTTGTCAATCATCTGGCCTCTCTCTGTCCAGGGCTTGCGTTTCCTACTGAACGAGATGCGAGTCGGCATAAATTATCATTGATCCAAGATCCACAACCATACGTTCGAATCAATGTGCCGAGCGGGGGTTATCGACCCTGATATAGGCCATCGTCGGCGCTTCCCCCCGTGTGTCGTCACTAGCCCACCGGCGCGAAGGATTCCTTTTCGATGTCTAGCCCTCGGGGCTTCGTCAGCAGACGCCGTCATCCATTGGATGGCGTGGCTCATTTTTTTAATGCGAAGTCGATCCTTCTAGATCCCCTCTAACCATCTAGCCTTCTAGCTTTCTAGCCCCCTCGAAAGCGTTAAGTGATCCACATAGCTGCCACTTTACTAATAAGAGTGTCTTACCATACAGCTGCCATAGCAAAATGGAAACGAAACCCTTTGCTCTTTTACCGCCCCCAAATCTATTAACCCGTCGTTTACCTGGGTACGTTACAAGGCGACATGTTTGATTGGCAGCTCCACGGGGAACCCTGGAAAATAATGTCTTACCTGGCCGTACTACCGATGAACCTCGTCGGATTGGCCAGATTATTTTATTGTAAGCTGTGATAGAGCTGTGACAGAATAAAGATGAACACCAGTCTCAAAATTAAATAAGATGGAGGGCCTATTAGATACGTCGTGCCCGTCGTCAGTGAATCCATCGAATATTATCTCTTGTTTCCATCGGGAAATTACACAATGCGCGTGGAAAGGATACTTACATTATGCCCCAATCCAGCTAAGTTCAGAATAGTGTGCCCCTGCTTTTACCAGAAAATATCTAATCAGCTTTCTATTTCAAGCATGCTCCCCACTCGACTGTTTCGAATTTACGACCAAATGGGCAAGCAGAAATCGTCGCTTCCAGGAATTTGCCGAAGGGCCAAGAACGTCTGTGCAATCGTTCCTTGATAATCCGTGAGTTCGGTAACTGGTAATCCGTCTGCTTCATCTGCAACTAGGTTATCAACACATCCTAATCTGCAAGCGAGCGGATTCCTGGATTGCTTACCTACACGCCGGTCTAAGCATTCTCTAGATTCTCTAGAGGCAATACGTCGTGGCGACCCGTCTAGACTACGTTACCTTGTTTCCTACACCACGGTTACTGTAGGCGACAACAAACAAGAACAGCAATTGCGAGGCTAAAAACGAATGGATAATCTATGAAGTTGCGGCTTGTTGGACTCGTACCTACCTATCTACGCGAGTTTGTCGAGTACAAAAATTTTAAGCTGACACGGTTTTAGTGTCACGGAGCGATATTTCGCGAGCTGGGTAATGAAAGGTCTAGCAAATCTTTCAGATCCATCGACCTATTTCTTACACGTTGGTAGTGGCTTCAAAATCCGTGCCTCGCATCCAGAACAAACCTAGGACATCAAAACTCGACGAAGGTTTCCGACGGACCCATCAAGCAAACATTTACTCGATATCTTGTATCTCTACTTACCCAGGTACCTGTATCCATTGCATCTAGGCTGCATTGTCGGATTACAGCGAAGGCAAACCATCGGAGGATTCAGCCTTAGCAATGAGCGCCGCAGGGACTGTCCCTGATCCGTTTATGGACATTTGCTATTCGCTACTTGGGTAAGTGGCATCTATTCTGGAATTCTCTAGCTCTCCTAGTCTCACTCACCGATTTCCCACGTGGGTCCGTCATACGCTATCTGCAGTCTGTAGATCTGAGCCTCTATCAGAAGGTGTTATATATCCTTCACCTGTGACCTCCGAGGTTGTGAGGTTGAGATGTGCCAGTCTGCTGTTAGCACATGTATACTTCTAGTAAACCATAATGAAATGGCAGGTCGGTATAATCAAACATCCATGATGTGTTATCTACCTAGTACAATGCTGGGATCTTTGGTCTCGGGCATATCAACAGGCCTGGGGGAATCACCGAGATTTTGAGTTATAACGGAAATGCCGTGTCGGTGATACTTTATTAACCACCCATCTCCTATTTTTCGCCATACTTCTAGTTGTCCAATCTAATGAAATGTACGTAGGTAAAGTAGTCAGTAGCCGCAAGCGGAGTTCACCGTTAGCGTAGTCAGTCCAGTACGACGTACTCTCACGGCGAAGCTGCTTTACTTATCTACCTACCTACAGGTAGTACTAGTCTGTTGAGGCTCAGGGGTTTGGCGATTTGCCTCTCTCATTCGCCCTCATACATAGGTAGGTACATCTTCAGTCGTCGATTAGCAAGGTTTGGAATCAGGCTCGGTTTGCTTTACTTGGCAACGTTTTCTAAATCCAAACGATATTTCTTAAGCTATGTGTAACTTGACACCGATGTCTTTGGCATGTTTCGTAGCTGAAATTAAGTACTGTTAGATTCAATATAACCCGACACATAAGAAACATAAGGCCAACCCGTGTAGGGCAAGTATATTGTTTAGAACTGCATCTTCATGGTTTAAAGGACGTATCTAATCGCGTTCTCTAACAACTCGACATGGAATGAGCGTCCATAAACAATATCATCTACATACCTCAGGTCGATCTTTTATCCCATACAAGAACGATAGCTTAAACCATAGGCTTTGACCTCTCATCAATTAGTGTCATATATGTAATCTTTGCGGCCATGTTACCCTTTGAGCCTACCTATCAGATACCTTCGATGGTTTCAGTCGTCACGTTCGAATTGAAAGTGCTTCAATATATCTCCTATTGTTGTCTATGATACAAATCCAGATCCTCGTGACCGTAGTGGATAATTAGAACCTGAATGATTGTGGAGTGCTGCGTATGCTGTTAATCTAAACACCTGGGATAAAGGGGAGAGGGCTCTAGTCATGTGGAGCTCTTAGTATTCTACAGCAACGAAGTACACTAGCTTCTGTACGCTTGGTACCATGCATTATTGGACGATCTTGTTATCAAATATGAGATGTCATACTATCTTATAAGAGGTTTGATAGTTGTCCTGAATCTTAGCGAATTTTAAGTAAGAATGGAGGGGTCCCTTATTTTATTTATGTCATGGAGGCAATGATAGGTGAGGGTTTATGGGGATGGCCAGGGGTTGGCTGGTACTGTCACGAGGCGGAACTAAAAGACTAAGGAATAACAACGTTGTTGCGCGAAGAAGCTCTAACTACTCCCTTCTTAGGGGATGCGGTATACATACATAGACCTTCCTTTGTCTACAGCCAAAGGGCTAACTGCCAACGGGGCCGCCTCGTACAAGCCGACTCCAGATCCTTTTGGGCTATTAGCTAGTTGTGGCGATACCTCTGGCTATCAGCTCTCACAAAGGAGGCTCCTGACAGTAATGATAGGGGAGGGCTTAGAGAGGCGGCCGGGGTTGGCTGGTACGTAGCAAGTACGGCCAGAAGATTATTAACATCAGTCTTCTGCTTGTCAGCCTGGTGCCATTAGCCCATTTATAAACTTGGAGAACTAACATAGTATTCAGCTAAGCAACACAGCGCTCTCTCTTGAATATGACGTTATGTGTTGGCGTGGAACTTTCTATTAAACAATATATATAAAACACATATCTAACAGTCAGTTATATACCTATATTTACCAGGTGATCATGCAAGTTTATCATCCAGCTTAAGAATTTGAAACATGTGCCGCTCGCTTCTTGGAACAGTCATATCTCGTTGCCTCATCCTCTCGTTCCCTGAAGGCTTACGTGATGTCTCGAGCTTTGCGACATTGGGTACCTAGTGTGCCTCTAAGTATTGCCCGGTATCTCACATTTTCCAACTTTATTTCCGAATTTCCCTAGGTATGGAAACATTGAACCGGGTTACTGAGATTATATCATCATGAAACATAGGTACCTATAGATTAACCATGTTTAAGTTCTTCCCGTAGATACGCATATATAATGGTCTGAATGAATAGTTAACCGGCTTCTAAGGACTGGAGAAATCAAGAATCGATGCAATTAATAATCATGTTTTAACTCTACCTATAGAACTTGATCTAGTTGGGAGTTCGAGCCAGTCGGATCTATTCCATGCTTCGTCCCGCTATAGAACAAAGGACGGGAGTCATTGGTTATTCTCCCTTTCCTCGCGCTAATGTGTTCTAGACTTATCAAGACATCCACATGTTTAACCAAGATACTATGCGTGGATGACATGATCATCTTACCTACTCTGTCTGTCTCTACCATAATCCTGATCTTATATGCCTCCACTACCAATTGACGTCTACTTACGTGGCATGAATGCCGGTGAATGTACGCTAACTCGGAGGGTTACTTGGCTTATTAATGGGTTCCGGTATTGTCATCCTACTCCTTGTGTAGTATGTAGTATTTCTTATTCCTTGGATAGGCTACGAAAATTTACCTAAAAGCCTCATCGACACACATCGTATTGTCGATATTGGTACCTATCTAGGTCTTATAATGGACGCTACGCCAATAGTCGTCTCTATGTAGTAGCAGTTTCTGGTGGGGTACTTGTCAAACGTGTGGTTACTGCAACGACATCCTGTGCCTGTCGGGAACGCTGCTTCTTGCGTCACTGTGTAGTAGCAATGCATGTCGGAGGAGCTCGGGGTGAAAAGGCCCGGGTCGAATGGCTCTCCGATGCAAGCCGCATGCCTGATGAGCTGAAGGAATTGAGATGCATATAACAACGACCCCTATTTTCTCGGTAGTGTTGTTAGAGGGCGTACATCGGCCTGATATGCTGGATAATTTAGCCTACTTATGGTTATTATCTTGCGATTGTTATATGAAAAGCATATTGATCAACTATCCTGTCTTACTTCTTCATCAGCACCTCACCAAGTCAATAGAGCTCGAGTAGCGGAAAATATGCCGATGAGTCTTTGTTAACGACTGCTAATCTTAAGTCAGGAACTGCGAGGATTGGGGACTTGGCACGATTTGTGCCTGAAGAATTCGTTGAGACCATGATTATCTAAAGAACGCCCCGAAGGAATTTCTAGAGTGTTGTAATTGTGACTTCGTGCATGTCGGGAATCCTGATTCTTGCGATCCTAGGACTTGACGTTACCAATAAATGCTGCCGGAAGGTTCCTGGTCGACTGTATGGGTTTAACACATAAACTGCTCATTTTCGCTGGAGGGATGCTAGACATGTGCCTCGCCGGAGTGGCTGGCCGGCCTGGGATAACTTGATATTCATATGAATCGATCAGCCCACTTTGAAGTAATGGCATAGATTGCGTATGCATCGCCAGTCAATTGAGTGAGGGTATCTAAAACATTTGAGGGCATTTCATAATACATAAACACAACTTTTGATACGCTGTCGATCTGCCCAGGTTAAGAGTTATCTTCTGTGTGCCATTCAGCTAAAGGAGGCTCCCAGGGTATAGTTTGGTTCATTGATGCTACCAGGGGTGCTTCAAATCTCCCTCCGTGGGGTTTCTAGAATATGGAGACGGCTATGCAAATTCCAAGCATATCGTTCACCTCACTGACCCGGGCCATTCTTCCAGCCCATAAACATTCGCTCCCGAAGATAAATTGGCCCATACTTCGTACGGACCTTTTGTCATAGTCGACCAACTGTGAATACCTACCTAGGTATTCGTCTTAGTAAGTTGACTGCCTAGGTTAGTAGGCTATATGGGCAGGAAATAGGATATATACGACGAGTGTTCCCCTTAAAAAGAATCGTTGATACATATTTTTACCATTGCTAGAACTAGAACTCGTACCTAGTAGTAGTAGAACTAAATGTTTAGCTGACGTAAGTTTCCTCAACCCCTTAAATGAAAGCTGCTTGCTTAGTTGCAAGGCTGCGGCAGATCGGTTGAGGCACGCACCTTCATGCACTTACTTATCTCATGATATTGTCATGGATGAGGTAGATCAGCGACAAATTCAGCTATGGTAGTATCAGCTTTTGCGTTCCTCTGCGCGTTTTCTCCGCGGATGTGTTCTCAACGCAAGGAGAGGATAGGTTAAACTGGTTGGACGGATCCCCCTTTGTCTTACAGCCTCGCATTAGTGAGCTGAAGAGTAGGAGGGAAGATCTTATCCTGATATTGAACCTATTGCCTCGACTGTGTTTCTATTTGTATCAACTTCCGCGAAAAGGCGGGCTTCTACAATGATGTGATATGCCCAAGTGAGTATAGGCAGTATATGTCATTAGCTAATCTTATGATTCTTGTCTCCACATCGAAATGCCATCACTTGCATTGGTGTTTGGTATCGAACGACTTCGCGACGCTGCCTTTATTTATGAAGGAAAAAAAAAAACGAAGGAAAAGAAAAAAAGGCAATGACGCTAAAAATAAGGGACTTAAGGGTTTTTGTCGGCAATGTTACGCGAGTTTTGTGCGATATGTGATATGTGATACATGATACTTGAATACACGTGGTTTGTTAAATAAACGGGTCCTAGATCCGGACTTTGGAGTAATAAATAATACGGTGCTACGGGTTGTATGGTAGAATAATCGTAAGACTCGTAACTTCGTTCTGCAATGCAGCCAAGAAAAGCCACAAGGGGGGGTCACTGTAAGACAAATGACGACATTGGGTGGGTGTTGCATATCCCGCGGTTGTCACGATTGTCAAGGTTGTCAACGATGATTCGGGTGGCAGCTGCACCGTTCATTTATTCGGGGATCACTAGCGATGGCCTAGAACCTTCTTTTAGAAGCTCGGGTACAACCATCCCCTTCCTTACCATTCTGCCTGCCTTGGCCTGCTGTCGTGTCACTTCCATTTAGTCTTTTCGCGGTATAGCACTTGACCTAGTAGTATTAAGGCCAATGCCAATAGTCTTGAGGTACATCTCGAGGTACAAAAAGGGGCGTAGGTCAAAGCAACCAGTAGTTTTGTCTGCGATGCCGAGAACGCCGAACACTTATACTCAGGTACCCACATTCACCTTCCAGAAGACTTGCATATCCCGGTATACCTGATAACGATGTATGTGTATCCATGGGAGGTAGGCGGGCTGGTACATAGAAGTACTTCGGGGGCGGGAGGGGACGGGAGGGGACAGAGGAATAGGGCAGGCTAGCGGGAGGATCTGCACGGAATTAATGGAATTCGAAGGGTCTTTTGTACTGTATAAATTCAGGTACGGCCGGTAATAAGATCAGCTTTTAGGTAAGTTCAGTTAAACCGATCTCTGCTAAGAAACTAGTACCAATCGAGGTAGTCGCATTTGTGTACCTTGGAAGTACCTACCTGACCGTTCCTACCGGTACCTACCAGGTGAGACTAAAAGCCGAAGAATGTGGAGTCGCTGACTTTTGAATAATCCTAAGCTCACTTATTTTTTATTCTTTTCCATTACTTGCCTAGACTTATCTGACTAAACAAAACAAACATCACCTCTTCCCCATTTTACCAAAATGAAAGCTCCGGGATAGAGGAGACGAAAGGGGGAAACGAGCAAAGTGAATTACGAACCGAAAGAAAGAGTGAAAGAGAAAGGAATGTGAAGAGTGAGGAGAGAAGAAAAAAACCGCAACACATCTGGTCATCGGCGATGTTTCAGTGAATCGAAAAATCATCCCAAAAAAATAAATTAACCCACGGTTTCTCTTTATCCCCAATACCGAGGGACCATTTGTCGATCACAAATTCGAGACCCAGCCCATAGAATCACTTCCGCCCAGCTAAAATTCTCCGTCGCGTGTTGATCGGATTTCTCTCGTCTGTTTTTCTATCTCGCAATCCTTTCCCCTTGCCTGCTTGGGGCAATTTATTACAGTACATATCGTACATACCTGCGCCTGGGCACGCGCGCATCCCCATACAAACCCGTACAAACCCGTACTGCCAATACAAACGGCAATACCATCTACTTTGGGCCTACATAGGTACGGATATTACACCTCGCACGCGCACACCTTTGATACGTTACGTATCTCCCTTCGACCCCAATCCTAGCCGATCGGTATTCCAGATCTGTCCAATCGTAGAACGTACGCAGATCCCCAGTTTCGAACTGAGCCGGTCGCATACCGAGAAGAGGACAGGTTTGTCGTTTGCCTGGCGAGAAGCGCATCGCGAGAATAAGAATTCGCGAAATTCGATCACGGCCAAATCCGATCTGAGATTATACGTTATAACTGATCGTTCAACTGTCCATCCGCCGCGAAACACATGAAGTCGGTCGGGTTTTCTTTGCGCAGTACAAGGAAACAATGGCGAACCCCGTGGGTGAAGATAATTGGTTAGCTTATGTCGACGAAGAGAGCCGCCACGCCACCGATCTCGAGGCGCGCGTCAAGGTTGTCGAACTCTTCAAAAACGCCGTCTCCTCCGAACCTGGGAGCTTAAAGATCTGGTTGGCTTATTGCGAGTGGTTTTGGTCACTGTTTACCGATTGTCAATCGAGCGAAGCCGGATGGCCCGAAGAAGAGCAGCAACTAGGTCGCGATCTATTCTCCTTCGATGCTGCCTTGAGCCTTTGGAGTGAAGGCTACGATGCTATAAAGTATCGCATCAACGATAGCCACGAATTCTGGAATCAATGGGTTTCGATCGAGCTTGAACAGTTGGCTAGGACTAGAACTCCAGTTGGTGTTAAGCGCATCTCACATCTCTTCCGCGACCGTCTCCAGGTCCCCCATTCCACCTGGGAGAACACGTCTCAGATGTTCTCTAGTTTCTTAAGCACATACAACAATGCCGCCTACGAGACCGAATTTAAGGAGATGACTGCTAGCGCCCAAGATGCTAAAGCCGCATACGAAGCACGAGAACCATACGAGCTGAAGCTAAACAGGGCTACCAAGTCGGGCGACCAGGAATTGCAAAAGGCCATCATGAAAGAATATCTAGGCTGGGAGATGTCGCAGATTAAGAGGACAAGAAATCCTGCGTTGGCTGTCTCGCTCTGCCTCGGACTATTTGCGAGAGTGCTCAGCGGTATATTTGCTTTCGACGACGACGCGTGGAGCGACGCTGCCATTTACATGTCGGGAATACAGCACCGAACTAGGACGTCGCAAGTCCAATTGCCCGTGCCCAACCTGCTGGATTTCTACCAGCGGGCTACCTCTCACTGTCCTTGGTCTGGCCCTCTCTGGTCGCGTTATATCCTAACGGCGGAAGAAGCCGGTTGGTCTTTTCATAATGTCGAGGCGATCAAGCATGCCGCTACGAACACGAAGGCCCTCGACAAGAACGGCATGGCAGGCATCTTGGATATGTATACTGCTTGGTGTGGCTATCTGAAACGGACGGCCATGGACCCTAACGCCCCCGAGGACGCGGCTGATGTAGCCGAAGTTGGTTTACTGGCCGCGCTGGAGGATGTTGACCTGTGGGGAAGACGTCTCTATAAAGATGCATATCGGGGAGATCCTAACTACAGACTACAGCGTATCCTCATACAGTATCTTACGGAAGTAAAGGGCGAAGTTGACGAAGCGCGAAGTCATTGGGACCGTATGGCCAGCCAGTCTCTCCTCGCTGACAGCTACGATTTCTGGCTCAATTATTACCTCTGGGAGATGATCATCTATTCTTCCAAGCCGAAGCCTCGGAGTCCCACTCCAGCCACGCCGGTAGGTAGTACCACAAAGGTCTCGCGGGTTCCTGGCGTTGCTACCAGTGTCCTAGAACGCGCTATTGCGCGGCCAACACTTGATTGGCCTGAACGAGTCATGGAGGTCTATCTCCAACATTGCAACGACTATGAGAGACCCGAGACTCTCCATCACGCGCTCGATGTGGTCTACAAAGCTCGACAGGATGTTGCAAAGCGCCGTGAGCGGGAAAATGCCGAAGCTGCTGCTGCTTACGCCGCCCAGACGCAACAAGCACAACAGGCGGCCCCTGATTCAGCTGTAGGCGATGCCCCGGTACCTATGTCGCCTTCTGGTTCTAAGAGAAAGCGGGAATCTACACCGGGTGATGCATCACAAGGTGTGAACAAGCGGGTGAAGAGCGTAGAGATCGATGCCGCCGACAATGAGCAACAACTCAAGCGTGACAGAGAGAACACATCCGTCATGGTTACGGGCTTACCAGCCGATGTAACGCAGACGGCCATTCGCAAGTACTTTAGAGAGTATGGGCACATTAACAACTTGGATATTCATAGGGAGGCGGATGGTGAATCTAGTTCTGCCTTGATAGAGTTCAGATCCACACAAGATGTGAAGTCGGCTCTTTTGCGTGACCAGAAGTATTTTGGCCATAACCAGATCACTGTCAAACCAGGCACCGGCCTAACGCTCTTCGTATCCAATTACCCACCCGCTGCAGATGAAGCATACATTCGTGGCCTCTTCAAGGATTGCGGTGAGGTCTTCAGCGTTCGTTTCCCGTCTCTAAAGTTTAATACCCATCGTCGCTTTTGCTATGTCTCGTTCAGGGATCAGGAATCTGCTTATAAGGCGACGCTACTCGATGGGAAGCTCATAGAAGGCCGGTTCAGACTTCAGTCTAAGTACTCTGACCCTTCGCACAAGAAGGACCGCGAAGGGGCCGTTGCAGAAGGACGTGAAGTTCGAGTGAAAAACGTCGACTCTTCTGCGGACGAGAACGACCTCCAAGATGTGTTTACCAAGTACGGCAAGGTCACTAATGTCCGAATAGTCAAAAATTTAGCCGGAAAGAACATTGGCACTGCTTATGTGGTATTTGAGACGAAAGAAGAGGCGGAGAATGCCCTCCAACTTGACAAGGCCAAGTTCAAATCTCAGATCCTCTCAGTGGAACACAGCAGGGAGACGAACTTTAAGCCCTTTGCTACGAATCGAGGTGACCGGGCTTCTGCGTCTCCTAGTCCTAGCGGGAATGGCGATGTAGTGATGGCAGATGGTCCTAGCGAATCCAACGGCAGCAGTCTAAAGCCAACCCGTAAGGAGATTCAGCAACGCACGATAGCCATCTGGAATGTTCCGGACACCGTCAACGATGCACGCGTTCGGGCTGCCGTCGAGAAGCATGGTGAGATTGTGAAACTAGTGCTACGGCCTGACCACCAAGGCGCCATAATCGAATTCAAGGATGCCGCGACGGCTGGGCGTGCTGCATTAGGGCTGGAAGGTCATGAGATCGCACCCGGTCGTAGGATTCACACTGGCACCGTGGACGAATTATTCAAACAGACAAGTGAAAAGAGACAGGACAAAATCGTTGCGGGAAAAGGCAAGCCAGCTAATCACAAGGGAGGATCGAAGGAACCGAGTTTCATGCCACCTACCCAGACTGTTCGGAGACCAGTTCCTGGAGGTAGAGGCGGACCAAAGCGAGGACTGGGATTCGTGGCGTCGAAGAAGGATGGTAGCAAGGAGAATCACCAGGGCGCGGATACGAACGGCACAGCTCCCGCTGTAAAAGCTAAGAGCAATGCTGATTTCAAGGCCTTGTTCCTTAAGTCGGGTAATGGAAACGATGGTAATACGAAAGACGGGAATACTGGTGCTGTCGATAATCAGATGAATGGGCACAATTAGAAGGATGATGGACGTTACATATGAAAGATTCATATGATGCATGCACACATACACATACACATACACACACGCACGACCAAAAGGTGGTCAGGCGATAACGGGAGCATATCTTCGGCGTGGGAGATCGAGTAACGATGGTCGATCGAGTTGAAATTTCTTCCTTGATACCCCTGGCATTGGTGTTAATTACATTTCGTGAGGCGAGAATGAAATAGTGAAGACAGACACGTTCTAGCGAAGTAAAAGAGTAAAAAGGGGGAGGGGAGGGGGGCATGAGAGGTTTAATGGACAGGCATGGCATTCATGGCATCATCATCATCATAGTCATTATCATCATCATCGGTTTGCGGTTTTTCGGTTTTCTCGGTTCGGGTTTAAAGGGGAAGGGAGTCTGACCAGATGACAGAAGTGGAATGAATGGAAAGGGGATTCACATCATTTGGTCGGCTCGGTGTTATATTTTTCTGCTTTCAAGGAACTTCATTTACCGTTGATCATCCAAAATCGGTTGTTCGCTTTTTTACTTTTATCAGATTGAGGTTGTGTGTTAGGGGTCGAGATCGAAGTTACGAGATGAAAATGATCGAGTAGTGTTTAATCTAGTTACATATGCCCTGTCTACCTACGTACCTACTTATTAGGCAGATAGGGGCTTGGGCAGGTGTTCAGACAGATTCATAGTTAATGCACTACGTAAACCAACTGGCTGAATCGTGTCTTGATTATTTGGAGGCAATTTAGGTAAGCTTAGCTCCGGAGTATAGCGTTACCTTCAGCATTTGTATATTGCACTCTCACGCGGATATATACCACTTCATATAGACTTTCATCTAGTAGTTCTTTTTTCTTTCATTCTATGGTGACCCTGTTATCTAACTAGCTGCTCACTACGGATGAAGTAAGCTTTGCTACCTAGATGTAAGGTATCCTGACCTCCGACAAGTTAGCCGGCCGGGTTTGCACCGAGTCAATGATACCCCAGGTCTACTTCCTGCTTTCCTCCTTATGGACTTTGGAATATTCCCTGCCTATCCTCTAGTAAACTCCTGCGTATGCATGTGCTTAGGGAAGAGGGCAATGATAAGGGGGGACCCCAGATAGTCCCATTTCGAATCTGCCTTCCTGAAAATCCGCACTAAGGCACGGTATGCCAATACGGCGGGAGGGTATCCATATCCACATACTTATGCCGTCGCGGAACCGACCAAGTATTTGGAAAACCAAGTCACATCGCTCGTTCCCGCAAACCACAAGCGACAACACCACGACTCCTCCTCCAAGGGCTTACCCAGTCTTCCTCACGTTCGCGTTCCCGTTTCATGTCTATAATACTCGGTTTTTTCACTTCCCCATCCGCAACTTCTCCACCGTCCTAGGATAACAGCACGCGGCGGCGGCACCCTAAGCCTTGACGCCGAAGTCCTGGCTGAAGACGCGCTGCCAAGCGTCTAGCCACTTCTCCTGCTGCGCTGTGAGCAGCTTGCCGGGCATGCGGAACGAGCGCGTCATGAGGTCGCGCAGGCGCGTGCGGAGCGCCTTGATCACGAGGAGCGTTTTCCAGTCGGGCACGCTGAAGCGCGCGCGGTTGCCGTCGAGGACGATGACGCCTGCGTACATCTGTTTTGTTCAGTTAGCTTGGTTTAACTGCTTGGAAGCAGATGATAAGTTGATACTTACATCAATACGCGCATCACCGCATAGCAAGGCGATGGCGAAATTCTCGACGGCCGTGGTCTCGTGAGCGTTTAGGAACCTAGTAGGCGTTAGAAAAATACTCTCACAGTTACTCAGATCTAAACCATCGACGACTTACTGTTTAGACTGCATAATATGGTAATATGACAACCATTTCAGCTCCATGCGACCCTTGTTGACGCTCGATGGATGCAGGCTAATGCTCTGATTGTTGCCAACGTTGCGAAATCCCTTGCCCTCGCGCACCAAAAGCTTCGGGTAGAAACTCCACGAAATCACCGACGCTGCGATGATATCGTTGTCGCTGTTGATATTAACGCGCTGAGGAAGTTCGTAGAACTGGCGTTTCCTATTGGAGTATCGTAAGCGGTTAAGTGTACGGCGCTCCTCATCTGTGAGCTGTAGGAAGCCCGAGTCCGCGAGCGCAACTAGCAGCTGACCCTTAAGATCTTCGATATTGGACAACGTTTGCGAGGACAGAAAATTCCGTTTGCAGTATGAAAAGTCATTATTCGATGCGAGACAAACTTTCTTCCAGCCGAGGTAAGCGTTGTATACAGTCAGCAGATCGGAGTCGCCCCTCCTGAAAGCCTTGCGAGCCTGGTCTGCTTGGCTTCGTTGGCCGAATGGTGCCGTAAATGGAGACTTGGAGGATAAAATAGCCGCAACGGTTATAGCCATGTCGAGGCACTTGAAAATTGTGCCTTGAAGAATGAGCTTGCCAAGGAACACGTCAAGAGGTAGTCTTGCCAATTGATGGCCCAAGGGTGTGAGTTCTTCGGTATTTGTAAGAGCTCGCACGTCAACGAGGGCATCGATGGCCCGACGGATGTTCTTCGCAGATGGCGCATCTAAAGCTTCTCCCAAAGTCTCTTCGATTCCACCAATCTTACAGATTTTGACGCGAATTGCTAAGTCTTGTAATGAAAGTCGTAGCATCTCAGGCGTCTGCTGATCGCTCATTAGATGATCATGACGATACCTCGTGAATAGGTGAAAACAAAGACCCTCCTGAACACGGCCTGCTCGACCGCGCCTCTGTTTGGCGTTCGCTTTTGAGATGAAGGTGTCGATTAGGCGTGACAGTTGCCTCCTCTCGTCAAATCTCATCTCGCGATGTTTGCCGGTATCGATGACACAAGTTACGTCCGGAATAGTAATACCTGTTTCTGCGATGTTCGTGGCTAATACAATCTTTCTTACCCCTTCCGGTGGGACTAGGAAAGCTCGCTCCTGGTCCTCGGTAGCAATAGTGGAGTGCAAAGGGAATATCTCCCAGGCGAACTGGAAGAAAGGTTCTCCGAGTAAGGCATCATTTAAATTCCGGATCTCAGCGATACCAGGAAGGAATACCAAGATCGCCTTGCTGTAGTTCATATAATCCGGATCATTGGCTATTCGAACAATCAGCTGCACAATGAGATCAAAATCGATTTGATATTCGTCGATTTGGGAAAGCGTATGTCGGGTTCTTGATGAGTACTGTTTTAATTCTTTAACGGCAGCTGCACCTGAGTTCGAATCAGTAGCATCGATTTCCGCCGGATCATCATCTAAATCTGTCATTTTTTCTTGGCTAAGTTGGCTGGGGACGTAGCCGGTAATCTCAAGAGCATCTTCCAGGAATTTGTCTTGTACTGGAAACGTCCGACCAGGCACAGTAAGGACAGGAGCACGTCCTAGGTAGTTGGAAAACCTCTCTGCGTCGACGGTCGCTGACATTAGCACTACCTTAAGATCTTTTCTGCGTATAAGTAGCTTCTTGAGCACGATAAGTAAGAAATCAGAGTCGATTGAACGTTCGTGAACTTCATCGAGCACAAGATGAGTGATTTCGCGAAGTTCGTTAGAGCCCTCGAGCATTCTCATTACGATACCCGTGGTGGCATAAACGAGCCGTGTCTCTTTCGATGTGTTGGCTTCGAGACGGATTGAATAACCTACGAGGGATCTTGAGGTACCGATATCACCCCTTCCTTCGCCGAGTTCTTCACTGACACGACGGGCTAGAGAGATGGCAGAAATACGTCGTGGTTCCGTGCAATAAATTTTGCACGGCCGGCCCAAGGATAATTGATGTTCTAGTAGGAAAGACGGTACTTGCGTGCTCTTGCCGCTGTATCATTTAATTAGCAAGGCCGTAACTCTTATTAACACATCGACTTTGACTTACCATCCTGTCTCTCCACAGATGATGACAATTTGCTCGTTCTCGACAGCGTTGAGAACCTGATCTCTGAACTGCCACATCGGGAGCTGTGATCGAAATCGCTGGGAAAGGTTAGAAATTTTCATTAAATGAGATGTGAGAACAACTAACCAGCATAGCTTGAAACCTCGGCGTATTCGACTTCTCAGCCCATATCCTCTGATAATATTCTGGTCCAAGTGAATTTGTGACGCCTCTTTCCAGGACAGAATCATCACCCGTCTCATTTGTACTGCGTTGAGAGGCACGTCCTCTAAAAGCGCCCTGAAGTAGAACGCCGTCCTCGAGGTCTTGGTCCTGCTTTCGTCGGACCATTGCTCGAAGCTCTTGGATCGCTATTCGGTCCGCTGCGTCAGTCTGGTTTTTCTTTTCCTCCACCAGCTCAGACCAGAATTCCCTCCACACCTGTGGTAATCTCATGAAGACCTTCTCCTCTTTCGTAGATCCAAATACGACAAACAGTGCCAAAGTAGCGACGAACGCTTCGGATTGTTTAGAATCGGGCGTTGCAATTGAGCTCATCTGGAAAAGAAATTGCTGAGGTGTTATGATGCTGTCGACGAATTGAATATGAGGAGTAGGAATCAGCTCCTGGGGCTTAGACCATTGAATAGAGACTAAGTGACGGTTACAGTATGGGTTCTCAGACACTAGTTGGTATACGATCCGCACAGAAGAGTCTCTTGACCGACAAGCTTCCTCAAGAGCGCGCGTTGGGTTGACGCCCGACCATTTACCAAAATCGCGAATTGTGATTTTTATACCGTCGGCTCCGTTGATGACGTTGATTGTTTTACCTGTAACAGCATCGACTTCTTGAACGGGGAGACTCGCAAAAAGATCAGACAGAGCTTGATCATCGTCGTCGTCATCCTGTTGCAGGATTTCCGCCGCAATTCGTTCAGCTTCCTTGGTAACTTCGTCATCATCAGATTGGGCTTCTTGAGCTGCCTCTTCCTTGGCTTGGGCTTCGGCCTTTTTCTTAGCTGCGAATTCCTTCTCTAGTTCTATCCTGTTGGTCCTCCATGTTTGCTCAGCAGCAACTTTGTCAAACAATACATCCTGTTCGATCTTCTCAATCTTGGCAAGAAGTTTTGCCTCTTCCAGATCATCTCCTGATAGTTCTGAAGCAACATGTTTTGTTCCATTTGGACCACGACTTTTCGCTGGTTTCCCCTTTTTGCTATCCTGCTGAGGCCGCTGCAATTCAAATAGCTTGGCCTTAGTCTCGAGATAGGCTGGGATTAGATCATCAGGTTCGATTTCCTCGTGGCAGACGATAGCAACTTTCTTTGGAGCAGCCCCTTTTAGGCTTGCAGGCCCACTCTTTGGTTTCTGCGAACTGTTGACCTCTAAGAGACGTGGAGTGTTGGCACCCGAAGGCAAAGGGCTATCTAGCGGTGTATCTGCTTGTGACTTTGAGGTACCGCCTCTATAGTCGTAATCACGAAGCTCCTCTTTCGTGCATTCGCGTGCAAGCCAGTCCAGAGCTTCTTCTAGACCCCATATAGTATCTCTAACGGTGCCATTGACGCGTGAAGCAATATCAAGGACGTACTGTATCACTGCCTTGACCTTGTCCTCGGAAAAGCCAATGCCTGCCAGGGTCTGCTTCAGGGTCCATAACCTAATTACTAGATCTTCCTCTGGAGGTAGTTTGCCGTTGCTACTTGCACCATCTGCTGTAAGAGACGTTGCGCCATAGCGGTTTTCAGCCTGGATCATATCCATGATATGATCCATGAGCTCCTGAGGTAACCATTTCCTCGTGTTCAAGGACTCTGCTTGTCCACGAAGCAGTCGTCTATCAGTCTCAAGTCTAGACTTTTGGCGCTGGGCGTCTCTCTTTACTTTCTGGGCATGTTTTTCTACCAGAAGCTGCAGCTCCGACTCTTCCAGCTGTCTCTCAAATTCCTCGGGACTTAAAGTTTGTTTCTGCTGTGATGTGGTAGTTGTGTTGTCGGAGTTAGGATGAGATGGTGGGGTATTTTTGGGATCGCGAGATGACGAAGTTGGAGGGGCATTGGAATCGAGCTTTCCTCCTTCAGTAGCGCTTGGAACCGGCTCGTTGGTTACTTCAGCTCTTGGTTTCGAGGCGATCGATGTAGTAGCAAATCCCCGAGCTGGATTAGCAGTTGGCTTCGTCTTCTTTTTCTTTGGTGCCATCACTGCTGGGTGAATAGTAGCGAACGTGAAGGTAAGGAAAAATAAAGAATCTTACTCGTTGCGCAAAAAAAAAACGTTACAAAGATTTACGATAAAAAAAAGTTGTTACTGGTAAACGATCTAGGTGTAACTGTCATCATAGGTCTTTGGGCGGCGTGGTGGGGACAGGGCTTAGCGGCTAGGCGGGTGAGGCGGGGTGCACATCGGGTCGCTCTTGATTTGGAAATTACAGGCCGTTGGAGTGCTAAATTGACTCATTCGCCGTTAGAAGTCGCGGCCCTAGCTGGTTGCTAAACGGGCTCTGGAAGCTACCACGGGGGTGCCTACCTAGAGTCCCAGACCAACTGAAAATAAATACATAAGTCCATACCTAAAATAACCGATAAGATAAGCTATATATAACCCCACCGATATTTTCAATCCACTTCACCAACCCGACGAAAGAACATTCAGGCACTTCTCACGATCAGGTGACGGCAGCAACTTTCGATATCCCCGTCTTACCTGACCTTGTGCTATAGGGAGGCGCGCACAAAGTTTCCATTTGTCCCCTATCATGTCAGAGGATCTGCCACCCAACCGTCAAAATGACTGAAGCGGTTGCAAACGGCGCCTCCAAAGCAGGTGTTGACTTTGCTACAGCCAAGGTCGCCCTCTTTTCCTCCTCTACAAAGACACGGATAGCTCAATTGCGAACTGTTGACGAAAAAGTAAAGGATAAGAGTGAGACACACCGTTCTTTGTAAACCACATCATACTATATATCAATCACTTCACGTGAAAGTGAATTGTATGCTCAGAGTACTAGGTGCTGATATTTTGATTCTCTCTATAGCTATCGATCAGTCTACAATACCACTATTATTGCAATTGCTCTTTGATACCCACCGGCTCTACGATGATCGACCATCTAGAAGGGCAGCTGAAGCCTGCCTTGCTTCTGTCTTCGCAACCACCAGTGACGCTAAGATTCTGGCACCGTTTATATCTTCTATGCGACAGGAAGCTCAAAAACCTGGAATATCCCCTAAGAATGCTTTCGTCTTGGTAGAATGGTGCTCTGTTCTCCTGCAGGAACTGGCTGGAAAACCCCTATGGGATAAGTTTGGACTGGAAATTATCCACGCGGACGCTGCCGCTCTTGAAAAATGCCTTCAGTCGACAACAAGGCCGAGCGTTACGCAGTCAGCTCTGGTCGTGACTCGTCGTGGTTTACGCGCGGCATTCTGGCGCAATGGACTTCGAGAAAAGGTTATTCAAGATGCGGTGCAGGCTCTTACCGCCAAGGGTGTTCAGCCGACTGCCAGGAATGCCGTCATGCTTGGTGTAATCGCCGGAGTCTGTTCTCGCCAGGCCCAGGCCAAAGAAGTCTTGGCCTCTAAGAAGTCGGACTACTTCACCTTCTTTACTAGAGAAGTTGTAGGGTCTCGTACGCCCGTCTCAGCTCATATCGCAACTGGTCTTAGAGATTTCTTCTCCGACTTCGTCACCATTGAAGACTTAGACAAGGATATTATACCACCCATCGAGAAAGGTCTTCTTCGAGCTCCCGAGGTAGTCTTAGATCTGGCAGCGCTATTGATTCGTGCTCTTTCAGAAAAGCTAGATCTTTCGCAGACCTTAAATGGGCGTCTCCTGAAGCCCCTTTTATCTAATGCCAAGTCTAGCAACGCGACCATTCGCGAAGGCGCGCTGGCTACTTTCAAGGCGGCCGTGGCTCGTAGCCACGATGCGAAGACTACGGACCAAATTGCCGAAGAGGTCCTTCTTCCGCTGAAGTCGGGAAAGCTAGCTTCTGCGGATCAGCGTATTATTCATTCTCAGATGTTGGAGTATGTGCCGCTATCTAACGCGGTAGCTACGAAGGTGGCTACTAGTCTCCCTCCCATTGCCGCAAAAGAAGGGAATGAAGGGGCCCTTGGAGCCGAAGTCTCTATAATTAGTCGAGCTGTCTCCTATTTATTGAATGACATTGCTGATCTGCCAAAGCCCGTTATTGACGCGTTCACTAAAGGCCTCGTGGACAAGAAGATACCCTCGCGTAGGCTATGGATACTCCAAACGGGAGAGGTATTCGTCCCATTTGTCAATGAAGCCCGTTCCGTCTCAGCGAACGCGGCAAAATTTGCTGAAGCAGTCGCAGGTCCTCTCGCAGAAACGTGGACCGAGATCATCAAGAATCCTTCGGCCGCTGCGCAGAGCGGCTTAATCATGGGCGCATATGTATTTTCTACCTTGTCTTTACAAGTCCTGTCAAAGATCGATAGCGCTCCTCTAAAAGCCATCCTTAAGAAAACAGCCGTATCAAAAGAGTGTCTCGTCGCCGACCCTAAGCCCTCTTTCCTTCTCAACCATCGAGTATACAGTCGACTTTCGACAGAGGATGACGCTAGGTGGTTTCTGCGAGCCCTTGCAGCAACATATGATGATCTATCAAAATCTTCTAAAAATGTTCAGGCAGTGTGGTTTCAAGCACTTATTTACCTGATTTCTTCGGCTAGCGTTCCCTCTCAGATCCGCAAGGAGACTTGCGACGCCATTTCCAAGTTATACGTTCGAGATCCAGATTTCATCTCAGAAGTTGCTGCCGCCGGATTGTGGGCTTGGATAGAGTCTTCGCTTACTGAGGACAAGGACAGCATAGCAGCAAGTGCTAAATATGAAAATGCCCATTTACATCTCGTCCTTAAGTCAATTTGTCTGAATGACGACGAGTTCAAGGAATTAGGTGCCCAGAAAGCACAAGAGAGCCTAGCGAAGCAGATGTGCTCGTTACTAGTCATCGCTCGTAACGATTTAATACCGAGAGCAAGCTGGATAGATCTTTGCCTCAGGGTTGGGCTCGATCCCGGGAGCTTAGCTCAAGAACACAAAGAAGAGTTGATACAGCAAGTAATTGACAAGACTAGCTTCGACCAAAAGGTAAGAGTGAACGTTTGGCCGCTCTCTTAATACAGAACTAATAGGCACGTAGTCGAACGCAATTAAGCTTGCTGCTTGTAACGCAGCAGCAGACCTAGCATTTGTGGCACCAGACGCAATCACGCCAAGGATCATAGACCTCATCCGGACAGACTTAGCAACAGAAGAGCTTAAGGAGGTGGGCCCTGTTGAGGCGGCAATATTCCGGACTCCAGAAGGCACAGCTTTCATCGACGTCCTTGCAAAGAAGCAGACGCTTCCAAATAAGAATACCAAAGATTATGATACGCTAAAATGGGAAGAGGAACTCAGAAGTCAATTAGCACAGAAAAAGGGGCAACAGCGAAAACTTACGGCCGATGAACAGGCCAAGGTGAACGCGCAATTAAAGAAGGAATCTGAAATTCGACGGTCAATTCAGCAATTAGTATCGCGGCTCACGCGTGGCTTTGGTATTATAAGAAGTCTCGTAAATACCCCGCCAACAGAACCTAACCTATGGATCGGGCCGTCGATTAGCGCTCTGCTGAGTGCTTTGGAGTCTGGTGCGGGCCTCATCACAGGTGATGCTGGCCCTACGGCGTACCTGGCCTGTTCTGATCGTGTTACCCCTCGCTTAGGGGCTATTCGACCTTTCATTGGCGTCGCCACTCTACGTGCCCTTGAGATTACTTCCCTCCCCGACAATCTGACCGAAGAAGGCCTGGAAGAGCTCATCACGAGAGTCTTGTATCGTCTTCGTTTTGCTGGTGAGCAACGGCCGTTCGACGCCGTGTCTGTGATTTACATGCTATCCTTGATTTTCGTGATCCTACGAACTGGAGGTATTGGAGCCGGTGCTGATGAGAAGGACGCTCAATTGGTATTGGCTATTGAGTTCCTCACATCCCATACTCATGTCTGTGCGGACGAGAGTATTCCACGAGCAGACTTAATCTCGATTTTGACCACCTCGATGCAGAGATATAGTCAACATTATAAGATCATTAAGGATTGTTTCACTGATATGGTTCGTTGTGTTGCCCCAAATATAAACGCAGACGAGATCGCTGTCCTCGCAAAGGGCGCAATCGTCCCGCAGGACTCGGTTCGCGAGACAGTGCTACAGTCGATTAGCGCCGAGGTAGACATGAGCGATCTCGACTTCTCGGAGGAAATTTGGATTGCTTGCCACGATGACATCCCCGAGATCGTCGAGCTCGGACACGAAATATGGGAGGAGAGTGGATTTGAGCTCTCAAAAGAGGTTCCTTTTCAGATGCTTCCTTATCTGGAAAGCAAAGACGCGCAACTCAGAAGAGCTGCCGCGCGTTCTCTAGCGGAAGCATGCAAAGATTTCCCGGCAACAATCGAAGCCGTTTTGACAAAACTCCGGGCTTCGTACGTTGAGTTTGCTAAGCCTCGGGTTCCCCAACTAGACGAGTATGGGATGCCTAGGAAGACCGATCTATCAGACCCTTGGGAGGCGCGGCATGGTATTGGGGCAGCTTTTAGGGAGCTCGCAGCATACCTACAGAAATCGCAGATCGATGACTTTTTCAACTTCCTCATTGAGGGTGGCCCTCTTGGCGACCAAAATGCTACCGTACGTAGCGAGATGCTCGAGGCAGCACTCGTGGCTATCGACCTTCACGGTAGAGCTCTCGTAGACAAACTTATGAAAACATTTGAACGTACGCTTGGAGCCCCCGACAAGGGTTCGGAGGCAGCGGATCGTGTCAACGAGGCTGTCATCGTTATGTATGGTGCACTGGCAAGACACTTGAAGCCTGGAGATGCAAAGATCCCGGTTGTATTAGAAAGGCTGCTTGCCACTCTAAGCACACCGTCCGAAGCCGTACAATACGCGGTGGCGGAATGTTTACCGCCATTAGTACGGACTTGCGGCGACAAGTCCTCTAAGTATTTCGATCAACTGATCGATATCCTCTTGACCTCTAAGAAGTATGCGGAGAAAAGAGGTGCCGCGTATGGCTTGGCTGGTTTGGTTCAGGGAAGAGGTATCTCGGTGTTACGAGAGTATCGTATCCTTATCACACTTAAGAGCGCTACAGAGAACCGGAAGGAGCCTCAACAGCGCGAGGGAGCGTATCTTGCATTTGAACTCTTCGCTTCGATTCTGGGCCGCGTATTTGAACCTTACGTCATCCAGATCGTACCTCAGCTTTTAGCCGGCTTTGGCGATAGCAATGCAGACGTGAGAGATGCATGTTTGGCAGCAGCTAAAGCATGCTTCGCGAAACTTAGCTCGTATGGTGTCAAGCAGATTCTCCCTACTCTGCTAAATGGTCTTGACGATGACCAATGGCGTAGCAAACGCGGTGCCTGTGATCTTCTAGGTGCCATGGCATACCTGGATCCGCAACAGCTAGCGCAGAGCTTGCCTGATATCATTCCACCGCTTACTGGTGTCTTGAATGATAGCCACAAAGAAGTCAGAGCTGCAGCCAACAAGAGTCTGAAGCGTTTCGGCGAAGTCATCGAGAACCCAGAGGTCAAGGGTCTGGTCGACATCCTACTCAAGGCCCTAAGCGATCCGACCAAGTACACGGACGACGCCCTAGATTCGCTTATTAAGGTGCAATTCGTTCATTATCTCGATGCTCCTTCGCTAGCCCTCGTCACGAGGATCCTTCAACGTGGATTAGGAGACAGATCCAACACGAAACGCAAGGCATCTCAAGTCATTGGAAGTCTTGCTCATTTGACCGAACGGAAGGATTTGATCGCCCACTTGCCGGTGCTTGTATCCGGACTTAAATTGGCAGCCGTCGACCCTGTCCCGACAACCCGTGCGACTGCTTCCCGTGCTCTAGGATCCCTGGTCGAGAAGCTCGGCGAGGATGCCCTACCAGATCTTATCCCCGGACTCATGCAGACCCTCAAGTCGGATACGGGCGCCGGAGACCGCCTCGGTTCCGCCCAAGCTCTTAGCGAGGTCTTGGCCGGATTGGGTACTACAAGACTGGAAGAAACTTTACCTACGATATTGCAGAACGTGGAATCATCCAAACCCGCTGTCAGAGAAGGCTTCATGTCTCTATTCATTTTCTTGCCAGTCTGCTTCGGAAACAGTTTTGCCAACTATCTCGGCAAGATTATCCCCCCTATTCTTGCTGGCCTTGCGGACGATATTGAGTCGATTCGCGAGACCGCCCTGCGAGCTGGTCGACTATTGGTTAAAAACTTTGCTGCCAGAGCTGTAGATCTGCTCCTGCCGGAGCTAGAGCGTGGCCTTGCAGATGATAGCTACAGGATCCGGTTGAGCTCCGTTGAACTGGTCGGCGATCTTCTATTCAACCTCACTGGTATTACTGGGAAGGCTGATGCTGAAGACGAAGAAGAAAGCGCAAAGGAAGCAGGCGCGTCCCTTCGTGAAGTGCTTGGAGAAGAGAAGCGCAACAAGATCCTCTCTGCCTTGTATATATGTCGCTGCGATACGGCTAGTGCCGTTCGCGCGGCTGCGGTTAGCGTGTGGAAGGCTTTGGTCGCCACACCGAGAACTCTGAAGGAGCTTACGCCTACTCTTACGCAACTCATCATCCGCCGCCTAGGTAGTTCAAATATGGAACACAAGGTTATTGCCAGTAACGCTCTGGGAGAGTTGATTCGAAAGGCTGGGGATGGCGTATTATCGAGTCTGCTGCCAACTCTCGAGGAAGGCCTCCAAACATCGACAGATACAAACGCCAGGCAAGGAATCTGTCTTGCATTAAAGGAGCTTATCTCATCTGCATCTGAAGAAGCGCTCCAAGATCACGAGAAGACCCTAATATCTGTTGTGCGAACTGCTCTCACGGATTCCGACGAGGACGTCAGAGAAGCTGCCGCAGAAGCGTTCGACTCACTGCAGCAGATTATCGGCAAGCGTGCCGTCGATCAAGTACTTCCATTCCTGCTTAATCTGCTGCGCTCCGAGGAGGAAGCCGATAACGCTCTTTCTGCTCTACTTACGCTTCTTACCGAGACTACTAGGTCTAACATCATTCTACCTAACCTCATCCCAACCTTGATAGCTCCTCCAATCTCAGCGTTCAATGCCAAGGCATTGGCATCTCTGGCGCGGGTGGCGGGTCCTGCTATGAACAGGCGTCTACCTAACATCGTCAACTCTCTCATGGACAACATTGTGAATACCAAGGACGAGGAACTCCGTGTCGATTTGGAAGAGTCGTTCGACACGGTCATTCTGTCCATAGACGAATACGACGGGCTCAATACCGTCATGAACGTTCTTCTGCAGCTAGTCAAGAACGATGACCACAACAAGCGTGCCGTGACAGCATCCAGGCTTGCCAAGTTCTTCGCCAACGCTTCTGTGGACTACTCGCGTTACAATCAAGACATAATCCGTGCTCTACTAATCTCGTTTGACGATCGTGACAAGGAGGTTGTCAAGGCAGCGTGGACGGCGCTAAGCGAGTTCACCAAAAAGCTCAAGAAGGAAGAGATGGAAGCTCTCGTACAATCTACCAGGCAAACACTGTTACAAGTCGGCGTTGCTGGTACGAATCTCCCAGGGTTCGAGCTGCCAAAGGGTATCAATGCTATCCTACCCATCTTCCTACAAGGTCTCATGAATGGAACGGCGGAGCAACGTACGAGCGCCGCACTTGCCATATCCGATATCGTCGACAGGACAAGCGAAGCTTCTCTCAAGCCTTTCGTCACGCAGATCACGGGACCTCTTATTCGTGTCGTGTCCGAGAGGTCTACTGATGTTAAGGCAGCCATCCTGTTAACCCTCAACAACCTACTGGAGAAGATGCCGACTGCGCTTAAACCTTTCCTGCCTCAACTTCAGCGGACATTTGCGCGAGCGCTGGCGGATACTACTAGCGACCTATTACGATCACGGGCTGCTAAGGCGCTAGGTACTTTGATCAAGTTTACACCCCGTGTCGACCCATTAATCTCGGAGCTCGTTACCGGATCAAAGACATCAGATCCGGGCGTCAAGACTGCGATGCTTAAAGCATTGTACGAGGTTATCAGCAAAGCTGGTTCTAATATGGGTGAGAGCTCACGGACGGCTGTTCTGGGGTTGATCGACTTGGACACCGACACGACAGACTCGACGATGACGGTTACAAACGCCAAACTACTTGGCGCTCTCATCAAGAACGTTCCGCCCGAGGCGGCACATGGCTTGCTAAAGAATCGTGTGGCCACGACCCACTTCACCAACGCGTCAGTCCTTGCGCTCAACGCAGTTTTTGTGGAATCGCCACAGACGTTGTTAGAAAGTCCACTAGCTGAAGACTTGCCCGATCTACTCTGCCAGGGCATGTCGAATAAAAATGTAGGTTTTCTTTCTCACTCATCGTGCAGTGTGACCCTCGCTAATTTTTAATGCGCAGCTCTTCGTGGCAGACAACAGCATTCTAGCAACTGGCAAGTATCTCCTAACAGACTCACCAAAATCCTTTGAATCGACTAAGCCGATATTCTCGACTCTCGCGACAATAATCGGACCGGGCAACCCATCTGATTCTCGCCGTCTTGCTCTTGTGATAGTGCGCACAGTATCGCGTGCGAATCTCGAGATGGTCCGACCGCATCTCCCCTTACTGGCACCGCCCGTGTTCGCGTCAGTGCGAGACCCTGTCATTCCTGTAAAGCTAGCGGCCGAAGCAGCATTCATAGAACTATTCAGCGTCGTGGATGAAGAGAGTAAAGTTTTCGAGAAGTACGTCGCCGGCGCGGGGGCCGACCTCCCGGCAAACACTAAGCGCAGCATGCAAGATTACTTCAAGAGAGTGGCCGTCCGACTGGGCAACCAGGCAAGAGAAAGGAGAGATGCGGAGGGCGGACAGGGCGGATTGGGTCTGAGCAATGATGAGGTGGAGGATGAAAAGGAGATATGGAGCGTGGGTTCGGTGGAAATTGGGGGCGGCGTCTTTTCGCACGATTAGTCTCCTGGATGGCCGACGTATGCGTGTGTGTACGAGTTTGGGTGAAGGGTCTCAAGGATTGTACAGGGAGATGAGCCGTGGACATAATGCGCGTTACCCAGGCGTGAAGGGGCTCTTTGGCATGATAGGGACCCAGGTAGATAAAATTTTGACGATTCTCAAGCAAAGATGCCGAGCTTCTCCTTTTTGGTGATAATGTATATAATCCAAGGCGATGAATACATTGGCTTACCTAGCACATTTGAATGCTCGTAAAAACGACACTGGTTTATCTAAGAGCATTAGACACATACGTAGTGCAATAATTAGAATAATCCTATTCGGATGACCGTAAAAACGATATTCTCATTATTCTCTCATGGATATTGTGAGAACAATTGTGAAATAATAGGAGTCCACTCAATTGATGCATGTATTCTGTAGGGCGGTTGATTGTTTCGATATGAATATGTGATAAAGTCATGTGACCGCTGCCCTCTCGCTTATCTAGGCAAATTGGGTCAGTGCAGTCCACAAAACATTTTTTGTAAGGTCCTACCCGATTTCTCAATCACGAAATTCTAGTTGTGCAAAGATCTGAGAGGGGGCTCAATTTTAACTTCAACCCTTCCACAATCTTACTAACCTCACAGCAAATCTTCGACCATCATCGACAACCGCATTCAAGATGTAAGTAGACGAGATCGCCTGTTCATTTCGCGAGGATGGAACATTTCATTCCGGCAATTTTCGATATCCCGTTTCGATTAATCTGATTGACCGTTGAACCCGTTTTGCGCGGCTTCACTGGTCGATTGGTAGCGTCATCGATAATCGTCTGCCACCAATACACCACAATACACCAACACTTCCACCACAATTCATCAACGAAACAAAACACCGAGCTAATGAATCTTCCTCAGGGTCAACCTTCGCACTCAGAAGCGCCTCGCTGCGTCCGTCATCGGATGTGGTAAGCGCAAGATCTGGCTCGACCCCAACGAGGTTAACGAGATTTCCAACGCCAACTCCCGCCAGACCATCCGAAAACTCGTCAGCGATGGCCTCATCATTCGCAAGCCCGTCACCATGCACTCCCGATCCCGCGCACGTGAGCTGAACCTTTCCCGACGAGATGGCCGACACCGAGGCTTCGGTAAGCGAAAGGGTACCGCCGATGCTCGTATGCCTGAGTATGTTTTGACCCATCGCCACCCTATCCTTTCGAACGCGCTGGACTAGATTAATGGCCATGGCGGAGCGATGAATCAGGATTAATGGCTAACCTACCGGGATAGACAAGTTCTATGGATGCGACGTCTTCGAGTTCTCCGACGTCTCTTGGTCAAGTACCGTGCCAGTGGCAAAATCGACAAGCACCTTTACCACGAGCTGTACCACTCCAGCAAGGGTAACACCTTCAAGCACAAGCGCGCCTTGGTTGAGCACGTATGTTACCTCGACTTATCCCGCATCTTCCAATGCCAGTTTATCTAACATATATCACTATAGATCCACCGTGCTAAGGCTGAGAAGGCCCGTGAGCGTGCTCTCCAGGAAGAGATGGACGCCAAGAGACAGAAGAACAAGGCTGCTCGTGAGCGTAAGCTGGAGAGACAGGCGGCGAAGCGAAGCGCGATGGCGGGTGACGAGGAGGAGGCATAAATTACGGACTATGGGATGCGATGAAATATGCACACGGTCGAGCTACATAGAAGAGCTAGGAGTGTGGTCATATGAACTAGTGGAATCTGAGACGGCTGCATTCGGCGTATATGGTTGGGTCTCTATTTCCTTGCGCCCATCGGTCGTAATGCTTCCACCGCCGGGCTTTGCATGTATGGCACTGAAAACGGAATCAATGATCTTTGACGCCTGATATTCTTGTTTGTGCCCTTGTCGATCTTAAAGAGTCTTGGGACAGTGACTTCACTGCTTCGATGAAATTCGCCAATTGCTAAGGTCGAGGTCGCCAACTCGAGATCGGTCAGCCTCGTATTAAGCTCGTTATGAAATCCAAAGTCTCTAAGAATAATCTATGTCAAGATGTTCAAGCTCATCTCGAAATGCATGGTATGTAAAGCTATAGTGTTCAGGTGTGTTTCCTGATATTCAGCAGCATCGGGGCACAGACGACTATAGATATTTGAGATCCCATATGCGAATAGTGTCAACAAGACCTTTATAGATAGGTACCTAAGCAAGCTACCTAGATAATTGCCAGACACATATTCGTCAATGGTTTATTATTTCAATCCAAATCAACCTAGACCATTCAGATTGAATATCCTATACTATCTACATGGCTCGAAAACAGAAAAATCGAGGGAAATAATTTGAAGTAATATAATTGAGCATATAAAACAAAAACAAAAAATCAACTGGATCAACTCTATTGGATCAGATTTCTTCAAATTGTCTCGTGTAAGGTGGTGATGTGCCGCCCGAGACATATCAGCATTGCTCCCGCTGAATTACTCGTGAGAATAAACAGCGGAAGCCGAATTTGATTAGCGAAGCGGAGCTCGTCACGTCCAATTTAGTTGATACAGAAGAAAGGGAAAAAAAGAAAAGGACGAAAAATTTGGCAAGCTCGAATTTCATAGCACAAGCAAGTTGCGCGGTCACGTGGATGCTATGCTGAATTAGGGGTTAAGGTGTGCGATCAAGTGAGATCCATCCCCCGCCAGATGTCTTACCTAATGTTGCCCAATGAAGACCCCGCCTTCGGAGCAGATAGAGTTCAAAGGGTTCAATTTTTATTCGGGGATGTTCGGAGTAACTAGGAAGCTGCTAGGTACCCTTGGGAGTGGGAAGAATTGAAGCTTCCAAATGGTGAGCTCACGATAGGCTGACTCTTTCCTATCAGCGCAGGCTTTGGTCAATTTAGATACTCCGCAAAAAGCTGAGAGAGGGAAGCAACCACCCTAAAGCCGACTTCGCTTTTTGCGAAAAAAACGTCATCTCTTAACTCTACAATCTTTTTCCACCATTATGAAGATATAGGTTTTTTCTTTGTACATATCCATTGTGGTGGGGCTCTTGCAAACGACGAATCTAGATATCTGCGCTGCGATAATCGATATTCAGTAATTGACAAAATTTGGTCGATCGATTCGCCATGTCTCTACCCGCCCTCGCCCTCCGAGGCACTTCTCGTGCTGTCCGTTCCTTACCTCGATGGCCAGTGTCAAGAACAGTTCAATGCGTAGCAAGAAGGGCTCAGTCATCTTCTAAACTAGACGTCCAACAACGAGTATGCCACCTCCAACAGACTCAAATTGAGTCTCCCCAAACACCTAAACACTCAAGTATAGCATCAAGGTTATGCTGATCCATTTGCGCAGTTGCTCTCGGCACATCTCCAAGATGCTGATCCCGCTGTGTTCGACATCATCGAAAAGGAAAAGACCCGACAAAAGCATTTCATCAACCTTATCCCCTCCGAAAACTTCACCTCCCAAGCCGTCCTTGACGCGTTAGGTAGTCCAATGCAAAGTACGAAGATAAGCTACAATGGCTATGTGGTGTGTCCGAGCTAACCGTTCGGCCAGACAAATACTCGGAGGGTTATCCAGGAGCGAGGTATTACGCAGGCAACGAGTTCATCGATCAGTCGGAAAGGTTATGCCAGAAGAGAGCGCTAGAGACGTTCGGCTTAGACGAGAATGAATGGGGCGTCAATGTACAGCGTGAGTTTTATCTATGCTACGATTCACCAATCGCGCAGCCAACACAGTGAGAGAACTTTGTAGCTAATCGCAAGGGGCTCGTTACGATGAACAGCACTATCCGGCGCTCCCGCAAATCTGTACGTCTACTCCGCCTTAATGGATACCCACGATCGGCTTATGGGATTAGACCTCCCTCACGGCGGTCACCTCTCCCACGGATATCAGACTCCCACCAAAAAGATTTCTGCCGTGTCCAAGTATTTCGAGACGGTTCCTTACAGGTTAAACGAAGACACAGGATTGATCGACTACGGGAAACTGGACGAGCTTGCTCATCTCTACCGACCCAAGATCATCGTAGCTGGAGCTAGCGCATATAGCAGATTCATTGACTACAAGGCTATTAAGGAGACATGCGACAAGGTCAACGCATACCTAGTCGCTGATATCGCGCATATCTCTGGTCTCCTCGCGGCCAAGGTTATTCCTAGCCCATTTAGCTTCGCGGATATTGTAACGACTACGAGCCACAAGAGCTTACGGGGTCCTCGGGGCGCCATGATCTTCTTCAGGAAGGGCGTGCGAAAGGTTAACCCGAAGACAAAGGAGGAGATATTATATAACTTGGAGAACCCCATAAACAGCTCGGTATTCCCGGGTCACCAAGGTGGTCCCCACAATCACACTATCACGGCGCTGGCCGTAGCATTGAAGCAAGCTCAAACATCCGAATTCCGAACCTACCAAGAGCAGGTCCTTGCCAACGCTCAAGCTCTTGCGAACCGCCTGGGCGAATCCAAGGCCAATGGTGGCCTCGGGTATAAACTCGTGAGTGATGGCACAGACAATCACCTGGTCCTGGTAGACCTGAAGCCGCAAGGCGTCGACGGTGCCCGAGTTGAGCGAGTGCTAGAGGTCGTAGGCGTGGCCAGCAACAAGAACACGGTACCCGGCGACAAGTCAGCGATGATACCAGGCGGTCTGCGTATAGGCACGCCGGCGATGACAACGCGCGGTTTCACAGAGAACGACTTTGTTAGAGTAGCTGACATCATTGACCGCGCAGTAACTATCGCGTCCAGGGTGGATAAGGCAGCGCGCAACGCAGCAAAGGAAAAGGGCGAAAAATACAAATTAAAATTCTTCTTCGACTTCCTTGGCACCGGCGAGGAAGACCCCGAAATTGTGCAGCTACGCGCGGAGGTGTCAGACTGGGTAGGAACTTACCCTCTGCCTTGGGATGAGAAGCAATGACGTCGGGTTGCATTTTCGAGGTTGTAGCCGTGGCAAGGCGACGGGGTCTTTGATATGAATTTAAAGATTCAAATTTGAGAGGGGGGTGGCAGACTATTCTTCATTTTTTCCCCTTTTGTGACGCAGTGGTCGGGCTCCTCTTACCCCCTCACCACCCCCGTCATTGAGCAAGGCGGGCGGCACGGGAGGCGTGGGCGGCTACGCACGTATGGTATGACATGAAATGCGGGAAGGGTAGCATTGGGGAGTTCTCGGATGGCATCCGCATACAAACATGAAGAGGTTGGAAACCCTCGGGCTTTTCGTGATGGCCTCATTTGCGTCGTTTGGTTTCAACAACAGCATTTCAACATTGCAGATCATGTCTCCCTTTCGTTCGGCGATGCACTGCATGTCGCACGGAAGCTCGGTAGACGGAACGGGTGGATATTACTCTGCTCGCTGCTGGCACGGTAAAGGCTTTTTAGTTTCTCGGGAATTAACTGATTTGGGGATTTATTTTCCTCGTAAATGAGAACGAATCAAAAAAAGTTGAAAGGGTCCCTACTGGTTAATTTTGCTTGTGATAAGACGGGATGGAAATGAGGTCATCACGGTTACAGCTGCTGTAACGACGTAAAGCTTCACTCCCTCGCCCCTTGGTTGTGAGTGCGTTGTGGCTGGTAGTTCAAATATTTGTGACCAGTAGGGACTGTATTGTACTATTGTAGTGCTTAGCATACAATATAGTAATGCGATGCTTGCTTTGGGTAAGGTAGGTCTAGGGTCTAGATATGCAAGGGATGACTGCTTTAATCCCCCTCACGCGAATAGCATCCTATAGGTTGCCAAACTCGAGGATCTGGGTACATACACATACCTACCTAGGTACTTAGGCTGTCTAGGTAAGTACCTATACAACAACAACCGTACACCGCAAAGTTCAAAGGTATTCGGACGGAGGCGGGCGACGTTCTGCTGTAGAGGCGTGGGTTAGAATTCAAAATCTGGTTCTTGTCAGTAATTCGTCGAAGCGTGAGCAAGGTATTTGAGCTTCTTAGATAGGTAGACTGGTAGGAGGGCGCTGTTATAATTGGGATATTGGCATTTGTATAGGTAGGTAGGTATGCGGCGTGTTACCGCTACTCCATACATCCATAGCACTCACTATATTGATGTGATCGCTTAAGGGTCCTAAGGGTCTAAACATAGAGATTCTATACACACGATGTTGTACAAAGCATATAGTCTAGATTATACAGCTTTCATCAAACGTCAGATTATAGTCTCCGAGTTGCTTAGAAGGGTCATGGAATAAACGGCCCTACGACCTCCATATAGAGAATATCAATGTTGAACAAGAAGGAGATTGAGAGAGTTATTTTCAGGGTCCTTGTTTCTGGAACTACAGCATTCGCCGTTACTGTTACTTCTATTGATTCTACCGGTAAGCGTCTTACCACCAAGGCAATATCTGGTTAATTGAACTAATTCGCATTCAACTACCCCGTTGCCCGTATGCTTTGGTACCGGTCACTTATCATAGTTGTTGTTGTCGTAGTCACTGTTACGTCGTCATCGGCTCATACCTTTTATACGGTGCTTGCGCATGTTTGACTTGCTTGGTTCCGAGGTCGACAGCATGACTCCAAGGGTTGAACGAGAAGAGAAGTCGTTGAATCGGAACCCCGGCAACCTGCGCATTAATACTAGGCGATGACTCAGATGTACGGATGTACGTATATGTATGTATGTGCCCCAACCCAGGAAAAGGAAAAGAGGGACGGTGGAGCGGGTAGATTAGGGTGGATCGGCATCGTGTTGGCTGGCTGATGGTTCGTCTCTTTGCTTCAGGTCCGCTGATGGTGGCGGCTCTGCGGAAAAAGGTTTTTCTGCGAGGAGCGGAATGCGACTTGGACGACGACTTCACATCGCTGAGAGCATGGTACGTAGGTATGTAGTATGTATTATGTATGTATGTATGTATCTTCGTCGTGTGCACGTACACGAACCCAAACCCAAACTCGACGCTGGATCGACGGGATGTTGGGGGGGAGGACGCGGGGACGATGACGATCTTATACCTTATCGTGCCGCCATGTGGCATGAGAACAGGGAACGAGTAAACTCGCCGCTATACAGTTCTGGCATTTATACAACGTAGTATCTCTGGCACGTTTAATACCGTTATTGTTACTTGATCACCTTTTTCTATGGTGATGTTCATTGGTACCAGTATAAGTAATTCTTATGTTTTAAGTCGCCAAGATGATCAACTCTGGGTTCGAGTACGAGTTCCGTAGTGGGCTAGTAGGGTGGGTTCCTGTGATTGGATTGTTAAGCAAGGGGATCATGATTTCGGGTCGATGGAGGAATTATTGATCCATTCAGTCCATTTCGGCGAACTACGCATTTATCACAGGAGAACCACTTTCGGAACCAGAGAAAGTTGAAAAAGGAGTTCGAGAGGGATAGGATGTCATTTGTATGAGCGCCGCCCTCCGCCTGCCAAGAAGCTGTTCAAACCGCGCTACGGCACGGTAAGGTGACGCAGTCGTCATCAAGCAGGAAGCCACACAAGGGTTGAATAGGCGGGTAACTTTCGTAACTTTCGTAACTTTCACACTTTCACATGTGTCAAAAAATATGACTGGAGAACTTGTTGGTGAGACCCTCACCCTAGCTTCTAACGCACATGTTCATATCATGCATACATGTCCACACACACCATTATGAGTTCCCCTTATCTTAGACTAACCAACCATCGACGAAATGACGACTCAACCACTGGATGCCTTTTCAGCCCTTGCCCCGCCAGGTCCGCAGGCCCGCTCCATCAACATCAACATCATCATCAATCACTACGAGATAAGACTCCCCTGTTTCAAAAAACATCCCAATCGACTCGATCTGCTCGATCAGAACTCAAGTGTTTCGTATGACAACGTGTTGCGTATAATGGGTCACTGACGACTGTTCTACGTTCATTTCAATTGTGGAATTGAAGGTCTGTGACCCCTTTATCCTCAAGGGTTCAAATACACCATTTCCTTCGGACGTCACCATGCATGGTAGGTGGCATTCCGCAATTCGAGTAGGCTTAGTTGCGGTATGGTAAGGCCGCATAGCTGAAATTATCAGAAGCCCGGAAATGGAATAGGATAGTCAGGTCCAACGAAGATTAAGTATGTGGCTGTCTCGTCATCACTTAACATCACGATTCAATACTAGCTCCCCGTCTTTACTTAATTTGCATGCGTTTGGAGAGGCATGAATGTACACTCATGTGATACATAGAGTATCGTATTAAGCCGTCCATGTGGGCGAAAGTTAATATACAGATAGCCCGGTAAGGCAATCCAGTCTCATGGGTTCGGTCCGTCGAAAGCATATGACAACTCAGATCACCTCGACTCGTCAAGTTCCAGTCACCTCAATCGAACGTACAGTTATTTCGACAACGACGGCAAGCGACGGTTTATTGGTATCTCGGTGGAATCACCCGTCCCCTCATCTTGAGGGTGGCTATGCTGACAGCAGTCATCGAGATACTCGATTTCTATACCCACAACTATCAAGAAATATGGGATGACAATGTCGAGCTAGACAAGGAGTATATGATGAGAACAATGGGACTCGTAGAATTCAGACTTGACATCAAGGCGCCTAACCGTTTATAGCAATCCGTAAAGGTCGGTTGTTTTCAGCATCCAACTTTACAAAGAAATACCAATGGCTGCAATGACAATCTTGAATCATGTGCTTTTCTCTTTAGGACTTCCCTGTTTCAGATAACGCTAATAAGCAATCATCGATCTTTGTGGGTTTGGTGGGGTTTCTTTTCCCCAAGAGGATCAGCAATTTTGCATGCTGAGGGTGGGTTTGTACTGCGCTGAGAAAGACGACAGTGCCTATCAGATATTGAAGACGAGCCCAACGGCCACCTGTCCGGGTTCCTTAGAGAGCTGGGGAAATCGTGGGCCTCGCCAGAACGATGGGTCCGGGGGAGGAGTCGAATATCTGGGTAACAATACGCACGACGATGGATATGTCGCGATGATCATCTTGCTTTTTGAGCCGTTGTTTTGCTATGTTTTGCTATGTTTTGCTATAAATCTCGAATTCGTACACGGATCCTCTAGTGTCTAAACCAGTTAGATGATAAATATTGGCATCCGAGTCTACCATAACGTATCTTGGTACGGCAACAAGCCAGGCATATGCCGTGGACCCTCACCGCAACTCTCACATTCTCTAGGCGAACATGTTGCTAATAATGTGTGTAGTCACTTTAGTAGTCTCTGATCTACCTCTGTCACTCTATACATGTACAAGTTAGAATACCTAGGTACCCCTTTCAATGTCACAATGCCACTATTTCATTGTTACCTGTCCTGCCTGTCTAACATTAGATCATTCGGGTTTCAATGGAAGACACATCCGGAAAGAGGAGATGTTCCTTTCCGTCGTAACCGCCGTTGTAGCACCGTTCGACAGGCTGATTGTCCCGTCTCTTACTCTAAGAGGTTATCCGTGGCCTGGACTACTATGTATAACCTCGAGTATTTCGATCTTATATTGAAAAGTGGATTTATAAATGGATCTCCAGGGGCATTGAGTCTTAAAAAGATGGAGGGGTCTTCCCCTGTGGGGGCCATCATTGGGGGGAACTAAGCACGGACTCAACTTACCTAAACGAGCGAGTACGTACTTCCAAAAGGAGGGGTGTGTCTGGGCGTACTGGGCATATTGGGCGTATCGGCCAAAGACTGGTCCAATGTGCCGAGCGTTGCGAGGGTTAAAAACACCGAACGATAAACAGGCATAACATTTGCATAAAAATATTTTAAAGGGTCTCCATATAAGATCCACTCTTCAGCGGCGCTTGACGTCAGAGCCTCCGCGGCTGTTCCGACTTCTACTCTTCGCTAATTCGTTAACCGCTAGACAACATTCCTCCAACCTTCAACTTTTCAACAATCATCCAATCAACCCGTCTCGTTTGTCGTATCTGGACAGTGTCTTTTCTGACTATGCGAACTTGTACCCCTTCTCTAACCGCTCCGTCGTACCAGATCTATCTAAATTGGCCGACAGGGTACTTGTAACCGCGTTCTCTCAATTCTGTCGGGCCTGTTAGGCACGTAAGACGCCCTAATAAAGCACTGCAACATACAGGACAACGTACAGCATAAGAAAATACCCAGAAGCCTGGCTTCTCGGTCCGATCTATCAGTGATCCTTGCATTAGATATGACCTGGCTGAAGCCCTTCAGGTTGTGTAACGAACAAAAGCAACGCAGAGACGGCGGATCGAGACGGATTGATACGTCGTCGCCAAAGCTCAACAGTATTTTGTTGGCATAATGTACCGGAATGGCGACATACCAGCGACATCAACACTGGCCTGAGATGCCTTAACCCTGAATCGTTCTTCATAAATTACGGCCCGAGTCAAAATAGCACCGCCGCCGTCAGTTTTCTAGCTTCAAACGAAGAGGGTAGCCCACACGTGCCTGAAGCGCCAAATCAAATTGGTTGCCTTCCTTTCTTGGGCAAATTCAGGGTCTGCTCTAAATCTCAGATCTTGCTCAGGTCCCTTTCTGCAACTTTTTTTTCCTTCGTCGGCCTTATGCTACCCAAATATGTATCAGCCAGGCCTGATGCCGTTTGGGGCTATATGCTGCATCGCGAGTAATTATTCCGATGACAACCCGTCAGGCGGGCTCGATTTTTTTGATAGGCGACAGGGATACGCCACACGCGGGTCAAATCAGCCAAAGCGTTCATTACATCCACTCAATCACCCTTGTCATTTTCTAGCAACGACAGGCACCCTCTGGAAATATCGAAGAAGCATGATTACATCTTTGTACAGTACGAAAACCAGATCTCCTCATAAAGTCCAGATAGATAGCACTGCTAAACGTAGCGTCCTACGTAATCGATCATATCCCTATTAGGCCACGGCGTCATCCACACCTGACGAGGCTAGCGCTACTGGTCCTGCAGGCGACGAAGACTTGTCGGGTTGGTCGACGCTCTCGAGGTGTGACGAGGTCCCGCCTTGCTTGGTTCGGCAACCCAAGCGAATAAGTTGAGAGGATTATGGAGACCCTGATTTTCGACACATGTTAGGTTGCTAACCGGGTCAGACATCTCATTGGCGAATCCTCCTTACGGCATAATACGCAGATACATGCGTACAGTACCCGTATGAGGGGATATTACAGTACCGGTATTCTCAACCGTCGTCGCCGCTCTACTCTTTACTCTCTACTAGAGTACGGAGGTGGTCCATGCAAAAACATGCCCTGCCCAGCTGCCCTTAGACGAACTACGGAGAGATTTCGTGACTAGTCAAGGGACCCCCTGGATCAGGACTCAGCTAGACGATGATGCACAGTTCGACGATGCGCCAGATGCGCCAGAAGCCGAGACACATGGTTAACGTCCATGTTACAGATCGCAATCGCCAGAAACACACCCACAAGGCTGACGTTGACGTTAACGTTAACAACAAGTAGTCAGTTTATATCCTTGAGCCGGCTTTACCTGTCTGGTCTAGCATCAACAAGCAAATACCTAGGTACGTCAATTTCCATTGGCTTCGCGCGCTCGGCGACTCAAATTTTTATATCCTGTCTGCCTGTGAAGGATACCTGGTAAGCGATAACCGAACTGGTTTGCCTTTCCACCTGAATATTCTCTTGACACTTTACACATGCCTAAGTAGGGCAGGTAGGGATATACTGATACTATATATCTAGCCCTGCAGGGTGGTATAAGACCGGATCCACACTGCAAGCATACTCCCATCCACATTGTCATCCATGAACATCACTGACCCATCCATAGAATAGTACAAGTGTACAAATAGTTACTAGGGTCGATGTAAATATGTAGCCACACATCATTGTATCATTGTACATGTATAGTATGATCCACTTATTCCCAACTCCTTCCTTGATAGCCTTTAACATTATACGTAGTTTTTGTGCTTTGTTGATGCTGTCTAATGACGGTATGGATGTATTTTCTGTTTATTTCTAGATGTACCAAATAGAACCATTCTTCTCCATGTTACGGATGTACATGCCAGGATTGTTTATGTAAAGATATATATATATATATATATATGCCCTCTCCCGGTCTCCCTTAGATGGCTTCAACTTTTCTTCCTTAACTATCAAGTCAACAGCTCACCAGGAGTTCGAGTATTCTTGGTTTGCAAAAATATCACTTCAAAAGAGCTTCATCGGCAACTAAAGTCCTTCGGCTGGTTCCCTTCAAGTCTTTACAACTACCTATTTGCTTTTATATCGCGTGTCGAGTTCGATCATTACATTTCACTTCAACCACCATGTCTCTAGAACCCCAGCAGCCTACCTTCCACCGCGGCAGCTTCGCCGACGAGATCGAGACAGCCAGAACTGATCTCTCTCGTAAGCTGCTCGTTGGTGAATCCTCATCCAGGAGCCCGTCCGAGTCCGAGACCGCTCCGTCTTTGAGCCCCACTGCCAGCGCCACTCCGTCGAGTCCGGAGTCAGACGCGGCCGTCTCACCTATCTCTCCCCCGGTCGACGACGAAGTTGTTGCGGACAGCTTTGCCTTTGCTTTCGATATCGATGGCGTCTTAGTAAGAGGTGGTCGACCCATCCCTGAGGCTATCCAGGCCATGAAGGTCCTTAACGGCGACAACAAATACGGAATCAAGATGTAAGTGCCTCGTATTTCCTACATGGCGCGCCTCGCAGCCTGAACGGAATGCTGACTGAAATAGTCCCTACATTTTCTTAACCAATGGCGGTGGCAAGACCGAGGCCGAGCGCTGTGGCGACCTCTCCCGCCAGCTGGATATTGAGATCTCACCAGCTCAATTCATCTGCGGCCACACACCCATGTCTGAGATGGCCACCAAGTACAACACCGTTTTGGTCGTTGGTGGTGAGGGTGAGAAGTGCCGTACCGTTGCCCAGGGGTACGGTTTCAAGGACGTCGTTACTCCAGGCGACATCATCAAAGCGGACGCTGCCACCACACCATTCCGGAAGTTAACACCTGAGGAACTTCGCAACTCCAAGGAACGAGATTTCAGCAAGGTTACCATCGAAGCTATTTTTGTCTTCGCCGACTCCCGTGACTGGGCCGGAGACCTTCAGATCATTCTCGACCTGGCCATGTCCAAGGGCGGCCGAATCGGTACTCTCTCCGAGACCTTCGACGAGGGCCCACCAATCTTCTTCTCTCACAACGACGTCGTCTGGTCGGCCGCTCACGACAACGTTCGTCTCGGCATGGGTGCTCTGCGAGGTATCGTCGAGTACACCTTCAAGGAGGTCACTAAGGGCAAAACCCTGCAGACTCACGCCTTCGGCAAGCCACAGATCGGGACCTTTGAGTTCGCTACCCGTCTGCTAAAGCGATGGCGCAAGAATGAGCATGGCCTAAACGCTCCCCCGAACACGGTCTACTTTGTCGGCGACACCCCCGAGAGTGACATCCGGGGCACCAACCAGTACAACGAGAAGGCCGAGAATGACTGGTACAGCATTTTGGTCAAAACCGGTGTCTACCAGGAAGGTACCGAGCCGGCCTATAAGCCTCGCGTCACTGTCAACACCGTGCTAGACGCCGTGAACCACGGTATCGAGCGCGAGATGGAACGACGAAAAAAGAACCAAAGCAAGCCCCGCCTGGTCGATATGCCCAAGTTGACCTTGGAAGAAGCTCAAGATCTTGCCGTCTTCAGTCCTGCTGAGGAACGTCCCCTCGAGCTTACTGCATGATTTTCACGATTTTTATGACTTCTACATCTATATATTTTCATGATACCATATTTTGGCCCTTTCACATTCTACTGCTTTTTTATTACTATTTATTACAATACACTCTGCGCACCGTGGGACTACGCAGTAAAAAGGGCATTCGTTCGGGCATTGTTAGGAAGTTTGTAATATTGAGATGGATCTATCTCAATAGATGTTGGATACTGTTGCATTATACGGCGTTATTGGTAAAATTGATATTAAAGCTCAATAATATAAATCGAAGCTATTTTCATTTTGACGATATATATCTATTCTTTTCGTTTGCCAACGTATGTGATTTGTTATATCGTGACATTTCGATGCTATAACTATTTCGTATCACTCGACTAAATCGACGTATTGCCACAACCAGCCTTGATGCGCTTCCAGCGTACAAGCGAGTTCTTCCAAGAAGACCTAACTCTATGGATGTTCTATAATTTTCACAAGTACTACATACAGTGATACTTCTCAATATAGGTACCAGCCCCCCACAAGGCCACGTTACCGGCGCTTAGCGTCTATGTACACCTCATATTCGACACTACTCCCTTCCGACACAGCCGACCCATACCATTGAGCCTCACACATTAAAGATTTAATCTATCTCAGCTCTTCGGATCAGCCCACTTCGGCACCCGCGTGTCTGCGCCTCCCACTCGCCTGCTAACACATTCTTGACAACTACGTCGCATTCGCCACCTCGATCGACTGCATCGATATATGTAGGCTGTAACTCCACCCCGCTAGCCTGCTTGCCCTCTTTCTCCGCGTGGGGCATGCTCGTCCAAAGGGCTGAATGTATGTAGGCAGTCGCCCTACTTGTGGACCTTCTATTTCGATCTTACTCTTCGACTACTTAACCATTACCAACCTGCCATCCTGGGCGGGGTACGGCCGGGCAGCGGGTATGCATCATCCGTCCCACGAAGTAGTTGGAGGGTCATGGTGTCTAGGGGGTAAAGGGGTAAGGGGGGCCGGATTCCCGGCAGTGGATGGGTTGACCGGCTGGGTTGAACGAGCTGACCGGTTTGTTTATCGGGTTCGCCTCATCGAGTTCTCCCGATCAGGTAAGCAAACAGGTAATCATGTAGGCAGGTAGGCAGGTAGGCAGGTGGGCAAGGTACCCAACCAGGTAATTTCCCAGATAACAAGGCCGGCAAACAAACTTCCCCCTTTCCCCTTCCCGGGGAAAAAAACAACAATCACTGCAGATTCACAAACAACCCCCCATCAACCAGCAACTGCGCCCCCGTAACATACCCGCTCAGCTCGTCGCAGGCGAGGAAGACGGCGGGACCCGCCATATCTCGCGGGTCCCCCGTGCGGCCGAGCGGTATGCGGCCCTCCATGTACGCGCGCTTGCCCGCGTCGGCGAGGTCCTCGTCGTTGAGCTGCGTGCGGATGGTTCCGGGCAGCAGCGCGTTGCAGCGGATGCCGTGGCGGCCGAGGGCCACGGCGCAGCTCTGCATGAGCGATAGCACGCCCGCTTTCGTCGGCGTGTAGTGCGTTTGCTGGCCGCCGCCTACGAGGGCGGATATGCTGGATAGCGCTATTATGGAGCCGCGGTGGACTTGTGCTGAGTAGGATGAGGGGAAGGGGGTGCTGAATGGGGAGGATGTGCTGGAGGGGGAGAAGGGCTCCTGCGAAGCCATTTGTCGCGCCGCGGCTTGGACGACGTAGAATGCGCCGTCGAGGTTCGTGCGCACGGTCCTGGAGAACAGGTCCCCTGACAGCGTCAGGAACTCGGCGAACTGGCATATCCCCGCGTTGCTCACGCATATGTCGAGGCGTCCGAAACGCGCGACGGCGTGGGCGACGAGGGCCGGGCCCGTGCTAGGGTCCGATACGTCGCCCGCGAGGTGCTCGAGGGTGCCGATCGTTAGGCCCGGGGGAGGAGTGGTGGTGCTGGAAAAGGTGGCTTTTAGCGACGCGGCTTCGGCGATGAGGGACTCGAGGTGCGGCGCGTCGTTGTCGCGGCCGAGGTGATTCACTACGACGTTGCAGCCTTGCCGGATGTACTCGAGGGCGATGGCGCGGCCGATGCCGGTGGTGCCGCCGGTTATGATGGCGGTTTTGCCTTCTAGGAGGTTTGTCGCTGGCATTTTTTGTTTTCTGTGTTGTTTTTTGGTGTGCGGCGTCTTCTTTCCCTTCTTCCTGCGTATGCTGTTTGGTATGTCTCTGTTGTATGGTGTTTGGTTTATAGTATACTGTGTCCAATGTTTATTGCCTAGGTCAATAGTCGAGACTTCAAGGTCGGTAGGAGCAATTAGAAGGTGAGGTTTGCTCGGTCGAGGCTAGAGCCGGGATTGATGTCGTCGTCGTTTGAGAACTTGGACGAGGTGTGACAATGCAGGGCGACGGTGTCGATGCTATGCTCCGTTCCTGGCTAGATTTCAGGGTTCTATGCGTTCTGTAGCGGGGTAGGTAGCTTTTGGCATGTGATGGGAGGCTTCTATTCGTCGTGGTGTATACTCGACAAGTCTTCTTGGGCGAAGAGTAGTATACGGAATCGGCTTTCCTGCGTCAGATGATATACGAACCTTGAATTCTGGACGCTTACGAAGAACGTATAGGCAATTTCATACGCCACGGCCAATTCCACGATCTCCAACTCCTGCTAGATAATCTTTCCACGCTTGCCTGTGACGCTATCGACCTTGGCACGTACGATTAGCATATAACCCCACGATCTCGGGGCAATGGCCAGCGAGATTTTCGTTCGGGACTTAGGTCTAAAGATGCATGGTATCCGCCTCGGCATTCTCTAGCCTCTTTTCGGAGATATGGGCGCGCACAGTAGGGCCGGGAAGATATTCGTAACTGTACATGGCAAGTTTGCCCTATCCTATACGTGTTCATTTCGTTTCGAACTCGCTGTGAATTACCTCACTGTCTCTACCTGCTTCAGAAACGCATCATAGACTATACTGCGTTTCATCATAACTCATCCTCACTTTGGTATTAGTGGAAATATTGCGAATCTGTCGCGGGGTATGCTACCTCACGTCTAGACGAGACGCCTCACTTATATGGTTCGCCAACCTATAGAACGTGCCACTATGCATCATGTATGTAGGATAACGTAGGATAGTCTCGACCTGCAGAATATTATTGACCTCGTGACTTGGACCTGGTACGATAAACCCGGACGCTCGAAACCCCCCTTGGCTAAGTTAACTAAAGGGTTCTTCGTAGGGCTTGAGACCGGCGGACCCTTAGTCATTGTCGGGCGATTGGCGACCGATCCGCGTACTACTGACTAGGACGATAGCCCGTATACCAATCATCCACCGAAGAAGCGTCGGTTGGCACGAATGCAAGGAGCTAGGACGGCTTTCCATGGCTATCCCAGGCACCACCCCACTGTCCCGACGGACCTCCTCGGTCTTTGTCGTCCTTTCGTCAGAAGCACAGGGGAGGTCGTTGCCCGGGAAGCCGAGCCTGACGCTGGTGCCTTGCGTTTTCTATACGTATTAATATTCCGGTCACGACGTATCCAAGTCTCTGAGTGGTGTTTGTCACTCTAACTCTTGCCGCTTCTGCCGATCCGACTCTATCCCCTCTTCGTCTTCGTCTTCGCCTTTGTCTTTTTACTAGGTACTTAAGGCATTCCCGCAACCAAAAGTACGCTGGTCGGATATAACAAGAAGAAAACAACATACAGAAGCGATTTATTATAAGACGAAGCAATCAAAATGGCTTCGGCGAGACAGTTTCCCACCATTAAAGCTGTTCGATCATACGTGATTGGTGGTGTAGGCTCAGGTATGCAACCCGTTTGGGGGAGATTGAGCCGGGGAGGCGGGGAAGGATGAATCGAAGCTAACTAACTCGATCTAGGTGGTGACTATCACAATGTCAAAGGTGGCCATTGGTATGCCTCTTAGCTTTAAAGTCCCCCGAATGAGTTATCTTGAGACGACGAGAATTAATAATTGTGCGATTACAGGCTGATCGATACCGATATCTCTACGCCGTGCTCTATCTGGGACCAATATAAGAAATCGAGAACGAGCTGGGGTATCAACGTCCTCGGCTCGTTCCTCGTTGAGATCGAGGCCAGCGATGGCACTGTAGGCTTTGCGACGGGCTTTGGCGGTACGAAAACACTTTCCCAGTCGATTGACTATATGCGTTCAGCATAAATATGAACCGAATATGAACGGAAATGGATACTGATACGTGAACTTCTATAGGCCCACCGGCTTGCTGGATCGTTCACAAGCATTTCGAGCGATTCCTAATCGGGGCTGATCCCAGAAATACCAACCTACTCTTTGAGCAGATGTATCGAGCTTCTATGTTCTACGGCCGTAAGGGATTGCCGATAGCCATTATCTCGGTCATTGACCTGGCCCTGTGGGATTTGATAGGAAAGCTGAGAAATGAGCCGGTGTATAAGCTCATCGGCGGTGCTGCGAGAGAGCGGATAGACTTTTACTGCACGGGACCGGAGCCGACAGCGGCTAAGGCGATGGGTTTCTGGGGCGCCAAGGTTCCCTTACCTTATTGCCCGGCTGACGGCCACGAGGGACTGAGGAAGAATATTGCGTTCCTTCGCAAGCACAGAGAAAGCGTAGGACCGGACTTCCCTATCATGGTCGACTGCTACATGAGCTTGAACGTGTCATATACTATCGAAATTGCCGAGAAGTGCAAGGACTTGGACATTAACTGGTGGGAAGAGTGTCTGACGCCCGACGACACGGATGGCTTTGAGCAGATCAAGCGAGCCCACCCAACCCTCAAGTTCACGACAGGAGAACATGAGTATTCCAGATACGGATTCCGCAAGTTGATCGAGGGCCGCAACCTAGACATCATCCAGCCGGACGTGATGTGGTTGGGTGGTATGACGGAACTGCTTAAGGTGTCCGCCATGGCTGCTGCGTACGATATTCCCGTGGTGCCTCACGCAAGCGGACCTTACAGCTACCACTTTGTCATTTCGCAGCCCAACACTCCCTTCCAGGAGTACTTGGCGAACTCGGCGGATGGCAAGAGTGTCCTTCCGGTGTTTGGCGACCTCTTCCTTGACGAGCCTATTCCGACCAAGGGCTACTTGACGTCCGCCGACCTCGACAAGCCCGGTTTCGGTCTTACCTTGAACCCGGCAGCGAGGTCAAAACTGATCCCGTCAGACTACCTTTTGAGCCCGCCTCCGGCTAACGTCTTGCAAACGGCGACAGGGCTACCGGACTCGAAGCCGACTGGAGAGAAAGCTACCTAGAGAGGTAGCCTTCCGGATCAGGTGACCGAGGGTGTAAAGACCACTGCTATAGCGTACAGGCGTCTAATAAGAAACGCTCCCGGTGTAATGATTAAAATACCAAAATAATTGGCAGTTGTAGGAAGCACCAGAAATTCAAGAAGGCCAAGGAATACGGAAGCGAGCAACCGGCAGTTTAACAGGCGCAGTTTGCCCGGGGAATGCTGCCGAGAATGGAACGGAATGCTAGGTATGGGGAGTTGTCCGCGTAATGTAGTAGAGACTGTAGAGTAGTGGTCGGCCCGCATCTAATGGATGGTTCTATCGCGTCGGGATTTTCCACGACATATCCATTGTATGTAGGTATCTCTGTATCTATCTGCATGCGTATGGCCTGGTATATCTACCTACCTTGATCATGTGGAATGATTAGTTGAGATGGCGACAATGGCGAATTGAAGCAAGTTAGGATGTTTGAGGCAATTACCATGAACAAGATGAAGCTGGTTAACAATTGAGAGAGTTATGTAACAGTGAAAGTGAAGCTTCGAATATTTTATCTGACGGAAACCAATCCGAACATAATTGAGTTGGGGCTAGTCCGAATGGAGAAATACCCCTGTAAAAGCCAAGGAACCCCCCTGAACGGGGATATATCATTGGTCTCCGCATAAGAACCTCCTCCACACCTTGTGCCCCCCTTTTCGTTTTTCCCTCTCCCCAACTTTTTTCTTTCCTTTTTCCTCCACGAAGATGCAGAACCACACCTCCGGACAATCCCAGCAAGCCCAGCAATCCCAGCCAGTCCCCATCCACTGACTCTTCCCCGCAAATGATGATAGCGATTTCTGCGACCAGTAGCAGACGTGCTTCTTGTTTCCTAGGACGCTAGAGAAATGAAGAACCGGATATGATGCGAGTAGGTCACCACGAACCACCACTCTCATTTTTTCCGGCCGTGTGCAATATCACCGCCAGCATTGTCAACGTTGTCACCGTAATCACCAAGTTTCTCGTTTGGGTACCAGCATTGATAGCATTTGAGACAAGCAGGAAGACATACAGACAGACCTACTTATTCACTTACACTACCTACCATATATGGCTCCTATATATGGATATATATGGGGTTTAGGTGTATCGTATAATTCTATCGGAACAGTCATGCCGCCCGGTCCTCTTCGGAAGCCATCTATCGTCGACCGACCTATTCATGCTTCCCTGGTACCCTTCTTCTCTTCCTCTTTTCTCTATAGCTCCATCGCGATGAGTAGTACGTAGAACCGTCTATTATATTATCATGCCTTATGACCTACCGTCTCCTACATGACTAGTCAGGTACTACAATAGCTACGAGTTACAGCTGCTTGATATCCCAAGCACAAGCCCATGGAGCCCACGGGGAATTATATTAGTACTATTTATTAGTTCCAAATATTAGCACCATACGAGTCTCTTAGATTTTTTATCTTGGCATGGTCGTTCTCTAATTCGCTTGTAACTTTTTTTCTCTTCTGTTTTTTTTTTCGCCCTCTCCCCCATAATCCACATTTCCCGGGACCCTAAAAAGGTCGTTCGAGACCCAAAGCCGAGGCAGAGCCAGCGCTGGAGCCCGAATCTAGCCCGGCCAACCCCCTTCGCATAGAAAGAACCTAACACCTAACACGGTGCTATCCTCTACTCAACATTAACCCGAGAAAAGATCCAAACTCGCGCGATGCTGTCGCGCACAAACCCCGAGTTGCAGAGGCCTAAAGTTTGTAATTGACACCGAGACAATGATGCAGGCCATTGCTCAGTCTCAGAACGGACAGCCGCAAAACCACGTGTCGCTGCAAAGTAAACAGGAACCCGACAGCGACGACGGTAATAACGCACTGCAGAGCGGGGACGAGAATGATCAAGACGACGACCACGACAGCTCCGGCGCAGTACGTACGGGGAAACGCAAGAGGCCGATCTCAGTTTCGTAAGTATTGTATATCTTTATATCTTATATATTACCTACATATGGCGTGTTCATCTATCTGTGCAATGAATGTCGATCAAGCCTGCATTTGTATCATGGTATTCTTGTGGTGTTTTTATCCCGTCCATCCCCCATTCTCCAATTCTCTTGACTATCACCGTCTGATCTTAGTCTCATATCCCTCATCTCGCCTCCGCATTTTAACTCACCCGATCTAATCTCCTTCCGTCTCATATCATCTCACCGGTGCATAATCACATTCTACTATACCTAAAGTGAAAGTCCGAATACTAATATTGAGACGTTTAAAGTTGCGAAACTTGCAAACAGAGAAAGGTGTGTGTTCAGCATGAACAAGTGCATATCCATGCTCCTCATCTACTCAACGTACCGTCTTCAGTGATGATCAGTTTACAATACACCGTCGTTGATTGTTAATACTAATAACTATAAAGGTAAAATGCGATCGCGGACAGCCGTCATGTGGTTGGTGCAGGCGGAATTCGGTCTTCTGCGAATATCGCGAACGCAAAAAGCCCGGACTCAGAGCCGGCTATGGCAGAGAGTTAGAACAGAGGCTCGATAAGCTCGAGGAGATACTAAGATCTCATTCCGAGATCTTGCAGAGTTCTTTCATCAATCATCCTCACCACAACGTCGCCCCGAGTGTGCGCAATAGTAACCCGAGCTTACCTAGCGACCATGGCACTCCGCGCGAACCTGCACCGTTGTTTCGGCCTACCGAATCCATCAGGACTCCTCAGGCCGAGACTGCCCTGTTTTTACAGAAACCCTCGACGTTCCCTTCATCGTCGCAGCACGTAGACTTCGGTATACCGTCGTCGACTCCGTCTATGCATTCCATGCATGACGGCTTCCAACCACAGATGCCCATGGCCGGCATTTCTCCTCCCAATCAGCTAGGAAACAACCTTCAACCAGGCCCAGCGGCTCAAGAGTATTATAGTCAAGCCCAGCAACAACAGCAGGTTCGTTCTCCGGGCATGAACGGTCCCCAGGGCCAGACCGACCAAGACCTCCCTCCATATGATTTGTTATATGCTCTGGTTGATTTATACTTCAAGCATATCAATACATGGTGTCCCATATTACACAGAAAGACCACACTGGACTCACTGTTCGGGCCATCTACATTAGATGATACCGATAAGGTGCTTCTTCATTCCATCGTTGCTACAACGTTAAGATATTCAACAGACCCCCGACTCACAGAAGAAAAGAGGAGACATTACCATGATATCTCGAAGCAAAGGGTTTTGCTCTATGGCATGGAGAACTCATCTGTCAAGTCGTTGCAGGCTTTAGTAATCTTGGCACTGGATTTATGCGGAAGCAGTAATGGTCCACCAGGCTGGAACATTATGGCCTTAATCACTCGCTCGGTCGTTCAGTTGGGTTTAGCTGTTGAAAGCAACTCGCTCTCCGTATCGCCCAACTATGCATCGATATATACCTTGCGAGCTATGGTCCTACCAGAACCAAAAGATTTTATCGAAGAGGAGTCGAGGCGGAGACTTTTCTGGATGATATATCTCCTGGATCGATACGCGATGATTGCTACTGCGTTCGATTTCGCATTGGGCGACAAGGAAATTGATCGGACGCTACCTTGCCGGGATGATCTGTGGATTAAGAATCAAAAAGTCGAGACGAGGTGGTTCCACACACAAGGCCGTCCTCCAGACCACCCGGATCACGATGTGAACAAACCTGAAAACTTGGGGGCTTTCTCGTACTACATCGAGATACTTGGCATACTCTCCAAGATTCACGAGTTCCTGAAGCAGCCTGTCGACATTGGCGCGTTAGGCGATGTCGAGCAGTGGCAACTTCGATATAAAGAGCTCGATAACCTTCTGGCCTCTTGGAAGTTCGGTCTCCCCGGCGAATACGGTAACATGGCCAAATTGTTCCAGCCTGGCGGTAGCAAGACGCTGAACTGCGGGTGGGTCATGCTGCATGCTACCTACCACACCGCCGTGATTCGTCTGCATTCATCGGCGGCATATCCGACTACCCGATCCCCCATATTCACTCCATCCTATAGCGCCAGTCAACGTTGCCTTGGAGCGGTGGAAAACATTGCGGCTCTCGGTGAATTCGTGGTACAAAATGGTATGTTGAACAAACTTGGCCCACCTTTCGCTTTCACCTTGTGGGTTGCTGCACGACTCCTGCTTGTTCATGGCTCAACGGTTGAGCACAAATTGGCACCACAGATTGCCTTCTTGGTAGATACGCTCCGCGACATGGGTAGATATTGGCCCGTGGCGGGAAGATATTGCCAACTGCTTCAGAGGGTTCTTGACGAGCATAGCGACAGCGAGCGTGCTTCGGGTCAGACGGGTGAGCGGATCACACCATCTTCGGTGAAGATTTTAGCAGATATGAGGAGGACGGCGTTTGATCTCGATTTCTTGATTAGTCGCCAACCCCGTGCTCTGGCGGGCGCGCCAAGTCGCAGGCCCAGCGTGACTCCGGCACGTACTCCGGCGCCGAATGAGCTAGAATACCTGGACGTCTTTGATTTCTTCAACGTGCCACGATTGCCATTCAGCCATGAGGCATCTACGGCACCACCAAACACAAATGAGATGAATTCGGAGAACACGGGGACGAACAACGAAAACGGAAACGGAAACGGAAACGGGAATGTGAACGGCACCAATGGAACATCCAACGAATTTAACATCACGAATTTCATGGTTGATGCGAATAGCGACTGGCTATTCAAGCAGCCGAATTAGTTGCGTGTCTGTGACATGGACATTCCCCAGTCATTATTGTATCTCTTGCGACACCTGGAGGACAAACTTGGTATTTTACAAAAGATTAGCGAATACCAGACGGGAAAGGGCTCTTCTCGACTTCGCTTAGGAGGGAACGAGAGTTAGGATCTGTGTACGTATATGACTTGAACCCACCCCGGATTTCGGGGTGGTGATATTTGGATTACTAGATCTGTCTTGGGAAATTGGATTCAAAAGTCAGGCTGCCGGGGTCATTCGGGAGCTATGTTTTTTAGTATGAACTTTAATTGCAAGTGACGCAAAATATCGGCACATAAGCATTTTAACCCTGATGAAACTAACGAAATAAACGATGTTTCAGGGCCGGCTATGAAGACAAGGAGGGCATTTGACAGGCGGGTTCCTAGGAGCTGCCGGCGGGGGTTGTAGATAGGGCAATAATATGCATGATATACCTGCTTAGGCAGACCGGGGTCTAGATATGATGGATGGTATGATGTTCTGGCTACCGAGGCAGCCAGGCAATCATTCACCTTGTGATGGCCCATGGGTCTGTTCCTGACGTCTAACTCGTGTATTATCTGCAGTATGCCCTCATACGTTTACCAATTTGGGATTTACTGACGCTGGCTGGGCTCGAGTACATACTGAAAAGAGATTCACGGGATTCCCGATGTAGTAGCAAACTCGCCATCTCTAGACCGATGCCGATCTCCAATTTCGTCGATATGTGAGTTGTAAAAACTCGTCTCATTCGCCAGCAACCTGTATGTTTGTCTCAATTTACGATGCTATTTAAGTTGCGATACCACCAACAAACAACAAATAGTATCCCCGGCCTTACTTTCGGACTGAGATGAAAGGTCGCGATGTTCATGCACGTACGTCATCCACCTTCAGTCAGCGCCTACTGGACCCTTGGGGGGCGAAATACGAGATGATCGCCTACCCGAATCGGACTGATTGGGGTCGGCAGCTTTTTCGAGGTCGCTACCGAAGGTTGGCATGCAACGTCGTATCTGCCGTATAGAGTATACACGTTTTGAGACATCGAACACAGCCGACTTTGCTGCCATACGGGAGGTGTCGCCGGGGTAGCGAATGGCAACAAGGAATATATATATAAGATGACGATGTCGCCGTGTATAGTCGGGATAGAAGAAGGCCTATGATATCGCTCGCTAATCATCCAACTCATAATATATTAATATCAGTTCTACATCTTTGAACACACTCGCTTTATACCAGCAAAAGCAAAAAGTCTTGATTTACCGCACTATCGCTATACTCAAAAATAATTAATATCATTATTCCATCCGACATCATGAAGTCCAACACCATCGCCAGCGCTCTCTTCGCAGCCGCCACCGTCTCGGGCGCCGTCATGAAGCCCAGACAGGCCAACTCCTTCTCGGTGACCAACTTCACCGCGTCATGCATCCCTCACAGTCTTCTCTGCACGTATGTGGCTCCCTTACCTTTACCATGGTCAGCACTGACAAATCATCCAGCTACGAATTCGCCGTGATCACAGACCCGACCAGCGCCTCGCCGTCAGGCAACCCGTCGCCGGCGCAGTGCAGCCTGATGCTGCAGGGGCCGGACTACCTGCCGCCGGTCCCGCTGACGGGGTGCGCGGAGGTGGGCGCGTACTCGTGGGCGGTGGACGTGCTCCCCGACCAGGGCGGGCTCACGCTCAGCGTCACGACGCCGCAGGACTCGCACACCAACTTCACCGGCTCGTACGATGTGCCGGCCGACCAGCTCGTCGCGGAGCAGCACGGCGCTGTTATCACGCAGAGGTATACTGGGCCGAGCGCTTTTGCTGTGCCTATTGGGACGCCTTCGGTGTAGGGGTACTCTGAATTAAGGATGTGAGGAGGAGATGGAAGGATGTTTTGAGGGATTGAGAGGAACTGGAATGGGTCTACGTAAAGAAAAGCAACTTGATCGATGATCTTATTCGCACATAGATATTGTACATGATAATGTATATGAATAAATAATCCGAAGATGTGGAATAAAAGCTATCGTTGTTTCTATGGATACTAGGCTCAGGGGTAGACTTCCCTCTGTCTTGAAGATGGACCTTCCTAGGCAATTGAGGGTTAGGGTTAGGGTATGACGTATCACCGACGACCGGAGTTGAAGTCAATTGAAGTCAATAAACTTAGCTAAGACAATCAGATAACCATACTGTCTTATAACAGCAATTGCGACGTCCAATTTGGGTGAGATATCCTCCATTTTCACCAGAATTATTATCTTTCTTATCTTATGCAGTTGCTATTAAATTGCTAAGGAACTTACCCGAGAGAATGGACGGCGTAGACACAGCACCCGCACCGTGTCGCTCTAGTCATGACGTAGATCAGCTCAGATGGCTTATATCCGATATCATCGCAACGTCATACATTTGTGACAATGCTTATGTGTAAATATTGTCAAAGATTTACTATCCGTTCCCCATAGGCGGAATATCATCCGTCCCGATATGGTACCGATCGATTCACTATGATGATGCTCTGATGTCGAGTATTGTTGCCACGATGTCCGTGGCTCGTGTAACTCATTATAAGGCAATTAATTCCTAAGACGTAGTAAACCAAGATAGACTTCATATAGGAAGAATACAACAGGGTTATCCAATCTACGAATTGAATACAACAGAAAACAAAGATGGCGACATCACAGGCAGCATACGGGGCCGAGAAGGTCATCGGTCACGATGGCAGTTCAATTACTGCGCAAGATATCACCCACCCAAGCGGAGAGACGGGAAAGGAGGAAACGATGAAGGCCTTGTGTTGGATGGGGGAAAATAATGTTCAGGTCCTCGATGTCCCGCGACCCAAGATCGTCGAACCGAACGACGTGATCCTCAAGGTTACCGGCAGCACCGTCTGCGGCAGCGACTTACATTTATACCACGGTGAGCTTCGTTCAATCGTTATCTAGCACACCTACCTCCTTTATGCTCAGTACAGGGTCAAACTAATACACTACCCGCATAGGATCCGTCATCCAACTAAGCAAAGGCGACATCCTCGGCCACGAATTCTGCGGCATCGTCGACGAAGTCGGATCGGCCGTGACAAAAGTCCAAAAGGGCAAGCGATACGTAGCATCCTTCCAAATCGCCTGCGGCGACTGCTTCTTCTGCAAGCAAAAGCTCTCGTCGCAATGTGAGAAAACCAACTCGAACACCACCGAGCGCGCCATGTACGGCAGCCAGACCGCCGGCATGTTCGGCTACTCCCACTTCTCGGGCGGCTTCGCGGGAGGCCAGGCCGAGTACGTGCGCGTGCCGCTCGGCGACGTGAATCTGCTCGAGATTCCGGATGACGTGCCCGACGAGAAGGCTTTGTACCTGAGCGACGTCCTAGCTACGAGTTACAACGCCGTGCACGATACCGCGGTGTACCCCGGCGACCAGGTTGCGATATTTGGCGCCGGGCCCATCGGCCAGATGGCTGGCATCTTTGCGGTTAAGGCCGGAGCCACGAAGATCATTTTCGTGGATACGGAGCCGAGGCTTACTTTTATTGATGAGCATTGGCCGAAGGCTCATGTTGATAAGCTGGAGCTCGTTGATTATAAGAAGTTGTCGTTCGGCGCGACGAATAAACCTACCGTCGTGTCGAAGTTGAAGGACTTATGCGGTGGAAGGGGTCCTGATGCTGCTATTGAGGTGAGTAACTTTCAGACTGACCAACTATAGTCATGAGTACTAATATATTTGGCCAAGTGTGCCGCTGGAGAATATGCTAAGGGCTGGATGCATTGGCTCGAGATATCCCTCGGTGCTGAAACGGATACAAGCGAAATCCTCAATGAGATGATTGAAGGCGTTAGGGCCTTCGGCCGTTGCGGCGTCACTGGCATTTACGTCGGATATGTGAGTTATTATGCCGTTCTTGATACGTTTATGATCCAAATATGCTGACATATCCAGACCAACCACTTCAACATCGGATCGCTCATGGAGCGAGGCATCCGGCTCATTGGCAATGGCCAGGCGCCCGTCCACAAGTACTGGGAGGATCTATTGAAGATGATCCAAGACGGCGAGCTTGACCCGCTGCAAATGGTCTCTCATCGCGTTCACGTCGAGGATTTGGCCCAGGTGTATCCCATGTTTGATGAGCGTGTGGATATGATGCAGAAGGTCTTCGTCGAGACTAAGTTCTCCTCACCGGCGTGTGAGGGTTCGCCTACACTAACGAGATATTGAAGAGTTGAGGATTGGTGAAGGTGTTGAAGAGGGATGATGAGATGTATAAGTATGGATCATGAGAAATGAGAACCTTGATGGTCCCTGATGTAATACAAACCTGTATACCGTCATACGTACGGGGCCAGGCTATGTTTGTGTGAATTGCTCAGCAACAACCCCCTTGATAGGTATTGACTCTCTTGCGAAGTACATTACCTATTTTCCAGGTAGGTCGGTAATGAGCTCGAGGTGATGCGCCCCTATCTACCGTGTCGGACTTCGGCATATAGAAAATTGTCCAGCCAATCATAAACCATCCGGATATGGTGTCTCATCTCTCATATATTTCGATTCCTGGAGGGGGATTCTCTAGATCTTCCATCAACTCTAGGACAAGAAAATAGGTAAGCAAATATTAGAAATGCACATTGACGATAGTCACAGGTAAGATTCTGCCTCGAAGGAATCATAGAAGTTATAACCTTGGAGGGAAGCTTCGCCCATGTCGCTGCCACCAGAGTTATCCCTTTTTGGAAAAACCCGCGAAGTCTCCCCACTATACCGTTCCTAGATAAAATCGCGAGCCGCTGATTAATGAGAGGGTACCTGTATGCAAGCGGACTCTAACTAGGTAGACTAGCCTCGATTAAGCTTAGACTCCGTCTTTTAGCTGACGTCCGTCTGATATCATGCCGTCCCGGTATGCAAGTATCGTATCCTCGAACTTATCGGGAAGACACGGCTTTTAGACAGGTTCACCATCTTATCTCCCGTTACATTAACACTCTCGCTTGGCTATGTTGCGCGGATGCGGATAGTTTCACTTAGACGCTCCGTAGAAGAGTCTAGTCACGGAGAATGCGAAGAAGCCTGCCTGCTCTTGCGCTATTCTTACGCAGGATCAAGGAGTCATAAGGAGAAATGGATTATATATAATGGACGAGCTTTGCGCTCTTTTGCTCTTTGACAATCAATTCTCGTCATTCCCAGATCACCTAGCATATTTTATCACATAGAAAACACCAGAAGTTTATTAAACCTTCAAGCCAGATCTTGGTTCTAGCGACGACAATACCTATCCAAACATGGCTCAGATTCCGCAATCAGTCCAGAAGAGCCTCGACGGCACCAAAGTCGAATATGTCAGAGTTGGTTCCTCAGGGCTCCAAGTATCTACCCCCATCTTAGGCGCCATGTCCCTCGGCTCTAGCAAATGGCAATCGTGGGTTTTAGACGAAGAGGCGTCCATCGAGATTCTCAAAGCCGCTTATGACCGAGGTCTCAACACCTGGGACACAGCCAACGCGTACTCGAATGGCTTGAGCGAAGAGGTCATCGGCAAGGCTCTCCGGAAACATTCGATCCCGCGCGAGAAAGTCGTCATCATGACGAAATGCTTCCTCCACGTCGCGGAAGACGTGTCCGTATTTGCCGCGCCGCTCGGGCCAGTGCTCAAGGAAACTAAGGACTATGTGAACCAAGGAGGTGAGTAGCCTAGGACCCGACTCGTGACCTTTTATCCCGGCCCTCGCCGAGTGGCCGAGGAAAAGAAACCCCTTAAAATTTAGAAATAGACTCAATAACAATACCACAGGACTCTCCCGCGCCGCCATATTCAACGCCGTAGAAGCCTCTCTCGCCAGGCTAGGCACGAGCTACATCGACCTGTACCAGATCCACCGCTTCGACCCGGCCACCCCCATCGAGGAAACCATGAAAGCGCTGCACGACCTCGTGCAGTCCGGAAAGGTGCGCTACATCGGCGCGAGCTCGATGTGGGCGACGCAGTTCGCGCGCATGCAAGCGGTCGCCGAGAGCAAGGGGTGGACCCGGTTCGTCAGCATGCAGAACTACTACCACCTGTGCTACCGCGAGGAGGAGCGGGAGATGAACCGGTTCTGCGCCGACACCGGCGTCGGCGTGCTGCCGTACTCGCCCAACTTCGGCGGCAGCCTGGCCCGGCCGTTCGGAAAGGAGGACTCGGTCCGCGCTAAGGCGCCGAGTCCGATCGGCAAGGGGTACACGGCCGCCGACGAGGAGATCATCCGCCGCGTGGAGAGGCTGGCGGAGGAGAAGGGCTGGAAGATGAGCCAGGTCAATTTGGCGTGGCATCGGACGAAGGGGACCGTGCCGATTGTCGGGTTCAACTCCGTTGCTAGGATCGACGAGGCGTGCGGCGCGAGGGGGAAGACGCTGACGGCTGAGGAGGTCGCGTTCCTTGAGGAGCCGTATGTGCCTAAGCCTGTGTTCGGGCTTTTTTGATGAAGCTCTGGTGTATCGATTTTAAAGGGATGAAAACTGTATGTAGGTATTTAGAACCTGAATTCACTCTGTTCGGCGACGGTTTCTAGGATGGAATCTCCTAGGGATTTAGCAATGGATTTCAGTTTCGTCTTCAGCCATTGCTTTTGGGGCTCTGGTACGGCATCTGTGCTGACTGCTAATGTTAAGGGCCATGCGAGGAGTGTCGCGAGCTTGGGTAAAATCTCATAATGAGCGTTGGCGGCATTCTCGTTGACCCTGCTTGGTCCCTCGAAAGGGGAATTGTGTCTCAAAGGTTGTGGCACAATGAAAAATGGAATAGCTCTGCACAAGTCTGCTGAAAGTAAGGATATCTTCTCAAGACACATCTCTTGTTCCATATTCGTCGATATGGTTTGGGAGGAACATTGGGAAGCGACGAAGAGCGCTCGTTTTCGAATACTATTGACGATTATATGAAGAGCACGGTACCTGTTCCAAATGGTAGCATGGCCATGACTGGTGTAGGTGTGAACTAGTCCATCGAACATGGAATCGATTGATAGGTCTGGCTGCGTGGAAAACCTCCAGTCTTCGGGAACATTACGAGACCACGATTCTAGTGACATATCTAAGTCTCGAGCCTCAGACGCGATGTCGATTGGGCTAAGTTGAGATGAGAACCTCTCACTCTTCGGAAGGAAAATGTGCAACGATCTCGCGCGAAGGCTAGCTACACGGACCATGAGTGAGTCCAAACCTAGCACAGGACCTTCTTCGCCGAACTCTGCGCCATCCTGAAGCCAGGGAGCTGCAGGAATGCCACGGAGGATACACGTTCGGACCTAATTTGTCAATATCATCAGTTTCGCATATGATACGAGATTAAACGCGGCGACTAACCAACTGCCGTCGCGCAGCTCTTTCCAGGGGAAGGTCTGGCGTCCATCCGCGTTCTTGTCTTAGCTTCAACAATCCTGCGGCTCCCTTGTGATGACATATATTCTCCCAAAACCGAGAACCCGTTATGTCTGGATCCCAGGACGACGACGAATCTTTTTTCCGGCTGTGATGTCTCTCATGTCCATACATGATATTCTTCAACCGGTGCAGTTAGTATGAGGCTTTTATGAACTTGGAAGGCTATGGATTACCTCGTAGAAGGCCATCAACATAGCCGTGACTAGAATCTCGTGGATATTCTCTTGCGTCAGTTCACGAAACACACTCTGCATCCTCGCTATACTCCGAGAAAATAGCAAATCGGCATTTTCAATGGCCTTCTCTACTTGCATCGCACGACCGAAAACAGCGTGAGAAAGAGCGGACACAGCTAAATGCAGACTCGACCCGGGCTGAGTCTTATCCCGGTAGGCTATGATGTAGTGGTTGTACTCGCATACAAACTCGGGGATCTCGTCGTCTCTGAACATGTAGTTTTCGAGCCAGAAACGAAACGGTTCATCCTCTTCAGGGGCAGGTGCAGGTGGTGGAGTTGGAGATACGGAGATATCCGGTGAAGAACCCGATGCTTCTGCTACTTCTTTTCCGTCTCGCTCTCTTGCTTTCCATGGGCGACGGGGTTTACCCTGAGCGAAGGCATTTTCACTTTTGAACACCAAGCCAGCCTCTTCATTCTCGTCCCAGACGCAAGTCCGACTTGCTTTATTGCATCTACCACAAGTGGGATGAACGATATCACACTTGGAGGGGGTCTTAGTTAGGTAGTCATAAATGCGTGTTGGGGATATATTCAAGCCGTACCTTAATTCTCCGTTTCCTACAGGTGATGCAGCCCCGACTAGGAAATACCATGTTTTTGCTTATGTCGATACCAACCAACAGCCACAATCAAGTAAAGGAGGAGAAGAAGTTAGGTAAGCCGTCGGGCATGACTAATCCTCTCATTCGCTAAAAGATGGGGGAGACTACGCATTTTGGGCATAGCTTAGTTACAAATAGTGCAAATAGGGGGTGGGGTTTAGAATGGGTTCGATGATTTACTTGAGGCTTGATTTGTCATATCTCATCTTTCTTCACAAACTTCAAATACAAAGGTATGTAAAAATACACCAAATTTAGGAAGAGATTCTCCTACATTTCTCACCAACGGAGCTGGTGAGTCAAATGTACAGTATCACTAACAGTGAAGTGCACGATGACATGCGTGTAGCGCATGCTCGCTTCGTTGCTTTCCAGAAGTATCCATAAAATCATGCCCTACCGTTCCGATGGCGTGTCTTGGTTTTTTTAAAGGTTGCCCTCCGGCCGTTCTCATTAATAGTAAAAATAATATTGCCGATTTAATTGGTGGTTGGACGCGAATGCGAAAGATGTACAAGGATACACCTGTATAAGTTTCGGGTCTCAAAGGTCGTAGAGAATCAGCCAATGAAAAAGCACTATTCGACGCCGCTTACCCAAGTGTTCGGGACCATTGATCTAATGTCAGATGCAAATGTCCCGAGCCGCTGGAAGCTTATTGGACGCTAATGGACTCAGATGCTGAATAAGGTAGGTACAACTATACACCTTATTGTTCTTTCATGAGTCATGACGTTGGAGCTTTGGACAGTGTTATTGTAGTATTGTAGTAGGGTTGAGCTCGTGTCCTACCATTCTATCTACCTGTATTCACATAAGTACGTACAGCTTCCCATAAAGGATATAGATGGTAGGTAGTTACAGAAACCTACCTTTAGGCAGGTGCCTGTATCTAAACCTCCTAGGTAGGTAGTTAATTACTTACCGACGGGAGAGGTTATTACCAATTTTCTATATTTTTACATCTAAAAGTTGTCTTTTCAGATTTACGAAAACACAAAATGCTTCGTTAACACTAACGGCTTATATCATGTTTCTGAACAAAGTATAGGAGTATAAGATTTACTAAACCTTGCACATAACCTACTACACTTAATTAATTACCTTAACTCATTCGTGCATCACAAATTATCGTCACGATTTACTGGAGGCTATCCCTTACTTCCTCACGTCATTTTCGCTTTTACCAATCCGGGTGTTCTAGCGCTACACATCCATACACACACATAACGTCAACCGATGGCTATATTACCATCAGCCTTTGTGAAACCTTTGTCTAAGCTAAAGGCATTATCTCACCTTGTTTCCACGTTTGGAACAGGGTATGGTCCTACTTCGTTCTCGCATGGCACCGTGCCACTTTTGACACCAGCTCTCGGACTCGCGTATGTAGTAGTGCACTAGTGCCACTACGCCCACCAGTGATATCTTCTAAGGGAATTATCGTGGGTATGCTCGTCCACGAAGACGAACCTTATCGTGTCTACCGCATCCTAACCAGCTATAACCAGGAGTGGTCCGTTCTAGCACCCATCTAGAGACATTGGTACAAGCAAGCGAGCTTAGCTTGTATCCATGGATGTCTTCATATGAGGACTACATAGTTGCATGATTACAATCACAGTCACGACCCTGACTACAAAATAAAACATCAACCAATACGACCACACCTGCAAGTACAACTACAACTACTTACACCAGGTAAGTTACCCACCTATTCCCTCAAGTAAGGAAATTACGATACTGACTAAATAAATTATAACAGCCTAATATCCCTCTCCTTCCTTTTCGTCAGCATATTTAAACATTCCAAAATTCTAAACTTTGTGCTCTTGTCCAGACACCCACACCCATATGCCACATCCACACACCACACTCACATAACCCATCTCTTGGACACCATGGATCCCTACCCGCGTAGTAAATTTTTCGGAGGCCCAAAGGAGAAAGAAGAATGCGATTACTACGCCACGGTCGAGACTGTTGGCGGTCCGTATCATGAAGAGTGGCCTAACGAGGCAGGAGTAAGTCTAGACTATTCTTATTATCATTTACATCATATACTAACAAAGATGATTAGTTTGAAGGCTTAACTGAGGTGCGCGGCCCCGTAGAACTCGTCGTTAAGGGTTCGATCCCGACTTGGGCTGCCGGCACCTTGTTCCGCACCGGCCCCGGACAGTACACCATCGACGACACTCCGAAGGGCACCTTCCGGACTACGCATTGGTTCGACGGGTTGGGCCATACGCACAAGTTCAATATCATCGCCGATCCTACTAACGCTGATGCCCCCGTCAGAGTCGAGTATTCGTCTCGTCGTCAAAGCCAAGCCCTCTATGATGATATCAAGAAAACTGGCCGACGGCATGATATCAGTTTCGGCCAACGTATAGATCCTTGCGTCGGCATATTCGCCAAGATTATGAGTGTGTGGCGAGGTCCTCCCATAGATCAAGGGCCCGATTATAATAATATCGCGGTCGTCGTCCATGGGAACGTGCCTGGCTTGCCGTCGAACGCCAAGAACACAACCCAGTCTGCCGGTCACCGAGGAGGTAACAAGTCTATGTGGTTAACCTCTGACATCGGTATCATGAAGGAATTCGACACGCAAACTTTAGAACCTATTGGAATGGCCAAGCAGCAAACACTCCATCCTCTCCTCAAAGGACCCCTTAGCTGTGCCCATGCTCAGCGAGACCCGGAAACAGGCGACTTCTTCAATTATAATCTCGAACTGGGTTACCCTCCTACGTACCGAATCTTCCGAACCAGCACATCGACGGGTAAAACCGATATTTTAGCTACATTATATGGCAAAGACGTGAAGCCGGCGTATATCCACTCCTTTTTCCTCTCACCCTCGTTCGTCATCTTCTGTATCCCATCTTCGCATCTCGGTCTGATGGGCGTCAAGATTCCGTGGGAAGGAAACATGGTCGACGCAATCGAACCTTTCGACGAGTCCAAGTCTTGTAAATGGTTCATCATCGACCGTCTTGGTGACCGTGGTGTGGTTGCCACGTTCGATAGTCCCGCGGGTTTCTATTTCCACAGTGTCAACTCTTTCGAGCAGCGGGACGAATTCACCGGAGATATTTACGTACACTGTGATGTTATCCAGTACCCTACGCTCGACGTTATACGACAATTCGAGATGGACGTCATCCTTCAAAGAAACGACGCGACCGAAAATTTCTGGAGTGACGTGGCACGCACCCACAATTGCCAGGCCCGACTGACCAGGTGGAAATTCGTCATTCCGAAGCTCGATGCCGACGGCGAAAAGGGGAAGCCGAAGGAATCAAGTCCGAGCAAGAAGGCAGAGAATATCCTCGAGTTCAGACCGCCACTCGCAGGAGAATTACCGACCATCAACCCGGCCTACGCGACCAAGAAGTACCGCTTCATGTACACAACAGTGAGTCGCGGCTTCAGTACCCTCTTCGACTGCATCGTCAAGACGAATCTCGACACGCGCGAAGCCTTGTACTGGGAGGGAAAGAAAGGAGATACACCGGGCGAGGCGATTTTCATCCAACGTCCGAGGTCCTACGAAAAAGAGGAGGTGGCTGAAGATGACGGCATGCTTCTGAGCGTCGTGCTCGATGGACATGGTAAGAAGAGCTACCTCGTGTGCTTGGATGCGAGGAACATGTTGGAGTTGGGACGTGCCGAGTGCGACTTCGCTATCGCGATCGGGTTCCACGGGCTGCATATGCCCCCTGAGACACCCCCTGAGGCTTCTTAGTTTGAACGTGGTCTGCCCTTCGAGATGAAAAACCTTTTCGTTATTTGCAGTGCTATTTCCGTGCAAGGGATGAGTAATGCAAGGGACACCGCGAAAACGCATCTAACGCGTACTTAATTCATTGACAACCTTAAAAGACCTCAATCGTGACTTTCAAATGTTCGTGGTGCTCTATTCTTTTTCCGTATATACAATCCGGTAGTACGATGCCGCCACTCCTAACCCGACTCAATGCTTCTCGGGGGATATCTCAAAAACCCAAATGCGATCTCGTCATATATGCTATAATCAACATATAAACCAAACAGATTGCCAATGCCAATGCCAATACCGGACAACTTTGCTCAAACAAACCAAAACATCACCGCCGCGCGAAAGCACAGCACACTTATACCGTATGCTCCTCATGGTGACTAGCCCCACTACTCCCCTTCTCGCCCTGCGCACTCTCAACGACACCACCGCCCTCGCGCTGCGCGTACGTCGACTTGGGGACCCATCCGGCGCTCTTGCGCGCGCTGCTGACCTCGGCGTACAGCTCGTCGACCTCCTCGAGCGTGAACCCTTTCGTCTCGTAGATGAAGAAGTAGACGAAGGAGATGCAGAGGAAGCAGGCGCCGAACCAGACGAAGAAGATCTTGGACTGCAGGTTCGCGTAGCCCTCGCCGTAGTTGACGAGGTAGGGCGTCGAGTAGGCGATTGCCCAGTTGAGTAGCCACTGTTTTTTGAGAGTTAGCCCGCTGTGGGAACTTCTACGGAAAGAGAAATAAGGGGAGGGAGAAGACTTACGTTAGTGGCGGTGGTCATGGACAAGCTCCGGGCACGCGTCTTCAGGGGGAAAATCTCGCCGGTGACGACCCACGCGAGCGGTCCCCACGTGCTAGCGAAGAAGAAGATGTACAGGCAGATGAAGGCGATGCCCGCCTTCTGCGCGGCCACATTGTACACGATGATGTTGCCGCTGGCGTCCTGGCCCGTCGTCAGGGTCCCGAGCATAGCCACAAGAAACTGGCTCGCGCACATGCCGACGGCGCCCCAGAGGAGCAGCGGGCGACGGCCGATCTTGTCGACGGCCCACAGGCCGGGGATGGTCGACACGACGTTGATGCACGACGTGATCATCTGGATCGTGAACGCGTCCTGGATGCCCGAGTTCTTGAAGTACTGCGTTCCGTAGTAGAAGATGAAGTTGATACCGGTGAGCTGCTGCAGCGCTTGCACGCCCATGCCCGTGAGCTGGCGCTTCAGCATGGGGCCGCGGAAGCAGTCGAGGTACGAGGCCTTGCCGATGCTCATCTCGTAGTTGTGGTTCGCTTCGATCTCGCGCAGCTCGTCCTGGATCGCGGGGTGGTTGGCGTCGATCCGGCGAATCTTGCCTAGCGCGCGGGCGGCGTTGTCGTGCTGGCCCTTCTTGATCAGGAATCGCGGCGTCTCTGGTAGGATGAGCATGCCGACGATCAGGATGATGGCCCACGCGAACTGGACCGCGATCGGGATTCGGTAAGAGCCGGTGTCTTGACGGTACTGGGTCGCGTAATCCACGATGGCGGCCAAGAGCAGACCGATCGTGATGGCGAATTGATACGCGCCTACGATGGCACCTCGAATCCATCGCGGTGCTGTCTCACTCTGGTATAGGGGAACTGAGTTACACGTTAGTTCAGCTTGACTAGAATTCGGCGCGGACACACGGAGACATACTCAAAGCGGAAATTAAACCAACACCAAAACCGGCGAAGAATCGGCCAGCCAAGAACAGAGGCAAGGCCGTAGCAGCGGTCTGCAATATGACACCGAAAATGAACACAAACGAGGAGGCGATGAGAGCCAATCGTCGTCCTATGGTATCGGCCAACAGCGGCGACCCCAAAGCTCCGAAGAAGGTACCCGCTGACAGGATCGACACGATAGCGGACGATTGAGAGGGTGAGACGTCTTTGTGACCTGCCGTGTTGACGTAGCCCGTCGAGAACAGGTTTTGCCAGTAGTCCATGGCTAGGATACCGCTGATCGTGCCGGTATCATAACTGCATATTCAAAGTCAGTTCAGATACACACTTCGAGTTGATACACACGCCGATGATTTCGATAAGACGTACCCGAATAAGACGCCACCGAAGGCTACGAAAAAACCGATGACGATGGCCGGCCAGGCCTTGCCGGCCTCTTCTTCTGGCTTGAGCACGAGGCGAGCCATGGCGTAGGATTATTTTGATGCCAAGAAATCTATAGGGTACAATGTCGACAAATACCAGATAAGAAGGGTTATAAATTAGGTGACGGATGGTCAAGCTTTATATATGAGACCCGAGGCTTAGAGATCAGCGGAATGATATTCGAAATAAGCCCGATCACTTGCAGACGCGATGGTATTTATGTAGGTAACCATGGCCGATCTCAAAGAAATGAGATAAATGACGAGGTATGGGTCAAGGCCCCAGAAAAGACACGAGGCACTGGGGTCCAGAAGCCATTGAGAGCTGCAGAAGTACCCAACCCTTGTTCCTTGTCCCGAGCTTTGCCAATTCGAACCTATCGGTCGATGATGGCAATGGGGGCAATGGGGTATCAGGATTGGGGTATTGGCTATTTTCCATACATGCCATTGTACATTGTATGGTGTTATTAGATGGAACATCGAAGGAGGGGTACCCAGTAAAGAGCTTGATCCTAGGAATCGTCGTCGAAGCCTTTCGTGTCCCATCTAGGCAAGACCCTCTACCAGAGTAATACATCACGAGGATGGCTAATAGAGGACGGTCCGATTGTAGCTCAAAGATGGGGCTCTGAACGTCCTGAACGTCCCCAAGTTCCCCAATGATGTTTGGAATTTCCCCATCAAGTTGGGGACCCCTCGGGGAGGCCAAATAGATACCAAGATGGGTCCCAAGATGGGCCCGTTTTGCTAGCTTGTTAGTCTGTAGCAGTCTAGTCTGTAGAATACCAGAATCTCGCTGGGGTCGCACGACAAATCTTGACCATTCGATATTCGGGACCGATTACATTCAAATCACAGCAAACATCGAATATAACATCGTCGACGTTATACAATGGATTGACGCATGGTCGAGGAGACGTCAAATAATAAGCAAGGCTCTGAGGTTGAGCAACGTGATGTCTCTAGCTACGGGACATGTACGACGTTTCCCAACTATAGGAAACTATGGGAAGGGAAAGGGCTCTGTACGAATAGCTGTTTCAGGAATTCTTCAAGTAGAAAGAAGATCATCTCGTTCCGCGTCCCTTGTCCCACACCTCAGCACGAGGCTTGTATTCGGCCGGTACCTCTGCCCCGTTCTATCGTCGGGGAGTCACTTCGAGAATACAGATCTCGAAATAAGTTTGGATCAAACGTACGAGTCAAATATTGTAGAGAGCCAGGATGACCTGGTGTGCCCTCTGTGCCTAGGCGGGATGGACGCGGGAGCAAGGCTTCACTGCATTAGTGGCTTACCATCGCGCCGTTCTGGCAACGAAGATACAAGTTGAAAAGGGGAATAGGGATTCGGGGAATCCGTCGGAGCCAAAAAGTACATGGCAGGCCATAGTGGATAGGTGAAAGTATGGAGAAATCCCCGTACTCTACCCCCAGTCCCCGCGAGCCGGTATAAAGCGGACTTTGTACTGCGTAGATGACATTGCAAGGGGCGTACAAGTGCCGTTCGCTGAGAAACCGCCGGCGATTTTTTGGGTCCCTGGAGGCTAGAAGTCGCCTGCTCGCTTGATCTAGCTGCCAAGGTGAAGAATATCCACGTGCCTGTAAGAAAAAGAATAATAACTTCGACAGCGGACCTGTTCGAATTAGCGATTCTAACCTTCGAAGCTAATGTCAAAACTAATGAATTAGTCAGGCGACTTTTTCTTCCCCATCTTCTCTCCTCATTCTCTCCCCAAATCTCCCCATCTCTCCACGTCTATCCATTTTCTCCGCCCAAGCAAGAGGGCCTAATCCTTTCGAGGTCCAAGGGCCGAAACCTGAGTATAATACTACGCAGTAACGCCGAAGAAAGGTCAGTTCAAGATGTCATATTTTTGGACCTCTAGAAACTTGTCTGTGGGGTTGAGCGATATGACATGAATTACATAACAGCCAATAAGACGTTTTGACTCTAGAAGGTTCCTAAATAGTAAGCAGTGACATAAAGAGATGTATGAGGCAGTTTCTGATGCTGGCTACTATATTGGGATGATGTACGACAGCCAAGTTTTCTGACGTCAAACGAGATGGTTAATGCAACGCTTCCTCTCAGTTAGAATTCGTCGTCGTTAGGGACTGATATCGATGTGGGCTGGTGGAGTTGATGATTCTCCATAGAATAGTCCGCATGAAAAGAAAAACATGATGGAACTGATGACGATGGCAACTTCGCGCGTCATTCGGAATTCTGGAGTTCCACATTGGCATTTATTTAGCGGTTAGAGAAGCTTAAAGCCCTGCTTCGGTCAAGCGGTCTAGGCCTAGACTGGAGTGCTATGTGTATAGAAAGGTCGTAGTAGGGGGTTAGGCATGAAGTATCGGTCCGATACACTGGATGCTAGCTGCTTCGAATCCGGTACCAATTCTCGGTAGCGGGTTATATTTATTACTCTTAATACGGACGTATTCGACGAGCCTTATGGCTAAGAATATTCAAATGGTTGTCTATACCGGCAGCAGCAAAGGGAATTCTTCAGACCTGGTGGACAACTGTGGAAATGGACAGAGTTGTGCTGTGTGTGAGAAGAGAGAAAGGAAGAAAAAAAAAGATTGAGGTTTTATCTGGACGTATCGACGTAATTTCCTACTCAAAATATAGTGGGCCGCTATCACTAGCTCCGAGCCTAAACAGTTCTAAGCCGGGCCGGTACCTTTGTCCTAGTCCATATGCCTATCGCTAAAAAAGTTATCACCTATCATCGTCCAACCATTGTCCGTTTGTACTCGGGCCTACGCTATCCGCTCCTATTCGTCCCTCCCACTCTTCCAACACACACCACAGCACACAACACCCTATACCCACACAACGTTCGATGGTGAGCTCGACGCAGTCCGCTTCACATGCCACGCGATCCTGGTTAAGGAAGAACCAGCGACCATGGCAAAGGGTCTAGACAAGCAGCCACCACAGCAGCAGGCTAACCCAATCCCTTCTCCAACTCCCCCAACTGCTGCCCCCCAAGCTTCCCCAACTACCCCGAAGCAGGGCTCTGCCGTTCGCGGAGCATCCCTGCTCATCGTCCTCCAGATCGCGTCGCGCGCCGTCACCTTCGTCGCCAACCAGCTGCTCCTCCGTTTCCTCACCGCCCAGCTCCTGGGCGTCTCGACCCAGCTCGAAGTGTACTACCTCTCCGTCCTGTTCTTCGCTCGCGAAAGCCTGCGCGTGGCTATCCAGCGCCAGGAGAGCCCGTCCACGCGGTCCGACAATGCGAGCGACACCGCCAAGGCCAGGTCCGCGAACGCGCGAGACAGCCAGGCTGTTATCAACATCGCCCACCTATCCTTACTCCTAGGCCTGGCTTCCTCGGTCGGCCTGGGCTGGGCCTATCTCCGCTACGTCGACGCTTCGACCGCCGCGACGCCGTACCTCGACGTCGCGCTCCGCATCTACGGCGTCGCGGCTATTGTCGAATTGCTTTCCGAGCCGGCGTTTGTGATCTTGCAATACCGACTGCGTTTCGGCCCTCGAGCCGCCGCCGAATCGATCGCGACGTTTCTGCGGTGTCTGGTGACCTTTGGGGCGGCCAATTGGGCGTGGAAGCAGGGCTTCGAAATCGGCGTCTTGCCGTTCGCGCTCGGACAGCTGGCCTACGGCTTCGGTCTCCTCGCTGTGTATATGTGGTTTGGGGCGCAACTGGCGTCATCCGAGGGTTTTTCTCTTCTGTTGAAGAGGAGCGCGCCGCTAGAGCAGAAGAGCGAAAAGACGGACGGGCCAGGGGCTGGTTACGTGCTTGGGTACTTTTTTAAGCCTACTCTACAGCTCGCGTCTAGCTTGACGGCGCAATCGTTCGTGAAGCACATCCTTACCCAGGGCGACACGTTTCTAGTCTCTATCCTTTCTGATCCCGGGTCGCAGGGCGTGTACGCCCTGGCCAATAATTACGGGGGCTTGCTCGCGCGCTTGGTCTTCCAACCTATCGAGGAGAGCAGCCGGAATTACTTCAGCAAGTTGCTCTCCTCTGCTAAGGGTTCGCCGGATAAGCAGGTTGTCGCTAAGGCTAGGTCGGATCTCCAGGCTCTGCTGAAATTCTACGTTCTTCTGGGCGTGTGTGTCGTCACGGTGGGCCCTTTCGCGGCGCCCCTGCTGATCCAGATCGTCGCGGGATCGAAATGGTCCACCAGCGGAGCAGGAGCCGTACTGGCGCGGTATTGCCTGTACATCCCTCTCTTGGCCATCAACGGCGTCGCGGAAGCATTTGTCTCGTCCGTTGCTACGGAGTCCGAGGTCCATAGACAGAGCCTGTGGATGGGCGCGTTCAGTTTAGCTTTTGGCGTAGCCGGGTTCGTCTCCTTACGGGTCTTAGACCTAGGCGCTGCCGGTCTCGTGTACGCGAATTGCATTAATATGCTGTGCCGTATTATCTGGAGTGGGACTTTCATTTCGCAATATTTTAGGGGTAATGGAGCCGACTTTGGCTGGAGTGGCGTTCTTCCGGATGGCTTAGCGCTGTCGACGTTGGCTACTGCTGCCTTTTGGGCTTCTCTGACGAGAGCCGGTATCTCCGTCGGCACTGTGTCGCCTCACGTTTTTCAAGATCTAATCACGGTTGCAGTTCGAGCTGTGCCCTTTGCGATCGTTATGTAAGTTTCCCTGACTCCTTTATATGTCTATTCGTCTACACGGTTTAACGTAAAACTCAGCGCCTATACTGAACGCAAATATCTGCTGAGCTGCTATCACACCCTCCGCGGCCGTAGCCAAGCGGCAGGGTAATGCCAGACTAAACATAGTCTGCTTGTTCTATAGAAAGTAGTCCGCTACGCTTTAGCATCATTAATCATCGAACGTGATCTTCGTGCCCTTCTGGTTCATATCGACGTCCTTGAAGAACGCCCCGTAAGTACCGTGAGCCTTCTTCTTGACCGTGGTTCCAAATTTGAGAAGGTCCTCAGGAACCGGTTGTCCGGCTTGCTTAAGGATATTGATGAGCCTGAATAGATGTCATTAGTGTGAGTCCAAGGTCGTACAGGATTAGATGAACTAGAAACCTACTCTCCGGAGTGTGACTTGTCGTGTTCAGTAAAGAGCGTGATGGCGTGCCCAGTTTTGCCTGCTCGCCCCGTACGGCCAATACGATGAACGTAATCTTCGATGGTGAGAGGAAACTAGAAATCACGAGTTAGCAGCCGTACTCTACGTCAAACGATAGCAAATCAATATAAAAAGTAATACAAACTTACCGTGACATTGACCACCAGCTTGACCTCGGGAATGTCCAAACCTCGCGCTGCAACATCCGTGGCAACTAGAACAGGCGTCTGTCCTGTCTTAAATGCCTCGAGACTACGAGTCCTCTGCTCCTGTCTAAGATCACCGTGGATACCTACAACCTTGATGCCACGCTGCTGTAAGAAACCCTCGACCCGAGTAGCCTCTTTCTTGTACAGGCAAAAGACCAAGACTCGCTCGTTCCTGGGTTGAGCCTTGAGTAGCTGCAGCAGCCGGGCTTCCTTACCGCGAGGATCCACAACTTCGACGCGTTGCTCGATCCTCGCGTTCGCTTGTAGGTCACCGCTCTCATTTCCGCCTATCTGGATCTTAACTGGTGACACCATGAAGGTAGAGGCAAGCGCCTGTACGCTCTGCGGCCAGGTCGCCGTGAACATGAGGGTTTGACGCTCATCTTTCCTGGGTGTGCATCCAATGATTCGTTTGATATCATCCTCGAACCCCTTGTCCAGCATACGGTCGGCCTCATCTAATACCACAAACTTGGCCCCTTCAAGCTTGATGGATCCTTCTTCCAAAAAGTCCTTGAGTCGGCCAGGGGTCGCAACGATGACATCTGCCTTTCTTAGTAGGACTCTCTGTTCGTCTTTGGGTGCGCCACCGTATACGCATACAGTTTTCAGACCAACGAGTTCGCCGAGCTTGGCCAGTTGCTCGTTGGTCTGCATAGCGAGCTCTCGCGTAGGCGACACGACAACCGCACGTATCCTACCGGCACCTTTTGACTTAGGCATCCCAAGGACGGCAGATATCAGAGGTAAACCAAAGGCGATGGTTTTTCCAGAACCAGTCTCCGCTACGCCGACGATGTCGCGGCCTGACAACCCGAAGGGCCATGACGCGGCTTGGATAGGCGTCGGGGCCTTGAAGGAAGCAAAGGGGTTCTTGGCGACGAGTGATGAAGACGGCAAGTGAGAGAACTCTATTATGGGCCGGAGAGGGCGAGGGGAAAGAGGATCGTTAACAGTGATCTGATGTTTGCTCAGAAAGGATGCGATATCAGCTTCGGGCAAAGCAGAGAGGGCGGAAGTCTGTTCGTATGTTTGCGGCGTGTTGGAAGGAGTTGAACCGTTGGCAGTGCCGTTCGTAGCTTTTGATGCTTCGCCGCTGGTATTGCCATTGCCATTGGAGGCGCCATTGGTATATGCGTCTTCTGCCTTGCGCTTCTTCTTGTCTTTCTTGTCTTTCTTTCCCTTCTTCGATTTACGGTCCGTGTCTACTTCGTCGCGAGATGGCGCCTCGCTGATCACCTCGGCGGTGTCTTGCTTAGCTATTTTCTCACCATTTACCTCATCTGTCGAAGTTTGTTCGCCGTTGGTTTCAGCCTCATTCTTCTTAGCCTTCTTCTTGTCTTTCTTTTCCTTCTTGTCCTTCTTGTCCTTTTTCTTCGTCTTTACTTCGCCATCGACTTCCGATACAGGCGTCTCGAGAGCCGAATCTAGAGGAGTCGACGTAGCTGATTCGAGGTCTCGCAACTTTTCTTTGCGATCCTTCCTGTCCTTCTTGTCTTTCTTCTCCTTCTTGGACTTCTTGCGCGGGAGAGTCGCGGCCTCCACTTCCTCGGCGTCTTCGAGGCGATGCTTCGACATATTCACGGGAATCTGCGAGCTTACTAAGGTGGAATTTTGAAACTCAGTTAGAACCCAAACTTGAAGAGAGGATTCAAGCGTCGCAGTCCTTGTGCGAAAGAATTGGCCCTCGAAGAATACACCGTTGGTTATGGGTGCCGTTGCAAGCGCAAAAAAGCAGGTCGAAAAAAAAACCCGACCTAGAACATTAGAACAGTGATATCGATAAGATAAAGATAAGGACATCCCACTAGGTGGATCAGGACTTAGTGTGGCTTAGCTAATTATGTGGGATTGGTGTGGCGTCAATTTGTCTCATCCTCACGATGCAATTAAAACCAGCCGACCGTACCGGAATCAATCTATGTGGCATCTAACGACTATTTTCGCCATCAAGCACTCCAAATTCGGTATCAGTGGTATAAAAGAAGAAGATTCTCAGGTCATGTTGAATCATTCAGGGGTAATTAGTCACTATGGTGATGGGATTTTTCACTAAAGACTTTGCAATGGACATCAGACTCAAGCCGGGTTTACAATTTTATTGCCTAAACCAGGACTACGGTACATCCCATGAATCTCATTAATGAGTGATCGAACAATGTTAGTCCAACAACCCAGTTGATGATGAGATGAGAAGTCCATCACGCTCAACTCCAATCGTACTGAAGATACAATATTCCTTCACTGAAAACAATAACCTTGTGGGCAGATAAGACTCGCGTCGATCTGTTCGCTTAATCCTTGCTGCCCCTTCTTCTCTTTTCTGCCGCAAGTTGATCACCTAAACTGCAACTTTTCCGCCCTTATTGATTGCACCTAGACTCCATATCCCATGCAAGTTAACGAATGACTTAGTCATAAATCCAGCGTGGCGATAGGTTTTATTTCTCTAAGCCGTCGCCGCCGCAGCCTCGCCAACACTGGGCAACTTGGCTCCAGTACCAGCAAGGTTCGTCGGCTTAGCATGAGGGTTCTTGCTGTAGTAGTTGGATATGGCGGACTTGATAGCATCTTCGGCTAACATAGAGCAGTGTACTATATGAAAAATTAGTTTCATCATCGTCATTATATTGAATATATGGATATCCCGAAGATGGGCGGGATGACTTACGCTTGACGGGCGGTAAGCAAAGCTCCTTGGCGATTTCGGTATTCTTAATTCGTCCGGCCTCCTCCAAGGTCATTCCCCTTACAAGCTCGGTTAAATAACTCGAGCTTGCGATAGCACTACCGCAGCCAAAAGTCTTGAACTTGACGTCGGCAATGGTGTTGTCCTTCGGATCAACTCTGATCTGCAACTTCATGACATCGCCGCAAGCCGGAGCGCCTACTAGACCGGTACCGACATCGACATCCGTCTTTAACATGGAGCCAACATTGCGCGGTCGGCTATAATGGTCGAGAACCTTCTCGTGGTATGATCGACGGACGACGTTGGCGGCCGGGTTGAGAATCTGGCGGGTGGCAATACGGGGGTTCGCAGATGCGATCGCTCGACGAGCAGTATTGGCGAGTGTTCGCGACAACATTTTGATGGTTATGTGGATTTGGCTTTGATATGCGATTTGGATGATATTGGGGGTTGAGCGAATTGTTTATGGTTGAGAGGAATGAAGATATCTTAGGTTTGCTTGTTTGATGGTTGGCGAAACAAAAGATGACGATTGAGAGAAGAAATATGTCACGGGAGAGATGGAAACTGAGGAAGTTTGCAGGCTAGGTCTAGAGTTATTATTCGGAGATGATGACAAAAGCCCAAAAAAGTTGATGGCGGTCTTTGTCGGCGATCTCGGTAGTAAAATGGATCTGGGGTTAACGTGGCGAATCAAAAACCTTCAAATTTGCGATGAAATCATAAGCCTCGGAGATGGTACATGCACTGTGAAGAGGGGTTGGTCCTAGGGAGAAATACAGTGTGTGCTCCAAACACATTGTATGACGGTTTACCACGTAAGCACTGTATTTTGGTGGGATGTCTCCACCTTTTGCCCTCCAGCTTCTTATCAGATCCTTCTTGCAGCTCCCAAAACAGATTAAGCTCCGAGTCCGACAGAAGTTTCGACCGAACTTTTCTGACTTTCTATATCTGCCTGCTGCCTGACAGCCCCAATCAGCTGGTAACGGCTCTAAGCAGGTACCTAGGTAAGTACGATACGCGTCACTGGCACAACGTGGGGCAATAACCTTCAGCTTAGTGCTGTCAGGTTAGCACGAGGTTGTGTATCGCTTAGGTAGCAGACTGATCTATGTACAATGTACATGTACCTATACCCCTCCATAAGCATTGCGCCTCATGTTCTAGATGAAGCTTTCTTAACATTGTAGGTAGCTCCTACAACAATTACAACGATTACCAAGCCTAGGTAGTTGCGTTGCTGTGGTTAGTTGCCTGCTTGCCTGAAGGATGTTTTAGATTTTAGTAACGAATATACAACCAAATATAGTAGTTTGTTGCTTCACCAAACTCAATCTTCAAAACTTCCTTGAACCTTGTTACTCACAACTTCTGTAACTCATTTCTGCCACCGTTCACCAACATCTTCTTCCGTACTCTCTTCCAGCTTCACCCCTCATTCTCCCTCAAGATGGCATGTCCACACCTTGATTCCATCTGTAAGTTAGTTCTGGACGAGGGGAAGCTTCAACACCGGATCTGTTTCTATGGCTTACATTTCTGTGACATATTGCAGCCTTGAGCCCTCCGACGCCAGCCCAGTCGGTCTACCGTGAAGACTGCACCCAGTGCTTCGACTCGATTGTAGGTTCCCTTGTAGAATGGCCGTGGTCATACCCATCATCACAGCCTTACTTTTGCTCGCCCATACTCATATAGCATAGGATGAGCCTCAAGGTCTCGACGTCTGTCTACAATGCTTCAACGGAGGCTGTCTGGGCGTTAGAACCCATTCACAGCTTCACCATGTTACCCGCAGTCATCCCCTCGCCCTTAACATTCGTCGAACTCGAAAAAGGGTCGTCAAAGATGAACCTCCCGCGAAGATGACCAAGCTAGCGATTGCCGCCGAGACCGAAGCCGACCGCTACGATATCACAACCGCCGTTAAATGCCTAGAGTGCTCCACAGAGCTCGACAAGACTAGCCCAAAGCTAGCACCTATCGTGGATGGCATTCTCAAGGCGAATACTTTCTCGCGACAAGAGGAGGTCAAGGCATGGGAACAAGAGCTGACTTCCTGCGAACATATTCTCTTATTGCAGCAGCAGGAGGGTCGCATACTTCAAAGCGACTTGGGTCACTGTTCGAAGTGCGACCTCAAGGAAAATCTATGGTTGTGTCTGGAATGTGGTAACTTGGGCTGCGGTCGGGCTCAGTTCGGTGGTGTAGGAGGTAATTCTCACGGCTTAGCACACGCTACTGAGTCGAAGCACGCTGTTGCTGTAAAGCTGGGATCCATCAGTCCGGAGGGAACGGCGGACGTGTACTGCTACCAATGCGACGAAGAGCGTGTGGATGGCGACCTTGCAACTCATCTAGCACACTGGGGCATCATACTCTCCGACCGGGTAAAAACGGAGAAGAGCTTAACGGAGATGCAGATCGAGCAAAACCTACGATGGGAATTTTCCATGACTACAGAAGATGGGAAGGAACTTAAGCCGTTATTCGGACCTGGCCTAACAGGATTGAAGAATTTGGGAAATAGCTGCTACCTCGCCAGCATATTACAGTGTTTATTCGATCTTCCTGCCTTCCAGGCGCGGTACAATATCCCCGAGGTCGACCTACCCATCGTGCCCGATCCAGCTCAGGATCTCGAGACGCAACTTCGCAAACTAGGGGATGGTCTATTGTCAGGCCGTTACTCTAAATCGGATACGGATGTTGTGGCGTCCGAGGGCTCGCCAGAGATCCCTTACCAAAAAGGCTTAGCTCCTAGCATGCTGAAGCACCTCATCGGTCGAGGCCACGACGAGTTTTCGACGATGCGCCAACAGGACGCGTTCGAGCTTCTACAACATCTTGTCAAACTCATCACTAGATCGCAGCATCCAGCTCCTTTCACGGACCCTACTCAGCCCTTCAGGTTCGTTCTCGAGCAACGGCTGCAATGCCTAAGCTGCAAGAAAGTGCGCTATACCACCAACGAGCAGGACAGCATCTTTATCGATGTACCCATAGAAAAGCTTCCGGCTGTAGAGGGTGAAGGGCCGCGTTACAAGCCTGTTTCGCTCAAACAATGCCTCGACAACTTTACGGCTCAAGAGGTGGTGGAGTTGACTTGCGCATCATGCGGAAGCAAGGATGGATTCACGAAACGTTCTCTATTCAAAACTTTCCCAACTACTCTTGTAGTCAACGCACGAAAGATGACAGTCGAGAACTGGGTTCCTCGCAAGGTCGACGTTCCTGTCTTAGTAGGGGATGAGCCGTTCCCTCTCGACGAATATCTCTCGCCCGGGCTCCAACCGTCGGAAGAGCCGCTGCCGGAAGAGGAATCTGCTGCTGCCCCGGCTTTTGTTCCAAACGAGGCTGCGCTTGGAGAGTTGATGGCCATGGGATTCCCTCGCCCCCGGTGCGAGAAGGCTCTCCATGCAACTGGCAACTCGGACGCCGCTTCAGCTATGGAGTGGCTATTCGGTCACATGGAGGATCCTGACATCGATGAACCACTCGTTATCGCACCAGCTACTCAGGGAGGCAATGCCGCGGTGGACCCTGAGAAGATCGAGATGCTTGGCGCCATGGGATTCGGTGCACCGCAAGCCCGCAAAGCTCTAAAGGAGACCAACGGAGATGTTGAACGTGCCGTTGAGTGGCTATTTAGCCATCCAGATGAACAAGGCGATTTTGGTGATGAGGCCACACCGTCCGCTGGAGACAAGAAAGAGACTGCTCCTGCTGGTAGTGCGGATCTGCCAGCCACATTCCAACTGCAGAGTATCGTATGCCACAAGGGTACGAGTATCCACACAGGGTAGGTTATATTGCAGTTCTGCATGGTGATTCGGTACTGACACGAAGATAGACACTACGTGGCGTTCATTCGAAAGTTGCTGGATACTACAACACCAAAGTGGGTACTTTTCAACGACGAGAAGGTAGTCGAAGCAGGCGACGTAGAGGAGATGAAGAAGACGGCATACGTCTACTTTTTCAACCGTGTAAACTGATGGGAAGCAACGGAGCCCAGTGAATAGGCAGGTAGGCAGGCAAGCAGGCGGGAGAAATCGGTGTACATGACAATAGTTAGAGCTCCCTTCATAGAATCCAAGGAATGAGGGTTGAAGCATCGTGATTTTCAAAGCACAGGAACCAAAAAAAAGGCATAGACGGTTGAGGGATGCTCAGTTGCTAACCAAGATAGATTGGTTGCTATCGAGAAACGCGTATACATGTTGTAGACCTTCCAAGCCCGTAGCTCTAGTTGGCCGGCATATCATAGATCCAGAAGTGAGGTTGATAATGACTTTGATATGTGATAAGATATAGTACAATTGTTGAGCTCGCTAAGAGAGTCCAAATCCCAGAACGCCGGTTAGATTTACCCCCTATTCATTTGTCATACCCCAGTCGTACAGTGCGGTTTCATCTCTAGTTAAAGCAAGAATGTGTCATAAAGACCCCACGGATGAGAGATCTCATTCCCCTAACCTATAGCTGACCAGCGTTTCGACCCGATGACTCGTGGTGCTAAACCCTCGTAACTGCACTCTCTCGCCGTTGACGATCTCCTTAGCATCGCTGTCTCCCCACTCGACAGGCACATCGCTATCCGCGTCAGCGTACACCAACACGTTGAACGTGCAATCGCCCGCCAGCTGCGGCAGGAAAGTAACGGAAGCGGTGATCTGGCGGAACAGCGCGGCGATCTCGGCCTGGATCTCGGCCTCGGTCTTGGAGGGGTCCGGGGACGCCGTGTTGGAGGCGGACGGCGGGGGCGCGTCGTTCTCGGTGTTGGAGGCGGTGGCGGCGGTGGAGGAGGATTTGGACGACTTCTTGGACTTGGAGGGCGCGTTGAAGATGTGGACGTCGAATTGCCAGCGCTCGACGTGCTCGCCCGTGTCCTTGTCGGTGATGACGATGACGAGCTTGCTGATCTTGCCGTGCTGCATCCACTTGTCCAGCTGCGACATGATCTTCTTGATGTAGGCTTTCACTTGGTCGTCCGCGGACACTAGCATGTTTAGGCCGTACTTTTTTACGCTTGGGGTTTTTGTTAGTTAGGTTGGTTTAATGGGGTCGAGGGGAAGGGGGACTGCGTACGCTGTGAAGTCTTCGGCTGGGTAGACGCCTCTTTGGAATCTATTTCAGGGGTTAGTTGAGTCGTAAAGCGTAGGGGTAAGGTTGAGTCGCATACAAGATGGTATGAATGGAATACTGGAACTATACGACGGTTTAGTTAGCTTCATGGAGAGTAATAGTTGATTTTGAGTAAACATACAAACTCGGCAACGAGTTTTGCACTCCCCTTGATGGAGAGCTTGTGGACTTTGGACTTGTCCTTTTCTGCGGATTTGGAAGACATGGTGATCGGTGGTTGGTTGTTGATATAACTCTTGATTCTGAAAAAGGTGAAGCTTCAAGAGTAGGATGTAGATTTGTTTACTTGCGATATGGAAAGTTTGGCGGGGTGACGGATCATTTAACTTTAATGGGCTGTACAACATGCACGTAGCCGGGCTATGAATGCGTGTATACGGTATATATGAGTATTGATAAGCTATCGATAAGACAACCCCTGTTTGTAGATTTGTAGCTCCACATAAACCATTTACGGAATAAATGGAATTTTCGTTCAACTCGATCGAATTGCGAATAGCTTCAAATGCTGCTTTCTATGTCATAACCTTCAAGTCGACAAGGCCCAATTCGTATGTATGGGAGGTAGATTAGGCCCGAAACTGGCACCTGTTCTCATGCGATCATGTCTACGGCCGACTTCCCTACGCACGGCTTATAGTAGAAGCTACAGCTTGCGTCAAATATGGCCTTCTCTTAGTCCAAAGCTCCCATGGCGAGCCGGAGTGGCGGCAGCGCCATTGATACAGAGCTCTGCGTCGCCTATCCCCCGAAGATATAGCAGCTCAAAAGCAGCCGCGAAAGGTGTAGTTAGTGACCTTGAGCGCCGGATCGCCGCCATACCCATCGAGCGCTTTCGCAACTTTTGTATTGTGGCGCACATCGACCATGGCAAATCTACGTTGTCGGACCGCCTACTCGAACTTACCGGTACCATATCCTCATCCAGTTCGAACCGCCAGATCCTCGATACTCTAGAGGTCGAGCGCGAGCGCGGAATCACCGTCAAGGCTCAGACCTGTACTATGATTTATAATCACAATGGCCTCGATTACCTGCTGCATCTCGTCGATACTCCTGGACACGTTGACTTCCGCGCCGAAGTCACGAGGTCCTACGCCAGTTGCGGAGGAGCTTTGCTACTTGTAGATGCCAGCCAGGGTATACAGGCTCAGACCGTCGCCAATTTCTACCTCGCTTTCGCCGAGGGCCTGAAGATCATCCCTGTAGTCAACAAGATAGATATGATGGCTGCCGATGTGCCAAGAGTGCTTGAACAGCTCGAAACTACTTTTGAACTAGACTCCAGCACGGCAATCGGCGTAAGCGCGAAGACTGGTCTTAACGTTAAGGAAATATTGCCAGCCGTGGTAGAGAAGATCCCAGCGCCGACGGGCGATGAATCGAAACCACTAAGGATGTTGCTGGTCGATTCTTGGTACGATAGCTTCCGCGGAGTCGTCTGTCTAGTTCGTATCTTCGACGGGACCGTGAGGGCTGGCGAGAACATCATAAGTTTTGCTACTAACAACAAATATACGGTTGGAGAGGTCGGCATTCGATACCCTACTCAGGTTCCTCAGACGGTCCTGCGCGCTGGCCAGGTCGGTTACGTTATCTTCAACCCCGGGATGAAAAAGATCCAAGATGCCAAAATTGGTGACACTTTTACCACTGTCGGTTCTGAAGATGTTGTTGAGCCGTATCCGGGTTTCGAGGAACCCAAGCCTATGGTCTTCGTTGCCGCTTTCCCTACTGATCCCGCCGACTACAGTCGTCTAGCCGACAGCATCGGCCAGCTCGTTCTCAACGACCGTAGCGTTACTCTCCACAAGGACCACTCTGAAGCCTTAGGCGCCGGCTGGCGGCTAGGCTTCCTAGGGAGTCTCCACTGTTCCGTCTTCCAAGATCGTCTGCGTCAGGAGCATGGTGCGAACATTATCATTACCGAGCCCGCCGTCCAGACCAAAATCGTATATCAGAACGGTACCGAGTCCGTCCTCCAGAGCCCCGCTGACTTTCCAGATTCGGAGGAAGGACGTTACCGCGGAGCTACCTACTACGAACCATACGTACTAGCGACCATGACACTCCCGCAGGAGTATCTGGGCCGGGCCATCGAACTCTGCGAAGCTAACCGTGGTGAGCAAGATAGTATCGAGTTCTTCCATGGCTCACAGGTCATCCTTAAATACCGGATTCCAACTGCTCAGTTGGTGGACGACATGTTTGGCAAACTCAAGGGCGCGACCAAGGGATATGCCACGCTGGACTACGAGGATGCCGGGTGGCGTGAGAGTAGGCTGGTTAAGCTGCAGCTACTCGTCAACAAAATGCCCGTTGATGCCATATCCAGAGTTGTACATTCATCGCAGGTGGAACGACTAGGCCGACAATGGGTGACCAAGTTCAAGGAGCACGTACAACGGCAAATGTTCGAAGTCATCATCCAAGCTGCGGTTGGCAAGAGGATAGTCGCCCGTGAGACTCTGAAAGCCTTCCGTAAGGACGTGCTTGCCAAACTGCACGCCAGCGATATCTCGCGGCGGCAGAAACTACTCGAAAAGCAGAAGGAGGGTCGCAAGAAGCTGAGAGCGGTTGGCAACGTCGTGATCGAACAGGAGGCTTTCCAGAAGTTCTTGGCTAAGTGAACCAATCTTTCGCCTAGCGTGTATATGATCATGTAGATATATGTAACCGTATCAATACCCAATCCAGAATTACGATGACTACTAATTTGAAGCTCTGAGTTGTGTGCTTTCAAGGGGAAAGAGTCTACGTATTAGACCACGATCATCACGGCGAAGTAACCAATATTTCAATAATTGAGAGCAATTTATGATTGAAGGATTGAAGCAAAACTATTAGATCGCCAGCAAAAGTACCTAACGATCCCATTGGTCCTCCTTGTTTTCCATCCTACAGAATTTCAGGTACTCTTCACCATACTGTTCCCACCACAGGCTCCGCATTAGTCCCCTGTGGGACCGGACGACGAAGCCACGAGAGTGACTGGCCTCTGTCCGGGCCCTCTTCATCACGACTACTCTAGCCGGATTTCTCGACCAGGGTTCCTCTGGTTCGAGGAAATCCTCTGGGAGAGGCACGTCTACATCGCCTGTTTATATTTGTCCTGGTTAGTATATATCTTGGAATCGGGCGTAGAAGGCAGCGAAGGCTGTTCTCCCAAGTATCCGAGGGTATATGGGCTAATGCTTACCGTAGAACCATTTCTTCCGTACGAGGTCTGTGTAATCCCCGCCGAGGCCTCTGCGCCATTGTCGTTGCTGAGGCGGCGCCCATCCAATGGGCTTCTTTATGAGGTCCTCTCTAGTGGGATCAGGACCTAGTGGTTGTCCCTCCTTCCATTCTGGACCACCGCGACGAGATTCTTTGACCAACAATTGATACCCCTTGGGGTATAACTTGTCTAGGGGTTCGCCAAGGCGATTGTCTAACGGTGGGAGATCGACGGGCCTCCTATCGGGTAGGTCGAAATCGAGATTATTCAGGCTGTTTTTGATGATGGATGTGTTGTGGAGAAGCTTAAGATACTCGACATGGTCATCGGTCCCTTCAAACAGCTTCCAACGGCTGTAGTTTATTTCCTTGTAGGACTGGCCATCGACCGACGTATCTATGATAATCTAGTCAGTGACAAGGACGATGAATAGGAATACATAATAGGCAGTCATACATGTAGGTCGGTCAAGGCGTCCATCCTTACTAAACACCTCGGCCTGCCTTTCGTCGAAATAGACGACGTTGTTGTTCCAATGTTCATCGATTAGATGTGCCGTGGCAAAGTCGAATAATCTCCAAAAGAGCTTACCGTCCTCCCTATAGAAACGAAGAGGCTGCGGCTTCTCTTCGACGTCTTCGTCGTCAAGCTCTAGCAGAGCAAACCGGTCTGCCAACGAGAGCGACATTATAGTGACGCTGATAATGTCTTTATGAAAAGAAAAGTATGTGTGATCGTAATAATTCACCGCGAGGGTGAAAGGAGAGGCCTTGTCGTCACCCACACTGCAGAAATTGCATTCGTTCGACGAATTACAACTCCACAGGTTTAGCTAAGAACAACAATGATGCAAATATGAATGGGGGCGAGCGGTGAAAGTCGGTGAAATTCCATGAAAAAGTACACTTGCTTAGAATAAAGCATGGGATATGTTGTGTGAATGATGGAGTTGGACGATTGGGGGACTGCACGAGGTTGCAGAACTACATCAAAACACCCAGGCAGAATTCTTGTCAGTTCCTTAGCAACACCGCCCTCACAGGAATCGTCAAATTGTCTGTCCAAGACCTTAAGCCGACCAAGCTATGACCACGCAAGTACCAATGACTCACTAGTATTGAACTTCATAAGCATCAACAGAAAAGAAATATGAGGTTTATGACGATATTCCTTCATTCCATGTAGTTAGCGACGAACGTTTATCATATCGGTAACGGTCACCTACCATTCTATATAGTAGTGACAAAGGGAAACGTGCGTGATTTGTGTAGCGAGATTTTATAATAATCCCAACATTATATAGATATTTTTTTCTTAATCCATACTCGCTGCAGGTATACTGAGAGGTGACGTCCATGAGCCTATTAAATGCTCCTGTACATATAAAAGGGGTATTACCCTATCCTGCTAGGAGGTATGCTGAGCTTTACAGAAGTGGGCAGAGTAGGTATCTTAAAGATATGATCATCTAACTGGTAACTCCGTGTTAAAGAGAGGTAAACTTAGCAACTAACCTGTCATAAACCGAAATCTTATGGGCAAACATCCAACATTCTCACGGATGCCGGCTCGCCTCTCCCTCCTTACGGCCTCATTATACGGTACCCGAATGAAACCTCCGATGCCGTAGTTGGCATCGACGGCGGCGCCAGCAGCAGCACCCTAGGCATCACATTAACGGATCTTCCATATCCTATGATAAAGCTCTCAGCACCAGCTGGCCAGTTCCTCGCTTGCAAGGAGAATATCCCTTACTGTCCACCTGAACGCGAATTAGTGCTGGCTGAGACGTTCAGGGACGGGTCCTAGGTAGCAGTGGACTGCGTGGTAGTTGAGTCTCTACCAGAGTGTACTAAGCTGCCCGATCCGCCCGCGGGGAGTTACTCGACTCATAAATTTGCGAATAACGCTCGGTGTCCTGGGGATCCTTCTAGTACTAGTTGGTCTAAGTACCCCGAGGTTAGGTAGACGAGGTTGTTCTAGGATATTACATCAGTACCTAAGGAGTGGGATACAAGACGGAGGCGTATATCCCCACGCCTTACGGCTGTATGTGCGTTTGTAAGTGCTAGGAGCTCTTCCGAGCATTTTGTAGTTATTATTTCCGCCAATCGAATGATGTAGATTACTCAACTTTAAGTTGTCATCTCCACATGCCATCAAGGTCCGGGAGAGTCCCTGCGTTTATCTTACCATCAAGGTTCTCGGAATGGAAGCTTTGAAATATTACCATTATGATAGGTACGATCGAGACATCTTTTCGCAACAGAAATATATATTTCGACTAGGAATCTCTTGAGAGTCCCAAGTACCTAGGATACTACAGAAGTACTGGAGATATATCTCGTGTTTGGCACGCTGCAGGAGGCCAACAAGGTGTTTGAATAAGTCGTCCCATCAGTATCCCAAAGGGTGACGAAGGTTTGGCAATGGCAGGTCAATTGACCAATAGATGCAGTGATAATTATAAGCTTTACCCTAATCTATCCTAATCACAATAGGGGGTAGAATATGGTATAAACTTGGCCTGCCCCCATGTATGTGTGTATGAGAGACGGATGTCAGACGTTCCCTGAAATTTTTTTCAGATCTTGTCCTACCATTTCTCCCTTAAAGTGTGCTGTAATTTGGATCACCGGTTGAAGCCAGCACCATGGCTCCCGCGCTTCTGATAGACGACCAGCATAAGGCCGAAGGGCAAAGGCGCCTACCCGTTACTCTCCTTAGTGGTTTCCTTGGGTCGGGTAAGACAACTCTGCTCGAGAACATCCTGACATCCCCAGACCATGGCCTCCGAATAGGAGTCATAGTCAATGATGTCGGTGCGTTGAACATTGACGCAGCCCTCCTCACCTCCCATGATGTGACAAGAAAGGAGGAGCAGGTTGTAGCTATGCAGAACGGTTGTATCTGCTGTACTCTAAGAGGCGACCTTCTCGAAGAGGTTGCTAGACTGGCGGAAGAGAAGCAGGTCGAGTACCTCGTCATCGAAAGCTCCGGCGTTAGCGAACCAATGCAAGTTGCAGAGACGTTCTCAGAAGAGTAAGTACCGACACTACTCCTATCCTTAAGCTGCCGCCCTGCTAATCTGGGAGACCAGGTTCGCCGACATGCACATCGCCGCGGGATACGATCTCGAGGCGGAAGAGCAGGGCGATCATGAGGCGAATAAGAAGCTCGCTCAGATCCTGAAGGCCGGCGGGTTATCTAAGGTCGCACGTCTCGACACATGTGTTACGCTGGTAGACGCCGTCAACTTCATGCAAGACTTCGCTACGGCCGACTTTCTGGTTGACCGCCAAACTGACGTCCCTCAGGAGGACGACCGCAACATCTCCGACCTACAAGTGGATCAGGTAGAGTTTGCTGATGTCGTTATCGTTAACAAGTGCGACCTCGTCTCCAAGGAGGAGGTCAATCGGATCAAGGGAGTCGTCAAGAAGCTCAACCCTAGCGCCAAGGTTGTCTCGACGATAAAGTCACGCCTTGACCTTAAGGAGATTCTTGACACTCGGCTGTTCTCATACGAGAAAGCGGCCCTTAGTGCCGGATGGTTGAAGAGCTTGAACGAAGAAATAAACCCGGAGACGGAGGAATATGGCATCGGCACGTTCATATATCGAGCACGCCGACCTTTTCATCCTGCAAGACTCTGGGACATGATCAAGTCAGTATTCGTCGTCATCCAGACGGAGTACCAGATCGAAGGAGAGGAAATGGACGTTGACGAAGATGAGACGGATGGTGCTGAGGGTGAAGATGACGATTCTGATGAGGGCGCTGACGAAGATACCGACATGGAGGACGAGCAGCCTCAGCTCGATCCTAAAGCGCGGTTAGCCTCAAAGATGGCAGACGCAACATTTGGCCCTCTATTAAGATCTAAGGGATTCCTGTGGCTAGCGACCAGGCCAAAAATGGTAGGTACTCCAAAGATTTCTTCTTTCGTTTGCTAACATTGCCACTAGTATGGAGAATGGTCACAAGCAGGCGTGATGCTGACTATTTCCGGACAAGACCTTTGGCGTTGCGAGGTTCCGGACAACGAATGGCCTACTGACCCAGAGACGAGAAAGGCTATAACACGCGACTTCGATGGTAAATGGGGAGACCGCCGTCAAGAACTTGTCTTCATCGGCCAGCAAATGCGGAACGGGGGAGAAGAACGTTTACGGAAGGCTCTCGACAACTGCCTCCTCAATGATGAGGAATTCAGTAATTGGGAGGCGGCAATGGAATCAGATGATATTGAGGAGAAGTTGAACGAACTATTTGAAGACGGATTTGAGGATTGGATTGAAACCAGTCACGAAGGCCACGACCATACAAACGGGCATAACCATGGAGACCACAAACACTGAGAGATCCACCCAACTAGTCTCGGTTGATTCCAATTCTCTGGAATCAAGTAAGCTGATGTGGGATGATAAGCAGTTAAGGAGGTAACCTTACGATGGGACTTTCTTTTTAATGGAAAAGCATACTTCATGGGTTATAACGTGCCATGTGGATTTCAAAATGGATGTGTAAAAAGCTTCTTTCTCCTTCAAGATTTCGTCGTCGGTTATCGGAAGCGCGTTACTACTTAGGTAGTTCCTAAAATACACTACAGCACGGCGTGGTATCTATTGATTATTCTTGGAAATCTTAGCTTATGTCCACCACAGAAGGAGATACGCGCATACTCATTATTATTTTATTCACGACCTAGCTACTCGCATTGACTAGGCCTTGCCTTTTGAGAAGCCCGCATTCGTGCAGTATCCGAGAAGCTTATGCAAGGTAAAACACACCTTGATCCAGGTCGAGAGGATCGGTGGTTCAGGTGAATGGCTACGAAAACAGGCCAGGAGGTACGAGATTGTCCGCCACCATATCTTCGACCTGTCTGATAGCCCACTCTGGGCCTCGGGGGCTCACGTTCAGAAGGTTGCCAATATCGCCATGCGCTTGCCCCTGAGAGTAAGCTTGCATGTATTGGGCGACAGCTGACTTCATAGAAGAGACGTCCTTCTCTTCCCGGTCCTGAGTCAGTCTGCTCGCGTTGCGATAGTACACCTCCGCATTCTTAGCGTTCTATGCGGCGGTATTCACGGCTGTTTGATGCGATGTAGGTGGGAAAGCCATGGCGCAGAGGTACAAGGATGCATCGCCGCGAAGTAGATGCGTGGTGACTAGGTCGTCTTGGGAAATTCCCTGTATCGCCGACGCGGATTTTAAGTTGGCTATGCTTGCAGTGAGAACGTTCCATCGGAGCGTTGATTGGGATTGGGCATCTCCATTTTCAGCTTCGGTCAGAGCGGAATAAAGCGCAAGGAGAGACCGTGCGTTTGCTAGAAGACCTTCGACTGATCTTTCGAGCTGAAGTTCAGTGGCGGAAAATGCCGAATCTCTTTCTCGCTTGTAGGTTTCGGCATCGATTTTGCCAGATCTGTATCCTGCTTCCAGCATCGCTGATGCCAAATTTCCTTTTGCTAGAGCAATTTCTTGTAACCTCTCTGGCTGGTCATGGGATATTGTCTGCATCTTCCCTAGGAGGTTCGCCGAAAGCTCCTCGACCCAAGGAAGCGTGTTTGCGGGAGCAGCACTCGGCAAGGAGCTCAGGATGCTGCAGAAGGTGGTAAGAGTGCCTAGTTGCGCGAGTAATGTGTCGATGAGGGTGTCTCTAGTGACTGGTTCGATAACGTTAAACCACTCCCCGTCATCATCGACATTACCCGACACTGAGTCTTCTACTGAATCAGCAGCAGGTGTGGGGTCGTTCATCACGTCTCCTTGTTCATCCGCAGTCCGTTCCTGCTCGAGGAATTCACGATACTTCCGCTCCTGCACATTAAGACATCTACTCTGCAATTCGAGAGCCTCTCGAAGCACCTTTAGCGCCTCAGCCTCAGATTTCGAGTCTTCATCATCTTCGTCAGAGGCCATTACCTCGGCGATGGTTGTGAGCACTTGAGAGGTGTTGAAGAGAGCATCGGCATTGTCCGGGTCTAGCTGCAACGAATATCGATGCGAGGCTAAGGCTTCTTCTAACACGACCTTTAAAGGCCGTGGTAACTGATCTACTAGAATAGGATGTGTGGCCATCTCCAGTTGTACTCGGGCTCTACCAATATTGTCAGATGGGCATTCGTTCCATATAACCTCGACTTACTTGTTATAGGCGAGATCAGCATTTTGAGGGAACTTCTGTAGACCTTGATCATAGACGTCAACGGCACGCTGGAAGAATCTCATGGATTTTGCGGCATCTCCCGCACGCCATTTTCCAGCCGCTTCTTCGAACTCAACGCCGGCAGATTGATAGTCATCTGCCGCATCAAGTCTCTGCTCATTTTTCGGCTTCGACTTCGATTGTTTTAGAAACGATTTGGGCTTCGCCATCGTTTGATCTATGTATTTTTTTTTTAAATGTTAAAGGAAGGAAATTACCTCTCGGGCGATTGCGATGCGTAATCCCGGTCTTAGCTTTTTTGGAGAAATTTTAAAATTTTACCGGGTGGCTGCTGACAACGGCGTTTTTGCCCCACATGAGCTCCACACGGTACACCGATGCGGCGCCGACCCGGCATAGTACAGCATGTGCTAGTCCCTCTTTAATAAAATTGATACAGCCGTGGGGGCCGTTGCTTTACCAGGGATACAGCGTTTTCATGAGAGACCTACACCTAAAATATGAGCATTAGATCATACGAATCACCTTTGATTCATTCTATATACATCGAATAACCCAAACTACCTAGATTTAATCACTGTTAGGTAATTCGTTCCCTAGTGGTAACTCCCTTCTAGATTCGAAGAAGTCAAGGGAATATCGCGGAAATCGACATATAATGACGATTGGATGATTCTAGCAACCATGAACAAATATCAAGCGAGCTGAATGACATACCGCTTCCTGCTCTCACTAATAGGTATCTAGCCAAATAGCCTACTTTCGTCGCATCTGACCGATATGGGTCAGCGGTTTCGACCTCTTTCATGGCCACTTAGGACATAATTCCAATAGCTCGTAAGATAATCGCAGTAGACTACCGCTATCTCTTCGCGCACTATCTAAACATCCAACGCTCTTTTCGATCAATTTGCTGTGATGTCCCGGTAGATGGGTAAGAACTAGGGTTCAGCTATCTAGCTTGAATATGTCAATTACGAAATAGCCTAAGACAGCAATACGAAACATCTATCTACTGTGGGATGGGAATATGGAAATACAAAGCACGTCGCTCATCTAGCAACTAGTTACTAAGCTCTATACAGGAAGCTATCAATCAAGCTATCCTCAGCCGAGGTTGTGAAGACTAGGCGAAGACATCACGGGCAAATAAGGGGCGTGGTCTTCGCTTACCATTAATCTAAATGATGTAAGATACGGCAGTGCCGTGACGATCTTGACTACCTACATTTTTCCACCTTCTTTTAACAGCCCATCCCCTATCTGTCTTTACCTTATTCTTGATAACCACTTAGGTACCTAATGTATGAGAATAAAATTGATTTTTTTTAATAGCAGGCATGATCTTTCCCATATCGACCCTATGCGAAAAGGAAACAATAGTCTTCGAATTGTACCTAGTAAATCTAAAAAAAGATTACTGTGACGGATAGTGAATAAGGTTACATTGGTTCCTGACAATCATATGCAGGCGTGTCAGCCTCCACTGAGGAGCTGACAGAAGGCGGAAGGAAGGCGGGCGTTAACATTTTATTGATCTGCAGAGATTCAATTACCTGGGTCATAATCTATCGATGGCTGAGCTCAGCATCTTAGTAACATAAGCTATATTTACATGGCCTGACCTAGGTATTACCCCAGAGGTCCTGGACCCCATCGGGCCCTGATTGGTGTCAGAGGTAAACTCATGGGACAATTGAGGAGCGAAGTGTAGGGAATAGAGATGTTCGACTGCCAGTATAGAAAAATGAAGGATTTAAATAGATGGGATTCCCGCCAAGGGTTCTCAGGTTTAAGAAGCATCACGAAAGGATCAACTTCTATCCCCTGCTGATAACTGACTACCTACATATTGAGTTCTCAAAGCAGAAATCTTCCTCGTAAATATGAAGACCACAACTGCTATCATCGCTACGCTGGTTTCAGCTGGCAATGTCCAAGCTCACGTAGCCGCGTGGGTGAAGGGCATGTACTGTCTTGTAAGTATCCCTTCACATCCCTGACCTTTTACCTCCTGAATAGGTGCCTAATAATCCCGAATAGAACGGCACGACACCCGGACAAGAAGACCTGAACACCAACACCGCTGTCGACCCCTTATACCAACTCCCCAAGAGCAAATGGTGGATGCAGGCGGATCGCGGCTGCGACAAGTTCCCCCCGGCCGACGGCGACTCCCTCGCTCTTCCGGCCGGCGGATCCTTCACCGTCGAGTTAGCTCACAACCGCGCTCAGACTACTCTCTCTTACGACGGAAAATACACCTCGGAATGGCCGGATGGACAGCAGCACCCTGAGGATTGGCACAGCCCGTTGCCTCCTAGCCCTGATAAGTGTCTTGACGCTAACCCCGATAAACTGGGTGGTGCCATGCACACACACAACGAGACCGACTCCGCCGGTAGCGCTTTTGCTATCTCGTATAACTCCGATATCTCTAAGGTTACGATGGAGAACCTGGCTGTTTTCACCGTCCTGCAGCAGTGAGTGCCCATTACAGATTCCTCGGAAAACCTGATAGAGTTGGCGGCTAATAATCATTTATAGTACTCCCTGGAAACGTTTAGCGACTTACCAAGTTCCCAAGGACCTACCTCCGTGCCCCGAAGGTGGTTGCTACTGTGCAGTATGTACTCCCCCTTTCGAACCTATCTACTTGCCTTAGGAGTAGGGTTTCTTAACTCAATTCGAACCTGTTTTGCTCCTAAGGGGCGACAGTACACTTACACTATATTTAATGATACTAATTACTAATGTCCTTAACTCTAGTGGCTCTGGGTACCTAACGGATGTGGTCAACCCAACATGTACATGCAGAACCTGAGGTGCCATGTAACCAACTCTCAATCCACCAAGAAGGTTGCTGCTGCTAAGGCCCCGGTGTACTGCGACAGCGCCAGTGGTACACCATGCGTTAAGGGTGCCAAGCAGATGGTCGCTTGGAACCGTAAGTATTTTTGACTTCCCCTTTATAACATCCTCTTGCGATATCATTCTAACGAGACAATCAGAGGCCGATGGTAACAACGTCGTACCCCCCGCCGGAGTTTACCCAGGCTACAATGAGAAGATGGGCTGGTCAAACGGTGCCCAAGACGACATTTTCGAGTAATGCTCCTGACGGCCTTGTACATATGAACAACGGCCACTCTGGATATTCATTTTAGTGAGAATGGATGGTTATTCTTTCGTCTGTTCGCTCTAAAAAGAATCCCTGAAGTCAAAGTTAGAGCTGCTCGTTGTCATCATGGGTACAGCTAGATGATTTCTATTATTGATGTATATATTTTATTACCTGGATATAACTTGGTAGATTGCATATAGACGTTTTCCTCTTCTACTCGAATATTTCGGTTCTCGTTTTGTGTGACTCTGCCATCCCAGTAGCTAACATTTATTCCGACTCAGGGGGTACTACCTACTTCGAATGATCTACAGGCTTTCGGCAGCTGACAGATCGGTCCTACCCACCAATACGTATGGCCCCTTAGTATCAAAGTAATCAGGGGAATCCATGAGCATGCATAACTCACATAGTTTAAATACCTTGCAGATGGTACGTGTAAGTTCCATGCCACTCGTCAGGAACAGCGGCGGTGGTTGGATTGGAGAAACCTCGGAGCCCCTATTTCGCGCGCTACTGGCAAATGTTCGGGAAAAGGGGTCGCTAGCGAGGTGGGCTACGGGCATCCGGCCCGTTAACCGGCGCCGATCTAAACTCCATTCAACGAACGCCTCGCCATCATCTCCCTGCAAGCTATCGACGGCGGACGATAGTACCGAATCCGCCAACCCGTTAATTCATTTTATGTATTACGATGTATATTATATAAATGTATAATAAGCTTTAATTATTAATATTATATTTTATTATTTATAAAGGTTATAATATTAAAAAACGTTATAAATTATAAAAAATTATAATATTTTTTAATTTATATTATTTATAACGCGTTAAATTTAAAATTATTTTATTTAAATTTAAATATTTCGTATTTAAATTATTTTAAAATAACTTTTA